GTCGATAAATAAAAGTACGCGTGCGACTTTGCAATCAATAAGCGGTAAGAGTTCATAACTGCCCGCGTAATCGAGCGAATAACCAATAAGCTTGTGCAGTTCGATCACGTATACAGTTGGACAGTTGGCAACGAGAAGAAGAACGAGAAAAAAGAAACTCCCACAACTAAAACTTGACTTTCTGATACTCTTTTCCTTGAATCACATTAAAAAAAGGAACTTTAATGTTATGGAAATTAGCGTGCTAGCGGCTATATTTAAGCTTGCCACAGTTTCGTAATTACCAAGCAACGAAGAAAAGAAGGTAAACTGTGCGGAAATTTTGATTGAAATTGAAAAATTCGACGCGAGGGTATGATTTTTCGCAAAGTGTAAGTAAAAACTTTATATGCTACCTAACCGGGCTGACGTAAATTGAATATTACTACTTGAGGCTTGCAGCAACTTTTACAATCCATCCGATTATAAAGCTCTTAAAATTATTCAAAAATTTTCTTTTTTTCCGATAAATTAAGTTTTTCTATCTACATATCTTTCAATAATTCTTGCTCAGAAGTACAAACCGAACGGCAGTCTATTGTTGTACTCGGTGGACAGTAAAAAAACTTACATCCCTTTTGTCGGACTTCTACAGCATACGTTTTATTATCAACTTTTAATGATTGAAAAAAGGAAAAGTAAGTTCAAAGTTCTGAAAAAAAAATATCAAAAGGGTTCGTTTCTCGGAAAAACATCCGAAAGATCTATGTCAGACCTTCTGTTGAGGAAGGAAAAAAAACCTCCCTTTTTTCTTCTTTTAGAAATGTTGCGCTTGCTCTATGCATATTCCAAGATTACGAAGTCGGAAGTCGAAGAAATCGTTGAAACAAAGAAACTGTAAAAAGCAAAGAAAAAAAAGAAAACTAAAATGGTTAGAGAGCAAGTTCTGATGAAGTGGCAACGAGGGCACGTATTTACAACGATAAAGGAAATCTCTGACTTCGTGTTCTGGTGTAGTGTCAACAATGCTCGATAGAGTCATACTCGAATGTATAGCTTGCTGCACCTGATAACTTGAAAGTCTCACTCGAATATACTTAAGCGCAAACGTCTGAAGAGGCCACGCTAGCGCGGTTTCGCGCTCAAAGAGAAACAAGCCGAGGCAGGGAAAAAGAGAAAGAAATGTACATGCAAGCGAGAAAGCTGCAGCCTACATATATATTGCACTCTGCTAGCTTCAATATTGAAAATTCCATCTTTTCACTAGGATCCTTCTCTCTCCCTCTCTCTCTCTCTCTCTCTTTCTCTTTCTCATAGCATGGGCGCCGGTAATGCCGCGTTTACAGACATAGCAGCCGCCTCTTTGACGCCAATAAAAATCCAAGGGCCACAAGACGTTTGCAAGCTCATAATAGAACACGCACACAAGGGAATTTTCAACTTCGGCAAATAATGTTGACCTCTGCCTGCGGGCGTCTCGCGTGCCGGGACGACACTACGCTGGGTGACTCGAGCTCTTGCTCGAGCTGTGCGTTGAATGCAATGCAGGCGCGGCCTGCGTCATCGCGTTTCAGACGAGAGTCGAGAATAGAGAATGGGCTGCCGCTTGTGCGGTTTCTTGTCGCTCGCGCGCGAGGCGCCCTCGTACATTTTTTACGGCTTATGTCCACGCGCGAGAGGCGAGGCGCGACGATTCGCTAAGACGACGCGGGGCTATCCTGCTGCATGTTTTTTTTTGTTTTTTTTGTTTTTTTTTGTTTTTTTTTTGTTTTTTTGTTTTTTTGTTTTTTTAACTCGGCGTTGCGCTTCCAGTGGCAACAGTTTTCGCATTATTTCCCAACGAGCATGCGCACGCTGACGGGTCTCGCGACGAATACGCACTGCAATACGAATACCTAACAGCTCGCACTGCACCACTTTGGCAGGCTGACAGAGAGAAGTGTGCAACAGAGCGCTCGCGCGCGCGCGTCGTATATCAATTTGGGAACACGCGCGCGCAATGATATTGCGTTAAATCACGGACGCGACGAGTGACACGCTGGCCAAATGGGCCAGATTAAAAATTCATCTCGACGAGATGCGCGCGCGAATGCTTTTTTTGCAATCAGCGTAAAAGCACATTTGAAAATTCAGCAGGCGCAAGGGAGAAAGTTCTCGTGTTTGCGATGAATTTCCACGCGTTATGCCTCCACGTTCAAGCGGATTAAAGCGCTTTCGATCATTTAAACGGCTTGGCTTTCCAAGAACTCGGCTTCACACCACCAGAGCTTGGAAAACTTTGTAACTCTATTGCAATTATTGAGCGTCGATTGATGTAGAGTTTGAATCTCGGAACGCGAAATTTAGTTAACAATTTAACCGAAACTCCTTTTTAGTATTAGTTAATAAAAAAAAATGTCAATACTCGAGCTTATCAAGTAAAACAGGAATGGAAGATCACGAATGATAAATGCCTCGGACTGTAAAAAGAACATGGCCTTTTTATTTTCTATCTGCGAGTGTTGTTAGTCGCGCGGATGAAGGGACGTCATTTGGGCTTTGTCGATGCCTCTCGTAGGAGATAAAAGACCAAGGCAAGCTGGCAGTAGTCGGTGGCATCTGTAAAGGCGATCAAACTGCGCGACGGATTTAAAAACGACGGGCGAACTAAGGAACTACGCCGCGAGAAGAAATCTTTAATTAAAGAAGAAACGCGCGCTCTTGTCGCGAGAACAGTTAAGTGGTAATTGAGCGCGAGAAAGTGGCGAAGCAGGCACCGATGAGCGCTCGTTAAACGCGGACGCGACGATTAAAAAACCAGCAAGGCCGTGCACGGAAAGGATATAAATTCCGAAAACCGTTCCTTCACCCCCTCCTCCCTTTAAATGCCTTTCAATGCCTTTCTATTCTGTTTCTATTGACAGGAGAAGTGGATGTGGTCTTTTTTTACTGACGCGTTTCTTTCTTATTTGCTAATTCTCGTTTGATCGCGAGAAAAGTACATTCGAGTGTCTTTCGCGCGGACTAACGCAGTTAAGCAGCTTTTCAAATGGCAAAGACAAACGAAAAGTTCTCTTCTCTTGTCTCGAATGAAAGTTTTGTGCCTGAGCCAAATGCATTCTATAGGAAAGCCGATAGATATGTGTACGCGTGCGTTTGCTCTAAAGGGCTTTTACTCTATGTAACATTGTCCGGTCAGCCTACTTTTCGGTATATCGATATTCGTACTCTGCATTCTATAGTACACGAATCAAATACAAAAGAGCTTTATGAAAAATATGAACGGTATTTTGAATACTAAAATTTGTTTCTTAGGGCTTAAAATTAATCAAACAAAAAGGATATGTAAAACTTTCGAACGTTAATTTTCTCATCCACTCGCAAAATGATACGTGACCAGTTTATTGTCTTGAATTTTCATTCGATTCAAGATGATATATTTCATTTTTCTCCATAGAAACCTTTGTAGAAACTTGATATATAGGGATATCGAGCATTGATTACCAATAGCATATGTATGGGATCTTTGATTTCGGATTCAAGTTCAAGCCCACTGATTGCTGATAAGTTTACAAGATCGAAAAAAGTGTCGTTATCTTCACAGTTTTTAATCAGTACTCAGTTTATTTTGGAAAACAACAAAGTTTCGTTACTACAATATTTCAAGTTCTACTAAATGCTACGAAAGAGCTAAGTTTGCGCCATAACATCGAGTTTGCTTATACGAGACATAAGAAAGCTTTCGAAGAAAACAGTACTTTGTGAAAAATATTCGAACGCGGCCCGGATATTCGATAGATTTTGAACCTCATCAGTTGGAGTTGAAATTTAATATTGCGAGCGAAAAGCTGAAACGACAATCCGCTTTTTTTTACGCAGCGTCGTGCAGCCGGTCGAAGTAATTCGTATACTGAATAACGAGCTTCGATGGAGCATAATTCAAAGTTCACTCGTCGATACCCAACGCAAATAGCACGCGAGTTGGAATTTTACGAGCCAATAAACGACGTCGCTTCCTCAACCTATATATACGCACATTTGTGTTTCAATTACTCTCTCGACTGGCGTAGCTACCCAAAAAACGAAGCAAATAATTCGATAATTGCCCACGATGATTTCACGCTTATTATTGCGTCCGGAATTACAAAGTTTGGAATACTCGATGCAGAGGCTCCTTTTTTTTTTTATTATTTAGTTTCTTGGTATGAGCACGTCCACCACTATTGGTTTCCGATACTGTTACGCGATGAAATGCATTAAAATTCAGCGTCGCGCGTAGGCTCTATATATATGATATTTAACGTATGTACAAAAGTGCTTTGTCGGCCAAATTCAAATACTATCCATTAGAGAGTCCCCGATGTAGCGACTAGCTGTTGATATCGGGAAAAGTAATCGTGAATAATGTAAAGAAGCTGAATTTCATCGTGTATTTTTTTTACAGCCGGGTCCGCGAAAAGTGCGGTTTTTCGCTACGTTTGGAATGGCGTCGTGTCGCAAGATGGTATTTTTTTATCTGCGAAACTCGATAAAGCGAAAGACTCGTGTTTTCGCATCTTTACGCTCGGACATTCCGGAAAGACCGAGTTACGCGTAGTAATATTCTTCGGTCAGATGTTTCGATTACGCGCGTCGATTTACTTGCGTATCGACCAAAACGTGACAACGAATGAAGTCGGTCTCTTTGCGCTAGGCGGTAAATACGACGAGCAAACGACACATCACCCTCGAGATGTAATTGCGATCCGACGATCCGACGATCCGAAGGAGGGATCACGAGGCGAGAGTCGGGTATACACCCCTCGAAGATACAAAGATAATTGATAAGTGTCGGCAGGCCGCATCGAGCTATCGAATGAAATATCGAAAGAGGTGGGCGCGGGCGGACCCGATCGAGATGACCTGCGTCTCTGGTGGGCCTACGCCGCCAAAAGTCGCGTGAATACAAGAGACCGACCGAAACTCGACTATATATTCGACAGCTCTGTAAAGGCCCGAATATAACGATGTCTGATGGAGCGCCTATTTTCTCTCTGTTGCAGACGTTCAGGCATGGCTTCCCATATCAGCCGAGTGCCATGGCGTTCGACCCCGTGCAGAGGTTGCTGGCCATCGGCACTAAATCAGGATCCCTCAGGATGTATCCTTTGCGATTGCGAGCTCGGCCCGCCGAGTCATTATTGCCTGATCCTGCCGCTGGTAGTTCCGCGTTTACTGCGCACGCTTGGCGTGTCTGTGAGCGCCAGTGTTGGATAAGGGAGCCGGATGCTGCGTATGCGCGGACGCGCAAAGGCTCTCGACGTGATAGCGCCAGTGGAAGCAGCCGACATACCGCGCCGGAGAGAATTCAAAATGGAAAACGAGCGGCGAGGAGTGCTAGATGAAAGATCGCTTTGAGCGTAGCTGAAACGAGGCGCCCTGTGTGCCTCGCCGAATGTTAGACCCTTCCTCTGCTCTCGAGCTCGCCAGAGCCGATTACTCCTCTTCCGTTCGGCGCCTCCTCCGCCGTTTCTCACCGCCTCCTGCAATTCGCAAGTCTATCGCACGAGTTTGTCAATTAGTAGCGCTTTTCATCATACAGATTTTCACATCCTTGAAAGCGGGGATGAAAAAAGAAAAGAGAGAAAATGGAGTATTTTACAGCGACGAGGTTGCGTGGCATTCGCGTCGATTCTTTTTTGTTCGTGGATCGTAAAACGTGCAAGCATATTATACAACAAAAATAGGTTACGTCCAGCTATAGGGTATACTTGTATTACCTCAAGCGCCTGTCTTCTCGTGGAATAATATGTCGTGAAGTTTGTAATTTACTGCATCCTATAAAACCAAGCGCGTCATATTTGTCATTTAACGTGCTCAAGTCTCTCAAATGAAAGAATGCTTTCAAAAAACAGGTTACCAATAGGCAAATGCGACGTCGGACTGTCGAAAGTAATTCCGCGAGAATTTGAATGTTAGTCTAGTTCCGAAGCAATTAACGAACGTTGTTCATTCCACGTTACGTCGCGGAGAAGTGCGAAAATCGTCCGAGAAAAATAGAAGATAAGGAGAAAAAAATAGCGATGTTTAACCAACGAACGTGGAATGTAAACGAGCGTGAGATACAAGTTTCGAGAGCCCGAGGCGCGCAATCACAACACGACGCAGTGGATGGGATATTTTAAATTAAAACGACGTGCAGTTAGTTGAATCAACTGAGCTTATATTCCCACTCATGAATTTCGCTCGAGCCTAAGAGTATGCATTTCGAGTTTCTTTTTATTTTTTTTTTCGTTTTGCACAAGTGCGCACGGTGATTAAAACTGCTCGTTAACCCCAAGCGCTTTTTAATCTGGATATCAATGTAATTTTTATTTCATTACTGTGAAATTCTTTGTAAGAAAAATATCTACTGTCGCCGCGCATCTAAGCCGGTAAATAGGCATTTTACTTTTAAATGTAATATCGTTTTGTCCTTGGCGTAGAGCCTCGATGCGCGTCTACTTGTTCATCTGAGTCGTTTTCTTTTATTCTATTTGTTTTTTACGACACGTTGTATTTTTGCCCGCGCTATTTTTAAGGAAAGGAAAAGTAAATTGCGAGCTCAGCGAAACCGCAAAATGGCTGATTGGAAGGTTACATAACTCAGCGAGCGTTGCGATAAGCCGCGTGGCGCGTGGAAGGTTTGCTTTCAAAGCGAGTAATAAATCGATGGAAAAATTATTCAAGTGAAAATATGAGAAACGATGCGGCGCGCAGCGGTTGGATAGCATGAAAAATTGAATGGGAGGTCGTTAAAAAAAAAGTTTTCAGGAATCGGCTCCTGAGGCGAGTTCCAGAGCGTATTGTCAGAGCATTTGATCGGACGAGGTGAATCCAAATTTACGAGCCGTAGCTATTAGAGCTGGCATGAAAATTCTCTCTCCGGGAAATGAAAACGGGAGGGAGCGGTTGATGCACGCGAGTATACACGAGCACTGCTTTGGGGCAGATACCTCGAGGGCAGGTTTTCCGAATGGTGCCGAGCGAGCGAGGAAGGCAATCTAATATAAACTGTTCGCTTTTCTCCTCCAGTGTGCGTCGGGATTTAATTGATTCGATTGACCGACCTCGTATTCTGCTGAATTTCAGAGACGCGCGCGTTTGTGTATCGAAAATAGCTGCTGCTGCTACATTTCCCATCAATGAATCACACTCGAAACGACTTTGGCGCACGAGCAACTCGTTAGCTCTTGCCCATCGAATATAAATACACGAACGACCAATTATATTTCCATTTTCTCTTCTTCTCTTTATTATTCCACTTGGTGATCAATACGCTCGTACGTTCGAGAGAGACACAGAGCTGCTCTCTCTCTCTCTCTCTCTCTCTCTCTCTCTTTCCACTACACTACACTGATGCTTGAGCATTACTGAACTCATTTTTCCAGTGCAATGTTTCCGGTACTTTTAGGAGAACAAGTTTGTCGATTTCAACAACTATGGATTGATCTTCACATTCTAGTTTTCATCATCGGCAATTTAAAACTCATGTTGTTTTTCCGGAAAATGATTCGAGCATTTGAGTTATTAATTGCAAGCTCTTTAAAAGATTTCGCATACATGAAATTCAGGCTGAGATTCAGCGCAGGAATAGCTGCAATTTCAATTAGCGAATACTGCTGATCTCAAGTGTTGTCGATATAACGATCGCACTCTTGCAATGGTTTGCCCGCATCAAGCGAAAAGGAGTAATAATTGATATAAAGCTCGGCGAAGTCTGTTGTCGAGGACTACGAATAATTGATTCGTTGTAACAACGTTGGGAGGCGAGGCGTAACGGGTTTTCGAGGGTGGGCGTACTCGTATGTCTCGACATTGCGTCGTAGCGCACGGTGTTAAGTTATCAAGTTAGGTGCTCGGCTAGTGCTATTCTCCGACGTATACGCGACCTGAAGCTCGACAAAGTTCATTAAAGCGAACCGCCAGTCGAGTCCAAGTTAAGTGGCACGACGCTGGCTCAGGCGGCCTATCGCTGAAATCTGTCGGAGCGCCGCGAAACGCGAGAACCGCGCGGGTAAAGGAAGTAACGAAGAAGAAGAAAAATTTAGTTAATCGTTTTCCTTAACGCGAGATATGCTGGCGCAGTCTTGGCAGTCCCGGCGTGGACGTGCACGTAAAGTCCGAAGGCACCCACGCCGTGACGCATCTGCAGTTCCTCGTGAACGAGGGCGCCCTCGTCTCGGCCACCGACGACGACATCCTTCACCTATGGAATTTCCGACAGAAAATACCGCAGGTCGTGCAGAGTCTCAAGTTTCAACGCGAGAGGTGAGTATACATACATACATCTATCTCTGGCCTTCGGATTCCAAACCGTCGGAGAGCAGCTCTTTGTTGTCCTAATTGTGAAATTTGCCGCTGCCCGTGTGTCTGCGGGCACGCGTGAGCGCAGTTTCTCCGATCTGAGAAACTTTTGTGGTCGCTTTGAACGCTCAAAACGTCAGGCAGATGGAATCCACGGCAAAGTTGCAAGCTTTAATTCTTCGGGCTTCTTCCTTTTCCCATACGCGCGACGCTTACAGTCCTGCCTTATTCCTTTCGCTACGCATGCGTACGTCTGATTACAAAGCTTTGTCCGCGCCGTAATTAGCTCGCTAAAAGTTATTCGCAAGCTCGTAAGCTCGTTTCGTTAATTAGTCACGGGCGACACAGCTTTTGCGCTTTCGCGCGGCGGTAACGACACGAGCTTAATTGAATTGCCGAACCTGCCGGTGAGACGCGGTGGAGCATCCTCCGCGGCTGCTACGTTGCTTGAATTTCCAGGTCATTTTTTTTTGAGGCGTCTCATTGAAAAACTTTCGGTTGGCCACTCAACGCGTCGATAAATTTCGTTCGTCGAAGGGTGGGGGGGGGGGGGGACCTGCTATGCTAAATCTCTCTTTCTTTTTTCTTCGCGCGAGCTCGGTACTATCGGCGATCGCTGAAGCTGTTTAATCGAATGAATCATCAATTTTCAAGTTATATTATTAGTGTGACGTCGATTCGCCTGAAAACTTTTGAAATTGGAAAATTGGCGCTTGATCGTGCAACACTGGCTCGTCAGATTCCATCAAAGGCCATAATCGACACGTGTTGTCGGAGCGGGAGCGTCGCTTTATACACGCGTGCGCAAAATTGAAAAGACAAAATATGAAATCGACAGCAGCGATCAGCTCGAGTCAAACAAAGAGGCTTCGCTATATTCGTATGTGCGCGCGGATGTAAAGCTCCGGCTGTAAATTTCGCACGAGCAAAGTGGGTTTTACGTGGTGGACGCCCCACACGCGCCGCGTGCACTTCACGAGGGAAAACGTTGTAAGCGCCTGCTCTGGGCTTTTTGGGTTAAGGGTTGAAAACTCTTAATGCACTTTATGGACTGTAAAGAAAGCTTTCGCGCAGCGTTATTCTGCACAAGTTCTGCAACGAATCGTTAACATTTTCAGCCAATATATACCCGGCGTCGAGTCCTTTGTTTCCTGTGCGAGCTGCGCTGTTCGTCGAAAGATGCGCGAGCTTTATCGCCGGGTTACGGTTCGACGATGAATAATGGCTTGCAAGCGATTGAACTTTGTCGCGGTTACGTGCGATTGAAGGAAGACAAGCTTGTCGGCGTTTCGACGTACGTTGTAAAACGCTTGATTATTATCTGTACCTTGCGTGATCCAATGGAATGTGATTGTGACGGACGCGAGACAGCGAAACGAGGAAATTGAAAACAAATATACACTGCCGTAGGTCGGAAGAATTTCCCTCTCCCGTTTCTCCGGAGATCGCCGAGCTAATGTGCGACTGATATGTAATAATAGCTGCTGTTGAATGCCAAACAACAAACGCGAATACCCGTGTGCCCTCAGAGCTTTTGTCGAACATATACCCTACTGAATCGAGTGTCGGTTCGGCGAGCCAGCACGTTAGACGTTGCTTTTTATTTTGAATTTCGAGAAAGGACGAGCAAACAAACAAATGCTCACTCGATGCTCACTCGGGAACAATTTTGTGCCTTCTTTGATGTCAGATCATGGCCATAAAGATTCATGTACGTACGATCAGAAATGGATTTTTTCAAACGATACTCCCGAGAAGTGAAACGAATTTTGCAATAAGCTCTGAATCGAAGCGATCGTCTGTTCGAGTATTTTATCAGTGATCTATTGGCGTAGCGAAGTGTCAAGATAACAATAAAGTTAGCACTTGTCATAGCCAGAACAGAAATTTCAGTGAGAAAACGGTGGAGAGAGGATGAAAGGAGAACATAAAGGTACGTGTCGCTCGATAATATAGTAATTAAAGGCGAAGCTGTGCAGAAACTCGCTGCCGTAATTGGCACGCCGTCGTGAAAAATCAGGCAAACAAGTGGCCACTCCGGATAAATTTCATTCTTTGGCGGGTACATTAAATTGATGAAAAAGCGGCGTGCAACAGAGGGGCCCGGGGGGAGAGCGCAGGAACGAAACAGTGGCGCGCGCGAGCTGGCAGCAGTGCACGAGATAAATCAGTGGCTGGCGACGCAGAGAAAAGCAATGAAAGGTGTCAGTTGCACCCTTTTTCTGGCTTTCAGCTATCCTCCTGGGCCAAGGCCACTGGGTCACTTGGAAATTTGAAGCGTTTTCTTTTTTCTTTTTTCTTTTCCGCGCTGTGTGTACGTGTGTGTTTTTCCGACACTACTACCTGCGCGGCTTTTGTGCGCGCGATAGTGCTTTTCAACAAAAGCCCGCTCTCGGCTTGTTTTCCACCGCTCTAAATTAGAAGCTCGCGAGCACTCCCGCCAACGAGCTTATCCCGCTTTTCCCTTCTCAAGATTGATGCATCTCGCGTGAGTCTTATTCCGCTGTTGCCCGTTTGTTTGCAGGATAACGTGTATGCACCTGCCGCTGCAGAGCAAATGGCTGTACGTAGGCACCGAGCGGGGCAACATCCACGTCCTTCACATCGAGACCTTCCAGCTCTCGGGCTACGTTATCAACTGGAACAAGGCCATCGAAGTGTAAGTTTTTCTTTTTTTCCCCCAATTCTTGCTCTTCGCCGGACGAGCCTTCTCCGTGTGAACGAATAAAACTTGCTCTCTCGCTTCACTGAGCCTCCTCCTCCTTGTTGCTCTTGTTCTTTTACGAGCAGTAACCGCGACGGGTGATATTACCGCAGCGCGTGCGAGCGACCAAAGTTTTTTCCCGTGCCCTAATGTCGGTAAACACTTCGTAACGAGGTACACTTGGCTGACAAAATATTTATTTCGACAACAACGTACTAAATTAACCGCGCGAACGCCTTCGCTTTTTATTTTCTAGGACGAAGCTACATTGCATTCTGCATGCAAGCTGTGATTGCCAAGTTTTGTTTGAGAAGCTCGCGACTATTAACGAATGGCTGTTTCGATGATTATCTCGACGTTTTGCTTATTAGCTTTTACGGCACGGATACGGGCTTATTAAATCGCGAGTCAAGATAAAAGTAGACTATTGTTCCCGCGCCGACGTGAGCCCGCGGCTTTGCGCAATTATTACCGTTTTTTGCTCGCTTAAGTAAATAGGATTTTTCTGAAATATATTGCATTGCATCTAAATGGTATTTCTTTTTTGCAAAAGAAAAACTTGAAATTGCCGTATGAATTTACATCTCCCACGGAACATTCAGTTAGTTTTAATAAAATAAACTCTCGCTCCACCTGCGAAAAGATAATTCGACTGTTGAGAGAGAAGAGAGTAATGAAGCGAATAAAATTAGGCCAGCAGGATTTATTTTTTGGTTTATTCGAAAAATTCGTTAGTTCGCAACGTATACTTTGAAAATTTGCATATTTATTGCGCGCGTTTGTATTATTTTTAAGGATGAGTGAGAAAAGATTTGAATTTTTGAAAATAGGTTGCTTACGACGTGGAATTTTTTTCTCGAGCAATAATGTTGCCGTCAAATTGAATTCGCCCTTGATATTTTAGATAAGATTTATGCAAAGGAATAAGTAAAATTTCAAGACGAAATTCAATAGCTAAAAGCTTACACGGAACCTGTCTTGGTCAAAATTAATGTAAATTATTTGGAAGGAAAGTAGAATGACATAAAATTGACATTAGAATGAGAAATCGGCATATGTACAGAAAGAAATTGAATGGATCTCGATCTCGAAGTAAATCGGCAATTCGTAAGTGAAAGAAATTTGAAAAGGAGCTTGCCGAGTGGCATAAAGATTGAGGAAAAGACAGGAGGAGTATAGAATCGCTGATATACACGGTATACTCGTATTGGCAGGTTCAAGTCCCTCTGGTGGTATGCGCGTGTTTCGCTCGGGAGAATTTTGCTCGTCGGAGCGTTCTAACTTTTCGGGTGTGTACTCGTATATGACGGCGCGGATCGCGGCTCTGCCTCTCCCTTGCCTACATAAAGCGCCACACACTGACACGCGGAAATATCGGGTTCATTCGTTCATAAGCTCTCAACCGAGCCTCCCTCTCTCGTCGAAACTTTGGCCGCTTTAAACGAAAGAGAAAAAGCGGGAACCGACGCGGAAAGCCTCGATGATAGACTTGTTCGAGCGTTATTTTCCCTCGCTGTACAAGCGCAAGCTTTTTCTTTGCTGGCGAATGTGTCCCAATTGATTGATTATCGAAAGCTTTTCATACGCACGGCCTCAGATTAGCCCTCTTTCGGAGAGAGGAAAATTGATTGACTCTGTGCAACGCGGAAAATGAATTTGAAGAAGGCATGGAAGGACGAGTTGAAAAATGGGCTTCGGCGCTCGCTGACAATAACGAGAGATGTTTTTCTTCGATAAAGAAAGGCATATTGCTCGACTGCGCTGTCAAAACAACGCGAGGGAATACGCGCTAGGCACGCCCGCGTCACGGATGGCGAGTACCATTTTCCACGTGTCGAAGCCCAAAAACACGAGTGATCCTTGAGTAAACTGACGTGCCTGTGACGAGCCATCCAAGTTTTCTCTTTTTTTTTTCTCTGATCAAAGGGGGCACTCGTCAAAGGGATAACGAGTCCAAAGCAATTTGCTCCTTCCTGGCGCAGCTTTTGTGAGTTCGATATAAAAGAGAAGCAGAGGAATTATTGAAACGAGGCTCTGCCTCTCGCGCTTTCACGAGCAACTTTTTCGATTGCAGCACGCACGCGAGTGCGCGTTTCAAGTTTTATATTGTTTATTGAGCGCATATAAACGACACTCGTAAAAGTTGCAGCGCGTGCACTATCTCTGCGCCATATTATCGTTCTCTTATCTCGAGAAACAAGTTTTCACAGAGAGACTGAACTGCGCTGGCGCGTTTCGCTGCAATATTGTTTTGCGATTGACGTCGTTTACGCGCGAGCACCAGCTCGACGATGTCGGTTCAGCGGACACCAAAATAGCCCGAATAATACAACGTTCGCTTTCCGAAATAATAAAGCTTCTTATGTTGCCAATCGGATCTGAAATGTTTTCTTTTTTTTCTTTTCTGCTAAAGTAGGTAATTCGAAAAACCGCGTAAAATACATTGAAAGTCGTTAGTATGTCCCCCCTCCCCCAAGTAGCCGTAAAGAGCGCGCGGAGCCAAGTTCTCAAGGGGAAACTTAATCTACGACCGAACGGCGAGCGGAGACAGAAACCGAGAGAGAGACGCACATATCAAGTGACAAAGACCACAGCAGTAGAGCAAGCTTATCGGGTGAAATTAGCAGGCGAATCTTGTGGCGTGTCGATTTTTTTTTGTTTTTGGAAAACATGCCACGCAACCAGTGGCTTGATTGAATTGCCGCTTGGATATTCAGACACATTTAAGTCTTTTTGCGTAAGTTACAGCTGCGCGATTAAGTGATTTCCTGATTTTCCCTTTGATTTCTTGTCCTCCCTTTATCTTTCTTTCTCAGTGCATAAATTGAGTACTTTTGTCATTCTCATAATTTGACGCTTTGCATAAAACATTAACGCGCTGCTGGTTAAACAATATTTTTCTCTTTCGTTCGGGATCAGATAAAAGTACCGACGCATTATCATTTTTAATGCTGATAAATGACGCTGAAAAGTCTTGTGAATGTTTACGCAGCGCGTGTGTTTCGCTGCAGCGTGAGAGGCGATATACGGAATTAGAATAATGGAAACAAGCGAAAATAAGTCTGCCTGTCGTCGATGAAAAAGAGCACTTGACCATGAGCAACGAAGAGTGCAAAGTATGCGCAAGGACTTTAATGGATTATAAGAGTTATACATTGTCCGGCACGCAAATCAGCGTTCAACTTTTTTTTTTTTATTTCCAATCAGTTGGGAATCGATATTCAACCTGAATTCGAATACTTTGTTGTTCTAAAAATACTTTCTAACAAGAGCAGTGGAAAGCTGCGGGAGAGAAAAAGAGAGATGCATCAATAGTCAGTTCTGAAGATTCATCGGCTCATCTAAAAAGCGATTCGAGCGATTGAACCTGTTTTCCTCGCGGGGAATCGGAAGTTGAAGAGGCGGGGGGAGGGGGCGCTTATGAGAGAGAAAAAAGCTTTTCTGCTATTCCTCGTGCTCACTCCTTACTAATACCGCGTCTGAAAAATTCAAATCAGTTCGACCTTTCCTCCCGTCGGAAACCCCTTACGAATGCGTGTGGGTGAAAATAAAGTCACAGCCGATAAATTGAATAACCATGTAAACACAGTTAATTTATAACTGCCCCCCCCCTCTCTTTTTCTCCCACCATCTCTCTGTGTAAATTATAATCATCCGTTTGTGTGCTTGCTTGCGTACGCGACCTCGGCATCTGCTTCGGACTGCCATCGGCGCATTGTCCTCTACATCATCGCAACATAAACCGTATGTTGCAAGATGCATACACACACGTGCTATTTTCGCGGCTCTGCCGCGCTAATTCATGGACGACCGAGCGAATATGTGTCGATGGTGCCCTTTTCGATACCTGCTCCACAAAGCGCTCGCCTGTTTTTTCTTTTTTCCTTTTTTTTTTTTGCCTCCTCTATTTTGCATCGTTGCTCGGTTTTCAATTGTGCACGGATTAAAAAAGTGCCCACGGCAGTTGCGATCGCTCTCTTTCAAACTTTTTGCGTACGCTTTACAACCGAGGATGAAGTGGCGCGTTGGGAAGGAGAGAGAGAGAGAGAATGGTCGCACGCGGTCACGAGTAAAATGCTCTCTGGCCGTCCAGACCGCGCTCCGAGTGCTATACAGTTGTTGCCGGCTGCTCTGTTGTTATTGTTTATCTGCTTGCCGCCTCTGTGATTTTTTTCCTCTTGTGCCACTGATTTAGTTATTCGAATTCTTTTTACCCATCGGTAATTTTCGTTCAACGATGAGCATTTTTACAATAGACTTTTGGACTTGTAGGCCGAATAAATCTTCTATTTTGAAATCTATGACATTGGCAAGAGCTCGTCTACGTCAGTTATGCATTTTTGAATAATACATTTCATTATTATTTGCAGAACGAGACAAACCCATCCTGGGGCAGTTGTTCACTTGAGCGATAATCCTTTGGACATAAGTAAAGTGAGTAATCATTAATTTTATTCCGAAGATACTTTGCAAAGGAGTTTTGTTCGTAGAACTGCATATACATTACACGATTCGCCTAAGGGCCATCGAGAATTTACGCTCAACTTCTGATCAGTAACTAAAGTTCAGATCAAGTTTTCGTTAACTTTATTACGTACTAGCTGAACCCTTTCCTAAAATTTTGTGTCTAAACATTCCCTGAAGGGAATTTAACATTATTATGTTTTACTTATGTCAAGAAATATAGACATTTTCAATTCATTTATAATAAGCTATACGCTACGAAAAATTGGACACAAATTGAAAATATGATAAAATATTAAGCGTATCTTTTTCGATTATAATTATATCGGATAAAATATTGATATTGTGATTTCAAGTTCTACTTTTCATATTTCAAATGTCATACTACATATCAGGAAAATAATGGGAGCAGATGTCTTCCATAGAGTACATTTTTCAACAATTTAAATATAGAGAGATTAACATTGTGCAACGTTGACAAATATATAATTACGCTGGTGTATTAGCTTGATAAAAAAAGATATAACATCTTATTACCTGAGTAATTTTTTCCTTTTGTAGTTTCCACATCTGACAGGAAAAAGGCTCTGCTATGACATGGCAAGGTTCAAAGTATTTTTTTGTCGGAGAAATTACAGTTCACAATTATGTATATTTCTGTGCTTCGGAGGTCTCAGCGAAATGACTTTTTTTTTCATTTTACATTTTTGATGACGAGATGAATTTCATAAAACGTAATTATAAAAATATTGAAACTTATAAGCGAATTTATTTATAGAAAAAAATAATATAATGATTAAAAATACAATTTGTACAAAATACAAACTCATTGATTTACTGAGAATATGATCGATGGATACTATTGGAATAAACATTCGCGATTAAAATACACACACACACACACACACACACACACACACACACACACACACACACACACACACACACACACACACACTCCACATGTGCTGCATGTATGTACATACGGGCAAGTGGATTCGGTATAAATTATGGAAACTAGTTAATATGTAAACTGATCTGTTAATTCCATACTGCAGCAGAATACGTTTTCAGTCGATAGATAGATACACACATATAAACATACAACGTTCTCTCAATCCTCGGCAATAGTAATATCTCGGCACACTAATATCGTGTGGCAAAACTTGCTAAAACCAGATGAAAGCTACGGATTATCTCTCGCGCAGTCTCGACTAGATTCAATTAATTTTAAGTAGCTTGCGTGCTCCTACGTGTTTCGAGTGAGTTATCAGCAATAAACATTCTTTTAATCTTCTCGGCCGTCTTACTTGATCTTCAAATTTTTTTTTGTTTTACAAACGATGTCGTTAGAGAAAAAAATTAACTGGAGGCGATTTATTCACGGGATATTTCTATGAAATAAGAAAAAAAGAAAAGAAATAAAAACCGCGCGATAAATTGCAATGGCAGTGATTTGATATAACGACGACAGATCGAATGAGATAAAAGTGATTGAATTAGGCTGAATAAGCGTCGAGCACGACTAGTATCGAGAATTAGTGACTAGCGAAAGCCGTCTCGCGAGACGCCAAACCAATGCTAACACGCTTTAATTGCTCACTGCCCCAGTCACTCTACCTTACTCAAAGAAGCTCCTATACGGGTGTATATCGGCGCCTTGTGAATATTTAACAGCTCGACAGAGCTGCTACAACACTCACACTTCGCGTTGCAATATATAGTGCGCAGCTCTTGGATTTCTTTTTTCGTATGAATATTCATGGCCCCCGAGAATTTGGCGAGAGATGATTAAATTGGTTGCTCACATTGATTTGGGGGGCTACGCTGCACGTCGTCTACGAAATACATTGTCGCCGTCATTGAACCGTACCGCTTTGCCTTTTACAGATGCTGATAGGATACGATTCAGGTCAAATCGTGTTCTGGGATCTAAAGTTGAAACAAGCCGAATTCAGGTGGCAGACGGACGAGCCGCTCAGATCAATATCATGGCACCACGAGGGCAAGCAATTCATGTGCAGCCATACCGACGGCTCGCTAAGCACGTGGCTCGTTAGACAGGCTAAACCCGTGAACGTGACGCATCCCCACGGTGAGAGAAGGAGAATCGCTTCTTTTGTTACGCGTATCACGCGGAAAGAGGCAAAAGGAGATTGAGAGAAAGCGAGAAGAAAGCGGAACATCTTACACTGTCGCCCGGGTCTCGGGCAATCTCGCGAAAAGAGAATCATTTTTTCCCTCCCCTCCATTTTCTCCGCTCTCGTCGCGCGCGCGTCCGCGTGCCAGCTGCAATGCGATTCCGTTCGCCTATGGGAAACGAAGCGATCCGGTGTTTTTACGCTTCGTATCAAGAAGTTCGAGCGCGCGTTGCGAATAACGAGGGGCACGCGCGGATGAAAAGCGTATTCCGTCATTCCCGAGACGGCGCACTCGATATCAGTCGAGGCACATCGCGGCGCTTTTGCCGAGAAGCCCGAGCGTGCTTGGGAATTTCGAGGGCTCTTCCTAGACTGAGCTACAATTGCATTCATTCCCCCTCGCGCGCTCGTGATTCTTCTGGAAGAGCGGAAGAGCGGAAGAGCGGAAGAGCGGAAGAGCGGAAGAGCTGTTCGCGCGTGGGACTTTTCGGCGTTACGCGGTCTCTTCGACGCTTGCGAAGGATCGTTATCGTCGCGCGTCTTATTTCACGAGCATTTTTCCATTTGACGAGCCACTGGACGAGCAACCCGCGCGCGAGATAAGTCGATCGGACCATTCGGGTAATACACGCGGCACTTTCTTTCTTGCTCTCTCTCAGTCTGCCCATACGTTTCCGACGTGCTTTGTCCTCTTTCCGGTGCTACCTGTACTTACGCGCGAACGTGTATTTGCCTATGTTGACAGCAAAAAACACGAAGGACGGCGAGCCCGAGCCATGCAAAGCCATTCAGAAAGTCGAGTGGAAGCTTTCCCGATCGGGGTAAGGATCAGCGATGAAAAATTCATTGTCATTTATCGCCGCGCGGCGCGGTTTTGGCCACTTGGGAGCGTTTGCTGCAGCGGACGATGTCTGATTTCTCACGTGGATATGCACTTGCTGCGTCTCCTTGTCCTTTTTTTGCCCTTTGCCCATTGCCCTTTGTGCGCGCGCGAAAACTGCACGAAATATGCCTTCAATACGCCAGCGAGCCATTCTCATTAGGTAGTTTAATGAAGGCGCAGCATTGACGTCGAGCGTACTTGGCTGGGAAAGAAAGAGACGGGCAGAGGGAGCTGGGTGTATAATAGAGAGGGCCCTTGTCGCGAGGTTAGTTTTCAAGGGATTAAGGCTGCTACTCTGTGTATTTGCACCCCTTTGTCTTTCAAACTTTCGTCTTATATGAGATTAAAGTGTCATTTACGCTCTGTTCAATTGTCTGACACACATTTGCATTGCTAATCTTGATAATGATCCTTCATCCTTTTCACAGTTTTGTGCACCTTGCAAACACATGTATCCCTTGTTGCTTGATATTGCCGTGTAGCGATGCCGAACGAGCCTGGCCATCCGCAGCTTTCACGGGGGCGCTCGTCCGTGATTTATTTATAAGCATAAATCTCCTAAGCAGTCGGCAAATGTCTCTGGGAACATTATACGACAGATAGACGTTTGACGTTCGCAAGATAGATAACGAGCTAACCCAAGAGATTTCACGCGAGCACCGGAGCAATCCATCTTCCCTCCAACCTCCAGAAGAAAAGAAAAAGAGAGCGGGGGTGCGGAACTTATTACGGAGCAGTTTCGGGCTCGAGCGCGCTGCCATATTTATACGAGCGAGCGTCGTTTTCATATTTCAAGAGAGGTCGGCCGCCCCTTCCTCTCCGCGCGCGCGCGCAAATGAAAAGGGAGTGATGCGCGAGGAGCAGCGGCTGGCATTGTACGCCTACGATTTTGGCTTGCCGCGGCGAACTTGAAACTTGGACGCGCCAAGCTGGCGCGCGACAAAGACGTTTTTGTTCGCGAGCCACGGTGTATTCCTCTGCGGTGCGGAATTCTGCTCGGCGCGCCGCGCGCGCTGCATTGTTTCACGGCCGAGTTGCGGCCTTTTGATCGGCATAATTTCACGCTCGTCACTGCGAGACTATACGACTTATGCGCGCGCTCCTCCTATTCTCAAAGGAGCAGCGACGGCAATGCAGCGCCACTTTTCATTGTTTCGTAGGAGGATATCATTGTTTCGAAAGCTCGGCGACTAGTCGCCTTGACAATCCAGTTTCAGACCGGACGTTTTTGCTTGTAATGAGGCGACCTCTTCGTCTCGATGCCTCTCGCGGCTAATGGGATACCCTTGCGTATTCGGCTGGAAAGCGATTCAAATACGGCGCGCTGCCGACGAGACAATTGAAAAAGAAAAAGCGTCGGAATGAAGTCGCTGTATATTTTTCAGAAAATATCAGGGAGCCATGTAGATGTGACATCTTTATGCGTGTTTACACTTATGGCCATAATAACAGCCAACGACGACTATGAAAACCAACTGTTGCCAGTGTTCCTACATAACGTTTCTTCTTTTTCCTTCTTTCTCCCTCGCTTGAATTTCCTCCAAGTTTCAAACTTTTCTAACAAATTTTAAAAGTTTCGTGAGGTGGCCATAACACTACTTTCAATAATTATCACCTTACATTGAGCATTAAATCGAGTTTTGGAGTAACGTCCAAGTTATAATGCCGAAGACTTGCACAAACGAACTCGTCGTAATTCTCCAAGGTGATTCGCGTATGCGTCATCACATTGAATCGCATTGATGTCGTTTGCAAGTGTGCGATTAGAAAGTGGGCCGACAAAGCCCCGCTTAGCATTTGGGCTTTAATTCAAAGACAAGTAAAAAATAACCCGGTCGCTTTGGTTGCTCGTAAAAGTAACGAGCGCTGCGTTTGCTCGCGGGCCCTCGCGGAGGGAGGGAGTATATGCAAATCCGGAAAGTGGCCTATAAAAAGGACGACGATAAAGCGGAAGGGCGGCATAAGAAAATGAGCTTCGGGTGTAAAGTGCTCGAGATGAAAGTGCTGGTGAATACCTTCCAGGGAGGCGTACGTTGTATTTTCCGGCGGGCTGGCTTTCGAGACGACTGGCCGGACGCCGAGCATCACCGTCATACAAGGCAAGACCACAACGGTCCTCGAAATGGAGCACAATGTCGTGGACTTTATCGTGCTCTGTGAGAGTCCTTGGACTAGCGGTACGTATACATACATAAATTCAGCTTGTTTGCCCCCCCCCCCCGCCCCCCAACTATGTCTCTGTGCATCCGCTTGCAAGGGCGAATTCGGACTATGGTCCGCGAATAACGATCGTGAAGCGTTATTGGCATTTCGACCGTAATGTTCCCTTTGCCGCTTCGCTCGTCCCATACTGTTCGCATGTGTGCGCGCGTGTGTCAGTGACAGTAACGGTCCTTTCTACATGATCGAAACGTGTTTCCGTTTAGTTCTGGCCACGCATATAAGCCTGTGTATGTAGGTAAATAGGCTGGTTATGATATTGCGAGAGAGCCGGTCTAAACTTGGTAATAATATAAACAGAGCCTCTAGCAAATTTCGCGCTGATATTATCCTCGATAATTGACAAACTACTAACTTTCGTGATTGCTGAATGTCACTGCGGGCGCCCTTGCCGCCTGTCCAAGTTTTGCCATCTATCTTTTTTGCCGATCGCCGCTATCATTTTTACCGATCGCCGCTCGCGCAAAGTTTTGCTATTAACTCGATTTCAATTTGGAAATTGCTGGATATTTTCTTATCGTTTGTTATATCCCGGCTTACATAAAAAACAAGTAAAACGAAAGAAAAAGTATCGTGAAATATATCTCGCCGGTATATCATTCCAGATGAAGAGGGCGACCTGCCGTCGACGGATTTATGTGAATTCGATCGGTGGATTTTCAAAGAATTTTGGGCGAAACTGATAGCTATCGGATTAACAGTGGATAAGCCTTGTACTATTGGACAGACCTATTTGCGCACTCGAAACTATACATCAGTTTTATGCTAGCTTTACTGGCGATAACAAGATATCGCTGCGCATTGATCAACGCGAACGCTCGGATTCAAATGATATAGCTCCGCGACTTTACGCGACGAAGCGCAAGTGTGTATGTAGACTCGATCGCGCGCGTTCGGTTAGCTCACGGCCTCGTAAAAAAGGGAGTCAGTTGACAAAGTTAGCGCGCAACTGGCCGCGTGAAACGATACGCTGATCCTGCGGTAAAACGTGCCGATTGCAGACTTTCAAGATCCGTACGCAGTGGTGGTGTTGCTGCAAAATGACTTGGTGGTAATCGACTTGCTGACCGCGGGCTTTCCGTGCTTTGAGAACCCATATCCGATGGATTTGCACGAGTCGCCGGTGACGTGTTGCGCCTATTTCGCCGACTGTCCTGGCGATCTTGTTCCGGCATTCTACTCCGTTGGATCCAAGTCTCAGAAGAAAACTGGATTTAGCGAGAAGGAGTGGCCACTTTCCGGCGGCGAGTGGAATCCCAATTCTAGTGGATACAACGAGATTATCCTCACCGGGTGAGTATTTAATTCTTGTTCCCTTTATTGTATCTCTTACGATACAAATATCTTCACTGGACCAGTGCTATTTTCGAACAAGACAAATTTCGAACGGAGATTAAGAGTGCTTCCTATTTTTTCCGAAATACAATGTTCTTTAATCACTTAGCGTGACGGCGCAGTGGAACGACAGCAAGTTTAGTCAGACGCCACAATGTGTTGCCCCGCGTTGACATTCGACGATACGGCTAAGAATGATGCGCGGCTAAACGAAACTCTTTCGTTTAGCGAAATGCATTTTCCGCGGATTGGCGATTAAGCTCATTGTCAAAATTGATTATTTTGTGTCGGCCAAAGAAAAAAGACGATTGCGCGCGCAGCCGAGAAAAATAAAGGGCGGCTTCTTTTATCCCCTTAATGGAAATTCCAATCACGCAGGATTCGCTGTTCCGCGTTCACTTTTACGTCGCTGAAATTTAATTACTTTTTCGTCGAAGCATTACAAAACTTTATAGCCCTTTTAATGTTAATTGAAGGAGCGCATGCGATCCCCCTGAACCGAGAAAAAAAAGCGCGCATGAAAAGGTTGCTGACATAATTTACCGATGGAAAGTAATTGAATATGTTTTCAAGGGGAAATCTTTTTTTATTGACACACGATGGCAGACGAAAGTTCAGAAGTGCCATAAAAGAATATAAAACTTACATACCGCGGCCAAATGTAAATCGGACCGCGGCCCCGAGCAGCGAGTTGAAAAAGTTATGACGGAGCGGATAAATCAACGTTGAATATTTGACCGGCGACGACGGCGACGACCGCGTAAAAAACAACAACGTAGGCCGATAAATAGCTCTCGCTTTGGCTGAATTAACGGATTGCGCTTGCAGTCACGCCGACGGCAGCATAAAGTTTTGGGACGCCTCGGCCGGCACCCTGCAGGTATTGTACAAGCTGAAGACAGCTAAGCTGTTCGAGAAGAACCGCACGCGCAGCCTCGACAACGAAGAGGATCCACTCGCCATACAACTGATATTCCTGTGCCCTGAGAGTCGCAAGCTCGCGATCGCTGCGGCCGGCAGGCACGTTGTATTCTTCAAGTTCAAGAAGGCCGAGGGCATGTCCGAAGTTGTGGTGAGTGCTTGCTTTTCCGTCGATCTGTCAACTGTGATCGCAAGTCCTGTGCGGCGCTGGGAAAAGTCGACGGGTGCTCGCCTATTTTAATAGTGCCTTTATTATCCACGTTCATTCGTGTTCGGCCTTACGGCTTTACACTCATTCTGAGCGCATAACCGACCGTACAATCGTATCTAAAGCAAGTTTATTTTCTTTGAATACGGTCACGGCATTAAAGGCACGATTCCAATAATCGTAAAACATTTGTCGCCCTCCAATCGAATAGGGTGGCTTTTTCGCCGTAAACGAACGAAATAATTGCTAAACTCGTTAAACTCATTAGAATGTAAAGATACGCCCTTGAGTCTGCTTTTGCGCTCTTGACTATTACGATTTTCAAGCGAAATCCATCTGCCCTTCCGAAAATCCTAAAATCGATTGGCTTCTTTTCATTCTCTCGGTGTCCTTTAGACACTAGACAAGGAAAGATACCCTGTTCTGCTTTTCGGGATTTGAGAACAAGCCAAGCCACGTCTTTCTCTTGAGTCTACGTGTCGCCCATCATTTCCGTTTATTCAGTCGGGACTTGTCTCTCTTGCCAAAATCACGTAGCAAGGAGTCGATTGATCCCCTATTCTATTTTCGAACTACTCACGCGCGCCCGCGATCTCTGGAAAACGAACGACACAATCAAACTGCTACACCGCGGTGAAAATTACATCTGCCACCTCGCGAACAAGTATAAAGTCACTTGCGGGAAACTCTATGAGGATTTTAATCACCGAACTTGTCGAGCTAATTTCAGCCGCTGGACGTGTTCCTGGTAGCGGACCCGAATAAGGACAGCGAGCGCTCGCCCGACTTTGACTTCTCCAATACGGGCGACGACGCCAAGGCCAACGCCGAGAAGAATCAACCGCTCAGGGTCAGGCAGGGACTGCAGAAGCGAGCCCCGGGCTTCCAGGCCAGTCTCATTTGCCTCACTCACGGGCCCAACGGCGAGGTCCCTGAGGCCATCACTGCTCTCAGTCTCAATTCCTCTTACGGACTGTGAGTTTTGCTTTGATCTCTGGATTGCTACTCTCGTACCAATTTAACGTTGAAAGCTCTCGAGGCTTTTTTGCTCTTCAAAGCATTTCCGATGATTATCAATTTATTTTACGTGCGTAGGTTGGCCGCATTATTACGTCATCGATTGAAATTGCAAAATTATAACCTCGCGCAATAAATCAGGTTGCTTGCGTGTATTCAATTGGAGCGAAGTAATTACATTGCAATTGGCATGTTAATCATGGTTTCAACATTCGCAGCAATAAATCATTCTAATACCAATACCTTAGGAGCTTGGCATATTCATGAATGGTACAAGCCAATGGATAGTCGTACCTGCAACGAATGTTGTCAAAAGTTTACGTAAATTTATACATCGTTTGATGCTTTCGGCTTTATTCGGCTAACATTCGTTTTTGAAATTGACTTCAAATTACGTTTAATATGAATTGGTCAGTTCCTTTTTGTTTCCGCTACTTGAAGCTTTGAAATAATAATACCGACTAATCAGATTTCGGCTCTACATCAATCTACATCACACTGCGTTTTAGTCCAAGTTTTGATTTAATGGTAGTCATTTTTCAAATTATTTTCGTAAATATTATATATTTGTGTTTGCAAAACGTCATAGTACTCGTGCGACACATAAGTTTAGAGTCATTGGAAAAGTATACATTTTTAAAGTAACGTTGCATGCTATTCTCTTGTAAACTGTTGAAACGAGAGATTATACGTTTTCGAGGAAGCCTAAAAGCTTTTTGTCCTTTATAAATATTATATTTTCCTGAAGAAACGAGCAGCTTTGAAAGTTTAAAAGCATAGATTCGCACAAAATATGCATATAAATCCCTTGATGCTTTCTTTCTCGACTGCCATGCATATATCGTTCCAATTACTTTCTATGGTTTGTTAAACTCAAAAGTTGAGCTGCGTGAGCAAAAGCCTGCATACCACTTAGTTATTAGAGCACGAAGCGTGAATACGCGTGCGCGGTATACGTGCATGGAAAAAATGATTGCAGGAAAATCGGAATTTTAAAATGCTGTTTACACAGTACATACAATACAGAGCGTCGAAAGATCTATGAAAAAACCAACGTCACGACACGTCCTTTTTCTTCTTTCTTTTTTTGAAAATGAAAAACAACCATACACAATAGCATGGCCTACGGCAACGACTCAGGCCTGGTAGTGGTGGATATCGTGCAGAAGGTGACACTACTAGTAATGTGCACGTCGGAGTTGGGAGGTAGTGCAGATCCTCAACGGGCGTTGCGCAGTCCCAAGCGACAAGACGATGCAAAACGCGACGCCGACGACAAAGCCAGGAGTCCCAGTGTCGATCAGGTAAAGCCGTCTCGAGTTCTCGTTACTCTTATCTCTATCTCTATCTATTATCTTTCACTCTCTCGCTCACTTTACTCTCCTCTACTATAACTATCTATCTCTTCTCTCTTTCTCTCGCTCACAACAAACGACGAAGCGCGAAGAAAAAAAATTGATACTTTATATTTACGAGGAAACACACACCAACATATACACTCACACGCGCGCGCGCGCACGCCTTCTTCTCGGATGACCCCCTTTTTTTCCTCCCTCGGACGTTTTTTTTCCACGCCGACCCTTTTTTCCTCTTTATCTCTCTCTCTCTCTCTCTCTCTCTCTCTAGCCGCCATTTCGAATATCGCACGACTAACCTCGTCGCTACAGTCATCCCTCTCCAACAACGACGAAGACAACGACAATATGTTCGCTGGCCTTGCTGCGCGAATCATGCGAGGATCGCTGACTTTCCAAAATCCCTCATTAAAATCCGTGGGAAAGATCGCGCTTGCTTTTTCCCTCTCCGCTTCACAGGATATTATTTTTAATTAATCGTCGAGGCGCAGCTCGCGCAATCGCTCAATTTTTCCATAATCTGCCGTGAGGTCGAATTCTTATCGGCTGGCTGTGTTCCTTTCATTAGCGGTGGGGCCTGGGGGCTCGCACTCTTTCTTGGCTTCTGCTTTTCTCCGTTTTCTTTTTTTAACGGTCGAGCGGGCATTTTGATTCGAAGCGCTGATTATATCCTTTGACAGCTAGCCACGACTTCCACTTTGAGGCTTTCTCTCCAGGTTTTTAATTAGTGCAGATCACGCTCCATGCTGAAAGTTCACGTAGCTTTCGATATTCTAATTAAAAACTTATGTCGTGATTTCTGTGTTGAAGTGCTCTGCTCATCGATGATAAGTAAAAAAACTCATTGGTCTTTGAACGCGATGCGCGCCGCGAGGGGGTTTATTTCGAGCTATAGACATTATTAACTGAAATATCTCTCTCGTGCAAAATTCAATATCGTTTTCGACCTAGTTTTCGCTGAATACATTGAAAATCGATATTTCGAGGAAGAGCTAGTTGATTCCAATGGCGATGTATAAGATAATTAATATATTCCACGCGAGATCAGACCAGTCTATACCGTGCCTCAGACTCGTGCTCGGAAAAATGAAGATTCCTACTATTCCTGGCTTTTCCGTTTCGCATTTACCCTTCTTTATTCGACTAGCGTGCAGATATATTAATATATATTCCCAAGTATGTAATCGATGCAGTTACTTGCTTTTTCCATTCACTCTGACTATCTGTCTCTCATTCCTGTTTACACGTAGCGCGCCACGACTCAATTCAAATCCAAATGGTATTCACTCGAAAGTAGCCAAATGCCAGAAGGCGCCACAATGCATCGAAAACCATCCAATTCTAAAACAAAATCCCAAATCCCAACAAAACTTACAGTTGTTATTATTTTTTTGTACATTGAACCCACATTTATTTCATTATCTAACAATGTACATTTAGCCTTAGAGTTTACAATGATATTAACCTATAACGAAAAGCAAGTACGAACAAAAACGCGTGAGTGACAGACGATATGACGCTACATACTTACTATTTAACTGTGCATATATGTATATAATACTCATTGTTTGGTATTGACATATACTATATATGCATATTCAGTCTTAGAGTAAGAGGTATTGTGTAAGAAATCGTTAATCGTAGGAAAACGATGAACACCTTGAGATGCAGGCTCTAATAATTGTTATTATTGTAGTCCAAGAATCTCTCATCATCGTAGAGAACATCTGTGAGATGTCATACTTATTCTTTCAGCTCTTATTAATACTGCTATCATTATTATTATTATTATTATTATTATTATTATTATTATTATTATTATTATTATTATTATTATTATTATTAATAAAAACCCACCTCAACTTACTTCTTACTTCTCCTCGTTCTTGTTTTCGTAAATGAGATAACTTTTTGTAATACTGTTTTTCGCCAAAATAATATTCATGTTGTGATCGTGTATCCTCAGTTTTTATAGATCATCACTCAGTCTGCATATTCATGGAAACTATGTGTACCATGTATAGGCCAAATAGCACTTAAACCTTAATTGTTTTTAGATGGTACGGACGATCGAAAGTCTATATTAAAATTCTGTGTAGATATACTTAAATACGTAGTTGTTCAGATGACTCTTTTGTACAGAATACAAGTGCACATTCAAAAGGAAAACGCCTCGGAGAGAAAATTATTTATTGTTGATTAAGTAGTCGTGTAAATAAGAGGACACATGTTGAGCCAGGTTGTCATTCTACCTCTTAAAATTGACACCTAGCAAATACATATAAAACACACCCAAGACCATTGAACGCGTAGAGCGTGTGTTTAAAAGAAGTGCCATCCATTTGCTATGAAACACAATTATTTCGCGCGTGATCACATAGTATGTCATTCGCAATTGCGGGTCGACTTGTCATTTTCCACGGAGCGCAAACCTCGCAAAATTAAAATATCTTTTGAGGAATGGTTCTCTACCTTGGATCCGATAAATTTTTTCAAATATCCACTTTGAAATGAAAAAAGAATACGTCATAAGCTGCATGATATCTGTGGTTTAGATGATACTAAATTCTTGTGCGTGATAAGTTCAACTCTACTTTTTTCATTTGCGATGAATTGGTCTTATTTGAATAGATTCCGTAACAATTGCTGTGAAGCTATTTTTTATAAAATTTTTTTTATCTTGTGATCGTGAGTGTGAAATGTCATAAAGCTAAACATCCTACTAAAAAATAAAAACGTGTATACATCACGAAGATCATATTAATGTGTATAATATATTTATAGTTCAGGCTATACAAATGAACTTCTTTAAAGTCTACATTTGAGTGGTATTTGTGCCTCGAAAGAATTATCATTAACTTTTTTACGTAGCGCTCCGCTCTTACGGAAGAAATCATTTGATACTGCAATTTTAATTGGCCATGTAGTTTTTGGGTGATGAGAAGCCTAATGGATTGCACTTTTTGTCGGATATATAAACCAATTGAGAAACGAAAACGGCAGCGGCGAGTAACGAAAAAAATTCTACTTTTGGCCGCATTTTTCAGTCGGTGGTATTTGTCGAGTACATATTGCTAAAATCGATCGTGAAAATAAGTGTGGTATGTTCACTCTGCTCGTAAAGTGCACTAAAGAAGTAGTTGATCAACATTATATATTTTGTTGAATTTAGACGTCTGTATAAAAGGTAGTGATGTGGCGTTAATCATCCACTGACGAAACTTGACGAGACTGTTACCAATAAGTCCGTTGAAAATGGCAGTTATTGTAATGGCTCCTAACTAATGGCAAAGTTCTATTATTTCACTTGTGATGTCAATTGAGCAATAATGTTTTTTACTCGAACGCTTGAAGCTTGTACGAAATTTTTTTTGTCCGAAGCACTTTGTAACAATCTACGAGGTTTTAAAAACGCGGCTATTGCTTTCCACTTAAAAATGAAAGAAAAAGATCGAGAGTTAATATTCGAAAAATGGCTGCCATCGTTCGACCGACTGTATATAGAAGAGCACCATTTATCGTGGCTTCGTCTAGTAATCCTTCTTTGTGCATCCTAGTGTGAACGTGAGGTTTTACGGATTGATTGCTTTTTCACTTTTTCTTTTCTTTTTATTGTATAGATTACCGATATATTAGATGAGACTCGCTCTATAGACGACGTGTTAGTTCACACTTATAACCATATAAATATATACGTAGGTGCATGCGGACGACACCTATATGTCATATCTACTCGTCATTGTTATACCGTGGCCAATTTTTTTACAACAACACGTTTGCCACGTATTTTGTATATTCGAAACATCAAATAGATAATGTCGTTCAGTCATGTTCATGCGATTACCATAAATGACAAAATGTTCGGTTAATCGCAATGGGCGTGCTGCATTATCAATTAATTAACATAACACACATATTCTATATTTATATTTACAATGATTTTTTTAAGAAAAAAAGGAAAAGATAAGAAATTAAAAATATGATACGTGTTTTCATCGCATGACGCTCGAAATGTAGAGGAATACAAATGACGGCGAGAGCAACGACAATGGTAACGCGAGATAGTATCAGGAAATAAGCAGCTATTGCACGACTTTTACTGCCTGCACTTGGCTTAATATTTTTGAATATGTTCCTTGCTCATAAACTTATACTACGCCTTATTTAAATGATTGCACTAGCATACCGAAAAGATGATTAAACATAGCCCAACGAATTCTTTCAAACTGCTTTTCTGTTTTGATGTTTTATGTGTTTGCACGCTCCGACGTTTTCTGCATGCGCATCGTGTATTTTTCAAATGTATGTCTGATATTCCCTCAAATTTCTCCTTCGACTTATTGCCGTTATATGCTATAGTTCACCAAGATTTTTTTGATGCGGCTGAGAAAAGTCCGATGTACATATATCTCGAAATATTTTTGCATCGACGTTCAATCGAGATTCGACGAGAGCTTCACCTTGAACGTTTGATCAAATATTTTCTGATCGTCGCGTGTAACACGGTGAAAACTAAGCTATAGCGGCTAAACATTTGTTTATACTGGATTGGCCCCATATTAAAATGTATAAGCCTGTCATTGAAATAATGAATACATTTGTTTAAATTGATGATAAAAGTTTCTCTTTTTCGTTTGTTTTCTTTACGAACAATACTGCAATTTTATAGCAATGATAATAAATATTTGATTTGATGATAAAAGCTGCTTCCTTAAATGCACAATGATAAATACTATCTTTAAGCCAATTGTAAATACGTTCTGAATTTTGAAAGTGTATAGTAGTGGAGATATAAGTATTTGGGTTTAGTAGTCTCACCCTAAACTGTAAAGACATCTATTTATTGAGTTTGCTCCCGAAACGTAATGTCTCATGGTCTTATCGAGTTTTCTGTGAGCATCTTTGGTCGTAAAGTAGAATTTGGAGTGGAGGCGGATTATTTGATCGAATATCTGTCTCTCTCCAAAGCAATATAAAGTTTGAAAGGCTTCGTTTAGTATTGATCTTATGACGAGAAATAAGCGCGCTTGGGAAGTGACAAGTGGCCTTGCCTTTGCGATGATTTTCCGAAAAATAAAAAAAAAATGAAGCGCGATACAGCTGACGAGTAACGGAGCGAGATCGAGACCGCTGCGCAAGTTCAGTTTCGCGGAGAGCGAAGCCGGAAAGGCTTGTGCCTCGATCTCTCGCTGCCAGTCGAAGCCTCGCTGGCTGGCGTGCACATCAATCCGCGCCGGAGAGAGATGTCTTTTCAGCTGAGAAGACGTGCACGCTCGCTCGCAGCAGCTTTCCGGACAATATCGGTTTTTCAAATTGCTTTGAGACACGCTGACGTCTGCAGCTCAAGTCCAGGGACGCGCGACCAAGTCTTTTCTCAAGTCTCGAGCTACTTTAGCCGCAGTCGCGCCTTCTCAAATGTTACAATATATACCTTTAAGCGTCTTTGCTGCAGATTATCCGAATATATATACATATATATGTACGTATACATCAGTCGACGGTACATCAGAGCAGCACTCGACGTCATTATTTCAATTATTCTAAGTGGAAACAATGATAACTTCCGAGACTTGCCAAGTAGAAGGAGCCGTTAAGCCGTGAAAAATTATCTGGCAATGATAAGGTTTAAGGTAACAGTGTGCACGTGCGCAGCGCGAATTTCATTCTCTGACGACGCGTATTCGAAGCGAACGGAGCTCGAAAAGCCGATATTATGGGAAGCGGCCTAGGGGGCGAAGCCGACAGGAAGAAGTAGGCAAGCTGAGCGCCGGGACATACATAATCGTAAAGCGTTGATTGCGATGCGTCAGACAGAGCCGGCGCGCGGCAGAGTCGTCAAATTTACGAGTGGCGCAGATGTATATCTCGAGACCCGGTGGCCCCCGGGCTCGAAAGTAGGTTAGAGCGCCCAAAAGGTTTACGCTCGCTACAGCCCTCTGCCTGCCACGTGCGCGAGGGTGCGCGAGCGCGCGCGCGCGCGCGAACGAGGCGGATTTTCGGCCAATCACGCGTGTGGTCAATCCCACGCGAGCTTTCAATTAATCGATCGAGCAAATGAGAATGAGAGTGGAATGAGGCGGCGATGGAGAGAGCGAAAGAGAGAGACAGCGGTGGTATATATCGTTCTTCTGCAACACACAGCAGCAAGCGGGAAACGAGGAGCGAGGATGGAAGGGCTTCAGGCTCAAGCGACAGTCCAGCAAGGCCGATCTCAAGATTAAGAGCGCCGGCGGTAGTCTCGCCACCACGCCGACGCCTACCTCCCAAGATTTGGTACTTGTTTTTTTTTCTCTTTGCCCTTTCTCCTTGTTTCGTGCTCTACTCTCTTTCTCTCTTCGTTCGTTTTTCTTTTGCTGTATCTATCCTCGCTCGATCCACCCCCCCCCCCCCCCCCACCTCCAGCTGTTACCCTCGATTCTTTTTTCCAGTGTTTCACCTCATCTACTCTTCGATACGTATGTGTATATAAATGTGTTCTCTCCGCCTTTTTGCCAATTCTTCCACCCCCTTCTCATTCCAGTTCGTGTGTTCCACAGCATTTTTGCGAGACTCCAGGGGGATGCGTGATTCACCCACATCCCTTTTCACTGTAGCCCTCCCGCCCGCCCTCTTCTCTATGTACTTTTCTCCAAAGCTTGCCTGAGTTAACGTAAAGAACGAACAACCTGGTGAAAAAGTTTCTCTCTATTGTGTTTGGTCTTTTCCAACACGGACACTTCCGGCTTACAATCAGGGATTTGGGATTTGGCTTTTGCCAGCTTTAAAGAGCGCGCGGCTCCGTTAACTTTCCACAATGGACACGCTGTCTTTTAAAAGCTGGCAGCCGCGAAAATCGCCGGCGCCGCAAGCCTTCGATTGAACGTAGTATTTATATAATAAGCCAATTCATTCACGTCAAAGCTCACTCAAAACGTCGTTGCCACTTGCCCGTTTCTACGTACTTCAAAATCAATCCACAAATTTGTACAGATGCTTCGATAAAGCGTGAAACGATCCATTTTCTCGTTTGTTCGTCTCCTCCCAATCGAACGAGGTGGAACATGCATTTATCCCGATCGTAAATTACCTTGACGCACAGAAAAACACACGTCCAGACACACTACATAAAACACTACATCGATGATGAAAGTCCGGGGGAAATATTTTTCACCAGGATCCTCTGTGTGGATTTTTTTCATTGATGGTTTTTAGCTACTGAGTGTAACCTAATAGTGTTGATCGAAAAGTCTTTTCAATAGGTGTATGTGCAAACGTTGTTGAAAAGGGCTTTCGAGAAGAATGCACACGCTAAATGAAAAAAAAAAAGTTTTAACAAAGTAGAGTAGAACCAGCATAGAACTAATCTGTCGACTCTTCGCAGCTATCTCTTTTCCTAATAACGTGTTTGTTTTTTTTTCCATTGCCATCGCTCTGTAAACAGTTAACGAAAGAGAAAAGCTCATTGCCCGATTCTCATTTCAATACATCGAACATGGTCGATGAATAACTCATATTAACATCTCTCCTTCATGACTTACTAGTTGTTTGAATTGCTGTGTTGCTGAGTTGTGTAAGGTCTGTTATAAAGCAAGCCCGCATACATGTGTGTAATGATTCTCGTTAAGCAAGACTAGCAGTGATCGAAAGGAAAAGTAGCTCGAGTGAGAAAGCGTTGATACATAGTTGATACATATAAAAGTGAAAAAAGAATAGAAAAGCGTAGATGCGCGCAAAAGTCAGCGAGACTCGCGCGGCGCGCGATCATAGAAAGCGTTGATCAGTATGGTCACTGTGTGCACAGCAGCAGTCGCAGTCGCAGCAGCATCAGCAGCAGCATCATGCGTCGAGCGATAACCACCCAAGGACGTTGTCCCCAGTGCAAAGCGTAGACGTTGAGTCGCCGCAATCCCCCGAGTGTCCCACAGTGTCGAGTTCGTCGTCTCAAGTGCCGAGGGTGCCGGAGCCCGGCACTCGAGCCTCGGATTTCGCGTGCCAACAGCGCGACACCAGCAATCTGACGGCCGCGGCGCCGCCCGCGAGGCCGAGTCGCAGCAAGGAGGAGCGGCCGACCAACCTGGCTCTCGACGCTGCGCCCCCGCCCCCGAAACCCCCACTCAGATTCAAACTCGTGGTAAAGAGCCTGCAGGCGATGCGCGCCGAAGGCAGACTCTCCGCGTCCAACTCCAAGTGCCAAAAGAACAGCAGCAGCGAGGACTCGAGCACGGGGGCCGCTCAGGCTGTCAACGCCTCCTCCAAGCATCACCAGTCCAAGCACCAAGACGATCAGGGGGGAGCCAATTTTCTCAGAAGATTCAGTAAGTTGATCCATAAAACACCATTAGAATCGCAGTTATATACCGCATAACTAAAACAAACATACACATACGCATATATATTACTATCAGTTAGTGGACGTGCCATGTATTTCATTGATATCTATTGGTTGATTATTAACTTAACATAATACGTATGTGCATAATAGATACATATTGTCATTATATATTACCAACGATTATTACAAACTTACACATCTTTCGTACTTACTTCTATTATTATCGTCACATTATGTATATCTATTGGTACACATACAACAGTATGTTCACATACTTTGACTTACGCTTTTTGATATATACTTACTCGATCATATTCCATCAATCGCGTTTACATAAAACGCCTCAAGAGCGATATGATATCACCTATATAATACATCTGGAACAGTATGATACTAATGGTCACTATATATCTGCTTGCTTGTTTACAACGTATATATCACGATTTTAATCGGGATTTTGTTGTTCTCTTGATTGTCATATGGCCATACTTTTTACCAAGACTTGTGTCTGCTTGTTGAAAATCATCGCAAAGGTTGTTGTACACAGAATCACCAAATTATCCAAAAAAGTACGCTGAACTTGTACGATCATGCTGAGAAACATTAATACAATATATATTTATATATGTACATGTACATATATATTCAACGTCGACGATCATTATATATTTGGACGTTTTTACTTGGTGAATATTTGTGATAGAGTCGCATGCTGTAGCATACATATAAAAACTCTCCGTTGTATCGAATGTATACAATGTCGTCTGTTTTTTCCGTTTTTTTTTCTTTTTTTATCTCGTTTGTTCAGCCACCACTCAAAATATACCTTCGACTGAAAGGTACATACATAGTTGCGCGAGAGCACCGTGGTGTAATTTGGTCGTGGCAACCGAGCTACGTAAATCGAGTTTTGTGTGTGTGCGTGTGTGTATATTATTTGGAGATGGATTACTTGGCTGGCTTTTCGGGGCTTTGCTCGATAAATTTCCGCGTGGGCGCACATTAACACACTAGCACACACAAATATGCGGGTGGGGGGGGGGGGGGGGGGGGATTTGCAGCTTTCGCTCGTGGCCGCACAGCAGAGCACCACCGGCCTTGACCTTCGCTCCGTTTCTCATTACGCATACATACACACTAACAGGCGCCCCCATACAAACACGCCATTAGCCCGAAACACGAGCGCACCGGGACATCTGATCACGCGTCGATAACTTATCGCTTCTCGCACATATTTATACGGCTCAACCGAAGCAAAAAAATTTATATATATATATATATATATATATATATATTTTTTTTTTTCGAGTTCTATGAATGATTCGTTCTTTTGTTTTTCATACACACCTTTACTTATACTAATGTTGTTACGATCACGATTCGTCACGCATTCGTGATGTGTTGTTATATTCCCTTATGTAACCCCCGTTGTTATAACGTATACTATCTATTTCTTTATCTCTTTCGCAACTGTTTTTTTTATTATTACTATTGTGTGTCTATCGATGTATTATTTTTTTTTGTTATTTGGTCAATGTTTATTACTTTGTGAGAAAGAACAAGACAAAGAAAGAGAAAATAACGATAACGAGAACGAGATAAAAAGGCCTAGGATGCTCGTAGATATACATTGATGTGGCAGTATGCGTGTATCTGTGTGTATGTATAATTTTGAAGTAGGATACTGGAGGGCATTTAACGAGAGCACATAAATCTCAGGGGCCGGGCCATCAAGTCGATCGGCGAGAAAACGAGCTGCTGCTGCTGCTGCTGCTGCTGCTGCTGTTGTATGGGACGGATGATTTGTGTGTATGTGTTGCTTGTGTGTGCATAGGGCGAGGGGTGGCAAGGGCGAGGAAGCAGCTCGTTGAAACGATTGAATTTTCGATCGTACGTATTCACAAGCTCGCCGGTGATGGCCTCGCTAAAGAGATTGTTGCCGTGGCGACAGCCAGCGGCGGGACATGATAATTACGCTGCAATCTCCTTTGCGGAGGAAGCGACCTTTTTTGGAGAGGGGGGCATATAAACAAACACGTTGATGATGATTATACGATGAAAAACTCTTTGCAAGTGATTGTTATTGTTATTGAAATTGCAGTTTTGTTCCTCAATCCAATCACGTGGGGGATGCATGGTGTCTTTACGTGGTTTTGGTTATGTGGAAATTGTCTCAAGAGTTCGTATTATCAATCTTTTTCATTTTTCCGTTCTGTTCGTTATAATTAATGTTTTGGTTATTAGCCAGAGCTTTGTTAGCATTGCTGTTGCCTTATAATTTGTAGTATTAGCACTCTTACGATTCTATTCAGTTGACGATTATATTGAATTATATTTCTTTTCTTTCTTTTTTGGATGAGCTACATACTTGCGTTTTAAAACGACGAGCAAACATTTTTTTTTCTTTTGCGTTACGTAGCACTGTCGAGGCGTAGTTGTGTTACTTTGACTGGGCAACAGCTGTTTCTGTTTATTTGACTCGATATGATTTTAATCTTTCTTTATTTCAATTCAATCGCGTTGTTTCGTTTGCGTTTTTACACCAAAATTTTGATTGCTGAATGTATTTATGAAAATAAGCTCGTTCTGATAATTCGATCGCCAGAACATATTTTTGGTCGCACCAGGTGCAGAGTCTAATATATTAGTCAGTCGTTGTTTTGTTCGTGAAAGCGTGAAAGAGTAGAGGGTGCCGCTTGTCACGAAAAAGCGGTTTCTAATGAAACCTGCTTTGAAAATAACAATCAGTGATAAAAACGTACATCGTGTCAAGGTTCACTGTTCTAATGATCAACTGCACCTGTTTTTGACCTTTCGCAGTAACGAAATAACAAATAAAGAATATGTTTAATTAGGTGAAAAGCGATAAAATAAAAAAATCTTCTGCAACAAGTTCAGTCGAAAGTTATATGGAAAAGTACGGAATGCTATATCACTATTATGAAAGCCTTGCGAAAGGTCTATGAGAAGAGAATTGTTTACTTGAACCATTTTTCAGGTTCAATTCAATTTCGCAGTCTCGACAGACAGCAAACAAGATTCAGGTAAAAAAAAAAAAACAGTTTCCTGGTGCTTTGTTCAAATTTCTTTTTTCGAAAGCAGAGTACCATGAGCGATGAAAATATTCTATATATTCTTTTTATCATATTAACGATCCCAATGGTACTTTGTTCAATACTTTCTGTTTATAATTTCTATTCTCATGTAAATTTCATCCAAAAATGCTAAAAATAACGATGAATTCTACGAGAACCAAAGAATTTGTACAAATAAAATCTGCCGAAAGCCTCCTGTATATTTTTCCATCACCAGCATCGTAATACTGATAGCTATTTCACGAACCATATAGGTAGTTCTTAGCCCAACCCATTTATACTTAAAAGTATTTACATAGTTACAAAGAGCACACTTATCTGTTGACATGTAAGCACATCATGAAAGTCCTACATTAGTCTGTGTAAAATGAAAACTGACACATACATAGTTTTGATGAGGAATGTCAACCATAGAGAAAACTCGAACTCAGCTGTAAATGAACCGAATGGAATGTACTGACTGTTATACGAGACTCTGCACAAGAGAGCGACATTGTAATTAATTCACTTGTAAATTTTAGCCGCGCAGGTCGGAGATGAAACTGAGAAACTTTTAGACGAAAGTAGAAGCATTAAACAACACATCTCAGCTTCCTTTTACGCTCTTTTTTGAGACGTATGCATTCACATAGCATTGATGGTTATATGTGTGGTGTAACCTCAAGAGCTTTTTTGGATTATATATATCGTGCAGCGTTGCAGCAATTGCCATGTGCCAGCGTCACGCTTGTTGAATTTCCGATGTGGCGAGTGAAAAAGGAAAACACCGAGGTGATCGGATATATAATCCACAAAGGCGTTTATTTTTAGAGATCTTTGAAGAACTATAACTTACTTTCTATCTATCTATTATCTATCTCTCTCTCCTCTTGTACAATCGACTGAAAGTGCTACAGAATGTAAAAGAATGATAGAGCTCGTAAAGAATTGCCTGCTAGAACAAGTTCATTTGAACAGATGCACGCTTCTGTACACGAAAATCTTATTTTACGGATGAAAAGCCCTTTACCCCGATCCCTGCCACATTATTGCTCTGACCCCCCCCCCCCCCCCCCCCAAAGAGCGAATCGAAAAAGAATCCTCAAAGCATACAAAGATTGTATGAAGAATAACGCACGAGAGCATGTGAAAACACTATACTTTTCTAATAACAAATCAAAGGCTCAAGGATCGAGTATTATCGATAAGACGCACTGGACAGGGTGAAAGACAGAGTGCAAAAGTTGTGAAGGCAGACAAAAAGAAAAAAAAAGAAAAAGCGGGCCGACGAACGCGAAAAGTTGCACCGACCGACGAGCGATACGAGCAGAAGCAAGCGCGTTTATTGGTGGCAACGAGTTAAGCGCGAGCGCGCGCCGCTCGAGGGGCCTTGAAAAACGCAAGCGGCAGCTCTCATTAGAAAAGCTACAGCGAAAGAGAGAGAGAGAGAGAGAAGTCTTGAGGGATCGCGCGCAGAGTTGACGAAGCGGCGAAGAAGGCACTGGTTAACAATCTTTTCCCGACACGTGCTGCAATACCGCCACGCCTCGGAAAGAGAGAGGGAGAGAGAGAGAGAGCTAATGACACACGAGGGCTCTCCAGGGATTCCCTAATGCCGAGCTCGAGCGAACACTGAAGAAAAAAGCAACAGCACTCGCCTCTATCTATAAATAACGATGAAATACAATTCACGCGAGACTCGGTCAGCTTCTTTCTTCCCTCGGATGTAGCCTTTTTGTTAAAGCTTTCTCTCTCTCTCTCTCTCTCTCTCTCTCTCTCTCTCTCCTGTCTGATCGATATGCAGTGCCGCGGCACTCTATATAAGCGTCAACCGCGTCTCCGAGGAGCGCGAGCTTTGTTCTTCTGCTGCGGTGCTTTGTTCGACTGCCAACTTACTCAAGTTAATCTTAGCTGCTTTCACTCAGGACAGGCCGTTTTATTAAGGACAGACGCGATAATCTTAATAGGTGCGTGCCCTTGGCTGTTGTATAACTTGCTGCTTGGTCAACGAGATGTGTATGTCCGAAGAGATGGGAGAAAAATCGATTGTCTTTCAATCGTACTGAGCATGTAATTACTCAAAGAGCTTTAGGGAGGGCAAACAAAGAAAAGGATAGAGCGATATATGTCTGTGATGAAGACACGTAAGCGCCGAGGCTTGGCTCTTGTACTCTTCCACGGCATCCATTTCTGTCCGGAAAACATGCCTGGTCCGCGAAATCGCAAAAACTAGCACAACTCCCATGGCAATTTTCAAGGCAAACCCTATCCGTCTTTTTCTACGTCTGTCGCTATTCTCTGTTCTGTCTCTGATTCTGAAATTGCGACGAGCTACCGAAAGCGAAAGATTGGCTGCGTGGCAATGAGCAGAGAGCTGGCGAATGAGTGTCAGGAGCAAGATTTGGCTGGTTTGTAGATGAACGGGCAGTGCGTCTCGCCGACGGCTCAGCAGCGCAGCGCCGGTGGCGGGGAGTCCACGGACGGCGACGGCGGAGGCGAGGTGGGCGCGGCCGAGGACGAGGGCAGCAGCAGCAGCGGCGGCGAGAAGAGCCCGTTCGGCCAGGCGGCCAGCTCGCTATTCCGCCGGTCGACCGCCGCCGAGTCGTCGGTGTCGTCTGGCGGTGGTGGCGGCGGCGGCTTGTCGTCGCGTGGCGGTCGCAGCCAAGGTATACGCAAATTGCAGAAGTGTCTGAGCACCTCGGTCAGCCACTACGGCGAGGCCGAATCCTCCACGGCTTCTTCGGGACACTTCCCGCTCCACGCTCAGCGCAGCGTTGACGTCCGCGGCTACGCACCCCCGACTACACAAGCTGGTGTCGTCTTCTCGCAGGCTTCTCTGACTACCCCGTATAACCTCACCAGACAGTATAGCAGCTTTGGTAGTATTAACTACGTTAACTTATTAACAACAAAGCAATCTATCTCTCTCTACTTCACTATCCACCCTGTACTCTCTCTCTCTCTCTCTCTCTCCCTCTCTCTCTTTCTTTCTCTCTTCACCATTCCTCTTCATTAACGTTTCTACACTACGGATCTACCATTCATCGTTGACCTTTATCACTCTTAGAAGTTAACCGTAGTACTCTTTTACTCTTCACAACGTCATGTCTCGTACTATAACTTTCGTTATATCCTCTATAGATATATTGTATATATTACCGAGCATCAACTTTTCTCGTAAACTATTTTCAATCGAATGATTACTTCCTCGATGTTTCCGATGAGTTTTGTGTGATTAATGATTATTCGATACAACGTGTGTTTCCTGTTTAATCTTTAATTCTGTAACAATCTGCGTATCATAGTTCTCACACCTTCTTTTACAATGGATGTGCAACTTCAATACCCGAAATTCTGACAAATTATTTCACTATTTTCAACTTCCTCGCACTACAAAATGCAATCCAATAATATACAAAATATTCTCGAAGAAAAAATAATAATCACTTACTTGTTAGCAACTGTGCCGATGATAATGACTGTCTCGTCTGCATAGTGTACATACAGAAAAACACACACCTATACACGCAAGCTATTGTGCGATCGAGAGGTATATTCCGAGATGAAACCCTCCTCACATTTGTAGTCAGCTCTCTGTCTGTCTCTCCTATTTCTTAGAGAAAAACACACTTTCTCCGTTCTTTTTACTCGAAACAATGCTTTGTAGCGAGTCTTAGAGGTATATAGTGTATTAATAACACTTCGCCGACATTGTACTGAAGAGAGTAAAAAGAAAAGAAAAACATGAAGTTTTTGATATACATGCGAATGACAGTGCGTGACTTGATCTTGCTTGTATTTATGATAGCCTTGCTTTTCTCTCTCTGCTCTATGACGCTCTTTATGCTCTTGATGATGACAACCTCAAGGTAAGCTTTTAATGTATCTGTGCGATCATTCTCCTTTCAGAATTATGTGTTTTTAAAGTACTTTCTATAATAAATGTAAATGAATGATAAAATTATAATTTAAAAAGATTTATAACACTGTGCACATGATTTTATAATTATCACTTGAAGCAAATGACGTATGCCTAGAAACTTGTATTGTATTCAGAGGTACTGTGATGTCTTCTTGGAGAAACTTGACATTTGCTTGTTACGAGTTTATGATAATATTTTCAAAGTTATAAAATCATTGCACTTAAACTATTAAAATAAAAGCTACTTAAACCAATGTTTTAAACTATAAAAAATGTACTAATCTATGTAAATGCAAAGTCAAGTTCACCACTGTCAATCGTGAAGATTGAAAACGAAGAAATGCAATGCTAATCTATAATAAAAGTAGGATTAATAGATATTAACTAAATACTGTCTGGTTAGCGTCTATGCGATAAATAAAAAAAGGAATGATCGGCAATTGCATCTCCTGGCTCACGTGCGTGCACTTGCTCTTTTTTTCTGCCTTGATCATATAATTATAATACCTATATACAAGCTCTCTTCTTCTGTTTGCCTTTAAATTACCTAATGTAATCTCTGTGCGTTTGTTCACTTGTTTGCGTTAGACGTTCCAATTACACTACTGTTTAGTTGTGTGAACTTTGAAATGGAATACACAGTAAAAAAAGGAAAGTGATTTAAATAAAAAAGAACATCCAAAAATATATAATTAAACAATGCTTGATAAAACAAAACATGCAATTGTTTACTGTTAATGATGAAAGTGCACTACTTTCCATGGGTTACCCTTTTCAGGTGACTCATCCTATTTCTATTTTATATAATGTCGCACATTCAATGGAATATATATTATTCTGAGTTTTTTTGTCTGTTCTAGCAACTTTTCACCTCTGCTTACACTGTCTCGAATTAATACTGCTTTCAATATTGAGTTCGGTTTGAGACATGATTACATGTGTGTATTCTGCTCGTGATAACTTGACAAGAGAATCTTTGATGAACCCTTTAAAATGTAATATTAAAAATCGGACAGTAAGTAATAATTGGAAGGAGGGTGAATGAAATATTCTGGTCTTTTTAGAAAGGAGAAACGTGATTCGCGCTAAAGATGAGGTTGTTGATTATAAACATAATATATCGAAAAGTAGTTTATAGTGCTATAAATGTAAGAAAAAATAATTGGAGGAGTGCTTGCAATTAGATAGCTATACGTTACTTGTAAATATAAAAAAATATGTACATAAAAGCTTCATTTGTGCAGCTTCTTAAAATTTGAGCGGTACTGTAGGAAAACCATGCTATTGTGAAATTTGATATTTATTTGGTGCCTCGTGACTGATCGTAGAGTTGTTCAATTGAAACGATTAATGTTTGTTGGATAAAATGCAAAGGGAAAAGTCCATAAAAATCGAGCGTCGAGTTTGTAGTCGAGTCGAATAATTTAATGAAATTTTTTATTTTTTATTGACAAGCTATCGTAATTAGACCTCGTTTTTATACCATGAAATAATAATTTCCACCAATACGAGAATCGCCAATCGAATGTGTGAACGTTGATTGGCAATTAAAATAATTTAAGCGATAACTTGCGTGAAAGTGTACAGGATTTAAAAGGTTCGTTAAATCGGTCTATTCGATCCGGAAGCGTAAGCATTACTCGATGATGTAGTATGAAAAAAATATATATAATTGTGTTGAAGTTTGAAAGAGTTTTTTATGAAATGTATACTACGTTCTTGTTTATTACTCTTGTTATATTGTTGTTGTTGGGTTTGTCATTGTACAATTTATTACTGCACTGTCAGTATTATGAAACAAAAAATCTTATATATATATCACTATATATCTCTCTCTCTCTCTCTCTATATATATATATATATATATATATATATATATATATATAAATTATTGTTGCTACGTTAGACGTTCTTTTTTGAAAAAAACTTTCTATATATAAAAAAATTATCTATGACTTCTCTTCATGCATGCTTCAGTAGAATGAGTTCCAGAAATCAACGCAGCAAAGTGCTCCATTTCAACAATTAATCGATTGCTTCCAATTTCTTTTACAAATGCTGGCCGTATAGACAAACTCGACAGTTCGTTCCAACGATCGCGCAGTTCGAGTATGTCCTCGCTGGAAAACATTGCCACTGAAACCGTCAGCTGCCTTACTTTTGCCGATTCCTACACGAAAAAGAGCGGTAAGCGGAGCGCGGTTTGCCTTCCCGATGGCGAACGTCGCGACAAGATAAATTAAAAATTAAAATTACGTATCTATGCATCGACAGATTCCAATGCCTTACCGACTTTATGGATTGGCACGTCTTCGGGTTCCGTACAGACTATTGTTTTTAACACACCTGCCTCTGGCGACAGACACGCACAGCCTGTGATTATCTCTAGTTGTAGTAAGTAGCAATGGTCGAAGCGAAATCATGTAAACGTTAGCGCGAACTCATCATTTTAATGGCGCGCAGATGGCTCTACGTTTAAACTGAAAGGATGTATTTTAACGATGTCCTTCTTGGACTGCAACGGGGCCCTGATTCCTTACTCCTACGAATCTTGGAAGGACGAGAACGCAGACGGGAAGGATCGCAATAGTAGGTTTACTTTTAATTAAAATCTCAATTACAGCAAACTGTTTATCCAGTGTTCTGCAGCGCTAATGCGCTTCGATGAATCGACAATTGTAAGCAGCAAACTAAACATTTGCATTGTTGATTAATGTCTCTATCGGAGGAAAAATGAAGCAGAGAGCGCGCGCGTAGTTATAACGAGGCGAACTGATCTGCGTTTTACAGAGAATCAAGGGAAATTTTCGAGTACACGGACCTCACCCTCGATCAATTCTCAAGGATCCGCAACGGACGGTTACGAGGATAGGCAATTTGTTGTGCTGACATCCGAGAAGCAGGCCAGAGTGGTTGCTCTTCCATCGCACAACTGTGTCTACAAACAACAGATAGGCGATGGCGGCAACGTCGTTAAAGCTGAAATAACGTCTATGAAAGGTAAAACCTTGACGTCTCAGGCAATCGGTCATCTCCAAATGCAGCTCCTTTGCTTCTCATACCTCGATTGGATTTAATAACGTAAGCTTGAACAATGCCATTGGACATTGAAAGAAAAAGAATCGTTGACAGTTTGGAAATCGATATTTCTGATCAAAACTATGTGTCTCGAATTGCGGCGTGGCGGGCGCGCTGTCATTCAAAGTCTAATCAAACTTTTGCTTGACCTCTTGCAGATAGCGTCTGCTTGGTTTGCTATGTCTCGAACGGTCACATATCTACCTTCAGTCTACCGAGTTTGAGGCCACTGATCGACGTGGATTTCGTACCAGTCGCCGATTTGAGGTAAGATTGGCCCAGCTGAATGCTGAAAAAAGGCCAACTCTGTAAATGACCATTTTACTTGAGTGTTTATCAAAATAATCCACTAATCACTATATCTGACGTATGCACAATTGTCTGGCATATTAATCTGATGGCGCACGATTTTTTACCGCAGTTCATTAATGCTTATTCTACAAATTACCTCTAAAAAAGGCTGAGATCAAGCATATCAATTCAATCAATTAAAAAAATATACATCCTATGTTTGTACATGCAAGTGTGCTAAAAAATCACGATCTAAAGCAATCAAAAGATAACCCATACGAGCTATTTCACACAAGATGCTTTACTTTTTTGTCCGTTTTATTAAAGTTCTGCCAGGTGAATGTTAGTTCACTTTCTTTTTATATCATTGGACTGATTTGACTGACACGAGCTTAGAAGCGCAAGAATTTTCCTTCTTTTGCGTATATATTTATTACACATTATGTTTCAACGCATCTCAGTCGATAGCGAATGTCATTTTTTAGAGCTCACATATTTACTATGTGTCGTTCGTTCGTATTTTTTTTCTTTCGATCAATAACAATACATTTTGCGCAACTTTTCTTTCAACTATTACGTAGATGTGAAAGTGACGCCTGAGTGATCAAATGATACGATCGATTCGGCATGTTTCAAGCGAATTTCTTCATTCTGGCATTCTTTAGTATGATTTTCTTTCTACAGACACACTTCATTCTGCACTAAATATTGTTTCTCTCTATATGGCTATTATAATATTGCAATGAAAAAGGCTCGAGGCATGTTCGATGTAGATGTTTCTTTTTCAATAGCACACTTTTTTGGCACAGTCTTTTCTTTCACGAGATTGTGTTCTCTATATTCAAGTCATTTCAATTGCAGTTTCAAATCTGTACTAACATAAAACAATCGCTCTCGAAATTGATAAAAATGGATTTTCACAAACTCATTTTATCCAAGAAAAACTCAGAAACATGCTTCATTTACGATCGAGATACACCACTGATATTCAACTCTCTTGTTTTTGTCACGGATCGTGTGTCGTGTCGAGTTATGAACAGCCGGTGGGAGAATCGATTCTTTGATCATTCAATATCCTCACAAAATAGTGCAAGTTACCAGACCACCACTCTAGTCCACGACAACACCGTGCAGATAAAGTGAAAGTCGAAAAATTGAACTTGTTTGCAATTTAAGAATCGCGCACCATGTTGCTGTCATTGTCCCTAGTCCTCCTGTCTCTGTAATCTCTAACAGTTTTCAGACTACTAAACACGGAATAGTAGACCCCATGTTGTCCATATGGGGTCATCAACTCTTTGTTAATGGCGATACTGATCAGTAAGTCGTCTACCAAAAATTCATTATCATCATAAATATGTAATAATAATATATAATGCCACTAGTAATTCCTTTGGACAACAAGTGAACACTGTAGCTAAATTGTCATTGGATCACCTCGCTTATCACCTCAGATTTGATAATTCTTTATTATTATTATTATTATTATTCTTATTATTATTATTATTATTATTATTATTATTATTATTATTATTATTATTATTATTATTATTATTATTTGAATTTCTGTTTCTCTCACTTATCTCTACTCTTTGTCTTTTCCCTCCCCCCCCCCCCTCTCTCTTTTTAACTCTATTTTGTTCTTTTTTCGAATAATATATTTAATCTTTCACGTTTTATTAGCACATCCTACGTAGATAAAGGCTATTAGCTGATTTATCATTTTTCCTTTTGGCTCCCCATTTGCACTCGTTTTATTTGTATAGAATAGTCGATGGTCTTTTCGCTTCGCAATACCAAATTTATTTAAATAAGAGATTAAAAGTTCACGAGTATATATACTTACTTATATAAACACCTATACGGGTGTTGAAGAGATGTTAGTTTGGACTTCTGAAGGACTTGCTAACTTTGTTTTCTTATTTTAGAATCTCCAGGACATTCTCCTTCAGTAATAGAGGCCACGGGCTCTACTTGTCGTCGCCAACTGAAATTCAAAAATTTACAGTTTCCAGCGAGTTTTGGTGAGCTTTAATCGTCTTTTTTTATTTAATAATTATTCTACACATAGACAAGATAAATAAGCTGCCTCTACTCAACTTTTTATTTCTTCTGCATAATACAAATAAGTTAAAAGTATAGCAACCTATTTGTCGAATTGATTCCTTATAATTAGATGCTGCATTTGATCAGAAGAATCCACTTGAGTACGCTTAGCAATTGAAAATGTAATCATATATTTTTTATTAAATTCTTTTGGATCTCTTGTTTTTCTCAATAATCATTTCAATTGCGATTGTTATTAGAAAAAAAAAACATGTAACGTGACGTCTACTACGAGCGTAAAAAAGCTCGAGCGAGTCTTTATTATCCGTCGTAAATAGCAATAGGAATAGCTGTTGTAGGTCATGTCTGACTAAACATTTCCTTATCATAAAGGACAATGCATACTTTTTCGCCTTTTGTTTTTCAAATCGATCGGCTGCTGCCTTTTTTTCTTTTGCACAATATCATTCGCAGCCAGGGTCGCAGCCAAATACCTTTCTGTATTGCAATCAATAAAAAGAGATAGGAAAAAAAGAGTCCATTGAATGAAGATTCTCCTTGCGTTGTGGATAATTAATGAAAAAAGTTGAGCGATGTTTTGTTCGCGACTTGTAAACCTCGTCGAAAAAGAAAACTGATCCTCGTGTGCTCCGGACTAATGAAGCAACGTGTTTTCTCCCTAGCGCCGAGTTGACGGAGATGATGGGAAATCTGTTCATCGGATTGGACATGCCCGAGCCCCCAAAGGAAGGATTCTTCAAGGGTCTGTTCGGTGGTGGCACTCGCAGCGTCGATCGCGAAGAACTCTGTGAGTACATAGTCGCTATACAGCTGTTTCTTTATCGCGCTTTCTTCGATCTGATGTGTAAGCAAGACAGCCCCACTCGACTGTTCAACATTTTGCTGAACTTCGTTCCTCGATGGAAAATATCCATTATCGTTCGCGTAATTTTTTTTTTTTGCTCACCCACGCTCACCAGACTAATCGCGGTTTCGTCGGTAATCGCGTTTGTGAACGAGTATCCGGAAAGTAAACGGAAGAAAATTCTCATGACAAATAGTTTTTTTATTAAAAAGTATACGCAAGGCACCGATTACACTCTGCTAACTCGACACGAATGTTGCTCCCGGCTATTTCTCTCCTATATTACTTTGCTGCGCTTTGTACCTCTCTTTGTACTACATTGTCCCAAGTTAATTTCAGGATTTTTTTTGCTCATCTCGTAGCAGACAAGAGCCCGAAGCCTATTCGCTATTCGTACATTTTTATTATAATTTTCCGCGTCTAATCAGTTCAACAAACATTTCATCGAGACAGATCAAGTTGCGAATTGAAAAGCATTCGAGATTCCCGACAGGCGTATCAGCATTTTCTCTCCGTCAAAAATTAACTCTCCAACACGATGAAACGCACAACAAGAGTGGATACACGAGCGCAAAGTTGCCGAGACAGGGAAATTAGCACACAAACAAACGCAATCAAGCGGCACTTTGGCGAAGCAGCAGTTAGCGCATAGAAACTAAAACGGGAATCGGGGCCTCGGGTCAAAGTTTTTGCCAAGTGTGAGTTTGACGTGCTATACGCTCGCGTATAGGCGAAAGCATAGCAGATGTCGCGAACTGTCGACGAAGAAAAAGCCATTTCTTCCATACATAAGCACACTCACGCACACCGAAGCGAACTTTTATCAGAGTCGCGTGAATATGACACTGCACGATATGTGTTGTTGTTTGCAGTTGGCGAAGCGAGCGGCAAGCCCTCGCGCAGTGTGGCCAATCGTATACCTGGACCTAATACTGAGGGACTCAGGGAGCGCGTCGGCACAGCAACCAGCGAGGTGAGATCAAGATTTTCTTTTTATTGTTCGTTCGATTGTCTTGCTCGCCGGCTGTTGGATGATTGAGAGTCGTAAGAGCTTTTGCGTGCTACCGCGAACGTACTTGGAAAAAATTATTTCTTCGTTTCCTATATACCTGGCTATAAAATTGGATGAAACTAAACAGTTAGAAAAGCTCTCCATCTTAACGTTATCCATTCACTAAATTCATAATAAACGAGCCACGGGCTTAAAAGCTGCTCCGAGCAGTACGTAATTAGCAAAAAGTAGTCGTGAAGCGTATTAATAGCGTTTGTTGCCGGACTCGCAGGTAGCGCAAGCTCATCAAATGGTGGTCGAACGTGGCGAAAAGTTATCGCAGTTGGAGGAGCGCACGCAGCGCATGATGAACGAGTCGGAGAACTTTGCCTCGTCGGCCCACTCGCTCATGCTCAAGTACAAGGACAGGAAGTGGTACCAGCTATGAGAGCGTCCGTCGCGCCGCCGACAAGGCTGTTGAACACGCACCGACATTGAAGAGGAGAAACCAACCAAACGACCATCGTGAACTATAGCATTCTACAGATCTGCAAGAACGGCATCTGTGCTGCTGCTGGTTGTATTCTCGTGCACCCGCGCGCGAAGTTCTGTTGCTGAGCGACGCCGAGAGAGGATTATAAACTAACGACGACGAGAGCCACACCAGACCCGACGTATAGCAACAACAACAACATGCGTCTATTATTCGACAGCTCGCGCGGCTTTCGGTCGACTACAGATTGTACATATTTCACTCGACTTCTATCATATCTCTCTCTCTCTCTCTCTCTCTCTCTCTCTCTCTCTCTCCCTCTCTCTCTCTCTCTCTCTCTCTCTCTCTCTCTCTATCTCTTCCTGTCTATCCCTCTAACCTTAGTTTCCTTTCTTAATATCACCAATCAAACCGCTGGACGTTTAGGAGCTCTCTCTCTCTCGCTCTCTCTTCCTCGACCTCTATGCATATTCAACTAACATTCTATAGCCCAACTTGCGACTACGTGATAAATTAGCTTAAGTTTTTGAATCCTTTACGCACATGACCTTCTTGAGACAATGATTTTAGAGAGGGATTAAGAAAGAGAGAGATGGGGAGAAAGGGTCTGCTGAAAGAGGTGGTTTCTTCAGTCTATGGTGCTCAATGTATCGAATATACTCCCCCTCTCCCACCCTTTCAGAAAGTGATAATACTTGTCAACGTTTACGCACATACATTACGATGCACTTCGTGAGCGTACGCGCGAGCGGTTATGGCACTGAAAGTGCGAATATTCCACGCTCAAGCTAAAGCTTTTTTTCTAAAAGACGACACACAAACATTAACAATGGGATAGACGACGATGGTTATTACTAAATGAGTCGAGCTAAAGAATTTTTAGAGGACACACATGTACGCATCAGCAGGCTGTAACTGTAAATTATACACAAAATCTTTCGCATGAACATGTTCTCATTATCGATTAGGAAATCTATATACACGTACACAGATACACATTGACACGCGCGCACATGCTATACCCCGCTACGTACTAATGTCGACGGCAGGAGTCCGGAGACAATTAACTATTATTACAAATAATCTTAAGGACATACAGGATATATGCATATAAACTTAGATATGGAAAGAAAAATTATATATATATATATATATATATATATATATGCGTATACATAATTTTAAATAATGAATAAAACTTAAATAAATAACATTTTGAGGGATGCGTGCGTGTATAAGAGTTTACTGATTGCTGAAAACGAACATGATTATAAGAACAGATGATTATTATTGTACGAGTCAATACGAAACTGAAAGCACACAATTTATCCGTTGTTTTTTTGATAAATCACCAACTTATAAAAAAATTAATAAGAAGAAAAACAAAGTATGTAAACTGTACTTTGCTTTGTACGCGTCAAATTTTTCGTTAAAAGAGGAATGTCGAGAGAAGATTTTTTGGGTACCGAGTATCTTAAAACGTAAAAAAGTTGCTTTTTCCATGCAAGTAAGGAAGAAACGCAAAACAGAATAATAATTATAAAACCTCGACCTCGCACAATAGCCGAGTCGCAGACTTTAAAACGCTATATCACTTTATAAAGAGGGAAAAGTAAATAATGAGCTAAGTAAAAGCAAAGCGTCACAAGAAAAAGGTGAGATAAATGTAGGCAGACAATACAGTTTGAAAGTTAAAATATTAGCTTGGGTAAAAAGAAATTCTTACTTTAATGTGGTAAAAACGTAAAAAAATATTATACACAAAGTAGTGGTACCTGCTTTCTTCTAATTATTATTATATAATTATTATTAATATTAATTACTACTTATACTTAATTATAAATATGCTTGCAAAGGCTAACCAAAAAAAGAGGATAAAAAAATGTCGAAAAAATGGCCTCAGCAGTGACGCTACTCCGAATGTATTGACAATAATCAACTTATGGCCAGCGTGCGCTTGTGGAAGAGCATTAACAAATGTCATTGCTGCTTCGGTCATAAATTTCAAGACACGATACGTTTGCGTTGTACATTTCGTTCGCGGTTATAATGTGAACTTAATGAAAAAAAAACGTAATTAGCAGAAAATGCGTATTGGAACATACCGTTTCACGAGAGCAACGTAACAAGTTACTGAATAAAATTTGAAAAAAAAAAAATGAATTCACATAATATAAAATCTAAAAAGTTGTAGTTACAGCTAGAAATGTTATGTATATATCGATTAAACAAACATAGTAGAGCCGGAACAGTACGTTACGCAAAAATTATAAAAAGAACTATTCAATTGAAAAAATATGTTGTAAGTTGCGCTACTTCAGCGTCTGTTGTAAATTCGATTGAATTCGCCGTGCGCATTTCTAATGTAAGAATGACTATGATGTTTTTAGTCCTGGGCATGCATGTCACATTAAAGACAATATATACATGTATTGTTGTAGAACAAACCTTAATGTTAATTAGACAGTTTTAAACGTTAATGGATATGACAAGATTATAGCCAAATGAAGAAGAATCAGTTTAAATTTTCTTTTTCGATAAAAATAGTAAAATATAATGTGATCCAATGATCGTAGCTTTGAAATGTTTGCTTGGAACGTTAAAATTGTTCATTTTCTAAAGTTTCGTTTTAACTTAAATTAAATATATATTTCTATTGGAACGATAAATAGGTTGAATATTTTTGAACTTTGTCACAGAATTGCAAAAGTCTCATTTTCGATATTTGATTTAAAAGTTTGATAAAAAATTCAATGCGGCATATATTATTGAGTATAATTTAAACAGTTTTTTCAAAACACTTTAAGCAACTAGTTTGTTGTAGACATGATGATTTGTACACAAATTTTCATATTTCTATAGTCGGTTATTTTACTATTTTTGACAATGTATATATCATAAGTAAACAACTGGTTGTGTATTGTTCAAAAGCAAAGATACTTATTTTTTTAACTCTTTTGAACATCATTATTTTCTGAATGATATTTTTCAAATCGAGGTAATAGAATACCTGTCGAGGGTAATGTTACTTTTAGAAGAAGGTTGATATTTCAGTTCCTAAAAAATCGAGATTCCTATTAAAATGATACATATGGTCACTGAAAACCATAGAAAAGAATTCAACCGAGTGTCCACGAGTGAAAATCTATTCTTAAATTAAAATTTTAATCCAAAGCTCCATAATTATGACTAAGTGAAAATTAATCGATTGTTGAGAGAAAAGAATATGTCCCACTTTTTCATGAATGGGATATGCTTCTTTCATTTATTTTTGCAAGCTAAACGTTTTACATTGTATTAATCAAAAAATTTAGTGCCGTTGATCGTAATCAGTCTTGTTTCTCGCTACTTTTATTTTGGAAAAAAAAGAAAAATAAACTCAATACAAAAAAAGAAGTTAGCTTAGATAAAGCATTAGCTTGTTGCAGGGATGTTTACGGTCGCTGAAAGTCTGGCGCACGTCGGGTTCGATTGGATTTACGGCGATCTTGAAACACCGTACTGCTTCCATAGCAATAACTGTATAGTCGATGTTAATGATCTAGACGTCACAAAAGAAAATCCAAATTCTCTATGTACACTCCCATCCCTTTTCCAATGATAAATTAATGATAATATACAAACAAAAAAAAAACTTGAACTATTAAGGATTTTTAAACAGTTAATTCAATGTTATGGTATAAATTTTCTTGAATAATATTCTATTCACTAAAACTTGTCCGTTTTAATTGTACAAAGTGAAGAAAAACATGATAAGAAAGAAAACAAACAAACAACATATAGTGAATTTTTCTGGTGTAAGTTTAAAATAGTACAAATTCGACGAGTTCATCATATCTTTGCATTTAGCGAAAGCGGAAAGAAACAAGTGTAAGAGCTAAGCGGACGTGATAATTAACTAGATGTGAATATCAAGCAGTAGGAGTTGTCAATGACGATTGTACAGAGTTAATATCGATAAAAACCGAAAGTGAACGATCAAATAAAGTACAGTTAACTAATTCAATAGTAATTAAGTCGAAAGTTGATAAACCTATCGTACACATAATCACACTTGAAGTTATATAAGAGAGGGACCGTTGATTGTGAACGAAGTAGTAGCAGCATTCACACGAGGAAACAAACAAAATAACAAGTATAATAAAAAATAAATGCGTAACGATGAGAGCTGAATGTATTTTTTTAAATATGTTGGCGCGCGGAGCACACGTTGGTTGTATATGAGGCGCCTAACATTTCTGTTCGTGATCACTATTGTAATCGATTGATCTCTTACGTCGCTGTACGTTACGTATATATAATTTCATCTTTTGATTGTACAAAAAGAAAACAAAAAAAAAAACAGATTAGGAGTGTCGGAGGTGACCAAGCCATATGTTGTACTAAGTATCAGGAAATACATAGTGAGAAAGCGACGTGATGAACAAGCACGATTATATGTGTGTGTGTGTATATATATATATATATATATATATATATATATATATACACAATCGTTCAGATGATATAATAAATCAGATAAAATAAATGATTACTAAGAGTAATTAAGAGGTATTACAGAGGATTACGGGGACACAAACTGAAACAAGAAGAAAACAAAAATATAAGAAAAAATTAATGAAGTATACATCACCTCGACAGAGATGAATTTCTATGCTCGCTCGCGGCGTCGCTTTAAATTTTACGTTCAATTATTCATAAATATATATAATAAGTATTAATAAAAATATTGTAAAAGGGCGAAAAGCGAATAATTGTCGCGCTTGGATTTTAATGTTGTGTATGTTGCGTTTGGGACGAGAGCCTTTTTCGTCTTCCCCCCCCCCCCCCTCTATCACTCATTCTGATGCGCGCATTAAGACAGATGTATTCGTATTTCGAGATAAATTACATTATTATCAAAATACGAAAATACGATTATTATTACCATTATCAGTAGAAGAAGAAATAATTATTATGGTTAATGAATTATTGTAAGAGATTATTGCTCTAGTTCCACAGAGTTTTCACTGTTACCAATCGGGAGTGCTAGTCAGACCGCTTCGCAGATTGTCACAGTGAAATTATTTATCAATGTTATTGTTTATCTGACATTTTCATTATTATTTCAAAGTTTAACGTCGTTTAACTGTATAAGTACTGCCTTGAAGACAGACTGTAACTTGGATCCGGATAATAAATGAGTTTAAAAGCATATCAATCTGTTAATTACATATTTAAGACCATTTCTTCTTTAGCTATATTAACAAACATGTTATTGTTTTCAAACTACGATTGAAATTAAAAAGGTTTTCAACAATTCCGAAATTTTTCCAGATTATTCTTTTGAACATGGTTTTAAGAGTACGATTACCGTTAATAGAAACGTTCATTTTATTTATTATCATTTGAATATTTTTATTTGAAAAGGAAAAGCCAACAGTAATTCTATAGAAGTATTCATAAAAAGTACTAACGACAGCTATTATATTGAGTGTTTTTTCTTTTTATGATTGTTTTATTTGGGTAAATATAAAATAAAATAGGACGAATTATTATCAAAATCACGTTATGCTTTCACAAAAAGCCTTGTTGATAACTACAACGAAAGTGCCACAATCATATTTCTTTATAGTTCGCGTCCATATGGTTTGATAAAAATGTAAAAAAAGTATTGATCCTCCGTTAACTATGGGATTTCATATTTCATAAAATAATATTTAATTAGTTTATATATTTTTATATTTATACTTTTGTATCTAAATACACATAACTATCTTGCTAAAAGAGTTCGTGGGTGTTCACACGTAATCTTGTATTTTGTAATTCACATATAGGACAATAAAAAACCATGATTGCGTTTGTTTTACGATGAAAAATCCATCCATTCTTAGTTCATTAACGATTGCAGAACGAACGAGTTCAGAAAGTCCAGAGGGAAATTGATAAAAAATGTCTATTAGTGTGCTCGTGATCTCTCTTTCTTGAATAATATGGTATGAAAATGTAAAAATGTAAATATTTTATATTAATTTGTTTTCTTTATAGTATCGGTAATAATGAATATCATTAACCAACTAACTTTTTCTATGAATCGTATATTATTATAAACTTTGAAGTTAGAAAATAAATACGTAAATTATGCGATAAATTATAATAATCTGATATAAACATTTTCTAAAATTTAAGTAGTTAAATATGCAAAAATATATAGTCAAGACGTCAAAGTTTTCATCAAGAACGAGTTTCGAATCGCAAACATTTGGGTCGCAGTTACGCCGACTATAATTCGCGCCCACTTTTGAACATCGGATTTAAACGGATTACGCAGACTAATTATTCAAGATTTGCTGAAAGTGATAAAGCGAGGCATATATCAGTAGCGATTATGAGAATCATTGTTTTCGAGATTGAAAAATTGGCGTCGTTGTAGCGAACGAACAAGTGATATAAGATGCAATCACAATTAATTAATTAACGCAAACCATTGGAATAATCGTAAGAGATATCGATTCAGTCGTGAAAAGGTTAAAAAAATGAAATGAATGTTGAATTCACGATCCACGAGGGCTCACAATGCCTTGGCAAATCATATGCCCGCTTCTGCGTCGTTAAAAAGGATTATCAAGATCATTTCTCTCTGAAGAAAAAGACTTCCGTGGCGCATACATTATAGGCCACGCGCGCACGTGTGAGTTCGTTTCCACGAAGATACAGAGGTCGGTTGCGCGCGCGCTCTCGTATTTTTTTGGAGTCGGTGGCGCTGCGGCAATCAATATACCGGTTGACGTCACTCGTCACACACCGGAGAGCTAGAGAGTACCTCTACCTCTACACTCTCGAATATAATCACGGCCCCTCCCTACCATCTCCACAGCGTCAACACGAGATCCCACTGCAGGCGCTTATATTTCAACGCTGCCTCGACGCTTTTCCCTTGATCACCGCGTACCAGCTGTTCATGTTTTCCCCTATAGTTTACTAGCTTTTTTCTCATCGTGTACATTCGTTGAATTTTAGTTATCGAGAGCAATTTAATTTTGATTTACAGAGCTTGAAAGAGGGCTAAAATGTCTTCAATGAAAGCGTACTTTACGTTTAGTCATTTCACACGAAAATTGGAGGAAGTAAGTAGTAGAAAATAAGTTTAGTCTGACTTACTCTTGACATAAACAATTTCTGATTATAATTTTAGTTAATTATGACTTGATTACGAGTTCATGATCGTTCGGCTCCTCAGAAAGCTAAAAACACATACTAAGTATTTAACAAATGAAAGTATGTTAAAATTGTATTGGCCTGTTGATTGACGCGGATCATATCGTATAGTTGTATTTTCTTCGGTACTATATCTTTCGGTCATCCATTCGGAAGGATCGGAACGTACAAAAGACAGTTAGATGAAACAGTACTCGTTACTCTAACTATTTGAAGTGAAAGGATGGCTCTAACTGGCGTTAATGTTCTCACGGGCGAACAGCAGGAAGAAGGGTGGGTGTAACTTGTGCAGATAACTCTACTCTTCTTCGACACGCAACATAACAGTGTACGCTCAACAAGTGACGCGAGAAGAGAAAAATCGGAGCTGACGTCAAGGCGTCAGCGATCTGTCAATCGCGAGTGCGTGGCCTTGAGATGAGGGCGCGAGACTGTAAAATATAATAGGATATTGCCGACAGCTGGAAGTAAGGTGTAACGAGGCGAGAGAGCCAAGATGGGACAGCTGCGAGAGATTTATTAACAGTCAAGGACGTAGAAAGCGCTACGTTATTAGAGAGATTCTTGGCTATCCTTCTCAGCCTTTCTCTTCCCTTGCGAAAATCAACGAGCTCTCCAGCGCGCCGATGATCACAGAGGCAGCAACAGCCAGTGCTTCTTCCCTCTGCGTAGTAGACTTACGCCATTTCAGTCCTTCTCCGCCTACTCTGTCTTCCTTTGTCTGCCAGTTGTTTGACGCTGCGTTCCGTATACAACAGACCGTTTTACGCTCGCTCGAGCGCACCAGTGCCAGCGCCAGCGGCCAATCGATATCTCCGAGCAATGTACGTCTGCTCTCCAGTTGCCGATCGAGCGCTCGAAAACTCGGAGCGTGAAATTCAACGTGGGCCGAGTGTAAAGTTGTACAACAGGATCGCGGCAAGGAAGATGGCAGCGCTCCGTAAGGGAAGAGCAGCGTGATAGGGTCGGCTTGGCGCTGGCGGTGGTTGAGCGCGCGTCGCGCATACATCACAGACAGCTGAGAGGGTAGGAGAAAAATCGAAGCTCTTCGAGGCAGTGCGCGCGCGAGAGAGAGAGAGAGAGAGAGAGAGAGAGAGAGAGAGTGAGAGAGAGAGAGTGAGAGCCTGAGAGGGCGCAGTTGTGCGCGGCGTGACAACCAGTCGGTTTCGGGCGAGCATGGGGAGCGCACGTGCCTCGTGCCTCAATAGTAGAGGCTGCTGTCACCGGCGCTCCCAGCATCGCTGGACGATGCTACCGTCGACCCAGCTGTCCTTGTTCATGCTGCCGCTCGTCGTCACCATACTCCTCGGCACTCACTGCGGCGTCGGACCGACTAACGCCGAGATATTCACCAATAGCTTCCTCGTCAAGATGAGGCGGCCAGCGGCGAGGACACTTGCCGACCAGATTGCCGCCAGGAATGGCTTCGTTAATCTTGGACCGGTAAGTATAACGCTCGCCTTCTGGGCGTGCTACCGCGACGCTGTTGTTTTGCTTAGACGACGCTCTTCCACTGAGGCGAGTTCAGGTAGCGAAGACGCCAGTCGGCGAGGTTATAGGCTCTTGCCACCGAGCGACCGCTTCTTTCCTTCACTTTTTTCTCGCTTGCGGTTTTATTTTTTTCCTCGGAATGCGTCGTGAATTGTTCACAACTTTGCAACAATGGACACTGCAAGCTCTCGTATAGGGTCTACATACGATATAAGCTTCTATATGCAAAGCTGCGCAAGTGTTACAGACAATACTATGTATATACTTCGTACTTTGTCAAGAAAACTTTTATGCAACCCTCTTTTCGCAGTGGACATATACGTCTCGTGTTTCATTGATTCGTACTACTATCTAAGCCGTACAGTGTCCGGAGCAGAGCCGAAGTATGTGATACGTTGTATTTTAAGTATACTATTCAGTACTTTTTTGAATCGAATGATTCATCGATGAACATTTATCATTTCATACGCAGTATTAGATCTGCTTTCTCGATTAGGCGTTTATGAACAAACTGGAATAAGGATGACGATAACTTTTTAATACACATCATTAAAGTTGTGTATTACAACTCTTGAAAATGCTATTTATAAAGTAAGTTGGAATTATAGTTTTTTAAATTTTTTAACTGATTATCAGTCAAGTTAAATTTTTATCAGTTAAAGAACTTCTGAGACATTAATCTTCAAAACTTGCGCGTTAAAGACTTTTAAAGATATTAATTTATTATATAGGCGTATATTTGGCTTTTTTAAGGCAACCGTTGTCAATCAAAAAAATAAAAGTGTAATCTTTTTGACATTTATAGAATAAATTTATAATTTCATCAGTTTTTTGTACAGAATCGTTACTTATATACGTTTTTTCTTTTATTACATTCCGTCGGATTTGTTCGAAACTGAAAAACACGCAATAACCCAATAGCGTGGGCACCTGCTACTTTGCACGTCAGTCAGAGCCACAAGCATTGAAAGAAAGCTTTGCGCCCATCTGCAATCTTTGCTAATCAATAGCCGTTCGAGCGTATCGTCGAGCAAATTATTTAAGATCTTAGAAGCAAACAGAACACGCGCTCACTGCCTTGCAAGCCCTCATGGAATCAAATCAATAAAGCAGTGTAAAGGGGGGGGGGGGGGGGGGGGGGAGGAGTTCGCGAGCCGAAGAACCGGCGCTTGCGACCGGCCGTCGGAACGGATGAGGACTTGAGCGCGACGTCCTTGCGCTCAGCCAGCGGTCTCTTTCTCGAAGCTTCAACTGTCTCTTTTTTCCTCGTTTTCGCTTTTCCTGCCACTCCAACTCCACGAGTTGACGTTACTTTAAATTACTTCGCTTTTCGCCCGCCAGGGCATAATATTCCTGCAAGTTTCTAGAGTAACATATGATGAACATTTCTTTGCACGAAAATTTACCGAATTTCTTGCGCTTATAAAACGATCAAACTGTCGTTCGATAAAACGTTATTATGGTTTAAAGTTTCGGAAGTAATTACGGTGTAGTTTGGTCAGACGATTTCTGGAATTCTTTCCATGATTGTAGTTTTACAACAGTTAACTAAGTTTCATTAATATATGAAAGGGGATTAATACTGGCTTTTTAATGCCAGTAAGGAGTTAATTTTGTTTCGAAAGTATTCAGTAGAAAGTTTCACATAGCTTACGAAAAATTGATAGGGAATTCTGAAGGCATACTTTGATGTATATTTGTTTGCAGAATTTCGTCGATTCATTGAAAAATATGTTAGTAGCAATGTTGAAGTATGGGAATCTCTGATTGAGTAGATGCTAGAAGTATGCTTTCTATCAAATGGAATTAACCTACTGAATTACACTAATGATTATTTCTTACAAATGACTTTGGCTTTATGACAATAGATTTTCACGATTATTACATTAATATATTGTATCTCTTGAAGATTATGTAAAATTTCAAGAAAGAAAATTGATAAATAGTAAATTTTTTCTACGCTCATCCAATTTTTGATGTCTGACGTGTCTTGTCAAGCCACTCTACTAACGTTTACAAACTATTTTTAAAAAGCCTCAGACCACTCAAACTTGAAAGTTGTCTTGATTTCATGTCTAAAAATTTTCTCCGTGAATTATTCCGTTATAAAACTTGAGCAACACTTTTCGTTGTCAGCACGTCTAAAAGCTTGCCACATGCATTAGCATAAAAAAGTCTTTTATAGGTATAAAAAAATGCAAACGAAAAATTGTCGGGGAAGATTAATAACTAAAATATACTCTCCATAGTTTGGCGTAGCCTGAAAGGGCTCCCGCATACTTATTCAGAATTCGTTGATGCTTCACGCATTTCGCTCGATGTCGATGTCGATGTTATCGACATTCTACCTGTAGCGCTGACATATCCGATGTATGAATACTACATTTGCGTAATCGACTATTTACCGTGGTACATATACTCGTTTAGGAAGACTGAATTCTCTCCAAGCGTAGTTTTCTATATACACAAGCACTTATACAATACAGCTTATAAAAGGTCGCGTAGGGGGCTCACTTTAGTCGACGAGCTGAAATTGCCGCGGAAAATTGCTTTAGCGAATCCGTAATCTCGCGGTAACCAGGCTGGCCACGGGGTGTGCCGCCAATAACAAATAACCGTTTTACTTTTAATTCGATGGTTTGGCTGAGAAATGTCATACTAATTGGTTTATTTACATGTGGTTCACTCAGTTGCTTAAGAATATCACTGGAAATATGCTCGAAAATGCTCGTTTTCATCAAACTAAATTTGTTGAAAGTTTTAGAAATAAACATTCATTAATTACTTTTTTAACGAGCTTCTATAGATGATTACATACATGCGATTTATATATCCGGTTCAACATATTTGAGCAAAGAATCTTTATTTTTTTTATTAATCGTATCCCAGACTCACAATGAATGTTTCAGTATGAATTTGAAATCTGCGTCGTTGAAAATAAAATCTGAGTCTGTGAAATTTAGGCAAAAAGTAATGTCGCGAGAGTACAAAAAAATTCCGTTTCAATTCATTCGTGTGATTTTTTTCAGTGTTCCATTATAATAATAATAGTACTAAAATGACGGCAATCCAATTTTCCGCTAGCTACATTTTTACAATAAAAGCAATTTTAGAAGAGTGGCTTTATTTTTCTTTTCCTTGTGAAGAAATCCAACTTACGTCAGTACGGTGATCTGCAACGACAGAACTTTACAAAATTTACTTGCGCTTTTTTTCTTCTCTTTTCGTAACCAACAAATTTGCAGCTAGCGACCTTCATTCATTCTCGGTGCACGTAGAGGACAATCACGAAGTAGACTCGTACAGCTCGTGGGGTTTCCTGGAATTGCAGGGGTATAGCGTAATTAAGCAGCGTTTTGTGTCTCCGCGCGCGGGATTACTGTCCATTCCCGTGTATACCAGAAGGGAAGTGAATCCGATTGAGCGCTGAAACTTTGATCAAGCGAAAACTTTCCAGCAGCATGTTACTCTAGAGGTAAAATGGGTTTCGTTATTGAATGTATTTCCAGTTTACATTTTACGCTGCGATGATTTGTTATCTAACTTTTTCTAAACCTGAAAGTTTCAAAGGAAAATTTGAAACTAATCATCTATGGTACTACTTTGGAATTGAAACACCGGAATTGGCTTCTTTGCATACATTTTCGTAAATCTATTTTTGCTTGTGATCAAAGGGTGGAGTTAATTCTATTATTCGCTGAATTATAATTGAATAAATGTCTGTCGAAAATGCCATCGAAATGATTCCAATTTGCAGCTATTCGTTAATATGAATAATAATAAATTGCAAAGTTGTGAAAGTTTTATTTGACATTTAGATACTAACACAGGCAGGCGACTATCAATGAATGATTTAAGCTTGTGTGTCAGAATCACATTTCAAATTCTTGTTATGATTTCACTTGCATTGTCTTGATCTGTTATTAAAATTTCATGGAAAGTCTGAATTTAATGTACGCTTCAAGTAGATAATGGATTATCCATGGAGTAATAGAAGTAACCAAATTAACTTTCGATATTTCATACTGCTGAAAACGGTGTATGTCGATAATTGTTTTGAGAAAGCCTAAAAAGTACGCAGCTTTAGCTTTGCTGAAATTCAGCGCAGTTCCCGACAGAACTTACATTTTTTCTGGTACTCGCAAATACATTTCCATGAGTATTGAAGAGGTTTCGATCAAACATAATGGTTATTGAATTCGCAGGAATTGTTACAGGGAGTTAGTTATGTAACGTTTTATAGGGAGCGAAACGCTCTTTCAATCTCTAGTGGATTACCGAGGAGCGAAGTGCGTCAGCAGCACTCTTTCTCTTTTTCTTTGATTAAGCCGAGCACGTGATTTTCAAAGCTTTAAGGAAAATACTCAGCGCTAATAGCAAGACAATGAGTAGTAGGAGTAGTATCTTTCCACTAAGTCAAATCCAATTGAAAAAGGTCGCCTTTTTCTGCCCCGAGCAAGTGCGTAGTCGCTCATCAATTCCCGTGCCATCGTAGGTATAGGGAGTCACGTACGAAAGACGAGCGGAGCGCTTACGCGCTTCAAGTGTGCGTACGTGTTTACGAGGTAGCGCACGCTAGATATAGGTACACAGCGCGATCAAGAAGTTGATGCGCGCAGGCGGATTGCGAAACGAACGTCAAGACTCGATCTGCGAGCCGACGGGTGGTCGCTTCACGCTTCAACGTCCATAGTCTTTTGATAATTAGACACACCCCGAGTTAACTTATCAATATGGTGCTATACAGAGAATCATCTTTTATTTATTTTTGTTTTTGTTACAAGTTTTCTTGTTTTACAGAAAGGTTTACAAATTGAATTGGTGTTTTTTGTTTTGAGAGAGAGCCAATCCCTTTTAGCTGATTAATTGAGTATTTGTGTTATTAGTAGAATGATGCCAGAATTTGATCACGTACTGTGGTTGTCAATCCGCTAGAAAATAATTGTCTAATAATTATCTTTTATTATCGGTTATTTAATTATGAAGTCTTATAAATTCATATGATTCCGATGAAATCATGAAATAACCTGAGTTTGGTTTGTTTGTAAACGTTTAAATCATTGGAATTGTTTGAAATAATAGAAAAATAAGTTTCAGCATGCAACAACGATAAAGTTACGAAAAAAATCTCGACTTACGGCTTAGTTACTACGTCGTTGTTATAAGTAAAACGTTTAAAATTTTCTTCTCGAAGTTATTTCTCTAAATGAAAAACGAACGGATCGTGAGAAAATGCGACAACCGCAAGTCAAGTGAGATAACATTTTTCGACTTAACAAGAGGCGCGTAGTCGTCCTTTTTACCTCCAACACGTATCTCTCTCTCTCTCTCTCTCTCTCTCTCTCTCTCTCTTCACCTACACTCCGTCGCCCGCATATTACACGTTGATGCTGGCAAGTGACGCAACGACATCAGGCAGATCCGCAAATTAGCGTTCTAAATGCAACAAGCACGCACGCGTTAACGAGCTGCATTGCACATAGGCTTGGGCGATCTCTAATTTTTTTTCTGCTTCTTGTGCGCGTGACGTGCACGTGCACATTGTCAACGTGCCTTACGTCGCGTGCCGCCGCTACTAACGTGCACTTTAAATTGAACGATTGAATTTTTAAGTGTGGAACAAGTCTGATTATAGGTATAATATATGGTGCATTTAATGTATATTCACTGTAATATATACTGCTAAACTATTTCTGCTTACAAAAGGCTATTCGGCGAGAAATTCAATGCACGTAGATTTTATTCTTCCATGCAATTTTCATTGCAGGATGCTTTGACACACACACACACACACACACACACACACACACACACACACACACACACACACACACACACACACACACACACACACACACACACACACACACACACATATATATACATATGGTTAAGATATGTAAGCCTGCAATCAATTGGAATATCGAAATGCAAAGTGGATCTAATTTTCTACTGTTCTCCGTTTTACTAACTTGTATTATTGAATATCTCGAATCGTTATTCAATTTCCATTGTCGCGTGATGATTAAGGAGAAATAGCGATTCTATCATATATTTATTCGAAAGTACATTGCTACTTGCATTTGACGGTTAACGTTGAGATATGTGAACGTTTGAAAAGAGCTCTGTGAAAATTTTAGTAAATATTTGCCACGATAAATGAGACGGTCCGTATCTAATGGAAAAACTGTTCTATCTTTTATGCTTTCTGTTCTATCTCCCGCATCCCCTAGAAAAAAGCAATTTATTGCTGTATGATATTTTGTCGCAACGAGGATGGGAAAAATCGTTCTCATTTTATTTGCAAAGCTGCATGAATGCGCAGCGAAAATGGATTTCTCTACAAGAAACACGCATCAATAGGTTCTCTTGCGCGACATATCAGCCAACGCGTATCTGAAAGCATCGTAGAACTGGGCTGGTAATCGATCCGTGTCTATTTTCGAATAAGTTTCTATCTTTCTCCCTCTCTTCGGTGTTTTCCCTGGCGTGTTCAAGCGTGTCGCACGCACAGAAGGAGACAGAGAGCGGCAAACTCGATAGGATTGCTCGATGACGCAAGCAGCCAGTTTATTTGACTTTTATTGCTCGAAAGCTCGTTGAAACGATCAGAATCAAACGAGAGTTCGAAATACGCGATACCGATATCTCCATATCGCGCGCGCGCGCGTTTACTTAGCGATTTATGCTCACTTCGGGACGATTCTTTCGCAAATTGGCTCGCATGGGAATTCCACGTCGATCGGAACTCGTTATTCTTGGGTAGATTTACTGTCCGCGTCATCTGATTCTCCGGCAATGAAAATGCGAGCTTTTCCTAAGTCCCTTTTGCTTATTTTTAGGATGCAGGATAGACGCCTGCACCTAGCATGTACCAGTTTACGATTATTTCTTATTCGATATTCAAATACCTCCACCATTCTACCTGATTACAGAGATTTCAATTTAAGTGTTGTTCGAGCTTTACTTACGTGCAATTATATTTTAGTCAACTACAAATTCAAGACTAGTAGCAAATGTAGTATGCCAGTGCTAAATAGAACAGTTGTGCAGTATACTACTCTGAGCTTCTTTCGAAACGTTCCACATGAAATTTCACGTGTTAAAAAAATTGTTATTTAATTTTTGATTAATTCAAACAATACCTCTTATTTGCAATCATGTTAAATACTTTTTTAAATTGTATCATACACGTGACTCGTAATTTTCTATTGTAATGAAATATCCCCATTTATCTCTTGCAGACAAGCTTTTGCTCGACAATAAAAAAATCATTTGTTCACGCTAGCAGCTCCCAGCGCGTATCAGCTGTTCGCGGCAGTTTTGCGAGAACGAAATTACATCCGAGAGAATCCTCTCGTGCCTGGCAATCATGTCTGCCCTATCCACTCGCACTTTAATAAACCGCATTAGCCCTCTCGAAATTGCAATCAACGCTCGCTATCTCAGTGTGCGTGTACACGCAACACTTAACTGAGGGATGAGGAATGAGGAGAGGCACCTACGACGTCATCTCTTATTCGTTCAGCCGTCGTTGTTCGTTTTTATGGCTTCCCTTCACGTTATATGGCAGTTTTGTGTCGTTATTTTTTTCTTCTCTTCCATTTCTTTTACTATTACGGAAAAAATAATTTTCGCTGTTATATTGCTCGCCGCACGACTTATCTTTTTTTTATCGTCGCAAACTTATCTTTTCTTTTATCAATTCTATTTCACCGCGGTTGAAAAATATTTATGTAACTAGATGACGAAAACATTGCGAGTAATGCGGAGTTACTTTAGTAAAATGTTGATGTTTCGGCTTTACGCTATCGGTTTCGTTAGCCTTTTCTCGTGCAAAGTATGTAATTGCCAATAATACTTTGTGTCGTCGTTAGGGCAATGAAATCAATTTCGAGAAAATACTTGTGATGAGTTTATATTATTTCATTGAGTAAACAGGTCGATGATATTAGTTTGTTATTTTCTATGTCCGACTACAGTTAGTCTTGTCTCCTTAAATCCACGCGACTTTATATTGGTGGATTTGATTGAAATAAAGTTCATTCACACATAGTCCAAAAAAATGTAGCCATTGATAAAAGTAATGCGAGTAAATTTGTAACTTTAAAATGAAATACAACTCGAAGAAAACGTTGTAATAGTTAGCTGTTTGTAAATTTTCATTGGAATGAACATGAATAAAATAGAAAATAATGTTACGTCCCGACGAAAGAGTAAATGTGTCTTCTTGTGTATGTACTTTCAATACCTAGCGTACGATTGATAACGGCGGCTCGTAAGAGAGAATATGATTTATCAGCACTCACGAACAATGCACCGCATCGTTATGATTTAATCACATTTAACTTGCAAAACAATGAGAAATGCCTGTGCGCCCACCGGTTTATGGCCGCGACAGCAGAATGCATTGTTCGTGCGTTATAACTGGCGGCGATGTATCGCAAAGCGAACGGCGAGTCCTACTAATTAGCGTAATAATTAATTGCTTATAATACAAATGAATCATTGTTTCTGCAGGTTTTGGGTAGCGAGACGGAGTACCATTTCGTGCACAGGGCTTTGCCACACGCAAGGAGCAAAAGATCCGTGCCTCATACGCGAAGACTGAAAGTGGATCCTTTGGTAAGCTTGATGAAAGAACCATTGTCTAGTTCTCACAAACAGAAGCTCCGACTTTGACGCAGGCAGATTTTGGCAGAGCGGATCTTGTTTGCCCGACGATTATGAGAATATATGTCAGCCCGTACTTCGGTATTGTCTGTGTACCGTCATGACAATTCAATTAAAGGCGAGCGTGTCATTCGGGAATTTTGCCCTTTAAAGAGAATCAGCCATGTGCGACGGTAAAAGGAAGCCTTATACGAGTACATGCGCACAGCGAGTCTCGGGTTCATTCATGCCTGGCGGTTGCGTCAGATATAGCGCGCATGCGGGAACCGATCGTGCCTCAGCTTTAATCTTGGAGACAAGGGCTGCGACGGCATTGTCACGAAAGCCAGTCATGTGCATATATGTTTACTTGATATATTCCTACACCTTTGCGAGCTTGAAGGTCGCCCGCGTACTTTTGTGCATGCGCGCGCAATTGAGCATCAACGTTTTCTCATTTTTTCCCCCGCTAGCCGTGAGGGTAATGCGTAATTGCCTGTCAAGTCAATGAATTGTCCGCTGTCCTTTCTCGTGCGCGCGAGTTTCCTTTCAAGGAATTCCCGGAGGTTGGCGTGTCGTCACCGATAGTCTTCGTCAATTTACAAGAGATATCGTCGATGATCTTCTTAAATTTTTCGCGTCTCCTACTCGTATCTCTATAGTTGCTTATATTTTCACATTTCACAGTTTTCGCGCTCGTTTTTACATTTTACCATTTTCAGTCGTACATTTAACGTACGTTCGTACCTTTTTCCTCTTATGGCCTTTTATGTTCTTACATTCTTCATTTTCATTCTCTTGCTTTCTTATTATGCTAACTCTTTTAGTACCCCATATATTTGTATTTTTAACCTTACTGTATTTTTACTCTTACTTTATTCTTCTCGTTGATGTTAATGTTCAATTTTTTTATCCATTTTTTTCCATAGCATTATTGTTTTTACCGTCTGACATTTATTCTAAAACCCTGTAATATATTTTCTGTAAGCGTATCTTTTATTTCCAAGTTTTTCTCCTAGCCTTTTCATCGGATGTTTTACGGTATTCTTTTTCTCGTATAAGCCGCGGATTGCATTTCCGTTTTCTATACCTTTTATCTCTTTCGAAATTACTACGTCTCGTTCTAGTCATTTCTTTTTAATTTCTACGGCCTTTAATTAAGTAGTCTAGTGTACTCATTTTTATTACTTTCTTACACCTTTTAATACATCTTCATTTGTCCATCATATATTTAATGCAACAATCCACTTACAGTTTCAATTAGTCTTCTTATTGTGCATCATAAACTCGTCAATTGCGAGATTCTTTTGGAAAGTAGAACATTTTTATTCACATAATCTATACATCATATTATATATTTTTTTTGCCCAGTGGCCCGAAAGTAGCTACCGTGGCTCGATCGGTAACATGCTAATTTTGTTTGTTGTGTACCACGGTTAGAAAATTGGTATACTCATAGCACGTGTTTGACAACCGAGGCGAAACCGATTCTTACGTGATACGGAGAATACTTACTACTATTTTTCCGATCTAAGTACGTAATCTACTGTTTTCTATTTCACGTATTCTCTTATTTCTTTTCCTGATGCTCTAACGTCAAACTAAACAGGGATTCTTAAAACGTGACCTTGTCTCGAATTTTGTGCTATCTACAAGTCTTTTCTAATACAAATCTTTTTAATTGTAGCTCTCGAACTTGTAAGATCTTTTTAATCATTTAATTACATATGAACTTATTCCTAGTTTTACAGTAATTTATGAAAGTTTTACATTACTAGCGTCATTTAGCACGCTTCGCGAGCTCTTTTCTTATTTTTCTGTTATTTATTATTTGTATCATACAATCGTAACTTTACTCAATAGCACTGATTTCTCACGGTCATAGTATTATATTACTATTAGTAATATAATACTATGATCAAATCAAATCAAATCAACATCGAATATTCTTTTGTTTGCTCGTTGGGAACATCCTTGTACACTCTTTTTCATTTAATATTTTTTTTTTTTTTTTTTTTTTTTTTACCTCTCACTTTACGATGTATAAAACGTGAAATTTAATTTCCTCCATTTTATTTTATTCACTTTCTCTCTCATCCAATTATATTTGAAAATGACACTTTACATTTCACAGATGGTAATCAAATTATTGATTAGTACTAATTATTCGAGCATAATTTGAAATAATATATTTTTTTTTTTAAATGATTTATTCATAAATTTCGCACTCTTAGATGTATATTACACATATTTCAAAGCATACAAAATTTCAAATTTTCTGGATGTCGGCGATTCATCGCTTTTTTAAGAAAAAATTTGGAACTGACAATTTCAGTCTCCATCCCTTAATTAAATCTTTAAGCTATAAAAGCTGTTTAATATTGATGCAATATCTACTAGTGTTATTTGAGTTTCAAGTTTGACCTTGAACGTTGACCTAACTTAACATTGATAGTCTAATGATGCGTTGTACGTTAAAATACGTACAACTAGCTATCTATCTGAAATTAGTTTATATATCGAAAAGTTATCATTTATAATATAATGATTCTAGTTATAAACATTTATGTTGTACCGATCGTAAACGACTTTTAATGAAGCTATAACCAGAAATTCCCTCGGGAATCTCTATAATTTGACACTTATTTCGCATAGAATTGTAGTAATAGTTTTCACCAGTAATGGTAATGACTACCTACATACCGTTTCGTATAAATTCACGACGCTTTTGTCTAAAATTAATCGCATTACCTTGTACAGTGAGCAATACAAACTTCACCTTAATGATTTAGGCCATCCGAATAGACAATGCAAAGGAAATACTTTTATTCACAAGTGTTTGCATAGTGACAGTAAATAGTAGAAAACAGTGTTGAGTTAATTCTTAAAAATTTTCTTCCGTTTAGAAGTTGGTCTGAAAAAGATCTTCTCTCCATAAGCTTACATCGTTGAAAAGATACCCGATACGGACAAAACGAAGCAACAGTGAAGAAATTGTCCGTTACAACAACCTATTGTTGGAAGCAGAGTTAAAATCTGCGCCAGCTATTTCGGGAGAAAGTATCGGAGAGACGTAGTCTGATTCGTAACAAGCAAGCTCGAGCGGCAAATGGCAGTGTAAAAGCATCGTTACATCGTCGAGCAAGGTTTTACGACACTGCATGGAGCATCTTCACACCCGATATAAATGCAAATGTTCTTCTTTTCGTACTATCCTGCGCAGCTGGACGTCATAAAGCCGACGGCCCTTAACCAGCTCGAACGTTCTTTCTTCTATTTTCGCAACGCGAATCGTTCAGTGCAGGCGAGCTAGTTTCTTTTTCAGAGCTTTTTGCACTCTGTAGCAAGCCTCGCGAAAGAGAGCACTGCTCTTTTTATAACTGCGTCTGTAGCTCGTTTTATAGGATAGTTCCTTCCTCAACTGTCATTTTCATTTTTTTTCCTCGACTCGATTGTGCATCGCGTTGGCTGTTCGAGCGTTTCAAGCTCAATTACGCGTTTAAGTGTTGAGCAGAAAAAAAGTAAATGTGCCTTTTTCTTTATTTACTGATATTAAAGGATTCTCATTATGAAGATGAAATATCCTTGACATTGCTTGTTCCCGACAATTAATTACAATACTGCTGGTAACTCGATTAATTGAAGAAGAATTAATTAAAACATGGCAATTGCGTAGAGGCCACTTATAATATGTTTTTACACGTATTCGTTATTTTCACTCTAATAGAATAGAGAAACCACTAGTGTTTAATAATTGGAATTTCCTTGTAAATTCAACAAGTAGAAGAGAGAACGAGGGGAAATGGATCATTAATGGAATTTGAATAGAAGGCAATGCAAGAGACGTACAATCGATCATTAAACTCGAGTTAGCAAAAGGAAATAATCGATCTTCTGTAGGTTGCTGAATGATATCAGTTAACTATTAGAATATTGCAGAACAAATAAATAAAAGAATCGATAGCTCGTTAGAGTGGGGAGAATGTGGCTTGTGACCATCATGTTCCATCATGATAAGTCGAGTGATACAAAGATCATCGCTAAAGGACATCTACGTCAGTTTGGACAATGAAAATAAATCAATGAGAGCTCGGGCTAAGTAGATTGCTTCGGTTGCAAAGAAAGCTTTCGAGCCTATAAAAACTAAGCGACGATTGATAGAGAGAGAGTGAGAGAGAGAGAGAGAGAGAGAGAGAGAGAGAGAGAGAGAGAAAGAGAGGTTCGAGCGCAATCGTGTAAAAGAAAGTTATTACGACGTACGTCAAGCTTTTTTTTTCGGTCTGCGCTGAGGCGGCTATCTCTGTAAAGTCGATCCTCGTGAATGAGCAATTCTTCATTATTAGATTCTCTTAAATTTCAGTTCATTAGTATAAAACTCAAAACAATGTCACATTCAATGTTCAGCAGCATTGCCAGCTTGATCTAATAGCATAGCTGACTATAGGAAACACTCTGTTGATAGATTCACACGGCTGTACAGCAAACTGGTTTCAAACGGGTGAAGCGGGGATACAAACCATTGAGCGTGGAAAAACTGGTGCCGATGTACAACGAGATCCGGAATCCAGCGTCGAATCCAGCGAGTCGCGACCCGACGGATCCGTACTTTCAGTACCAGTGGTATTTGAAAAACACCGGCCAGAACGGTGGCAAACCCAAGCTCGACTTGAACGTCGAGGCAGCCTGGGCGCAGGGCGTCACCGGCAAAAACGTCACTACGGCTATTATGGATGACGGTGAGTTTCCAAGTTTTCCTTTCGTAAACTTTCGAGCGAAGGCTCAAATTGAAATTGGAACGTTGACGAGGAAATTTTTTTCGTATCACTTCTATAGTAACAATATTTTTTCTGTATTTTATGTTTCTTGGCAGTTGAAAACTTAAATAGCTATTACGTAATTACAGATCGTAAACAACTTTCTGTGTAGTGAATATAAGCGTATTTGTCTCGTTGAAAAAATTACTCGCAAATCGTGAGATGATTATGCAGCCATTTCGCGGGATAGTAATACGGAACTATATGTAACAAAAGAAAAATTTATTAAGAAAAGAAGATTTTTCAACGTAATATTCTATGTTAATGTTCTACATAAATTGAGGAAAGTTATTGATGCTGTTTATTTCGCTAGCACTCAATCTTACGTATAATTTGCAGATAAGAAACTCACGAAAATAGGTAGCAGTATCACTCGTAAAAAGAAAATATGTAATAGCGTTAGGGAATGGCGCGAAAAATAAACCCCAAGTGTTTCATTGGTATTGGTGAGAAATGTGACCAGCTTGCAGTTGGATATACGCTACAAGGCTGAGAATAGGGAAGTGTAATTTATGTGAAAAACACATTGTTACGAGAATGAGAGAACGCGCGTGGAATAGGGTAAATCAAAATGGTGGGAAATCGAAAATTTTGCTCCGGTGTCGCGTGAGGTAATAAAGGCGCTTACGTGTTCACGTTATTCAATGCGCCACAAAGTAAAACTTTATTTCGTTATTTATTGCCTCGCACGGCGATGCAAGTGTGCGTGTGTGTCATCTTGGATATTTACGATCACAGGTTTTTCGCGAAAATCTCTCTCCTGTCAATATTAAATTTCTTCGCTGTGTTTGCGCTTCCAACCAATTCGTGCGTCAATTTTTTTGCTTTTATTTGTGGCTGGCTATCTTAATCTGTGAAAGATTTCAAAAAGCAATACTGTTTCTATTTTACTGCTTGCAGGTGTTGACTACATGCATCCTGATTTAAAGTATAATTATGTAAGTATTCTTACATTTCACCTTAATATATCTGACTTGATAACTGGAAAATCTGTTTGACAATCCTAATTCAAATTAATAGTGCTTGTGTGCTGTTGGCATTAGGGTACTTAACGAATTAATTTTACGTCAATAACAAAGATAAAATAACCGAAGATAACATACAAGTATACCGTTGAATTAAGGAAATCCGTTCAATTAAATAGTGCGCGCAAAACTGATATTAGATGCTATTTTTAAACGTGACGCAAATGAACGATTCGAAAAATCAATGAGTAGAAGAAAAGATGAGAGAGAAAGGCGATTAGAGTTAAACGGAAACCATGAAACCAGATAAAATGGGAACCGAGTAGGCGTATGAAATGCACAAAACTAATGATATTATACTTTTATCCTAGTGCATATGCGCTTTCACGCGAGATTTAGCATTGTACGGCTCAGCACACACGGTTTGCGATTCAAATCAATAGATTCATATTTTACAGCTCCGTGACCTTAACTTTGCGTGCATGGCGCGACAAATTCATTCATAAAAGAAGATGACATGATCCAGCAGGTTTACATTTCAATTTTAACGTAAAGGGTGATTGAACAATATTTTTGATCTGTTTATTAATAGTTGATCATTGCGATATAAAATCTCCCCACTTAGTGAATTAAGTTGTAGAATTTTATAAGAGAAGTCGAGATAAGTTTTACTCTTTTATTATACTGCTTACTAAATTGGATAATTAACACCTAACTTTCCCGAAAAGATGTGATTCTGTAGAGAAAAAGACATATTTATACCTATCGTGTTTCCAATCACAGTGCTGTGCAGATAAGAACGTCGATGAGAGTAACAACAATGATTCAACTGTCAGAGGCAGTATCGTATAAACGGTAACTCCAGCGTTTCTTAACTATAGGTGGATACTGTGGAATTTGTAATGTTACTAAACAATGTGAAAGTGTAAATAAATTAATAGCTGTAAATTAATAAACTTCACTAGCAGGTGGTTGGTATTATATATGATATTCACTGTAGGAAAAGATGAACACGCGTTACCTTAGTTTCTTGTGTCGATGCAAAATATTGAGACAACATAGCAACGATGAGAAAAATACTTGGATTTTTTATAATCCTATTCCCATCTCAAAAAAATTGATGAGTCACCAACATTCAGCGTTGTGATTGGTTATTGGGTTATTGATGAGAAAAAAGAGCGACAAATTTTTGAATTTCCGTATACTTTGAAATAGCTGTATTATATATTCAGAAGTGCGAGAATTAGATTTCAGCAGTAAATTCAATTTACGTATAATTATTTGGAATAATAATTAGCAAGCATGGAAACATTGATAAATCGTTTATTAAGAACACAAGAAGTTATATTTAAAATTATCAGTACAAATCAATAATTTATAACTATCTGTGACATCGAAATTAATATATATTGTGTTAAAATTTTGGTTAGAAAAGAGAGAAAGTGAAAAGAATAAAATGAAGGAAAATACATTTTGATCTTTTGTAGATTCTAAGTAAAAGGTATGCGGCTAACGGAAACTAATTATTGTAATATTAAACCAGTTAAATTTGAATAGTATTAACAGGTGTTTTTAATTAGGAAATAAAAAAAACACGATGTTAAAAATGCATTACTCATACTAATATAAAACTGGGGTCGTAACCGTGACTATTAAGTATGCTTTAGTATTGTATAAAAGTATAATAGCTCAGATAGATTTTATCAAACCTAGGTTGAATCAATCTCTTGGATAATTTTTCCGATACATTACCAAATGAGTAAAAGTTCATCGGCTTTTGTGAAAAATAGGTGTAAATTCTATTTTTATTCATCAATGAATACCGAAGGATGTAGTGTATTTTAAAAAGCATCATTTGTTCATGCGTTTGTATCATTAAATTCTCAAAATTGTTATATTAAAGGTTCAAATCTATTAAATAACGTATTAAATAACAAAAAAGATATAAAGAAAAAAGCGCATAAACAGGACTTGTTAAAGCAAACAATCAATCGAGCATCTTTTATGAACTTACATCAAACGGCAAGAAAAACAATACGCAAACAGCATAAAAATTGATAGTTATCAGATTTGGATTATATAAAAGTTGAAAGCATCAGAGTTTTTCCCCTTCGATTATTCAAATCAGTTGCGTTATTGTTTGTACTTTAAGTAACCACATATCACAATGATTAATGTTAGACTTGTGAATCTGACGCCCAACAAAATTTTTTAATCATATTTTTGAATTTTCATGAGCTAAAACGTTTTCTCCCTTTTTCCGGATTATCTCTCCGCTTAAAATTTTATTTCCGGATTTTCCGTTTTTAAGAAAATTGCGAAACAAAATCGGTGTTCGTACAGCGCGCCAAATGCATTAAACATTTTTCTCCTGTTTAAAAAGAAATAATATCGATAGCGGATGATAGCTCCTTATTCCCGGATTACGAAACAATTTTCCTTTTGTCGATATTCTATCCAAAATTGAGGAAAATGTAAAAATTAGTAATATGCGGCAGTTAGTCGCATATTACTAAGTAATAATCCATTGTAGCATATTATAAAAATACTTCAATATATTGAAGTACTTATTGAAGTATAGAAAATACTTCAATACTTATTGAAGTATAGAAAATACTTAAGTATTTATTGAAGTATAGAAAATACTTCAATAATTGAAGTATTTTTATAATATGCTACAATGGATTATTACTTTATATTGTTAAGAAGAATGGAAGTAAAATTAAGTTCGTTATTAAATAATTCCACAAATATAAAACTAAGCTATAAGTTTTTGATCAATGATTGTTTTTTTCAATTTTAACTAGTCAATTCAATTTTTTTATTACTTTGTTCAGAATTATGTTATTTTATGTAGTTAAAATATTAATTATAAAATTGGCATGTTGACAAACTTATAGAAAACCTTAGAAAAAATTATTTATGTATATGTACATAAAATGTGAATGGTTAATTGAGTAGAATTTGAATTACTTATTATTATAATTACGCAATGTAGAACTCATATAGGGATATCTGGTGATTAGCAAATGTTTGACCTGTTTTATCGACTAACTGCCGCATATTACTAATTTTTACATTTTTCTCAATTTTGGATAGAATATGGACAAAAGGAAAATTGTTTCGTAATCCGGGAATAAGGAGCTATCATCCGCTATCGATATTATTTCTTTTTAAACAGGAGAAAAATGTTTAATGCATTTTGCGCGCTTTCCGTTTTCTTAAAAACGGAAAATTCGGAAATAAAATTTTAAGCGGAGAGATAATCCGGAAAAAGGGAGAAAACGTTTTAGCTCATGAAAATTCAAAAATATGATTAAAAAATTTTTTTGGGCGTCAGATTCACATGTCTATTAATGTTGCCGTATGAAAGTAAAGTATGATCTTATTTACGTTACTATATTGTTTTCTTCGACAAATACACTCTTTGCAGTTACATTTACTAAAGGTAAACCAAAGTAAACTATATCAACGGACACATTTGCGCTACAGACGAATCTCTGAAAAGAATGATTTATTGATTTTATGTACATGTATGCTAATGAAATTTGCTGAGTTTTGATCGACTTCGTAAACATGTTAATATTGAATTGTCTTCCACATATGTCGCAGAGTTTTCCGAAGACAATGTGAAAAAATGTACACCAAAACTTATTTTAGTAGATCTGACTATTCAAATAGGTAATAACAAAAGCATTCTTTCAATTACATTATGCGCATATTTATGCTTGTGGAAGCATATTACGTATAAGAAACAAAAATCTTTGACACAATCTAAAAATTTTTACTGTCGCGCATGAATCATATTTCCATGGGAACATTGACGTCGGCATCAACGTATATCGATAAGCATTATGATAAGAGAAAAAAGGGTAGGTTCGAGACTAGTAGTTTCTTTTTTATCCGCTTGTTGAAGCATATTTTTAAACAACAAAGGCGCGGTCAAATTTCAATAAATTATTCATATCTTTGTTTTACGGCAAATTTTATATTTACTTCATTTTATTGCAAAATATACATCACTTTAATCTTATTTTCATGCTTATAAAATATAATCTTATGATGAACCTCGCTTTTTTTCCAGAATGCAAAAGCTTCTTACGACTTCAGTAGTAACGATCCATATCCTTATCCGCGGTATACAGACGACTGGTTTAACAGGTAATTATGTAATATTATATTTCGTAATAGAAAACCCTGTAAAAGACCATGACGTTGCTATATTTTACTTTATATACAATGTGATATGAATGATAGGTAAAAAGAATAATAACACTCAGCCATTGAACAAGTTAACACATCGATCAAATTGTATTAATAACTTTGTTTACTATTTCATTAGCAGAGTACTGATACTAGCTAAATTATTTCATTTATTTTATTTCCTTGATCATCTGAAATTTATCAAAATATATATTTCAGAGGCAAATATTTTATAAATTTCATATGATCTCAGTTTAATAAATTATTTCGGAAAGACCTTCCTTGGCGTATTCAATATACATCGTCGATCAGCAATACCTTATTTCCATGAACGAACCCACGTGGCACCATCTATACAATTATCATATAATAAAAAAAGAGCGAAATCATAGATAAGAATTTCAGTCATGTAAAAATGATCCAAAATCTGCGTTCGTCAAAGTGAAAAACACATTATTCTACTACGTATCCAGAAATTAATTATCCAGGGTGTCGATGAAATATTCGCAAATTATGGAGGAGCAGCTCGTTCTCACGAGACGACTAGGAGTCTCACGAGACTGAGCTTTGATCAATTATGAAACCATCGCGTGCCATTAGTGAACAAATTCGATTTGAATGCTCTAAGAGAGATACGCGACGAGCGAAAGAGAGAGAGAGAGAGAGAGCGGAAGTTTATGAATGTAGATTGCCAGGTTGATTAATTCCAATTCTGTGGCTTGCTCTCCCAAGTTCATTTTTTCTTTGCTCATCCATAAAGCTTCTTGTCATTGTATTGATTAATGAGATCTATCGAGCGATGGCACATTTCAAATTTTTCATACGCGGCTTCTGCTGTCAAAAGTTTGAATCAAGACATTATCATCATCGTCGTTACGTAGCTCTACTTTGTTTCGATATTTTTACGGAGCTATATATATTGTGCACTTCTAATGTGTTAATGGGTATAGGTTTTTTAAGCCGCGTGCCATTAATTTTATGTCGCACTATTTTTCTGCTAATAAAATAGCCAGATATTAGATTTTTACGATTCCGTCTTCGATATTTTGTACGTATGCGCGCGGGCGTGGGTGTGTGTGTGCGGGGAGGGCGGGGGGCAACTTTGAGTTCACAATGGGCTATAAATGCGGTATTTTTATGTACAGAATTACGATGGTATAATAGTACTCACTACAGTATGTCAAAAAAATTTTTTCATCATTGGAGTGCACAGCAACATAAATTTCCTTTCCTGAAAATAGTACCATTGGTTTTAATATCTGCTTATATTTTATGTAATATTATTTCTGAACTCGTTTATTTCCTTTTACAGTAGTACACCGAATCATAATATGGAGCATTCCATTTAATTCGCATATCAATCTACAACTCTTGATTAAAAAACTGCTCTTGCCGGATTAGTGAGGAATTCAGAAAATGAGAAAATATCGTTCATATTCGCGTCATAGTCATCTAATTCGTAAGATACGTTAATGGTTGATGTTGCAAAAAAACAAAAAAAAACAGATAGATAACGATTTCCTTAGCAAATAACCGTGCACTAGGAAAAAAAGTACAACGTAGAGCAGCGCATAGATTTCGAAACGCTTTGTTCCCATTAAGTAATAGGAAAGAAAGAAATGTATATCAGGTAATAAAAATGTATCTAACCGTATGTATTCTACATAGCCACGGAACGAGATGCGCAGGAGAGGTGGCCGCAGCGCGTGACAACGGAGTATGCGGCGTGGGCGTAGCGTACGACTCGAAGGTCGCGGGCATACGGATGCTGGATCAACCCTACATGACGGACCTTATCGAGGCGAACAGTATGGGCCACGAACCGCATCTCATCGACATCTACAGTGCCTCTTGGGGACCTACCGACGATGGCAAGACCGTCGACGGACCGAGGAACGCCACGATGCGCGCTATTGTGCGCGGGGTCAACGAGGTAATTGTCACGTCTCTTCGTGATCGTATTATACTTTGGGATCATTATCTCCTTGACGCTTTTCATATCTATGCGGATGTTTGGGCACTCGTATGTTCGAAAGTTTACTCTTCGAAGAAGTGCTTTATCCAAAATTCGTATATATTTTTATGCTTTTCTAAACTTACACTGCAGTGAGTATCGAATTTTCTGCACCGGAAGCGTCGATACGTGCAAGAGTTTTCTTCAGCTTTCATGTAAACCTTTGATTATTAGATTCATGTAACAACTTTTTCATGATCTTAACGAAGTTCAGCAATAACTAACAACTGAGTTTCACTTGCTATAAAAAGTCATTAACAACGTTAAAAATAAAACGTAAATAACTTTGAGATCGGAACTAGCGTGCAAATGGAACGTTGCACAAGAATCTTTCCATGTTATTTGAAATAAGCAGGAGCAAGTACAGAATTCTTTGAACAGATTCCATTGAGTTCCAGAGATACTTTTTCCGATGGGTGTGAGCGACAGTTGTGCGTGGGCTGTATCTCTCTTTTCGTATATTTTTTATTCTCTCTACTCTCTTCTCTTTTCTTTTATCCACGTCCAACGAGCAAAGCCTGAATCAACGTAGATAAGAGAACTTATATTGAAGCTGGTATTTGCATAGCGAATAGTCGAGGGAACGTGCGAATATTTTCTCTTGACGTACGGGTGAAAGCTGCTTCGGAGGGAGAGAGAGAGAGAGAAATCTCTATTGCTCTGACTTGTTAACGTGCGCGCGCAGCAGGAAGGGAGAATGAATTAAAGCGTAAAATTGCCGCAGGTACTGAAATTTTTCTTTTATACGGCGCGCTTTTACCACATCACTCTTCTCTATACAGGTTTATCCTTTCGCGCGCTAAGTCTCATGGAATCCATCAATCATATACCTATTGGCAATTTTGTTAGCGTTGACATTGATGATTTATCGAATAGAAGGGACGAAAGCTTCAACTTCGATTGAAATATTTCCAAGCTGTCGATCTTGAGAAGAAATTTTCGTATGTATCTGCTTATAAATTGCATTCGCGTAAGGAATCGAATTCAAGAATAGGAAACATGCAAATTTTATACTTGGCAAAGTCACGCGCGTATAGCTATCGTAAGCAAAATTGCATGGCAATTAGCAATGCTACACCAAGCGACTGTCTCGTTATTTTTATTCAACCCGTGCTATACAGTTCTCGGGAACTTTTTTATAATCGAAAAGCTTTGCTGCGCAGATGTAAAGTCAGAGTGTCGCGATGAATTCGAAAATAGCCAATAGTTAAACAGGCAGCCTGTGCTCCGCTACAAATTTTATAGGAAAACCTACTTAACGAAGTTTCGTTTTTGAGAAGCACGCGTGGAAATAACCAGGGCATGAACGGAATTGCAAATAAGTTGTGATCGAGAGAGAGAGAGAGAGAGAGAGAGAGAGAGAGAGAGAGAGAGAGAGAGACGAAAAGGCGCGTGACAAGCTGAGGGAAAATCCTATTTCGAAAACTCAACGATCGTTCCTCATATCATTGGCTTGAACAGCACAAATCGATCATATCCTTTAGTCATGAATACCGCTGTTCAGAATCACAACAGAATCACGTAGAGTAGGAAAAAGTTGGAAATCGAAAGCCTCGGGGCTGGGACTAGGATGAAAGGAGAATCCATAGCTTTGAAATCAAATATGCCGCGGGGGCATGGTAATGACAATTTACCTGGAATCCCGCATTAATTTCCAGGGGCGTAACGGCTTAGGTAATATATACGTGTGGGCGTCGGGCGACGGCGGTGAAGACGACGACTGCAATTGCGACGGCTATGCGGCGAGCATGTGGACGGTTAGCATTAATAGCGCGATCAATGACGGACAGAACGCCCATTACGATGAGAGCTGTTCGAGCACACTTGCCTCGACCTTCAGTAATGGGGCAAAAGATCCTAACACCGGAGTGGTGAGTCATGCTTATTCTATATCACTGTATGTGTATTCTTATGCTTGTTTTCTTTCATTTTAACCTCGTGTGCTTGCCTCGCTCTTCAATTCTTAACAAGGAGATCATTCAGAAAGCTATCAGCTAAAAAAACAAACTTCGTACTCAAAAATAATTCTTCTTTACGATATTTTGGATATCTAAATTTCGTGAATTTCTAACAAATATAACTAACGACGGTTTGGTCAAAATAGTCGTTTTTACTAGCATGCATTACTTCTACCCATTGATAATCTAGTTGGTACTTGGTATAATAAATTTTAACTGGAAACTGAAATTTGCGTGCTAAAATCGCTCACGTTGGTATGAATTGCTGTAGAAAATTTCAATGATTTTAAAAATTTATTTTGTGAAAGTCGAGAGTACGAATGACGAATGTAAACGTCAAACTATAATGGACCTCCTTTTTCAGTAAAAATTCGACATCGTCCGTCATGTGTCAAGATGAGATAGTTTGTTATCGTTCGTGTCTCGTTTACAGAGTAAAAAGTCTGAGCTTCACAGCACCGAGGTCATTCAATGTTCCTGCCTAGCGCCAGTCAATTAGTTTGAAAGTTCCTGGAATTGAGTACAGACGTAAATATACGTTGTTTTTGCAAAGTGATTGTCAAATTCAATGTTTTCATTCATTGTTCGGAAGTAAACTTATTGATTTTCTCTCATTAAAATTTTACTTGTTGAAATTGTTTCGACATGCAATGACTGAAAAGATAGTTAAACTTTAATAGTTAATTGATCCGCCAATTTAAAATTGTTGATTTAACATTGAATAAGAGTATTATGAACGTCGCTACGGTACATGTGAAACTTTGACGTTATAATATTATTTTTCTCTTATAGAGTTTTAGCTTGCAATAAACTTCTAATAATAAGATGTCAGATTCAGAAGGCACTTTGATAATAAGACTTTTCATTGCATAAACGTCGTTTATACAAAAAAACATTAATCAGCATATTTTACTAATTGTAACTTATATTAATTAAATTCATTGTTAATAAATAATTTTAATTATTGTGTTTATTATTGTGCTTTTCTTTAAAATTTCAGTTACTAATTTTTCATTTATTTATTGAAACATGGTAAACATATTCAAAATCTGATTATAAACACGCGTGTCTGAACATACAGCGACCTATATCACTACTCGGTATACTGCCAATAATTGTCGTAAATTACGTGAATGCACACAGTAGAGATGGCAATCGCCAAACATACGCAGTATAAACAAACTTGCTAATATCGCTCTACAAAAATTTTTTTGTATTAAATACTACGTCGGTAGAATGGTTTAACTTGTTACTGCAGTCGGAAGGAAACTGACGGGTTTCGTTTGTTTAAAGTGGACAAACTGCCTTAATAAGGATTTCTCCGTTCACGTTACAAACACAGGGATTGGAAGACTCGAAAGAGAGATGGAGAAATTCGAGAGTGAGAGCAATTTGATTAGGATGTCGCTCTCTCTACTAGTAATTGACAGAATAAAGACGGAATTCGATTCGTATTTTAATTACTAAGGAGGTCACAAGCATCGCAAGGCTATTCGCTTAGTAGCCCTTGTAATTTAATGATTGCAGTGCTTGTTAAATATCAATATTGAATGTTTACAAAGTTTGGTGATTCATATGCGAGTATCGCCATAGTAAAAGATTTATTGAATTTTACTCTTTTAGTTACTACACATTAATTCTTTAATTTCTCACAAAGATTTATTGAAAACATTTTAATATATATTTATTGATGAGATTTTAATATATATTACCTTCAATGAAGTATGTACAATAATGATGTCACTTTCTTCCAATTACGTATCTTTCGCTAATTTTTTAGTAACCGACAATTTTGAAACCAATTAAATTTCGAAAAATACAAAAATAATTTTACAGAAGATTTAAAAGAAAATAAAAATAACTAATATTATATAAACGCTCAATGTCATAATTTTCTTTCGTTAACTTTTTAGTGACCGATAATTTTATGGTTATAAAAGAAATGTTATATGTCTATCGTTCATCAGTCATCGATCGAAAACGAAAGTGTTAACATGACGAAACATACGCTTCCTGAAAAATTTTTACAATAAACTTACTTCTCTAAGTTTATTATAAATGTGCATTCAACGTCAAAAAATACATGAAAATAGACCTGTCTGTTTAAAACTTGAGATAATTTTTTTTTATGTGGGACTGTGTTATCATATAATTATTTTTGATTCTAGTCCTCAGAATGATCCGAAATCATAACTTCATATAGAATCAATAATAATTGTATGATAACGTAGGCTCACACAATAAAAATAATCTCAACTTTTGAACAGACAGGTCTATTTCCATGTGCTTCCAGATCTTTATTACTTTATTACACCTTGCGGGGGTTGGTGAGCGAAACGAACAGGGGACTCCCCTAGTGTATATGTATAAATAAATAAAGATATATATATATATATATATATATATATATATATATATATATATATATATATATATAATAATTCGAAAAGGATAGTAATTTATAAAAATAAGACGTCAGATGGTAATTGGATTTTCAAAAATAATGATACCCATTTGTTACCATAAATTGTATAAGATTACACTCGGGTTGGCTATATTTGGTTAACGTACGACATTAATATCAAGTCGAGCTTTATAAATTTCTTTATATATACACAGTTAATTAAACGTTCGCCGACCTTACACGCTGATGCAAGTGCGAGGTTTTGGCTTCCTTAATTTCAGTAGCTAAAGTAAATATGACTAAACGAAAATGTAAAAGAGAATTTTTATAGTAAAATAGATTTCAGTTGTTCGGACTTATACCAAATTTAATCTGTACTTTTCTACAGCAGTCCCACTTAACATAAAGATACAAAAAGAGGTTTCGCAAGCAATATTCTACGACAAAATTTTTTAAGCTTAAGTGATAATTTTGGCAATGTGAGCAAATGATCTCTACATTTTCATTATCATTGTTAAGATAAAATATAAAAATAATAGATTTGATGATTACTTAAATATTTTAAATCAATTTCAACTTTAAAAATGTAAGCTTACTGCTAATTAAATTTATTTAGAGAATTTTTATGTTATTACGCTCATATATAGATAATAAAAATACATATATTTTCAGGCCACAACTGATCTATATGGACAGTGTACTACAACACACAGTGGAACATCTGCTGCGGCGCCTGAAGCTGCCGGAGTATTCGCTCTCGCTTTGGAGGCTAAGTGAGCTTCAAACTTTTTTGATTGAAATTTGTTTTAATTCAAGTAAATAACGAAATGCTAATGATACTTTGAACTGCTAGTGATTTTTGATGTAACTGAGAATGAAATATCTAATGTACATTAGCTAGATCTGCCAAATACTTCTATACGTTTTTTAATAACATTAGAAAAATTGTAAAGTAAGGAGAATATCTTTCGAAAGTAAATGATCAAAAAGACATGGAAAAATATATTTTGATATCCATACGGGTAAACTCAATTCGTTTATTATCATATTCGCTTCCGGTTCATGCCAAATAACCTTGATTACGTTTCATCAAAAAAAGTATACCCGTATATACGTATATTGTGAAACGTACTCTCGAAATGTACGCCGTGGAATTTCAGTGGCGATTGAATTTCCACAAAAGTAAAAAGAAAGTCATATTTCAAATATCGTTCCAGCGATACTCGACGTGTTCAATATAAAAAACAATGTATTTATGAAGAGAATCTTCTGGTAAAACACGCGGCTGTGGACATAAAAACAAAAATATTATGAAGTGTAATGTATAATTAGAAAAATACATTCACAATAAGATCATTTTTCGTGATATAAATAGAAGTTTAGTTTACAATAGCGACACAAAGCAAATCCTTTTTAAAACAATAGGATAGTGTCATTGTCAAAAAGTATACGAATATCCTTTCTTCATCCAGTGATTTAGAACATATTCAAAGTTTTTCTGCAACAAGAAAACTCTTATTCTGAGTGCAATTCTTAAATATACTAAAATAGATGTACTAAAGATAAAGATATACTAAAATTTATAAATATGCCTTTCATGGGCGACATCACTTACGTTCTTTATTCAGTGTTTAAAATTATCGAATGTTCCATGCTTTCGCGTTTTCATGAAAATGAAAAAACCTTTTAATCACCCCATTGAGTTCTCATAAAAGATTCCCATTAAAAGTGTGCATGTCTATTGGAAACCTGCGCATGTACAATGTCATATTTCAAAGAAGTTTTTGATTCTTGACATAAAAATTATTTGCATTCCGTGCAAGCTCAGGAACTGCAATGTCTTATCTTTTTAACGATATATGCGACAATAGCGTTATGGAGCAATAAGTTGTAAAAATTATAAGGGAAAGCAAAATTTATTAATCTTTTCGTAAAAACTTTCCAGTCCTCAATTAACCTGGAGGGACATACAGCATTTGACAGTGTTGACATCAAAGAGGAATTCGTTATTCGACGCTAAAGGCAGATTTCATTGGACCATGAATGGAGTAGGTTTGGAATTTAACCATCTATTTGGTTATGGTGTGCTAGATGCCGGTGCCATGGTTGCCTTGGCTAAAAATTGGAAAACAGTTCCACCAAGATATCATTGTGAGGCGGGAACCATTCAAACCGTGCAGTAAGTTTATTAATCAAAACTACTTTCGATCAATTTCGACAAAGCTCACCGCCAGAAATTAATGTTTAACGTTATTTGATAGAAATTTTTAAAATAAAAGTAAGAAAAGCTTGGTGGTAGTTGGGTGTAATATTTCACCCGTGGTACGCAAGCGACGGCCTTACAGCCGTTGCCAAAGCAACAACCCGGAAATTCTTAATCTCATTAAACCGTGATTAAGTTCAGTTTGCCTTCCAAGTTCAGGTCAAGCTCTCACTAATCTTGTTCATCTCCGCCTGTTTATCGATTTTTACACGAGCGTCACTAACTATGCGGGGATTTATTCAACGACTGGAATAGCGCCGTTGAAAACTGGAGTTTTTGCTTACTTTACGAATTTTCACTGTATTTGATTATGTAAAATTCTATGTAATATTTCAAATACTTCCAGAGATGATCGTTTCTTATACTTTAAGATTATTATACTTTATAATCTTGCTCAATCTATGAAGTTTTGGAAAAAATATATGCGCTTTAATGATTACAATTTGTTATATTTCTTCTAGAGAGGTACCTAGTCACCGATCCATCCAATTGAAGATCAAGACGGATGCTTGCACTGGAACGGATTATGCTGTAAAGTATCTTGAGCACGTTCAAGCTGTTATTTCCGTCAATGCTACACGAAGAGGTGACTTGGAGCTCTTTTTAACATCACCTATGGGAACAAGGTAATTTGATAATGAACCCTCTCAACATATCAAAGTATCTCTCGATATGTTACTATAAAATTTAGGTACAAATTTAAGTTTCACTTGTAACCTTTATTAATAACTGGGTAGAAGTACTTATACGATTATTATACCTGTTAAAGGTCAATGATACTAAGTAGGAGAGTTAACGACGACGATCATAGAGACGGTTTTACGAAATGGCCTTTCATGACTACCCATACTTGGGGTGAATATCCACAAGGGACATGGACACTTGAGGTAAGTACAAAATAATAAGATTATCAATTTGATATTCGTTTCAATGAAGAAGAAACTTGGTTAAAATTCGAATTATTGAATTATAATGAAAAAATATGCGTAGGTGAGCTTTAACTCACAAGTACCACAAAACGGCTGGATCCGTGAGTTTACATTGATGCTGCATGGAACTCATGAGCCACCTTACACCGGTCTACCTGTCGCCGATCCACACTCAAAACTAGCGATAGTCAAGAAAGCTCACGAAGAGCGCGACACCGCTATGTAATTTATTTTACTCTTTATTTCTTTTGATTGTGCACTCGACGGATAATCAGGCGGTGTAGTGTGTACGAAGAAAACGGACGAAGACGTTTTCTAGCGTATTGGTACGCCGTTATTGAGGTCTTTTATTTACAGATGTCATTTGTTTTGTTTACGATGCAAGCTTATTGTTTTGTAAATTGATTTTTGATAAGGTGTATGTTGCAGATTTACACGTAGAATTATTAAGCTAAATATTTAAGATTTTCAATTTAGCCATGGAAATTTTATGAACGTTCTTTATTGCTATTCTGCTTAATAGATGAACATTTTTGTTGAAACTTCAGATTGTAAGTGGTTTTCAAAGAGATTGTTAGCAATTTTATCAGTAATTTTACGTTTTATGATGAATAAATTACTTGTTCGGGTGAAGTATCATGAAAGAAATGTAGAAAGAGAGTTGTATTTTTAATGACAACAAGTTTATTTAATGGCAACAAGTTTATTTAATGGCAGCAAAGTTTTTGGATACAAGTAAAAAACAACTTTTTCTGGTATGCACGCACAAGAAAAGAAACTTGTTCGTTTAAGCGCTTGGTAAAGTCTGCCGCTGCACCACCCTCACCTTCAGCCATCGCTCTACCTTTCACCGTTTACTCCCACGATTGGCTGGAGCACTACCATTTTTGGGCCTTTCAAGTTCCTTGCTTGTGTTTCTTCATCGGTCTCTCTTTCCAGCTGTCTCACCACCCCATAACGATCGACCACGGTTCAACCCTTTTGGTTATCACCGTGCTCGAAACAGGAACCCACTCCTTCATTATTAGGTGTTATAGCTTCGGTGAATGTAGCCGGGCTGCTCTCGCTACAGAAATTCACCAACGTACACATGAGCAGTCAGTAAAAGCGTTGGATTTGCGATGGAAATTACTTTACACTTAACGATGTCGGTTCGAGGGCTACAAGTGCTTCCCTTCGTTACGATCGCACACATTCGTACGAACTCACGTGCGCGCGTGCCTACACACACACACATTGCACCCACTCTTTAAGTTTATTTATGACGTGATCCCGCAATCACGCCTTACATTTTTTTGTCGCGGATTACTCAGATAGCTGCAGCGTATGATGATCAAAGACGCTATCTGCTGTCTCGTAACCGCGCGTCTGTTTCAAGACCCAACAGTTCCCTTATTCAATCGATTTGCCAGTGCCATTCGTACGCATCTTACCCAACGTTTTCTATCGAGTTTTAGCGTAATATGGACTTTTCCGCTTTTTCTTTATCTGCAAATAGACTTTCTACGCTTCTCCGAGTTCGGCCTGTTTATTATATCTTCAACAGTAATACCTTTCAAACAACTTTTATTATCGTAAAACAAACTTTTGACCTGCAATTTGAAAAATTACCTTTTTTCTTATACATTACCGTAATACAAGTGAAAAAAATGTCAAATAGTATGTTAGTCTATACAAATTTTTTTGAGGATTATTTGAATTTTTGATTTTAACAAGATTATGACTACTACTTCCATTTTATAGTTGCCGTCGATTTGTATAGAACATTTGAGTAAGGTTTAAAGCTCATATTTTACAGGGCGACAGGCACGAACGGTCAAGTACATTTCCAAGAAATAGAAATTCTAATACTAATTATTATTTTCTTTCTATTATGTTTACTGCGAGGATTAATTGCTTATGTAAAGAATAATTTTTGTCAATTTAGTCTTAGTTGAGCTGATGAAATTTTTAAAATTGTAAGATTTTTTATGTGTATGTTACAGCAACCTTGTTTCGTAATCAAATGAATCGCAGTCATATTCTACTTTGTATTCACTTTTATTCTATTACGAGCGAAGTTGAGGATTTATTGATCTTTCATGTTTGTGTTAAACGGAGAATATTGTGCTTGATCAAGGTAGATCAAGACAGTGCAAGAGTTTTTACAAATTAAAAAATATTCTTTCACTGTCTTAATCTACATTGATCGAGCAAAATATTTTATACACATAAATGTGGAAGGCGATCAGCCTAATAATTTACAAGTTTTTGCATTTTGAAAGACTAAACTGTAATTACGTTTAGTCTTTCAAATAAGACCGACAAGAAGAAAATTATATTACCGACGTCAAAGAGATACATTTATTTGATATATATATATATATATATATGTATATATATATATATATCGACAAGTTAAGATTTGGAAACAAGTCATATACCATACCAAAATACTTAACTATCTAAATAATATCCAACGTCTCAGGAACGCATACGAAAGTTATATTAGATTTTGTTTAATTAATTATCGCATTTTAAACAGATCAAAGTTAATTTCAGAACTCACAATTGTTTCTACCTTCATTACCAATGATTTAATGCCAAATATGTTATTGTAATGTCATATTAATTATTTGTTTTCAAATTATTTGATTGTGGTATTTTCTATTTTATATGAATGAATTATGTATTGTAAGTACTTATTTCAATCCTTACTAATACAGTAAAAAAATTAAATAAAATTATATCTTCTTTTATATCAAAACTATATCACATGTAGTTTTATTATAATAAATCATATATATTAATAGATTAATGTTTAAAAAAAAGATATTTAGTTGCAAAAACTTAAAATAAATATTTGTATTTAGCACAATATTCAGTATGCTACTTGAAATATGAAATATTTGGGATCAATTAGAGCAAGAAAATGAATTGAGAATATATTAACGAATTTTTAAAAAATAGACCTTTACGAAGTTAGAATGCACAGTGTATTCAACTTTTTATGTAATGCTGCAAGGCATGCTTCATAATTTGAAGCAATTCAACATACAACCTTTTTTGTTATATTAGTTACCGTTCAAATACAAATGAAAATATCAGTATTAAAAAGTATAGTTAATGAATATAATGTATAACTCAGAAACAAAAAATATTTAAAAATTATACTATAAGTTAAAGCATCAGAATTTTATAAAAACTTATCATGGAAAAATACATTACAAAATTTTTCAGCATTATTTCTAGGAACCAATGAGATATATATGACGTATATTTTTTTTAAATATTGCATTGGAAGTAAAAATATAAGTATATTTAGAAGTATTATGTATTAAAAAAAAGGAAATTTGAATAATTAACTTCAAGTAATAATCCTTGAAACATAAACTTATTTCAAAAGATTTTGGTATTGTAAGTATATTGAAAGTTATATAATAAAATATGGAAAATATTTCAACTTGAAGATACATTCAGATATACAGTCACTGATGATCTTCAAAACAACACGAATAAGAAGTTTTTCTATGTATACAGTCAAGTAAAAATGAATATGTACACGCTATGCAGAAAAAATTAAAGCTTTAATGATCGATTAATTATAAAATAAAAATGTACATCATAAATTGATTTTAATTTGTTTATTGAAAAGTAGATAAAGTTTGACGTCGACATAAAAGAAACAGTAAATGTATTAAAATGATTTTTTTTAAACCTCTTAAACAAAATTATTATTTCTAGGAATAATTTGTTCACTTAAAAAAGATATATACGTGTATGGACAAATAATTTAGTATATGTTTTCAGTTATCATTAATACTGCAAACTTATATAAAACTTTAATGTAGAAAGATATACAAAATATATCAATAGAAATATGATATGTTGATAATAAGAAAGTTTTATGAATTTATTTCCTGTACAATATATGTGATTGAATAAAGTATTTATTTTACTGCATCGTTTTCAAAAGTGAGTTTAGATTTCATATAAATTCTTTAGCCACATTTCAAATATCCTGTTCCACTTACCGTTTCGTAATATACCTAACATATTTTTAAAAGTTATTTACTGTTCATTATTATTATTTCAGAATAATTAATACAAGAGATTTCATAGAATATATGATTCCTGCAAAATGATAGGTAACCACAGTAGATAAAACTGATATATCGATACTTATTACCAGTTGCTGATTATGAAACATTTATCAATGACTTGAAATAACTGCAGTGTTTGTCAACCTTGCTTAATCGCGAGAATGTGGCCTTCAATTTGAAAATGGAACAGACTCATAGACTTGCGAATCTGACACCCAAAAAATTTTTTTAAACATATTTTTGAGTTTTCATGAGTTAAAACGTTTTCTCCCTTTTTCCAGATTAAGTCTCCGCTTGAAATTTTATTTCTGGATTTTCCGTTTTTAAGAAAATTGCGAAAAAAAAATCGGGCGTTCGGGCAGCGCGCAATATGCATTAAACATTTTTCTCCTGTTTAAAAAGAAATAATATCGATAGCGGATGATAGCTCCTTGTTCCCGGATTACGGAACAATTTTCCTTTTGTCCATATTCTATCCAAAATTGAGGAAAATGTAAAAATTAGTAATATGCGGCAGTTAGTCGATAAAACAGGTCAAACATTTGCTAATCACCAGATATCCCTATATAAGTTATATATGGATTCTCAGCACTACCCTGTACGCACTGTAGAACTCATATAGGGATATCTGGTGATTAGCAAATGTTTGACCTGTTTTATCGACTAACTGCCGCATATTACTAATCTTTACATTTTCCTCAATTTTGGATAGAAAATCGACAAAAGCAAAATTGTTTCGTAATACGGGAACAAGGAGCTATCATCCGCTATCGATATTGTTTCTTTTTAAACAGGAGAAAAATGTTTAATGCATATTGCGCGCTGTCCGAACGCCTGATTTTTTTTTCGCAATTTTCTTAAAAACGGAAAATCCGGAAATAAAATTTTAAGCGGAGACTTAATCCGGAAAAAGGCAGAAAACGTTTTAGCTTATGAAAACTCAAAAATTTTTTGGGCGTCAGATTCACAAGTCTCAGACTCATTTGATGCTGAATTCAAATTCAATGATCAGAAATCCATAGTTAAAATGTGCCCCGCATCGCTTAATGATATAATAAACTTTTTGTTTCATCGCCATCGTTGTTTTTATTGGGAAGCGCAGTTAACACAGAGTTAGAAAGGTTATAGGAGTAAATGGTTATTTATTTAAGTAGTTTACTCCTATTAGTAATAAGTCAATTAGTTAATAATAAAACGACTATTGTAAAAAAAACATTTTATAGTCAGTCTGTCAATTATATTCTTAATAAACAGTCGTTTTATTATTAACTAATTGACTTAATTATTATTAACCCCCCTTGGCAAAGAATTTGGCTACAAATTTAAAATGTCTCGAAATTTGACTCTTCTGCCAAATCGTGTAGTGCGTTCGGGAACTTGCGTTGGCTCTGTAGGCACAACATCAGGAACAGGAACTGGTATTGGTTCTGTAGCTACAGAATTAGAAACAGGAACAGGAATTGGTTCTGTAGGTACAGCATCAGGGTCTGTCTCCATAGGGCCTGCCTGAGTCCGTCCGAGCCGGCCGAGATTTTTTATGGGCACGCCATCTCTATAATTTCGTATCCAATGGTGAGTTTCATAGTGAATGGCTGCGTTTACATAAACGAGCCCGATCGGACGCAGCCAATACGAGAAACGCATGAACACGAAATTATAGAGATGGCGTGCCCATAAAAAATCTCGGCCGGCTCGGACGGACTCAGGCAGGCCCTATGGAGACAGACCCTAAGGAACAGAAAAAGGAAGAGGAACAGGAACAGGTGTGACATCATCTTGCAAAATGAATGCAGGTTTCACTCGGTCAATAGAGACTTTGGTAGGCTTGTTACAGATCTTGAGTGTGATCGTTTTTACGTTTCGATCCACGACTTCGTATGGGCTTGTATATGGTGGTTGGAGTGCCTTTAGAAGAGGTCCTTGTTTTAAAAAGGCATGACTGCATTTGGAGAGCTCCTTGAAAACGAAAACGCCAGGTTGACAATATCTTGATGCTTGAGTTGGGCGTAAGCGTGACATGAACTCTTGTAAGCTTGAGAGGAAGCTGCTTGGATCGCCGAGATTCTTGTTTTCAAGGTTTGAAGAAAGCAGTTCAAAAGGTAAACGAAGAGTTTCTCCATAGACCATCTCTGCTGAAGTAGCCTTGATATCTTCTTTAAAAGCAGAACGAATACCAAGAAGTACCAGAGGCAAAGCTTGAACCCAATTGATGTCAGAATGAGCCATTATTGCAGCTTTTAAATGGCGGTGTAAGCGTTCGATCAAACCATTCGAAGCAGGATGCCAACTTGTAGTGAAGTTGTGTCGGATTCCGAAGAGTTTGATAAAGTTCTTGAAGAGGTGTGAAGTAAATTGAGGACCACGATCTGAGGATAAAGTTTCTGGAAAGCCAAAACGAGATATCCAGCAATCTAAAAGTGCTTGAGTCACAGTGTCTGCAGTTATGTTCTCTAAAGGATAAACCTCGGGCCATTGAGTAAAACGATCGATGACAGTCAAGCAATATCGAAAAGCACGTGCAGGTGGAAGTGGACCAACCAGATCGATGTGGATGTATGAAAATCTCTTCGTTGGAGTCTCGAAATTTCAAAGTGGAGCGTGAACATGGCGAGTAATTTTTAATCGTTGACAATCACTGCAAGTACGAGCCCAATTTCGGTAATCCTTATTCATGGAAGGCCAAACAAATCGATCGCTGATTAATTTGAGTGAAGCGTTTGCGCCGGGATGACTCAAAGTGTGCAGTTGGTTGAAGATGTCACGACGAAAAGGCTGTGTGATGAAAGGCCGAGGTTTTCCTGTCGATGTATCACAAAACACCGTAAGTGAGCTACCAGGAATCGGCACACGCTCAATGCTGAGAGAAGAGTTTTTTTAGTAATTCTCCTGAGTTCTTCGTCTTTTTCTTGAGATTTAACCAGCAACTCGAAATCAAATGGTGCAGAAACGGCAACGCATTATCGGTACCTTTGATAAGTTGTATATCCGTTGAAAATTCCTTCCAGAAGATGGCGAAAGTGTTGGATCGCAGCGTAGATAGCCAGAAATTCACGATAATTAGCAGGCCAAGAACTTTCTTTTGTTGATATTTTCTTAGAGAAGAAAGCGAGAGGCTGCCACACGTCACCAACAAGCTGCTGTAAACAAGCTCCAACAGAGTGGTTCGAGGCATCTTTATTGTTTAATGCAGCGTTAACCGAGAAATTCGGAGGACAAGGCGAAACTTCAATGATTTTGTCGGCGAGCTCAGAAAGTTTATCGATCGCCAACTCAGACTGTGATGCAAGGATAGCCTGGACGTTTTGCGGAAAACGTTGAAGCCAAAGCCGGCGTAAGAGGTTATCCGGCACAATAGTTGTATCAGCAAGGGATTGGAGATGCCGAAGAAACTGGGAAGGCTTACGATTGCCTAGCTCCTCCGCACTAATGAGTTGGCGGACACGTTGTTCCTCAGACGCAGATAATCGCTCAATTATTTTTGTGCGTAAATATGTGTAGGGGTTTAATTGAGGAGGATTTTTAATACATCCTCGACTTCCAATGCAATGCGAGCGTCCAATTGAGAAACAACATAATGAAACTTTGTTACCTCGTTAGTGATGTCAGAAAGCGTGAATTGAGAATCAGCTTGAACAAACCACAAGCTTGGTTTATCTGACCAAAACGGCGGCAATTTCACAGCGACACGATGTACTGCATGGCGTTGGTTGACGGTGTCAGCGATGATGCCTTGAGGCCTTGTAGCTGCTGCTGCTGCAGCGGTGGCTCCTGCAGCTCCTGCGGTTGTAAATTTTGCACTCGATGCTCCATTTGTTGACGTAGTTCCACGATCTGCCGTTGAAACAGCTCGTTTTCCTCACGTAGAACCACAAGTTGACCCTTGTCGCGAAGCATCTTGTGATGAGGTTATAATCTTCTACGATGGCGGAAAGAAAATTCACCAACAAAATACCACAATTCTCGCCAAGGCTTGAATTGTAACACAATTTTATTGTCGGGGTCACCAATATAGGAATAAATGGTTATTTATTTAAGTAGTTTACTCCTATTAGTAATAAGTCAATTAGTTAATAATAAAACGACTGTTTATTAAGAATACAATTGACAGACTGACTATAAAATGTTTTTTTATAAAACGAAATGAATGTTCGTTGCTATGCTCACACTTTTGTTTCTCAACCACGTTCGAATGTTGGTTCGAATGCTCGGTGCGCTCGCCACAAGGTTATAGGTAATAATATTCGTATTTTTCAATGGTACAAATTGAGCTAAGCCAAGTTTCATCGTTTTCTTTTTAAATTATAAACTAGTTTTTGCTAGAAGTATACGTTTTCCAAGATTTTTTTCTGTATTTTTTTAATTTTTTAAAAGAGTACAAATTAAAGTAAATTTATTTACAGATGGTAAAAATAAAATTGGAGCTGATATATATTTTTTTAATGAAATAATATATTTTTGTGCCAGGGTCACCTCGATTATAATGTTTCATGAGGGTATACAACAATCGATCAACATATATACCATCCCAGATTATGTTTTAGAAAATCAGATTATGAATAAACTGGCTTCACTTCGTCAGGTTCTCTTTGTTTAATATATAAATAATAATATATGTATATACAATATGTTACATGGTCCTTTTATTCAATAATTTCTATTATTTATTTCAGCGATTGAAAATTGTTCCTTTTATATCCAAATATTTGAATTATTCTTTTCGGTTTTTCTTTTTTCATTTCTCTTTTACACAACTGGAGTAGTAAGAAAAAGCAAAATACAATTCAAATGATATTCTAAACACTGCTGACATCTATGAGATAACGTCTAGAAGTCATGATCGAAACCGGTTTAATTAGGTGAAATTGCTATGAAGCACATAGCACAAGGCAAGTCGAATAAAGATCGGGCAAAAAGAAGATATATTGAATATAGGACTAGCCGCCAGCATAATGTTGGACTCTGAACAGGGACAGAGCACGGGCAGTGCGAGTGACGAATGCGCCTGCGGTAGAGTAGGGTAGGCGCAGCTCGCAGCTGCAAGTGACGTTGGCCGTTAGGCGACAGCTGCTGCTGACAACACCTGGCCTCAGCAGCAGCTACTTGCCATGTACTCGCGGGCTCTCGCTTGTAGCGTGCGCCAACGTCCGAACGCACCTCGAAAAGCCCAGTGCGCTAAATGACAGGCTCGCAGGCACGAGAGAATTAGTCGCACTTGCGATCGCGAGTGGTTGCGCTGACAGTACACGACGGATAAGTGCAGACAGCCCAGTGGCCGCGGACATCAATCGAGGTTAGTGCCGAACGTTTGGAAAAAGCCAAGGTGATTCGCACGCGAATGTTCACGATCACTTGTAGACTGTAGGCGGCGCGCGCATTGATCGATTCGACACACGCGTGCTGTACAAACAAATACTCGTCTCCTTCAAACGGTCCGCCGTGGCCTGCTTACGAGCTAGCTGTTTAATGAAACATAATTACATTATCGCTAATTCTATCAAGAGTGCTGGTGAATTTCTCCGTTACCGCACACACCTTCGAGAGTCTTTGGCGAATATTTGCGTTTATTATACGTCATCTGACGTGTGACTAACGTCTGTAGAGGCCTGATCCAGCCTGTTGAGTTGCAGTCACGCACTAACCATCGACGCATAAAGCAATTAGAGGAGCAAATATCATGGAGCTCGAGCTCTGACCGGCGCTTGTAGTCGGTGAATAAGCCTTCCACTAATAACTGTGGCGGAAGAGCCTATTCGCGCGAACGCGGGCCGAGCGCGGCCAGAAGGCCCTGGCAAATCAAGATTGCTGCGGCGCCAGCGACGGGGCCAAAGCACGTCGAGACGTCGAAGGCACTCGAGACAAGTCCTCGAGCATTCGACCGAAATAGCGGTTGCAGGTGGCGCGGGGCGCAGCTCCGACGGCAGCAGCACTGCGGGCTAGCCCGGTCTGCCGATCCGATGAGGAGGGCACGCGTGCACGCAGTCCACCGCTGCTCGTAGCTGGCAGGCGAGCTCCCAGACCGCAGCCGACAGCGCCGAGCCAACTCCGCTCGTCCGGCGAGCCATGCCCCACGGTAAGTACGACCGGCCGGTCGCGCCCGCGCGCCTGCGCACCGCACTGACCGCCGCTACATGAAAGCGCTTGCGTGCAGCGATAGAGTCGGCGGCGCCGGACCAGGCCGCGGCGAGCCAGCAACCGGGCGCCAGCAGGGCCCGCGAGCTGGGCCTGCGCGCGCAGAAGAAGCTGCTGAGTCGGCTGGCGGCGTCCCAGGCCGGCAAGGCGCTGCTGATCGACGAGCCGACGAGCGCGCTGCTGGACAACTTGCACGCGCTGATGGAGCGCGCTGCCCGCGGCCGGCCCGAGCTGCTGCGCCGCCAGCCGGACAAGGTGCTGAAGAACGTGGTGAAGCTGTCGGTGAAGGTGAGGGTGCGCCGGCGTCGCGCGCCGGCCGCCGCCGCCGCACTGAACGCCTCGCTCTGCCACAGGTGGGCCTGCTGCAGCGCGGCCAGCAGCTGGGCGCGGCCGACGCGGGCCGCGTGCTGGAGCTGCGCAGGGCCCTGCGCGCCGCCGCCCTGGCCGCGCTGTCGTTCTACGAGCTCGAGTTCAGCTTCGACCGTGGCTACATGAGTGGCGCGCTGGAGCGCTGCCGCGCGGCGCTGCAGGCGCTCATCAGGCCCCACCTCAGCGACAAGTCGCTCGAGCGCGTCGACCAGGTCTTCGACTTCGTGGCCCACCCGGACTTCCTCGAAGCCGTCTTCGGCCAAGGTTCGGCGCTCAGGCCGGCGCTGGGCGCGCTAGTGCTCGACCTCGACAAGGCCCTCGAGGCCGGCCAGCTTTGACGCGGCTCGCCCCTCGCCCGTCGATCGAGCTTTCGCAGTTTTCGAGCGACGCCCATCCTCTGTTCGAGCCGTCGAGTCTTATTTGGCTGAGTATAGTGCCGAGCAGACACATCCATATCGATAAGATAATCACGGTCGATGCTCTTGCAATATTTCAGCAAAGGCTTGAGTATCGATCAATTTTTGTACAAAATAGACAGTCGAGGTGCGGTATTTTAACAATAAACGCGATCAAGGTTTCATGTAGTATATAGCGTGTTTGCTGTACCCTAAATAAAATATTTCTAATAACATTGTGCTTTTTATTATTGTCTGTATTATTGTCAAATCAAACATAAGAGAATGTCATTCACCAAGGAAACAATATACCACTGATCTTAAAAAACAACTACAATTTCTTGGGAATAGCTCCACTATTTATTTACATAGTTCCATACACCTACAGGTATAATTGATATTATACGCTTTAGTTTGCTTTTCAAAAAAATTTCATAAAAGTATAAAATAACACACGTCACAAACGAGGATTCGCCTTGCGCAAATTTCACTGCAAGTCATATTTACTGCTTAGTCTCATTCATTTTTTCTGTTTCGTTAAATTTTGAAAATTTCAAACTACTTCTCAGTCAGCTGACCACGCACTTGCTGTCATTCATCTCCATTAAGTTCCTTCTATATAAATATATAGCACACCAAAATATACATAGACGTATTCGATTTCGTCAACGAGTCGACCATTCTTGGTTGCATTTGTTAACAATAAAGTATTTGGTCAAGTACGAACACTTTTCGTTGCGTATTTCATGAGAAAATAGGGCCTGACAAAAGGTCGATCAAACAGAACAATGACATCGCCTTTTACTATCTTGTTAGTATACTTCACATATTTTATAAAAAAGTTTTCCTACGTATTACAAACATAATAAGAAACGATCATTTCATAAGTCAAATAAGAATTCTATATCCCAAATGAAAAAGAATGACAGATCAAGGTTGTTATACGCTTCAGAAAACAAAGGTTTAAACATTTTTTTTAATCGGCAAAAGGAGGCGAAATTGATTTAAATTATATTAAACTAAGCTGATATCAGGAAGACTAATTTCTCCATTTACAGTGCTAGTGATGTCGACCCGCTTTGCGTGCTCTTATCTTCTTTTTCATTTCTTATCATATTAATCAATATATTCTACATAAGTTATTTTTTTCGAAGATGGATTCTTCAATTTTTTTACAAAATACACATCATTGGAAAAATGTTTATTAGCAAAACAGTTCCTGGTATAATTCCTGATTTATTAAACAGAAAACTGATATAAATAATCTTTTAGTTTTTTCAACTTTATAGGTCAAATCACTATTAAACGTTTATCCTATCTCTTTGAATAAAAATTGCGACATCATTATATCAGAACAAATCCAAAGCATAATCTTTTTTTTATTTCGAAACGATCTATTTTCTGCTAGTTCTATGAAATGTGTTAAAACAATACCACTGCAACCTATTTTTTTTACTTTCATTATTTTGAAAATAATGATCTGTATCAATTATGATAAATTGAATTTTTACTATTAAAAAATTTCAACTCGAAATCGTACATGCGCGCTTATTTACTGTCACATAACAGTATGTTAGGTGGCCAGTCCTTAGCCAATCTGATCACAAATGAAACGTTTTAAACTGGTTTTAATATGGCATCCATCGCTTGTTTATAAAGGGAGAAAACATATGTTTTGGTGTGCTTTATACATACTTTGAAGATATTTATTTTTTCTGCTTTCATGAATGATTCTGTTTTTATCATCAGTCTTGAGTGCTTTTCAATTTGATCATCAATCAGTCACATCTCTATTTTACGTTTTAATTTTTAGCTACTAACTTATGTATGTATGTACAATCTAATTTCGCACGATACATGAACCTAAAAGTTCACATTTTTAAATAATGTACTTCAGGGACAGCATTCACCATGTTTTATAATAAACAATAAAGTAACGAATAAAGTACAGCCAAAAGTAGTGCTCGTTGCTCATACTGGAGTGTAGACAACCAATTTTTTTAATTAAAAGAAAAGTTTAACATCACAGAAATATTTTCATACACAGTACTCTTTCGCTTACAGTTCACATTAAATTCAAACTATTAAATTATAATGTAAACCGGATTAAAATCATCTTTTTTAACTGTACAATGATTAAAGCTTTTTCGAGTTCAGTTCTTTATAAATAGTACATTTATTGCATAATGTTAAATATCTGTACTGTTTATGCAGTAAGCAGGACTAACATTTCGAGATGTCCGAATTGATAATTATGCCAATAGCAAAAAAACAATCGATTTCAACGGGTTTAAGCGACATAAATTAAAAAAATTGGCTTGGCGAGATTCGATAAAGAAGAATTATTATTTAAAATTTATAACGTATAAGTTCATTTTCGCATTATAAACATTAACAGCAATAAATAAGAAAAATAACAAATACTCCAAGTAATTAAAAGAAAAAGAATTATGAATATAATAAAACAATATGATTAAAGCTACGAGCACGAGGAAAACTTTCGTCAATGAGGGTTTTTTTCGTACTTGAAGATATCACCCGTATGTCTACGACGAAGTAAAAAATATTTTCTTTGCGAATAGGGGGGTTGTAGTTACATAATGTATTAATTTGTAGTTTCTCTATGTATACAAAAAAGGAATTATTGTTTCGATTGCACTCGATAAAACGCATTTATACAATCACAGTTTATGCATTCTGTTGGTCTTAAAACAATTGTGGCCATTTCTTAAAATAGCGATCAAAAGTTACCTACCAATTCTAACTAGAATTTTCATTTTTATAAAATAAAAATCTCGTAAATTTATGCAAAGACCGTCACATATTGTTGATTTTCCGATTAAACAAGTCTTCTGTTTGCAGCTCTCAAATAGTTGCTGTTATTGGCCATGGATATAATATAATAATACGATGAAAATTGATAATTATGCATGATATTAAAATAAATTAATTTTAATTAATGCAATTTACTCATTATTTCCGTAATAAAGTAAAGTAACATAGTTATAATGCTGGCAAAGAATTTAGTACTTGTCTATCGACGTTTTTCAATAATGTAATCACAATCACTTGGTTTCTTTAATTAAACTTTAAAAAATTAACAATTGAAATTCAATCAATTGATAAACCTGATTAAGGAATTTCGAATTAAAGATGTATGAAAAATGGTCCATACTGTCAATTGCTTATTGAAATTGCAAGGCCGTTTCATTACATACCTACATTGCATAGTTTTGCTGGCAATCTACTCTTTATACCTATGTTTATGATGAGAATATATCTTATAAAATTGAAAATGACGAGTTCCTCGGCATGCAAACAATTTTCATGTAATAAAAATCTTTCCTAGTGAGCTTTGCAAAATAAGCGCAAAATTCATAGTGTGATTTCAAAAGCTCTAGTCCAAACGAACCTAGCTTTAAAATTTAATCTATTTTTACAAGTTAGGCTTAAGGATGTTCGATGGTGTTGTGCGGGAGCGATAGAACGAGCTGTATTCGCCTCACGGCTCGTCCCGGTCCGCTCCTTGCGCACCACCCGGTACAACTTACAAACTCGAATTTCCACTCAAGTTTCATTCAATTACTTAAGATTTTTATCGGTTATCTCGTTTCAAACTTTCCGTCACATTTATTAAAATTTATTCTCTGTGTGTTACGTTTTTGACAACAATCTCTCAATTATTTATAATTTTACGTTCTATAGGTGACTGATTTTTGTGAAGCTGCTCTTTATAAGAGTCTTTGCACAAGAGATCAACTTGTGATTTAATTTTCATCGGAATTTGCCTAGATGAAATGGTGATCAAGGCATCTCAGTTCGTAGAGCGGTTAAGTTAAGCATTTAAAATAAATTAGAAAGTTCCCTTAACCTTTATATAATCATTGAACATCCTTAACGTATAAAAGCACTACACTGCACAACTCAGATTTGCGGCTAATTTTTCTCCGCTTTTATAAAAATAAAACGTCCACAAACTTGACCTGTTCTTCAACTGGATATTGTCACTTTGAAATGCACAAAGTATGAATGGAAAGGAGAAAGTCAATGGACGCTAGAAGCGTACAAGCTCATTGCCATAAACCTGCATAATTTCCATACAAATTTGTCGGGAGTGGACCTCCAGCGCAAAACAATCGAGTCCCCGATGCATCATAGCAATGAGTGTAGATGGCAGGCGTGTACTTAACGTTTTGAAATCCATCTATATAATCTTCATCTGGAAACTATTATAAGAATTTTTATTTCCAACAGATCTCAGTGAAACACCAAAACTTGTGGAGAGTCCGACACAAAAAAGCCATTAAAGGCTCAAGAAAGTAAAATTAAAATTTGAATATGACATGCTGACCTTGTCTCTACTAGGAAAATTTTAAGAAATTAAAAAAAGCTTAATACTGATCAGATGAGTAATGCTTTTATAGAATCGGCTTAAAAAGTATAACAAGAATATCAATAGTGTGTTTACCACATAGCCTTTGGAAGCCTTCAGCATGACGGTTCTGTTAGAATTTATTGATGATTCCAGATATTTCTGAGCCCTTATATCGTAAAACATCAACATTCCAAGCCCGGTACCAATCGTTAAAACGGAACCTTGAAAACTAGCAGATCTTATGCCGCAACCGCTGTACCTGTTTGTATCAAAGTTTATGTTACTGATGTATTCGAGCAAAATAGGACGATATTTAGGGAACATGAATAGTTCTGCTTTTGTAATTCATGATTGCTACAGTAGTGCCCCTGTTTCTCGAGTTAACGTGTAATTTGCAAATATTATTAACATTTCCTGTTCATAAAGTGGCAATTTATTATTTCTGCAACAGCTCTGCACTCTCCAGGCAAATCATCCCGTGGCAGAAGAATTACGACAATAGCTCTTATAGCGAGAAGATCGATTTAAGAGAAATTCTAAACCAAGAACAGCCGTCAGTAGCCACCTCAGTTATAACACAAGGAGAACTATTTTTTATTTTTAAAAAACTACTTGCGGATATGACGTATATATTATTACAATTACTCAGATACTGGAATAACGTAGCCCACTTTTGGCCACTGACCAAGAAACAGAAAATTAACTTACCTTGATGGTACTTTTTTTATCGGTTGTAACGTTCTTGCATCAAGTAGTAATGTATACGATCGGCATCCCACTGCATATAAACCATCATCGTGAACAGCTAAGCATACATTATCTTGGCAAGCTGGCAACTTTCGAGAAATTTTTTGCTTGAAAGATTCGGCAGACCAGATATGAATAAAACAATTCATCGACAAAACAGCTATCTCCTTGTATGCTTTATTGAAAAGTAAAGATCGTACTTTTTGAGCCGATCTACACTCTTTCACAGTAACTGGTTGAATTAATCTATTGGAAAAAAGGACATGACAATTTAATCAGAAAAAAGCGAAAAATAATATGAACAAGCAAAGACGGTTTTACATAATTTTGATAACACTTAACTCACAAAGATATCACCAGACCTTCAGGAGAGCATTTTTAGTTAATCTTTTGAAAAATATTACTTATAGAAAACTTAAAAGACACAGTCTCTTTATAGAGCTTGGGGGTTCTTATATTAAATATATTGAAAAGCTAAGTCCTTATTTCCTTTGCACTTAAATGTTTACCATTGAAGTAAAAACGAAGACATTATTTTTTGTTACTTGAACATTTTTAAACTTCATTTTTTTTTTTTTGAAACTGTGTTTTTTCAGCTTTCAATGTTTTCAAATTCAAATCAGTCTATATGAATTAGAAATATATGGATTTAACTGAAATTTCGAATGTATTTTGAATGGTTTGACTATTTTTTAAAAATTTTATAATGATTTATTTACATGCTCATAAGTGTCAGTAAAAATACCAGTTTCATTAACATTTTACGAATAAAATAATGTTTCAATTTTTTAAAGCCTGCAATTGATAATTTCAAGAATTCGACCAAAATGTTCTTTTAATTTCTATTAGTATAACAGCAGTTCTTAAATTATTTTTGGTTGGTCAAGGTAATAATGGTATGGCCATATACTATTTTGAAAATTGCTTTTTTGAACATAACATGTACAATCAACACTTTTGCTAATATTTATCAAAATGACTTGAAGTATGAAACTTTTCAAACTAAGTATAAATCGTAATATGAAAATGACGATTTGATCGAAAGTTTAAATTAACAAAATTAATTTAATTTTAAGTACAAGGCCACCTTGATCGAAGAATCTCGGAGATAGGGATATGCAATAATATATATCCCTTTCTCCACCGATAAAGATCACCAATAGAAAGGTCAGATGAAAGTTTAAAAATATTTATTGTTACATTTGTAGACGAATATTGAACCATTCCAAAATAACACTGCTATAATGTTACTACACGTTATGTCTTTTCCACTTCGACTCTCATTTGTTTAGTTAATTAATTTAACCTCGATTTCTCATTTATGTACCTTTGATAAACACGTTGCCGTCTTTTACACTTAGTTATTTAATTGCGCGCGCACGCGCACGTGTGTTTGTGCGGAGTTAACAATAGCCTTTTTAAATGTACAAATAAAATCCCTAGTACATTTCCTTTTTTTCACGCTTCTTTTAGATATTCTACCTTCTAGAATTTTTACGTAAACGGAGCAATTTCATTTCAGCTTTCTATTGGTGACTTTTCAATTGCAGCTATTTTTTATTCAAAGTTAAATAAGAACGTAATTGCTAAATATATTATTTACAGCCTTGCAAATCACAAAAGATATCTACGAGGTAAAACTGAAAGACTTCCTAAATTTCATTAAAAGCGGGTTTCCCCAGGTTTGGTGATTTTTTTGTTAATTCCTATGAAATGAAAGAGCTTAACTAATTGTTGTTTTAGAAACTTCATTTCCCTTCAAATATTTTTGAAAGCGATTATTATCAATACCTATGAGATGGTATATCCGCTTTATCGGGGGCCTCAGATAAATCACTATCAATCTGCCACAGAGCCATTCGCGTATCTTTTGAACCCGAAACTAGAAATTCATCATCTATCCAACACATATCGTAAACCCAGTCTTGATGCCCAGATTCTCCTACGCAAACGGGATCTAATGTTGGCAGTCTATAAATTGCTATTTCCGTACTGTTCCGTCCTCCAGTCGCTAGCAAAGTTCTGAAATAAAAATATCTGCACTAGCATATTGACTTACAAAAATGCAACTTTATTAATCGACGTTACAATACCGCGAGGGATTTATCTGTACAGAATGAATTCCACATTGCTGCTCTATGTTTCCCGGACCTCTGGACGAATTTTGTCTACCATGAAGTGATGGAATCTGATCTAATTTTTGCGTAGCAACGTCATAGACCATTAGTTTGTTACACTTTGTGCCAAATACAACTTGTCTATCACTGAGCCACTGAGAACAAAAGACTTTATTCATGTTATTCAAACTAACGGAATATTCTTTGAACAGGTCGTGACTTAATATGTGACGAGAGCCAAATTCTTGGTTAATTTTCCGAATTTCTCTTGTATTAGTTTCTCTCGATCTTACGTAATCTACGAAATTGAATGACGTTTTCAAAAATTGCTTGCCATCCATAACAGACTCCTCTTCATCGTCACTCGATTCATAACAAACAAAATCGTCTGGTTTGTCGGATTTCCTATTCCTTTCTTGTATCATTTCGAGCCTACAAAATAAAGAAAAAAATACGAGTTAATAACGATCAGTAATTCAGAAGATTTGATTTCTTCTAAAACTCTTTCACCTTCTGGCTCTTCTAGCTTCCAATCGAGCATTGTTTGCACAAGATGGCTTTCTACCATAAGTTGTTATACGCTGAGTTTCTGCCATATCTGTAATATAGTTGAGCGATAAACCCTCTTAGCAAATGTACGATATCGATTTTGCTACATCGAAACAGAATCTTGTATGATTGCCAGTTGTATCATGCACCACCCTGCGGATATATTCTTTCCGCGTGCAAATTCCTTACTTTGTAAGCTTGCACTCGTGGTGCTAGTTAGTTAGCTAGTTATTATCACTTCAAGAACTACGTTCATGTGGAACGCTGCAGTGAAACACTAGTTACCTGTGCGCATTAGTGTGGCTTAAGTATTGATGATTGATCTATTAGGGTTGTTTCTATATCCGATTCTGATTCGGCGAGATACTCGCCCGTTAGACTATCTCTATGTTTTATCTAAATTTCTCGTTTTGCACCAGCTATTCATCGTTATTTTAAACTTTGAACTTAGTGGCACAATTATTGATTTATCATCTGAAGTCAGGGTGATCAAATAAATTTTTCTTCCCAAAATTCTTTCCAACTATAATTGCTATATTGCGAACCGTAGATCACGTTCTGATCATGTACGGTAATTGATCGAGAGATTGTTTTGTTTTGTCTTTGAAAAGGGTGAATTTTCACGTAACCGGAGCGTCGACAATTACTTTAAATATAGCAACTATAGCTGAAAAAGATCCTAGGAGAAAAATGTAATTGATTAGCCTTGCTCTAAATCATAAATTGATTGCGTGAACTGCGGGAAAGAGCAATCTGCCAATTCAGTTATTGATTTCTCGCCTATTTTCAACAGTTTGACAACTGGGTCTGAGATGAGAGATGCAACAATTTGAGCAATATCTCAAGTTTCCTCATTTACAATGCCATGCCTATTAGTAGTGCCAATATATTTCATAAAAACTGGACAGACTTTTATAATGTTGTGAAAAATACACGTTACCCAGAAAAAAAGAGTTCAATGAACATGCAGCTCTTTCTTGCAGTGATTTGTAGAACTTACTGAAAGACTGACGAGCGAGGCTCTATTTTTTCCTGCAATAAAGCTGATTCCTCGACAATTGTTTACAGATGCAATGTGCAACAGTGCAGCAGTGCAGCAATGCAGCAGTGCAGCAATGCAGCAGGGCACGAACAAGTTGAACTATCGAATACGGACGAGAGTGTCTACGTTGTGCAAAGCTGAGCAGCTGGAGGTAGGTGACGGGTCTCAGGACGACAATGAGGCGAGGCAACCGGGTACGGTGAAAAGCTCGTAAATGCGCTTGGCCTCAGCGACGAGCGAACAGCTGAAACGACTCGGAGATTCCGTCAGAGACATTATAGCAATGGAGACATACGCGCACGCTGTTATCCGCACTCAGTGTTCTCTCTCCCTCGCTTTCGCTCTCAACTCAACTTGTAGAGTCACAGCACTCCCAGCAGCCGTTTACAAAGCGAGTGTGGCCGCCATGTTCAAACCAAGCATGGCTGGATGGCCCTCACCTCAACAAGAGCCAACAGCACCCGCGCAAGCGAGACGGAGCGAGCAGTTAGCGAACTGCGCGTGCGCGCTCGCGGCATATTTATTAGCTAGCCATCGCATAATTATTGAATGCTGATGCATTTACGTCGACCCTTTCTGCTTTGTCGTGGATCGTGGAAATATAATCGATTCTAATTACGCTCGTCTGGAAAAGCGGTGCTCGTCAACAAGTCATCTCAAGAGAAAAAATGGATCGTTCATTTAAAAAAGTCAACACGTGACACTATATATTCAATAATTATAATTCATGATCAATATACGCTAATTCCGTAACCGATGATGGCGATTAAATGTTCTTTTATGATACATCGTTCAGTAGAATTTAAAAAGAGGTTGGAATAAGCAATCTAAATTATGCATTAAAACTGTTGAAATCAATATTTATTAGTTCATTTTCTTCGAAGAAACTGTATTGTCTGCCTCGGTTACATCGTCTAGCAAAGAGCTTGCGAGAGCGAGAAAAACAATGCAGAAAAACTATGCTGCAAAGTTAAAGCTCGCGGTTTCTCGAAATCGGTAGTTACACAAATCGACAATGTCCTCCATAATATGCCGATCAATTTAATATTTTTAACATTGACTGTAGCACGTATGCTTTAGCCGTAAGTAACCTAAGTCACTATAAAAAAATAGTGACTTGCATGATTTCGACATTGTTCATCCCATAATGGCATGTCAGCTGATCATTCAATTAGGCTTCATTGCTGTAGCTCGAGCGATCTTTCACATTTGCGACTTGCGCGCTAACACCCTTAGCGCAGATCAACCGACTATAATTTAATTAATTTGATTGGTGCGATCGCGTGGAATATACTGCTCCGTATTGTCAAGACACGTGCTGGTACTGCAGGCGGCACAGATCTGAGGCGAACTTCGAGCAGTGCGCGGTCGCTAGATGGGCGGCAAGGGCGGTCATAGGAACCGCGTGTCATTCCACGTTCGGACAACGATTCCTGATACCTGTTCGACGAGTGTTAAGCGCCCGGTGGGCCAGGCACACTATTATCACTATGATTGCCGGTTCGTGTGCCGGGAGGCCTGAATTTTGTACGAAATAGCTATACATGCTACATGACTTTTCAAAGAGACAGTGCGACACCGTGGCCGTAGCTATTACATTTTGTCAGACAATAACAGCGATATGTCTGCTAGTTTCTTCAATCATACATTAACGTCGATGAAAGCATCCTTGTACTGGTGCGACTTCATATTCCTACTATTTTATTGCAGATTAAACCAAGTGCGAATTTGGAAACTTGAGCGCCCTCGTTGAACATGTTTTAATCTGGACAACTATTAACGATTCCTGCAACCGTTATCAACCATGCAATTATAAGACTATCTCATGTAACATCAAACTCAAGCTCTAGTGAATGAAGAGCTTCGAATGCGCTATTTTCGCTTACTTAGTTACAAAAGTATATACAGTGAACGGGAAAAATTTGGTGCATCTTATCCCCCCCCCCCCTAAATACTTTGCCTAAACGAAACATATAGTTGCTACTTAAAAACATTAATATTAATATTAATTATAATATTAATATTATAGCCCAGATTACGACTAATCAATTTATCAATTTTGGAGCATTCTATCCAGCATTTTCCTCACAAAATATTAGTAATGATTTTGAACTGTCACTTGTGTTTTTGTTTACGTTGAAAACAAAATATTAGCGAACGTCATAACCAAACAAGTTTTATTCCAACTTTGAACAAGGTATTTATAAAATGCTTTACTAATGAATTAACTATTACAGATCATCAGACATAAAAAATCAATTACTGCTATAAGTAATACAGAGGTTCGACTCAACATATATAATGAACGATGTTGCGCACTTTAATAGTACATTACGATACAAGTGCGGGAAAGTAGATTCTGGTCTCGTGTGGCGTTTACACCCGAGCGAAGCGAGGGTGGAAGGGGACACGAGACGAGAAACTCTTTCCCGAACATGTGCCGTACCGTATTTTTTGATACGACGTGTGGAAAGTGCGATTTTCAACGCACGTTTTCTGCCGAGCGTGCGGGAAAGACGCACTTTGCGCACGGAGTGTCGAAAAATAAATTTCATAATATACGTTATTCAGTCTAGTCTATCAAAGGTTATTTTTAATTGTTAATCGTGATACGCGTTTTTTACGTATATTCAATAAAATTATATTTATTAACAACGTCATATAAGACAGTGCATTCAAAAGAGAGTTTCTCATTTTCTGTTAAATAAATTCAAACTTATGCACAATTTATAGACATAATTTCAATTATTCGCTTCAGTTGATTTATTATTGACCTTTCCTCAATAATAAATACTTTATTAGTCAAGCTTTATACAATAATTTATCAAGGTTGGTTTCACCTATTTCTTTATATTTTTTATGACGAAACCGTTAAATAAAAAGCTTTAAAATTAATTAGTCGTGATCTAGACTGTAACATTTAGTAATGTTAATTTTTACAAGTACCAATTATGTTGCGTATAAGCAAATCATCTACATTTACTAGTATTCTCTAATTATAGAGGTAAAAAATAACTTAACATTCTTCTTAAAAATTCGACGTTTTGCTAAATATGTTTTCAGCCTCTTTAGGATAACTAATACTTGTCACGTATAAAACTTTTTGCTTATTAATAGCTAGTAGCTTGTCGATTAAGAAATTAGAACGAGAACAATTTGCCGATATTCTTTATTAATATTTAGGCCTGTAATCGTCATTGTAAAATGCATAACAATTGTTATTGTTCTATCATCCTTTAGTTCTTATTTGATAATTGTAATTTTTATACATGTTTGTTATTTGCTACGTTTTGCTATAGTATTATTTAGAGTATATCCCTCATTTTACGTATTTCTATTTAAACTAGTTAATATTTTCAAATACTTCTTACTTTTGTTAATCTCAGATAGTATAGCAGCATACGGCCTGACCAGGTCCGGCGCGTCATTGATTACGTATTTTTACGTATGCCTATAGAAAAACATGGAATACAGCAGATGTCCACTTTTATACTGTGGTATATCGTAGACTAATTCTATATTATCTATATGGATTAATAAAATTATTCACATCACAAATAATGAAAGAAATCTAATTTTTATCGTAAACCGACTCGACTATAATTCATTGCGTTAAATAATACATTTGTTCTATTATTTCTAAAAATAATTTTATTCGATTGTAAAACAGAATTACCTACTATACAAATATTACATTCAAAAACTTATTATATAGCAACATATTTTGTCGTATCACATGATTAACCCACCATTTAATGCATTTCTCTGTAGTAAAGCAATAGTTCCTTCAATGATCAAATCTAACCAAATTGTCGTTTTTCAAGATTTCTTGAGTATATCAACAAACATGTGCATTCGAATGAATGGGGCTTTTCGGATAAACGCGGCTAATTTAACAAGTTCAAAACAAATCACATCAAATGAGCTTATTTGTTATCTCTGTCACTTTAGCAAAGATCTGATCCTAAGAGCATTTCTTCCAAATATCTGATCAGATTCCGCTGCTTCTGAGAAAAAATGTACTATTTGCTGTACATTTTTAAAGCTCGGTAATTAATGAGAAGCCATCTTTATGCAATTTCATATATTGGCTTTATAGATATTCATAAAATTTCTTGGCTAAAAGTTAACTAAAAAAGTAAATCGAGTCTAAAACTTTTTCAAGATTGAAATCGCCTTGTCGCGGCACTCTTGCTAGAGTTTCATTCAACTTAAGTTTTCGAAGGTTCTGCTGCATTGCCTTGGCGTTGCTCTTTTTCTCCTGTTGGGTTTCACTGTAAACCAATGATGTATAATAATCGTTATTATAGTGCATGCGTACGTGATTTAAAAGAAAAAAAATTCAAATGACAACACTTTTACTAACAATTGATCGAAACTAAATTTGTTGATTAAAAACCTTGATAGATCTTCTAAAATAGGTTCTGAATGTAAGGCAACGAATTGCTCTCGGCAAATCTGAAAGTAAATGGTTTGTCTTCATTTACAAATATTCCAAAAAATCATTATTAGTTAATTAGTTGCGCTGCACATACTTTGTTCATTATTTCTACAGAACATGGATGCGTCCAGTAGCAGTCGTGTACAGATACGTACATAATGCCAGCACGTTCACAATGGATGCTTGTAAGCATCATATGACTAGAGTCGAGCGAGTGGACGAAATTTGGGGCAAAAGCATTTTTCTGCTTCATCATATTAGGCTTCCTGCAAGGAAATGAAGTTAGATTGATGTTAGCAACAGAGACGAAAGAACAAATAGAAAATCAAAAGCCGTAGTAAAATGTACAATTACCGATAAGAGTCCGGAGAAAAGTACGTATAAATGGTTTGATTAGTTGGTGGTTGGCAAAATTTACTGTACGGTTGTACCACCGGCAAACCCAGGGGAGTTACCCATTCCATGTTTTGCTCGCGACTAGCGCACACCAGACGAGCACACTCTGTAAACCAATCTTGGATCTCCCTAGCGCTTTTGAACATGGTTCTAAGAGTTTGGAAGGTCTTTTGCACAAGGTATATCGAGGCTGGCCACAAATGCTCTTGAGGAAAATCGGGCATGTCTGCAAGTACGCATGAGCGTCATTGTGTTTTCGCACACTTGCACTTTCCAACATACGATTTACTTACCTTTTAATTGTCGAGCAATTTGTAATTTGGCCCCAAACCAGGTGACTCCATAAACTGTCGTCATGACCGTTTGTTTGATGACTTTTCTGCGGATGAAGCCATCCAAAATTTTCGCTACCTGGTTACCCTCGGCAGCGTCCTTTCTACGCATATCGTCCACCTACGACAGAATTAATGCGGCATTTCATCTTTCTCACTGTCTTATTGACCACTCGAGCTTTCAGTTCGGGTATTATAAATACAGAAAGCCGTCAAATACCATCGCTGCTACGCTACTGTATACATCTTGCGGAGAATCGTAAGGATACAAATTAACACTCTTGGCACCGATTTCATCTCTGCCTAGAGCTGCATAGTGTTGCAGTCCATTACAGCTGCCGTCCTGATGAATTGGAAAACCCGTTTCGTACTTCTCAGGATCTGGCGACTTGAGCGCAGCCGCTATTTCCATGCACGCTGCCAGAGTTTGCCATGGTTCTTCCGACGTCGACCACCACATGGCGCCCTGTTTGAAAAGCAAGGTACGCGTAAACTCACGAATTCGGGATAGTGAACGTGAATGGCAGGCTTACACTCAACGGCTTTTCAGCGCTATCGAGAATTTTATCCATAATCTCATCAGCGTATCGCAAGCGCTCGCTAATTGGATCTCTTTTCTTGAATCCAGTCAGATTGATCGCGTGTAACTTGAGCCAATCGAGACCTTTCGGTCCCAGGGGTTTTTTCAATGCAAATACCAGCATCGACCTGGCCAAGTCGGATCCAAGGTGATTCAAGTGGGGTGGCACAGGGTAAACGCGACCTCGAAAGTCCATATTGTGCGGCAGCCAGAATATATCATTCCTAAACTGAAGCGATAACGATTGACAAGAAGTACCGATGGCCCATGGTCAACAGAACCATTATCTATTCCCACGCGACTTACGTGATTCGCCAATGACAATCGGTATAAAGCGTCACACCATAGAGAGTACATTTCGTTTTTTCTTCTCTTCAACTCAATTCTGGCCTTGTCTATTTGTCTCTTCTCTGCAGAGCTCGCGCACTTCGGCGCGGGCAAAATAGCCTTGAGAACCGAAGGAGGCTGAGGCATGTTCAACTTGCTGGATCCATTGTCTTGAAACACCTGCGTCAAACGCGTGCATCCTTGGTTATCTACTAGTAGGCAGCCTTTAATTGATACTCCTTTGATCATTATGTCTTACCTTAATAGCAACGTCGAGAATAGGAGAGTTGATAGCCCACGGTATGGAGCCTAGTTGATTCAAACTGTCCAAAGCTGGAAAAAGCTTATTCACTGGAGTTTTACGCAATAGCTCCCACTGCTGAGCCTAGCCGTTAATTACAATGCAATCCGTCAGTATTCCTTCAGATTCGCTCGCGAAATCGTAGGATAAATGTATTACTAGCTAGCTTACCCCAGTGTGATTAACTCGAATTATCTCGGTGTCTGTAACAATGTATCCTCCGCTACGTATGTTTATCCAAGGACGAGGTGGACACAAACACGGCACCAGCGTTGTATCGAACGCCAGAGTTTCCGGTTGCGATTCTCTGTAAAGTTTGGCTACAAGAGGGTGCGGCTTTACCTGGCAAGCAAGAGTAACCATTCATTCAAGCGGTATTTTTATCGATTCCAAGGGAAGCTACGTAGCTAGTGCAAAGTACAAACTTCTTCTTTCAAACTGATTCCGCAGTGTCGAAATATCTTGAAGAATGCCGATACATGCTTCGCGTGCGCATTACTTTTATTTTGCTTCAATATGTTGCTATCGATTTTAATGTCATTGAAAATAATATTATATAAAAATTTGCCAACACTCAAGTGTACATAGTTTGGCCATGTTGGTACTGCGGCGCCAATTGTCACGCCATATTTATTTGCTTCGTGTTCTAGCAATGTCCATTTAACGCGTCCATTCAGTTTGTCTTTTCTACTTAAAAACCAATCGCAGTATGCAATATAAACCTCTGAAGTTTTCTCGTTAGTTCCGTTCTTCTCTTTCATCTTCGCCTATGTATTTTAGTTAGATGACAAAGATTATTACAAAACATTGACAAATTCAATGGCTAAATGCTACAAAGTACCGACTTACCTCGTACATCTTGAACACTTGACTACCAATTACACGACATAATGAATAAAAGGGTAAACTGTACATTTCTGAGCCCATTCCTAATTTTTTTATTTCTCTCATGATTATAGAAACGTAGTCTTCCGGCTTTAAAACTGCTAAATACGGAAAAAGTACCAATTTTGTGGATTTCCTAAATTTTTCACGATTCCTTAAGGCCTCAAAATGCCTTTTGAATGCGCTGAATGCAACTTTTTCCCAATGTTTTTCAATACTACACAATGTATTTCTCTAACAGAAAATATTTAAGTTATTAACATTTATTTTCCATTGCATATTCTACTAAAAACTTACATAGAATTTCACACTATGACTTGTAACTTTCTGCTTTGAGATGTTTTTAACTACTAGTTCACCATCAATTTCGGCTTTAATTTGCTTTTTCAATCGGTCTTCTAGGTCAGATAACTTTAACAATCCTTCTACTGTACTTGAAGGGGTCGTCTCTTCTTCGTTCAGTCTCTCTAATAGTCTGCAGTCATATCTAGTATCCGGTGTGCTGTAAGTTGGTTTAAATTGATTGCCCAGCAATTTTATAACATCCTCAACGAATACCCTTTGGTCATGGAAAAACATAGACTTAGTTATGATGTCATTGAAAGATATACCATCTTTAATCATTTCTTCATGAATTTCTCTCGATAAATCTGTCAATCAAAATATTTCTGTGAATTTAATATTTCTTGTTTATATAGGGTAAACTAATGTCATTAATATGTGCTAGAACTTACTCAGTTTTGTTTGATTATCATTATCCAATCGTCCAATACATTCATAGACATATGCATATGTTTGAGCATTGAGCTTGAAATTGTGTTCTCTCAAAAATTGCAATAATTCCAAGATACCTTTTAAGTCTGATTTCGATGCCAATTTTTCTAAAAACAAATTAAATAGAGAAACATCATTTATATACAACAATTTTTTCTTGTTTCTCTTTTTTTCTGCAAAGCTGCGAAGAGCTTTGAGTGCATATTCTGGGTTACTACTATTTACGCAAGCACTGATATATCCTAAAAGTACTTTATTGAATTGTATTAACCTCTCTTCATAGATTAGTGCTTCTCTAGCTTTTTTTTTTTCATCAATTATTTTTCCTATCGATTCTTCTTCAAAGTGAGTCAATTCCTCTCTATTAAACAGATTGTAATGGAACAAATAAGATTACTAATTGATAAACTTGGAATTTATCAAAAAAATTGCATAAATTTGTAGAATTTACCTTGTAGAAACTAAAGCATTCTCTGTATCAATCTTTCCAGAATCACGCATAGAATTCAAAAGCGATGAACTTTTAATTAATGCAATTTCATCAATGATACCAGATGACTTCAAATCTTCTATAAGAATTTCACTTTCTTCTTTTGTATTTTCTTCATCTAGTATCATCTCATGATTTTGTTCAATTATATTAGTATCCTTCTGAAGATAAACAAAGCTTTTAGTCCAAAACAAGAACTTACAATTTAACAATAATAATACAATACCAAGCTAATGAAATATATATGTCACTTACTGCTGGGTCATATATTTTATCCACAGAGTTATCTGAGCTAGTAACAACACATTTATTTTTCATTTGATTTTTTCTCAATAACTGCTCATCTTTTATTTTGTGTAATTTATCTAATGTGATATCAGGTTGATCAACTAAAATAGAAAGTTGGGTTGCATTGAGATGCTGTATTGCTGCTTTTCTATTGCTAGTTATCGAATCTGTGACTGTATTATTTAAATGAAAGACAAATATTTCTTTTGCAAAAAAATAAATACATGGATTAAGGTAAGCCAAATGTAATACCTTCCACAAGTTCTGCATATTTTTTAACACGTCTTTTAAGCTTCCTCTTTGTTGTGGAATTCAGCATGACAGTATTAATAGTTGTTGATTGATATCTAGCTTGCAAATGTTGCCAAGCTATATGAACATAAATACATGCAAAAGAAGAAGTGAATAAATTAAAGTAATTAATTGAACGTCATAGATATGATTTACATGCTGAGATGGGAAAAAAAACATGTCTGCATCGAGGATAACCTAACCTGTAAATTAAACCATCTCACGAGTAAACATTCAATGACAGCATTAAAAAATCAACTGAACTCAAACTAATAATAACATGAATAATCCACAGATTTTTATCATCAACAAAGTCTTACATTTACATATATGTTTCATCGCTGTACTCACATTTCAGCATGTAGTAATAATGACAAAAATTGCAATAAGAGCAGGTCCTGGGAGCATATTGAATACCTTGAGATTTGCAGACATTTTTTATAGTAATACCGGGTAACTTTAATAATCTATACATTTTATCAAATCCCTTCACACTGGCGAATCATTAAACGTCAGTCAATAAAACTGACTACCAAATGATCGCGGTACTTCGTATGCATTGTAGCCATTTTACATAGCAAACCAGTATATTTTAGCGCACAAATTTTCAATGTGTGTGTGTGTGTGTGTGTGTGTGTGTGTGTGTGTGTGTGTGTGCGTGTGTATGTGTGTATGGTGTGTGTCTATTAAGCAAAAGAATAACACATGCAATTGTCACAGGGTAATGAATTTGTATAAACAAAATATAATTTTATATAAATGCACAAAAAGACCAATTTACATTATCTATATTTTATCAATTTTTTCAAATCAAATTTTTCTTTCGCATTACGATTGGTGAAGATGAAAATTCATTGCCTGCGATTTTTCAATTTCTGGCAAATAAATTAGCAGCGACTGAATTATACGGTCGCTCTTTTCATCTTTTCGGTTGTTTCGGCCGCTATGACTGGTCCCTTACAAGTACATACTATGCATTTGAAGCTCAGTAAGAATGAGTTATATAAAATTTATGTTAGTTTTTAATTACAAGCATTTTAACGTATAAATTACTTAAACATTGTACTATTATTTTCATTTTATCATTACTTCCAAAACTCCATGTATCCCAACATTGCAATTGTCATAATTGTCATATTTCAAAATTTTTAAAACAATATTTAATCCAATGCGATACAAATATTTATTTATAAATGTGATGACTGTCCATTTGATTAGTTGTAGAGTAAATTTACTATTCAATTAGTTATGTAAAATATGTGAAAGTAAGTTTCAGCATCCGTGACGTTTTTAGGATACATTTCACTACTTTCAAAAATTTGAAAACTTTTTTTCATATTACGAAAAATTTAGACAATAACGTAAATATACTAACTTTGTAAATTTTTGATCATAATTATCATTTTCTATGTGTGTGAATCAGTATTGGATACTTCTGAAATAAACTCTCAATTGTTTCCAAGTTTCAGCAACGGATTTAGATTTAATTTAAATTTGATTTAATTTTCAGCAACAGATTTCAGCTTTAGATTCATGAAGTTTGAAATTTCATTGAAAGATTTTATTCTAACTCTCTATTGTAATCGTGTCGATAACTAATATTATTACTCCTAAAGAGAAAAAAGTGAAATATCCATGAATAGTTTAATTCGCTTTGTATTAACATCTTTAATTTTGTTATTTAATATATTGTAATAAACGTACCGTTTGCATATGTTATATATTCTGAATGATGTCAGAAAATTTGCCAACCAATTCTTATATGAATCTGTTTTCACAAATTTGAACATTACCCGGTTGGAAATATCCACTAGGATCCCACGTATAGTTTCCCACGTGGGTATTTCCAATCAGGTATAATCTATGTTAAATTAAACTTTTTCACTTATTTTGTTATAGCTAACCAACTATAGAATTATTATACATAAAGCATTAATTTATACAACATTAATCCTACATATTTATGCTTAAAACATGACTGCAAATAATACTTATTATAATTATTCAATAAAAAATGTATGTTGTAAATTATTATAGATTTTTCTACGAGTTTTGTAAGCAACCAGCTATAGCGACCGAAGCGACCAAAGCAACAAAAAGAGCAACCGTAGGTAGACGGACGCAGGTCGCTGTTTATTTGCCAGGGATGCGCTTATTAAATATATAACATGTATAATAATTTGTAAAAATGGAAATGTACCGTTAATAAATCGTTTTGAGAATATAAGACATTATGCTATCTTTTGAAATTATCAGTACAAATCGGTAATTTTATAACCACCTGTGATACTGAAAGAAATTTTGTCGTATTAAAATTTGGTGGAAAGAAAAAGAAAATGAATAGAAATAAAATAGAGGAAAAGACTATCTATCATACTAATATAAGATTGGAGTCATAAATAACACAGGCCGACAGAATTTGACAAAAATATTTTACCAAGAACCCGAGTATAGTTTTCCGAAGGTTTTTTGCGCGCTGAATCCGAATCCGAGGTCAGAATTACTCTGGTGGCTCCGGTTTTCGAGATATCCTAACCTTAAGGTGCAAAAAACGCGATTTTTGCCTATATTTGAGGTTATGTAGCAAAAAAAAAGAAATTTTTTTTCAAAAAACTGTGTACATCAAATTAAAGTATGAGTTTTCTTCTTTCAAATGCCGTTGAGTATGCTCGGATATCTTTTTTTTTCACGAAGTTACACAAATTTGAAAATTTCAAATTTTATGAATTTAAAAAGCACCACATCATTCAGCCCAAGCTATCTAACAAGTAACCATATTAAAGAGCCACTCACCAATTTAAACCAAACTTGGAAATATGACAAAACACTAAAAAATATTGTGAGCATCGTGCTTCTATTTACAAAATGCTCTCTTACGGGTAGAAACCACCCCTGCCAACCCCTAAACAGGCTCACCCACATAACCCTGGGTAGAGCAAGTTTAATTAACTGCTTTTTGATAAAAAAACTCATTTTCTAATCACAGGTATGCGTACTAATATGATCTAGATAGGCCTCATCCCCAAATACCTCCTCAACCCTTTAAAACCAGCCCTCCCAACCCCTAAGCAGGCACACCCACATGACGCTGGGTAGAGCAAGTTAGCCAAGTGCTTTTTATTTCAAATTTGTGTAACTTCGTGAAAAAAAAAGATATCCGAGCATACTCAACGGCATTTGAAAGAAGAAAACTCATACTTTAATTTGATGTATACAGTTTTTTGAAAAAAAATTTCTTTTCTTTGCTACGTAACCTCAAATATAGGCAAAAATCGCGTTTTTTGCACTTTAAGGTTAGGATATCTCGAAAACCGGAGCCACCAGAGTAATTCTGACCTCGGATTCGGATTCAGCGCGCAAAAAACCTTCGGAAAACTATACTCGGGTTCTTGGTAAAATTTTTTGTCGGCCTGTGTAATCATTACTATTGAGTATGTAAAGTTTAGTGTTGTATAATAGTATAATAGGTTTATCGATCGTAGGTTGAACTAATCTTTTGGATAATTTATCTTGAAATGAGTAACAGTTCATCGGTTTTTGTGAAAAAAATGGGTGAAAGTTTTATTTTTATTCATGAATGAATATTGATATTTGTAGTCTATTTTAAATAGCATGACTAATTATTCGTGCCCATTAGAATCTCCAAATTGGCATGTAAAAGGTTCAAATAATGCAATAAATAGCATAAAAACATAAAAGAAAGAGCGCGCGAAGTGCGTTAATAACACTAATCTTACCCTAAAAAAATGACGTATAGCCTATCATCCAGCGTTGTAATTGGTTGATGCTAAAAAAGAACGCAAAATTTCGAATTTCCTTATACTTTTAAAACGTGGATAATAGTCTGCAAGTATATGTAAATATGTCGTTAATAAATCTTTTTGAGAACATAAGACTTTATGTTTTGAAATTATCATTACAAATCGTTAATTTTATAACATCTGTGATACTCAAATTAATATTGTTTTAAAATTTCATTGAAAGAGAGAAAGTGAATAAAATAAAATAGGGGGAAAATATTTTTATCTTGTGTGCATTACAAATTAAGAAGTATGCGGACAATGGAAACTAATTATCAGAATATTAATTCCGTTAAATTTGAAGAATATTCATAATGTTAAATCTATTACTCAAATTAATAATTGGAGCTATCATCACTGCTATTAAGTATGTAAAGTTTAATATGTTTTATAATAGTATAATAACTTATCGAACTTAGGTTGAATTAATCTTTTGGACAAATTATCTTGAAATGAGTAAAAGTTCATTGATTTTTGTTAAAAAATGGGTGATAATTCTATTTTTATTCATTAATGAATATTGATCTACATACGTAGTCCATTTGAAACTGCATGACTTAGTCGTACCCATTAGAATCTTCAACTTGGCATGCAAATAGTTTAAATAATGTAATAACAGAAAAACATTTCGAAAAAAGAGCGCGCGAAGCGCGCTAAATAACGCTCGTTTTTTAAATAAATCATGATAATTGCCAGGTTATGTAGAAGCTTTCTTGTCGGACAACGGATATCAGACGTGTACAGAGATTACCATCGTATGTTGAAAACAAATCGTTTGTTTAACAACTGGGTGTGTTCGTAATTGCGCAGGAACAATGATAAAAAATATAGGTTTCATATATTAACACTAATAGTCCAATAATATACCATTGAATTATCTTTTTTCACCATGGTAAACGTCTGATGGCCGATGTCCGATGTCTCCTTCATGTAGAAAATTCCATATACAGATGTAAATTTACATTGAAACAAAAGAATGCCACTACAACCTCGTTTACTATTACTATAATCGTCACTGTGTAGCTAAAATCGCACGTAATTGGAACAGGTTGTAATGAAAACAATCGATTAATAGCAAAACAGGTGGTGTATTTCATAAAGCATCATTAAAATACATAATATGTGAATGAAAACATTTGCGTATATTTTCGATTAATAATAACGTCATGTTGTATGATGAAATGAACATAAAATTCGCCTACAACTGTCTTATGTCTCGAGTTTCACCTAAAAATATAATATTCAAGCAATGCGCTCATGCAATGACAAATCATCCTGTTATTTCAGTATCACGCTATCAAATTTGACAGTAACATTGAAACTTATTGAAAATTTTTACTTCTTCGTCCGAGCAAATACAACTGAAGGAATCCAATTTTTTTTTTACTTTCTAATCTGGTTGGCTTTTCATGTTATTCACTCAACGGTATAAGGTGCTTATCCAGAATGTAAACTGATGCATAAGTCTAATTAAGTCAACTTACGCTTCTAATAACCGGCTCAAAAATGAAGCTCGTAGCAAAAATGCCGATTTCATTTTTAAGAAGTTAACGAGTATTTTTTCAAGTTACTTTTCAAAATATATTGATTTACATTTTCATCAAGCTTTTTATTATCGTAGTAGTATTTCAAAACAATTGAAATGACATTATTTAAGAAAAACTCTCACAAGTATAATATAATACCACGTGACAGGATGCTTTCCATTTTTAATACTTAATCAATTGTTTTTGATTTTTGAACAACCGCTCTCATGCAGTTTCACAAATGACTCTTCAAATCGGTACAATCAGGTCTTACGTTCTTCACAATTGACGTACTAGAAAAAAAATCTCATAAAAATACATACATTTTTCAATGAAATTAATTACAAAGAAAAAAAGAATTTAGCGAATTAATCAATAAACGTACCATCACCCAACACATAATAATTACGTCGTGAACCGTCCTATTAGAGGAGCTTTTCCCATTCATACAAAAAATAGCTTGCAACAAGTTTATTTTGAATAATGAATCTAGTGACAATCATTTCATAATCTTATTGATTGCATTTTATAATTAGTTAGTACGATTTTTTATATAGTAATGTATTTCTTAAAAGATTCATTCATGATCTCTCCCGGTTATATGCAGATGTGAATACATTGAAACAAAAGAATGTCACTACAATCTCTTTTACTAATACTAATCATCACTGGTTAGCTATAATAGTTTCAGAGCTGTGCACCAGGATGTATAAAAATTAATTGAAAAACTCATTTATCTCGGTCTTCCATTAACTTAAAAGTTGCAAATATGTTCGATACCATTTAAATTATTTCAATTCAAAAATGGATTATTATTCATAAAAGCAAGCATAACATCTGAATTATCAAGACGAAACTATGAGTCTCCTAAAAATATTTATTACCTTAAAAAAATTATAATTACGTGCTAATTGTAAAATCAAGTATTTCATTAACTAGAATTTAATTCAATTATAGTTAAATGTTGAGTGTAAATGGCATCCTCCAAGATCATATCATATCATTTTTGCCGAATTGCCATGTAAGATGTCATAAAGCTTTGCCAAAAATATTCAGTATATGTAGGTACTTGCTTTATTTTCATATTTCAACATAGTGATTTAATAAGATTTTAGCGATTCTTTCTTACAAAAATTACTGTTAATAGTGGACAGTTACAACTATATTAACATCGAAAAATTATTGTTTATATAACGGTGAACTAATTTACACTGATCCAATAGGAATTAAAGTAAATGTCTCAGAAAATGTTGTGCTGTGTCAAATGGTTCGGATGTGCGTGTATATGTGTAAATAAATTTAATGTCAAGAGCAACTATCGATTTCTCTTATAAAAATGCGAAAAATATAAAGAAAATAATTATTTAAAAACAGTTAAATTGCATTTTGATTTATTTAGTATATTAAAAAATAAGCAAGTACCGTGTGACGCAGTTTATACATAAAATATGAATATCTTGGTAGAATAATTACTTGCGATAAATTTATGTTTTTGCAATGTCCATAGGACATGCTCCCGAAGGATTAACCTGAGGGTTGACTAATGGTGCACCACCGGGGCTCACAATAGTAGGCGGGATCGCTGGCTTGATAAATCTGTCCGATGCACGTCTACTAGTTGGTGCTAACACATGACCCTACAAATATAATTTACTTGCCTACACTACAAGTCAATTATTTCAAATTGCATAAGAATTTGAACTTACTCCTGAAGGAGGAGATGAGCTGGAAAAAGGCAAGTTAGTAATTGTTTGTCCACATGCATAACAGCGATTGGTATTTAGATTTTCTCGAGATGCTGAACCAACTAAAATGTTTCCTGTAAAATTGTTGCCGTTTTATGAACTGCTTGATTCATTTTTAGCATAAACAAGATATAAAAGTAATATACCAGGACTGAGTGGTCTAGAACAACTTGGTGAAGGATTGTACGGCACTGGACTTGAAACAGTTCGTCCTCTAATACCTACACCAGACATCACAGTTTCATTATAATGGCGTTCTTCCTCCATTTCCAAACTGGAAATAAGCAATGTATTAATAAATTATTTGACTGAATAACATTTTATTCTGTTGCCTTAAGTTCATTGAAACCAATAATTACCTAGATTCTGACTCTGACAAATGTCTACATAAAGCTTCACGGCGTTCAACTTCCAGTTGTAACTTTCTTTGAAGCCTGAGATTTTCTTCTCGAATGTTTTTTTCCTCGTTGACATATCGTTGCATCTTCTCAGTATCTAGAATATACAATGATATGACTTTAAGCTAAAATTAAGATGTAATATGATTCATGCACAAACTTATTGGTTCATTATTCAAACTATAAAATATTTAAATATCAAACTTAAAGGCAATAGATATTTTGACTATTTTGCTATAATCAGCAATCAGAAAAAAGGCACATTTCTTTTAATTCTTACTGATGCAACAAGAAATTCATCATTTTCATCAGCAATCGTTTTGTAATTATATTAATTTCTTTTAATAAGAGTTACCCAAAGATGATTACATACTAATGCCAAAACATATCAAAAGAATTTTCTCCTCAAAATAGGATTTCTTTTTAATTTGTGCAACAAATTATGCTTATTTCAATAATATAAACAAAATATAACAAACATGAAAATATAGATATATTCATTGAAATATCTCAGTTCCTGATTATTAATGAACTTGTACTCTTTTCGATTTAAAAATTAATCTAGCTTGAGGATATCTCGAAACTATAATAGACACAGAATATAACTCCCTAAAGGTAAATTGATCCAATTAATCAATCAAACAATATGAACATACGCTCTTGCTGAGATATCAGCAGTGTATGCCTCAAGCGTGCAACTTCACTTCTCAAATTTTGTATGTGTGTACTAAGGTTAGCAGCTGTATCTCCATTATTCATGTCTCTTGGTGAGGTAGGATCTGATACTGGTTGATCTAATTTAATTTGAAGAGATCTTTTTTCTGCCTCTAACTTATCCATTCTTTTCCACAGTTTATTCACTAAAGCTTCTTGTTCTTGTTCAAGGGTATTTTCTAATTCTACCTTCTCTCTTCGTAGCTGCTCTAAATTACTTTGTTTAGCTAATGTTTCAGCCTCCAATTTCTCAATTTTTCTCATTAATTTGTTAACAAGACATTCTTGTTCTTGCTCCAAAGTTTGTTCCAACCGACATTTTTCTTGTCTTAATTGATTCAACTTTCTCGACAGATCATTTGTCAAACACTCTTCCTCTTGTTCATAATGGTGGGCTAGAGTTTCTTTTTCTTTTTTTAGTGCTTGAATTTTTTTGAGCAATGTGTTACTGATAAATTCTTCTTCTTGTTCTGCTTTTGCTTGCTGAAAGAAAATAAATTATAACAATATATCATCAAGAAGACTGAAAGAGTTAAGGAATTACAGTGAAGCCTCAACTAATTTTTTAAAGCATTCTCTTGAAATGAACAGACCAGAGTGGCCTGTGCAACAAAAAGCATAATAATCCAACCAAAATATAAATCTTAAAAAACAAACAAAAAGGAACTTGGAAATTCCCTAATCATAATGGCAATCCTTTAGAGAATACGTAATAAAGTTGGTTTAGATAGCCGGCTGAATAGATGATCGGCTAGCGAGTGACGGAGGGGCTGGAGAGTATAGATAGATAAAAAAAAGAAGCTTGAGCAGAGGGAAAATTGCCGATAAATCGTTGTTGCTCGAGAAATGGATTAAGCAAAGGAGACTTACGATAATAACGGAGGCTTGTCGGAGATTGCGATTCTCCTCCTGTAGAGCTTTCACGCGCAGCTTGTAAGTTTCGAGCTCGACCTTGAGCACGCGGTTATGCTGTTGTAGAGACTCGATCCTCTTCTGCAATTGTTCGCGGGTCACCGGCGATGGTGGCATCATAATCGGGCCCCCGTCGATTGAGCTCGAGTCGCTCTCGGATGCGCTATCACGGTCAGCCATTTTTGCGCGCACTTCCAACTAGCTGCAGGTATTATCTCCAAATCTTCAACTGTTCCCAATCGGAACTCCAACTACTCGACCCGGAGTCTACTCCTCGGCAAAGCGGAGTGCGTGCGACGGAACAGCGAGCTCAAGCCCAGAGCAAAAAGTGGGCGCAGTGCTGTACTCGGAGACTGAGGATGGCGCAGCGCACCAAGCTGGTATGCAGGTTGGGTTGGCCGTATCTACGACCAGCGAGCTGCGAAACCGAGCAGCGGCTCAAGGAGCTGAACCGACTAGCGAGTGGCAAAGTAACAGGCACTCCAATTCTCCGATCGCTGACGCGGTGACGAATGCCGGCGACCGGCAAGTTGCGAATTGGAAGCACCGCCGCGGCGGCTCTCACCACTATCTACTCAACTCGGAACTACCGAGAGGTGGCTTGCTCCGGCAACAACGAGGTCGCCGCTCCAACATGTGCTCTCTCCTCAAGACAGGTTTCCGTATAACTTTCTCCTCTGCCGCTTTCCTATAGAGGGAGGGACGAAGGACAGGCTACACAAATTTCCACGGGCTACGCCATGGATACTATATAAGTATCCATGAGCTACACAGTCGACTACGATTTGAATCAGCTGTTTCTACCACCGACTATATGTTTGCTGTTTGAATATTATTATTATATATACCTATGGCATTGCGCCTGGACATTATTTCGCAACCCGCGAAGTTCAAAAACCGAATTACTTTCGAAGACTGAGTATCAATGACAACTAACGAGGGTTAGGTCAAAGGCTTATTTCAGCAAGTTGTGCCTCCACAACTTATCAGTAAAGGACCCATTTCATGTCACTTCTACTCGATCGTTAAAAATAATTTGGATTTTGAACGATACGAGTGGTGTATATATAATTCCCATATCACGTATGTGATCTCCTATCACCCACCGTTTTACTAGCGGGGTTATTGCCTTTCAAAAGTACCATTATTGGTATTTCATTTCCTATAATCTCACTTTGAATATATGTTATAATAAATTCAAAAACTTGATATAGGTATACCCAATTCAAGCAATTAGACAGTAAACGATATATCTACTTTTCTCATTCTAAAAATGACCAATTTTCAAAAGGCACGCGAAATTTTGTTCATATTGAAACTTTTCTTCATACTCAGCTAAAGTCTTAGAAAAAAAACAAATTTATTTAAATACATCTTAATAGAAAGAATTTAATTATTTTTAATTTTCTAATTAAGTTTCAGTGAAACGAGTTATAGATAATCGCACCATTAGAATCCACACTGGGAGCGATATACAAGAATCAACATTTGCAGGAAAACTGAAAACAGATTCAAATGGCCAAAGATATCCTTTTGAAAAAACAATCACTGGTTCATTTCGATACAGAAGCAGCAAAATTGAAGTTGAAATTCCCTATTATCAACAACAAATCATTCTTATTAGAGCATTGAATATTTAATATGACTAGCAAATTTGTGTACGTACCGCAGCAATACGCAAGCTATATGTTAACATCATTTTCAGTTTGATTCTTGCTACATAACGTGCATTAACTAAAACCAAATTAATGTATATATTCCTTTTATGATATGATAGCATAGTGACAGCTATAGATAGTATAGTTGTATTGTATATACCATATAGCAGTATACCATATAGTATTGAATGAGAAAAATATTCATACGTACTTTTTACTTCTGCCTCATCTTTTAATTTTTTATACTTCCGTTGAAGTTTAGCATATCGAGCAAATTCATCTACCATAGATATGTTGTTCATTTCTTTTTTTAATGCAATCAATTCTTTGTGAATAGTTTTATCATAATTTGATTCAAAGTAACACCATGCTAATACCTTCAAAAATAAGATATATTATAAATATAAAGATTCTTATTGAAATGTTTCAAGAAGAGTTTTATTTATAACTTACAAGTTGTACAAGGTATGCAGCAATACTATCGAACAAACAATTCAAAGTTGACGAGATAAATAGAAAACTCATTTTAGTGAAGTTATATTGCAAGTTTCTCATTCATGAAAAGATAATTTCTATTAATTTCTAATAGTTTTGGAATTAAATGTTTCAGGTTATGTCAGTAAAATGAAACACTTTTATATTTGTACAATGTAGCATTCAACTACCGTCTTGAAATTTAGTCGAAATTTGGCAATAAACAATTTCTGATAAGTATAATTATTACCTATAAAATTTAGTTGTTTCGTATATATACCTATACAACTATTACAATTTATACAAACACAACCTTTAAGCATATATATACCTATATTAGCATCGGCAGGTCATTTGTATTCTGCATATTCTACAATCTACAGTAGGTAAAATTTTCATGCATGTTATATGGATATATGGACCCAAATTTGACCTAACAAACAGAATTGAGAAGTGACTATTTACTCCACTAACTTAAATTTACAAGTCATGCACAAAATTAAAAATAACAGCACTTCTATTTTCACATCAGAAGCAACTACGATATCTAAAACCCTTGATCTCATAAAATTGAGACATCAACAAAGTTATGATCTTCTTAGACTCCCAAAATATACTCTTGGCTCTAGAAAATTATAATTCTGCAAAAACAAAAAATACTATGTACATAATCCTTGAAATAAGAGAAAAAATATACCAACTAATCGAACAAAACATCACTTTACAGTTATGCTGGATCCCAGCACACTAAAATATCACAGGTAATGAGATGGCGGATGCTCTGATTAAAAAAACTATTAAAAAAGAAACAAATAAAAGTTAAATTCCCATACTTAGATATATTTAAAAAATTCGATTATCCGATTGTTTTCAATTATCTTAGCTCATTAATCGATTAGTCGATTGTAATAGAGTTTGATAATCGTTTGTGTTCGTTTGATTAGGCTCTCTCCAGAATCCAGAAAAGATCCGAGGGTCAGAAAACCGCGCGGTGTTTTGCTGCAGTCCGCTGTTTATTTGCTTTGTTTCAATTCCGTACCAACAATAGTTAAAAGCAATCTGGCAATAGCGTTGTAATATGTCGGGGTCGGAACATGTAAACACAGTTGATTAGAAGAAAAAAATATATAAATAAAAATAATGTTGATCTATAAAACTACACAAAATAACAATAGCAATGAAAAAAGTGAATTTAGTAAATTAATTAGTTATTTTCTTCTAATCAACTGTGTTTACATGTTTTGACCTCGACATCTCACAACGCTATTGCCAGATTGCTTTTAACTATTATTAGTACAGAATTGAAACAGAACGAAACAGCGGACTGTGGTAAAATACCGCGCGGTTTTCTGACCCTTGAATCTTATCTTTTGTGATAATTAATCGCCCATCACTGCTATAGCACTGCTAACTGCTAGCTTTAGATTTACAAAGCACAGTCAAAATGAAGCAAGCAGGTCCAATGTCCAATGACCAATAAATGTAGAAAAGTTGATTTACACTGACACCTGGTGATGGCATGGCAAAGCCTAAGCCCTAAGCATTGCACGCCATTAAATATAAGATAGGAAAGTATCAAGAAAAAAAGTTTTACTCAACAATCTCAACATTCTCAACATCAAGATTCAAATTGTCATGTCATTACTCATTATTCAAGTTTAATATGGTTATGGCTTAAGTCTAGCTGTAATGTGACAGCAGATAAAGCCAGTTATAAACGAAGAAGAATAAGAAAACGCGATGCGACGGCGGATGGCGTGATCTTAGATTTTCCTATAGATTCTGATATTTTTCGGTTCATTATTAAAAAACTGATTTTACAAGAAAATGAGTGATTTGGAATTGGATTTTGACAGTGATCACGAAGTTTCTGAAAAACACTCTGAACTTATTGAAGCAGTTAGACAACTCAACAAAGGGCAAAGGTTTGTCAAAAATTTTAAGGTTATGAAATGAAATATTATTTGTATATAGGTAGAAAAGAAGTCATTATTCACATGAGTATATTTCATATTATAGTAATATATTAAGATAATATAACTTTTATTCAATTTGTATTAATATTTTATAAAATATTAGAATGGAATTTAAGCTTACAATTGTATTTTCTCAAGGATAAAAAAATTGGAGCAATATGAACATAGTTTGGAAATTTCTGAATATTCAACATTGAAGAGTGCTACAGAAAATCTAGATCAGGATGCTCTTGGCATCAGTAAAAAAAAAATTAAAGCAAAACTCAAATTGGCTCCTTTGGAACGACCAGATGCGGAAAGAGTATGTAACATTGTTTAAATTGGTATTTGATAGATTTTATAATGATATGAACAATATTGTCAGATAAAACGTACAGTAGGATTTGAAAATACAAAGAAAGAACTAGGCAAGTGGACTGGTATAATAGCTAGGAATCGTACAGCAGCATGTGTCAGTTTTCCCTTGAGCCAAACCTCCATGAAATTAGAGGGCACAAATGAATATGTTAAGCGTTTTCGTCTTCAATCAGAACTACAAAAAAAAATGGCTGAAGTTGAAAAAAATGATGATATTGAAAGAACTGAAGATGAGTTTCCTTTGACATTACAAGAGATACTGGAGCAAAGACGAGAAGCTGCCAAATTTAGAGCTCAGCAGGTTTGTCTTACAAAATAATTAAATTTGATACATTTTATGTCATTGGTTTCAGTTTGAATTTTGTTATCTGTGTTCAGAGTTACAAAGCAGCAAAAGCAACAAGACAAAACAAAATTAAGAGTAAAAAGTATCACAGAATACAGAGAAAAGAAAAGATAAAGAAAGCTCTAAAAGAGTTTGAGGAGTTGCAAAAAACTGATCCACAAGCAGCATTGGAAAAATTAGAGCAGTTGGATAGAGCAAGAGCTGAGGAGCGAATGTCTTTGAGACATAAGAGTACTGGACAGTGGGCAAGAAATAAACAAGTTAGAGCTAAATATGATAAAGAGGTACTAATCTTATTCATTCTTGATTTTATTTTGACGATTGCGAAACAATATATTGAATTCAACCACCTTAAAAAAACTTTCTTAGAGCCGGCTAGTATTAGCAGCACAATTATCTATCAACAAAGAGTTGACTCGAAAGGTCAAGAAAGATGAGGACAGTGAAGATGATGATGACGAGAACAATATGTTACTTCAACAGACAAATGATGACAATGAAAATCCATGGATGAAACCTGTAAAATGTCAATCGGAAATTGATGATTTCATCAGTGGATATCGTAAATATTGGGATAAACAAAATCAATCACAAAACAAAAGTAATCAAAATGAAATTCAACTGGATAAGAGTGAAAATGAGACTATATCGATTAAAAAAATATTTAAAGAGTTTGATATTCAGGGTGTACCAGAATATGAAAATTTAGTAGAAGACAGTCAGAATAATGATGCGAGTAAGAGTAATAACATGAGAAGCTTAAAAAAATTGTCTAAGGATAAGCTTGGATTAAAGTCAACTATAAATAAAATAAAAATTATGAAATGTAAAAATATAGTGCCGGTAGGAACGTCACATTGGTCGGTTTCCCCCTTTGATTTGGCGGTTGACAATGATAAAAATCGCGATGAAAATTATTCTAACGAAATTGACATAGATGAAATGTTCGATTCTATCGATAACAAGATGCAAGATAAAATTACTCAAAAACTTGGTAGAATAAAACGTGAATTGGAACGTGAATATAAATACGAAAAAAAGAAGAAACGAACAAAGATAGAAAATGAGATGGATGACGTTGAGAAACTTGGGTTGAAGGGGCCGCATATTTGTAAACCTCTAATTACTAAACCAATTAAAGAAACGACAAATTTAAAGCCAGCAAACGAAGACCCCGTAATCGAACAGGTAAAAAACATTAGCGAGTTGAACAAGCGAACGACATTGCAAACAAGTAAAATAGAAATAGATCCAAACAAATTTATAAAAATCAAAGCGAAGCATGTAAACACAAGGTTGCCGGACGAGCTCGGAGGAGAAGAGCAGGGCCTTGACGATAGTGAAACCGAAGATCAGTATCAGATTATCAGCGAAGCTTTTGCTGACGACGACGTCGTGGATGAATTTCGAAAAGAGAAAGAGGAAGAGGTGAGCTATTTTTATGGTTTGACTTGAAATATTGGTTGTCTCGAATGTGAACGGTTCTCATGATGAAAATTAAACTTTTGATTATCTAGATAAATAAATCGCAGCCGAAGGACATCGATTTTCGACTTCCTGGTTGGGGTAGCTGGGGCGGTAAAAATCTGAAGCAGCCGCAGCGCAAGAAGCGGCGCTTCATACTGAAGGTGCCCAAAGAGAACACCCGTCGCGACGAGAATAAAGGCGACGTGGTAATAATCGAGGAAAAGTGCCCCAAGATTAAGAAACATCTGGTCGGCGAATTGCCCTTCCCCTTCAGCAGCGTGCAAGACTTTGAGGCCAGCATCAGGGCACCGGTAAGCCGCGAGTTCGTACCCGAGAAAACCTTCAGCAAGCTCATTACGCCCAACGTCAAGACGAAAATAGGCAAAATAATCGAGCCGATGAGCGAGGACGTTCTCGTGAAGACTGATAACCTGAAAAGGAGAAAGAAGCCCGCTCAAAAGAGCGAGCGAATCAAGGGGAAGGCAAAACCTGCAAGCAAAGTTCGGCCAAAGGTCGTAAGGCAGCAGCAAAAGAGTGTTACTGCGTAGACGATTCACGTGGCTCTCTTGCAGTCGAGCTCGAATCAGTAATAGTTGAGACGGACCCTTGTCAATGAAGCTGCTGGGCGCAGCAACACTAAAAATGCAAATGTAAATATGCGAACAAATTGTTGTCATTGCAGTGTATCGTATCAATAAAAATGTTTGATTTGTTCATCCACGTCTACTCGCCTCCTGTTTGTTCAAGTTGCCAAAATTTGATAAGTTAAATTAGGCAGGAATGAGTTGGTTTTGCAGCTTGGCACTACAAAGCTACAAGTCGTTAGGAGGAGTCAGGTTTTGCGCTTTAGCAAAGCGAGCAAAAACGTAGCAAGAAAGTGATAATTTTATGCTCAAGTAGTCGCACGTGTCAAATTGAGTTGCGCAAAACTTGTTGCGGCTCAGCTGCGAGCTGCGGCTAGGCGTATGGGAGTTGCGCGAAGCGTAGAAGCTCAAGGGTCAAGCGAGGAACGCGACGGCGGAGCGCGCAATCAGCGCAAGGGGCGAGCCGATGATCTAAAATTAGCCTGCAATTAATAAGCGAGTCGCTGGTCTGGCGAAGTCGTTATCCGACAACTGCAGGCGCGGGCAGGAGGGTTTGGGCGGTCGGAGCGCGCGCTGGACGAGGACCACTCGAGGCGCGGACTGCAATCGAAAGCTCGAGGCGGATAGGTGCAAAGTGCACCAACTGCCGGGCCGCTTCGCGGACGCAGCGAGCGCGGCGGAAGGAGGGAGCGTGCGCGATTGCGAAGAGCGGAGCGTGAGCGCGCAGGGGGAGGGGCGGCCGAGCGGCCGTCGGACGTTATCGGCGCCCTCGCGCGCGCGCGCGCGCGCTCGCCAGTGCGACGTACGTTGCGTATACCTGTCTCTCTCTGGCGCCCGCGCTCGCCCGTCCGCGTTCTCCGCCTGGCTGACGAGTCGGCTGGCTGGCAGTATGCACGTGCGTGTGTGAGCGAGCGGATCGGCTTGCAGGCAGCCAGGCAGCTCAACGCGGCAGCGATCCGAAAGGCGGAAGCAACCCTCGGGCACGGCCACAGCTAGACCTCGAGCGCGAACGGCGCTCGGCAGGCACACCGAGCCAAGACTAAGGGCGGGCGCGCGCGCGGCGATGGCGGACCCCGAGAGCGCGGAGCCGATGATGGGCCAGGCGGCGGCGGCAGCGGCAGCAGCGGTGGCGGCGGCGGCGGCGGCGGCGGCGAAGGACGGCGCCGAGGCCGACAGCGTGCAGTTCTTCGAGGGCGTGGAGAAGCTCTTGGAGGTCTGGTTCACCAGCAGCGATGGCGGCGACGAGCAGCACGACCTGCGACGGATCCCCCGGTAAGTCGCGCCGCGTGCCCCGTGACCTTGGCTCGGCCGTCCCCCGTGCCGCGCTCTCCGCGGCGCGCCGCTCCAGCTCTGGCTGCACGCGCGCATTGATCCGCGCGCGCGGCCGCAGCCGCGTGTTTACCTCCCCTCGGGCCGGGCTCGCGGCTCGCGGCTGGCGGCTCGCGGCTGGCGGCTCGCGGCAGCGGCGCGTCTCTGCGGCGGCTCGCTCGCGTCCGCGGATGCTGCTAGCGCTGCACAATCGATAGCGCTAAATTTAGCTCCTGGAGCCGTGCACCCCGGGCAGCGCGCCAGCGGATCGATCGGCGCGTTGCTGCGGCCGCCCCGCGCGTGACGCAGCGCCACCCCGCCGGCCGCGCGCCCAGTGTGCCCTGATTGCGCAACAGCCGGTCGGCGATCGGGCGATCGGCACTGCGGCCGCCGGCTGGAATGTCCCGCGGCGGCAGATAAGCGCCGACATCCGGACTGGTCGCGTCTGCTGGAACGTGGGCGCTTATCTGGCCACGGACCTCACAGGTCGCCGCGACCCGCGCGCCTCCGATCGGTCGCGCGTGTCTGCCGGCGATCTGGCCGGCGTCACGTGCAGATAGAGTTCCCGCGGCGCTTATCGCGATCGCGATTAGCCGCACGCCGTCGAGCCGTGCCTTCATGGCTGCTTCCTGTTGCAGGCCCAAGTGGGAGTCGCTGCTGAAGATGGTGCGCTGCGAGATCATCAGCTTCTGCAGCAGCGAGGCCATCGACGCCTACGTGCTGAGGTGAGTCACGGGTCTGCAGGCGCACCGGGCGCCGCGGGCCGGGCGGACGGGCGACCGAGCGCCGGCCGGCCGGCCGCACCACGGCCGCCGGCCGGCCGGCTCTCGAACCTTCCCGGACGTTCGCGCCTGCCGTAGTGGAAAGTTACGGCGGACGCGGCGGCGCTCGCGACCGACTACAGCCGTCGCTTCTGATTGCAGCGAGAGCAGCATGTTCGTGGCGAAGCGCAGGCTTATCCTCAAGACCTGCGGCACCACCACGCCGCTGCAGTGCCTGGAGGCGCTGCTGGACCTCGTCGAGAGCTACACCGGCTTCGACAAAGTCGAGGTAAATACGAGGCGAGCGATCGATGCGCCCAGCGGTGCGCCGCCGCGCTCCGGGCGCCGCGGCCTATTTTTAGCCCGGAGTCCGCTCGCCGTGCGAGCCCGCGCGAGCCCCGACTGGCCCTCGCGGCTATTTTCGCGCGGCGCGCTGCGGCCCCCGACGGACGCGAGCTGCGGGCGTCCGGCGCGCGGCGGCAGGCCCTTGACCCCTCGCGTCGACCGCGGAGGTGCCGCGAGGCAACCTGCTGCGCAGTGCGACCCGCGGACGCAGGGCGCTTGCGCTTGCGCGCCCCGCTCTGCTCTTGCGTAGTTGCCCGCAGCCTCCGCTGCGGCACGACAACCTATTGACCCACAACTGCGCTGCGTCCACGTGTCCGCGGCGCACCGCCGCGAGGCGCGCAACACTTGGTCGCTCGATCGATCGCGGATCACGGCCGCCGCGCCAGCTGCACCCACTGACGCTGCTCTGTTCGCGCAGGACCTGTTCTACTCGCGAAAAAACTACAAGCGAGCGGAGCTGCAGATGCCTCCGCACCGGGGCTTCGAGGAGGAGGTCGGCTTCCTGGACAGCTTCTTTCCCGGTAAGTGCGCGCCGCGCGGCTGCGAGGGGCGCCCCTCTCACGCTCTCGTCGCTGCGCAGACGGTGAGGCCTACTGCCTGGGCTCCGAGGACGCCGACTGCTGGTACCTGTACACGCTGAACCGCGACAAGCCGGCGCACGCGCGCGCCGGCCGCGAGCCCGACCAGACGCTGGAGGTGCTGATGACGGAGCTGGATCCCGAGGTCATGGCCATTTTCACGCGCGAGCTCAGCGCCTCGGCGGCCGAGGCCACGCGCAGGTCCGGCATCGACAAGCTGCTGCCGGGCATGACCATCGACGACTTCCTGTTCGAGCCCTGCGGCTATTCCATGAACGGCGTGTCCAAGAGCGTGAGTGTCGGTCGCGCGGCCGGCGGCCGGCGGCGCGCCGCTGCCCAGCGCTCACCCGCGCCTCTGCTTGCAGGGCTGCTACATGACCATCCACATCACGCCCGAGCCCGACTTCTCCTACGTGTCGTTCGAGAGCAACGTGCCCGCGGCCTGCTACCGGCAGGTCATCGAGCGCGTGCTCGCCACCTTTAAGCCGGCCAGGTTCGTGGTGACGCTGTTCGCTAACCGGGACTCGCTGGCGGCCGAGGTGCCACGCGAGCTCGAGCAGTCGGACGCCAGCCTCGGCGTCTTCGAGGCGGACTTTGTGCGCGACGACGCGCAGTACTGTCGTTTCAAGAACTACGACCTGAGCTGCGCCTTCTACTCCAAGTTCCCGAGCTGAGGGTTCATAGAGGCCTCGTCCGGCGCCGACGAGGCAAAAGCCGCCCCCCGACCCTCCTCCTCGTCCTCCTCCTCCTCCTCCTGCTCCCCCCGCTCCCCGAGGGCGGGCGGCTCGCCCTGCCGCCGCCCGCGCGAGGCCCGCCACGTCAGCCTCTCCTCCTGCGCGCTCGGCCAGCAGCAGCTCGACTGCCGCGCCAGCAGCCGGTCCACCTCGTCGCCCCAGCTGATGAGCCTCCGCTCCAGGTCCAAGGTCTACCGCAGGGCCTCGCTCAAGTCCCTGACCGGTACGAGCACGCCGCCGCTGGGCCAGTCGCGGGTCGTGCGGGTCCAGAGCCGCGGCAAGGCCGAGCAGCAGCAGCAGCAGCAGCAGCAGCAGCAGCAGCAGCAGCAGCAGCAGCACCAGCAGCACCAGCAGCGCGACAAGGAGAACAGGCTGTCGACCACCGCGCAGCCGTACCCCGCGCCCCTCCCTCGCCAGCCGCACTTTCAGCAGAGCGACCAGCAGCAGGCCAAGAGCAAAAACAGCTGCGCCAGCTTGCTGCCCATCCTCTCGCTGATACCGCACACCGTGGTAAGCTTCCAGTACCCCAGCCCCAAGATCAAGTTTTCCTGGTGGAGGAACAAGATCTCGTGAAGACACGCGTAGGCCAGTCCGGTCCGGCCCCTCTCTGTGCCCCGCCGAGTGGGCCGCCCCTCTAGTCCGCGTCGTCGCGCAGTGGCCTCCGACTCTGTCCGACCTCTATCCGACCCGGCCTGGTCGACCTCTCGTCCTGGCCCGGCTGTGGCCGAGAGCTCCGCCTGCGCTCGCCTCCTCGCGGCCCTTAGCTGTGCCGTCGCTCTTGCATTGTACTTTGCATGCCAAAGTAGTACGTGAACGTGTGTCTAGAGCCTTGTTTCTCCCTAGTAACTTCGCTTTGCTTACTCCGCGCAGTTCGCGGACCGATGCGCGGCGAACATGCGCAAACTGCAGAGCACGCTGCGCTCTGCAAATAACTGAACGGTCCAGCAGCTCCAGTCAACGGGTAGCCTCGGCGCTCGAGCCAAGGAGCAGGCCACCTTGTTTTGCTTTTAGCCGGCCAGCCTGTACGTACTCCTACGGTAATTCCCCGTTCGGATATCAACGATTATCTACTCGCAAGCATTCCAAAGCACCGACGATACCTCTCGCTGCGACAAATTCAAAGAGGTGCTCCGCCAAATCAACTTCACTTTGACGTTCCGTTTTCTATCGCACTTAGGCGCTCGCTTTCATTGACTTACGATCGTATTCTTCACATTCTTCTCCAAGCCCTCGAACAACAGACACGTGTATCATCGACAACGTTATGCGCGTCCAGTCAGACCTTGGAATCGCGATAACTTGACACCCCTTCACTGAGGCTCGGAAATTATATCAAACCTTAGTATAAGTCTCTCTTGGTCGTGTATACTTTCAGCTATCGTTTCGATTATTCGATTATTATATTTGCAACTTTCACGACCTTGTTGGACTTTGCTCGCCTCACTTTATCTTGCGGATGCTAATCAGGCAGGCATTGTGATCATCGAGAAAGGACATAGGGGACATACGTGTACTCGCGTGTGCGCCTATCTGTGTATGTGTGTGTGTGTATGTATGTGCGTGCGCGCGCGCATGTGTGCGGTAGTGATAGATCCAAGTTGTTATATTTATAATCAATGTTGGCTCGCTTCTTCTGTACATTACGATGTGCCAGTCAACGAATTAGCTTGAGAGGACAATTATTCAAGATTAATATCTATCGATCTTCTCCATCGATCAATCGGTAGACCTCTTCAAATCGTGTACTCTAAAACCCGCGTGGAAAATAACAAGGAGAAGAAGCGAACATTATAGGAGGGGGAGAAAGCGAAAATCGTCAAACGATCCAAATATTTTTATTTTTATTCTCCATTTCCATTTTCTCTTTTCATTAAGTACTTTGAAAATGTTTATTTTTTTATGTTTTAAACAATAAAAAACTGTTTCAAGATCATTTTCTTCTTTTATTTGATCTATCAATAAAAAAAACAACACCACACCTTCCTTTCAATCGGCACATCCTACACTATGAACGCACTCTCATCTCGTATCATAGAATTGTATTTGTCAAGCCAGTCGATGTCTGTTAACAATCAATGTATTTCATCGCGGATGGTGCTAATTAACTAATGCTAATGTATCAGAGGCCAATGTTGAATATAAGCGAAACTAGTTTACACAAACAGGGCTGAGCAGTTAAATTGACCGTCCGTGACAGTATAGTATGAAATTTCTCCAGTTTGTCGTGTCGCTATGTAGCCGCTGACTGTACACCACACATGCGCGCGCGCGCGCGCGCGCGCATACATCTATATATATATACACACATATATACATACATACATATATATATACACACACACACACACACACACACACACCCAGACACAAAATTATTATCCATTACTGACTACGCTGTACAAATCCAATTGTACAAATTTTATGGTTCAACAATGCTAACACGCTCGTGACAGAAACTCGAGAAAAGAGATTTCAAATTGACCAAACTAATGAAATTCTAAAGTAGCTTTGTGATACAATGATGCTTTTCTTTCAAATTTCTAGATATTCGTATGATATATATATTTCATTTCCAATCATCAATTTGATTGTTTCGCTGATTTGACGATAAAACTTGATGAAACTCGTTTGGCTTAAAAAAATCACTCCTAAACTACGTAGAATCGTAGAATATTATGTAAATAAATAAATATGAGTTTAAATAAATAGAAATATTTTTAATACTTCAAACAATGAACTGATCAACCTCAATAAGTTTTTCGCGATACTTGTATGACCGATAATAATATCAAGTATTGATATTATTACTAAAAGTTTAATCGTCAGTCGGTTGATTGTGAGTTTTAAAAACGTACAATAAAAACGCCGATGTTTTCAAAAGTACAAATTGTTATTCCCGTCATAGACAGGACTTATAATGTATAGTTATCCAATAAAATATATCAGAAGTACTTGCTAAATTTTAATACTTAAACAGAAGCAAATATATCTATCGTCACGATTTTTTTTTCTTTGAGAGATATACTACAACAATGGGTGAGGATTATATGTCCAGCTCTGCAAAGAATCAAGCAAGTTGTTGCGAGTCAGTGGCAAGACACACAGTATAATACCATAAATTTGACGAACAGTCTTCAAAAAATAGGCTACACTATACGAATATAATAGAATACATGTTAAACGTAGATTTAAATATTTCGATGTTGCATGGTAAGTCTGTCTTACTCACAATGTTTTCAAGTCACGCATACCAAATCGAGTAGAGAGATTGAAATTTCTCTTAAATTTTTTAGCTGTGTGAACGCTGCGCAAGCCACTCGACTTATTCCTTACATCCTTATCAATCAAACAATCTTTTCTTAATAAAATTCGCTGTACAATGTATCTGCTTTATATTCTATGCTATGTAAATGTTTAGCAATGAATACTTTGGCAGAGCCAAGTGTACTACTGATAAATTTCTGCAAATTCTATTTTCATATACAAATAGCGTGACAAATAAACAGAACAGGTGTATCCTTATATTTCTGCACAAATAATACTATTAGCTTGTAAATTAATTTTAAAACATTAACATTTCGTCGTTAATAGTTGAACTCGCGTAAATAATCATTCCGTGCCAAGATTTTTGAGATTTTTCAAGGATCGCGGTAAATAAATAACATAAATGAATAAGTAAAAAGTATACGAGAAAATGAAAAACAAAAGAATACTTCGAAAAAGACGCGAAAATGTCTTGATGCTTGGTCAAAAGCGATTAAATCATTGTGTTGAATTCGGCGGACTCATCTTTGTTGAATCGAACTCTCATACCTTGAAACATCGAGTTGATTTTCGATCCTAATCTTCTGTTGGTTCTTCCGCAAATAATATTCTGCTCTGGCGTGAGCGAGTCATTCATTTGTACTATGTCCAGAGCATTGCGAATGCAATCGAGGGCTGTCAATAAACGAGATTCGTCATTCAAAGAGTCCAAATAAATGAACGATTTTGTTGGCTATAGCCTGCTTCGTCAATCCAATTGTGATATACTTATATGTTTATGAGACAATTATTGTATGCGATCAGCTTATATAATCATGTGTGTATATACAGAATACGTTTACACGTATTTGTGCGTGTGCTGTTGTAACGTTCTAATTTCTGAATAAATTGGAGTATGATGAAAAGACGAAAGAGGTGCAATGACTTCAGAGTGTAAACTGATTGAACGTTGCGATATGGGCTATATGATTATTGATCGGGTGTTGGGTCGAGTGTCGGCATTGGGTTTACCTCGGCGAAGATCCATCTCGTCCATGTCTTTGTCGTTGAGTTTGGCGAGCTCCTTCCTGAAGCTAAGAGTGAGCTTCTTGCGCACGTAGTCCGCCTCTATCTCCTGCTTGGTTCTAGGTATTCGGAACTTGACGCAGCAACATATCGTGATTGTAACGGCGAGAACCACCGAGAGAATGATGCCGACGAATTGCCAGAGCCGCATGCCAACGATCTCTTCTTCCAGCCACTCGACCTCGCCGCCGCATTCCTCCGTCGCATTGCACAGCGGGGAAGAGGAGCTGAAACCGCCGTCTAGCGCCAACTCCATGCTCTCTGCTATCCAAGCATGCCAGCTCTCAGCGGCCAGCAAGCGGCGGCTGTTTGCCGCGAGGCAGACCTCTCCTCACTGAGCCACAGCCTTTCGATGGTGTGCAGGCTGCCGAGGGTGTGGCGGTTAATTATCGTCTACAGGCACTCCCTGCTTTTTCGCTGCCCTCCTTCGCCAGCAAAGCCTCGCTCGTTAATTGTCTAGTAACAAATCAATAAACATAGCTGACAGGATGCTCTCCATAACTGCAAGCATTCAGAGCGGCGCTTCAGTTCATATTGCAGACATAACATGGTATTTATAATCGATATCATAATACGCAGGAGTGTGCAGCCAACTGCAGCCATTGTTCGTTATCACACATATGTAACTCATCGGCTCCAACGGCTATCCGATTTATTGTCGGATAAATCGAAAGTATGCTAAATGTTAAGCCTGGATAGTAGTGCGCTCAACAATTATATTTTAATATTCAATTTACGCACTCATTGCTTTCAACGTCAATCGCAATGATCCATAATGATGGATATTTTTTCCGGGCTCTGTTATTTAGGCTGCTAAAAATTTTCTTTTCATTCATTTATTTATGTCTTTTAGAACAGCAAATATCAGTAAGTACCGACAATTGCGGATCGTCGTATGTAGGACATTAGGCATGCTGATTTTCATAGGCCAACATGTACTGCAACCAACGTACTATGCTATAATTTACTTTTTTCCCTGGCCGTGGCCACGATATTTTAGAAAATGATCGTTTACTATCTCTTAATCGAGTAGTTCCCCAACAAAAATGTAACACCTTATAGATAATGTGAGCTTTCATCAGATGCTACATCGCAAATGGTTTGTGTTGTCCTATCTTCTTTAATTTCTCAATTAAAGAAAATGTCGCAGAGGAATATCTAAAAATCGATCAATTTCTTCTCGATTTATTTTCATGAATATCAACAGTCTACCATAAATATATGCAGTCTTAGGATATTACTTGCGCGATACCGATAACATTAAAATTTTTCAACATTTTTAAGTGACTTTTGTTGATACGATTCACACGTTATGGCAGTTTTAGATATAAAATTTTTTTGAGTCAACAAAAGTATATACATTCACTTTTGATAGGGATCATTAATAAACTAAATACTATGAGGAATACTCCGTATTTTTTTCCACGTTAATCGACCAATGACTTGTACTTGAACAGTGAGTTGAATATAAGAGTAAAGTTTTTTTTTTTTTTAAAGTGCAGGAACAAAGTTGAGAATCTGTTCAGAACCACCATAGCACTGGAGGCTTCTTAAAACCCTCCTACAGATATTAACACATAAACATCAGAAAAATTTTTGACAGCTTTGTGCTGGCAGGTTGAAGAAACAATTTTAAAAAATGCTGTAATATCGTGAACGGCTTTGTCTATCAGTTTTATTTTTCCACCAAACAATTCACGAACTAAATATCTTTCGAACTATCATTTTTGTTTTCATTGCACTTTATTTTATTTTGAAATTTAGTTATAAATAACAAGCGTAAGCGTAATATTCTGAAAATAATTTTTTTCTCTTTTTGGATATGTCTAATTTTCGATCACTTGAACGAATCATCATCACAATATTTTAAAACTAATACGATTTTAATGAATCGGAAGAAATAATATTAAAAAAATGTTCAGCTTCCAGGATAACAATATTTCACGATAATTATTAAATACTAATATGAAGCAAAAAAAAACGAATTCTCGCTGGTCTAGCTGTATGCTCTACATAACTTTATAATCAATTTAATATTTACTTTCGATCAATGATTACGAAGTCATCCAGCCTGAGAAGTAATTGAAAATATAATAGAGAAAATTATATTATTCCTATAATGTAATCAACTTGTACTTAAGCGAGAATAAGTTTTCTACGAATTTTTAGGTTAGGTTACTCTCTGTCGTTCTTTTAATGATAAATTCTTGACCATCTATAAATCAACATCAAATTTTTGCAAAGCTTTCGTGAAAAGCATTTTTAACTTTCTCAAAATTGACTCGATTCTCTGCTTTGAGTTAGTCTTGTTTCACTGCAAGAGCATCTATGACAACATTTGCGTAACATCACAAGAATTCGCGAGATTATAAACAATTGAAACAAGATAAATGAAAAATTCGGCATAAGATTGTTTCAGTTTCGAGTACAATGTAAATAACGATTGACTAAATGCGACACAACAAAACTATGAATTACGTAACTGCAAGTAGAAGAACGATAAATCGTTTTTATTGTTATTATTATTATTATTATTATTATTATTATTATTATTATTTAATACACTTCATAACGATTGATCGCCATATAGTCTCGAACCCGTATGCACTTTATCGGTTTGGAAAAAAAAAACCCAGAATGCTAACTGACGAGTCTGCAAAAGCATTTATTATAATCTGTATCGCTTTGAAAAGTCAATTACCAAAAGGTAGTGATTTTCTCAATACTTATATCTGTGGCATCTCAACCAAAACTTTTATTAAGATTAGTTCTTCTCTGCCTGTAAATCTTACAGAAGCAATGAGAGACAAAACTTCGTGCTTTGTTCGTTTTTATATTTTTGTATTTTTGATTATTTTACAATGCTTACTCTTTCCGAATGAACGTTCGACCCCTGGAAAGAAATTAAAGATTGTTTTTTAAATAAGATTTAGAAGAATACACCAACGTGCTAAATTAAAATACATACGTAATAGTTTTTTTCTCCGTGGTTTTAGGCTGAGAGCGAGCTCTGTTTAATACTTTTAAAAAATCAGTAGTTTTAGTTCGCATACGTGAATGAATATAAACCTTACTACACTTTATATGATAGTGTAAATAGTGTCTGAACATATGAATTAAGTCAATAGTATTACTACGTGCTTCTTTATTTGTGTGCCTTGGAAAAAGTACTGCAATAAATAAAGATCAAGTTGTTTAAATAAAATTATATTTACAATATTGCAATACAACTAGATTAAAAATAATTCAATTACCAAAAGTTATATAGCCAATGCAGTCACTGATTTGAACAGATGCATCCTGCAATTCCAAAGGAGGTTCACGATGACTAAAGAGTACTTGTGGAGCAGTGTGGCTTGCTCTTCTACCTTCTTTAAGCTCTTGTAGAAACATTTTGCCAATGACCATATCATCAACGTCTTTAAATATCGTACTGAAAACTACTGTGACTCGATCACTTTTTGCCTCCACATAACTAATGTACAATAAAAAAAAAATGTATTTGTTTGATATGTGTTTATGTATATCGATATGAAGAAATATACAAAACAATATTATTATTACATAATTTCTTGATCTCTGTATTGAATAATAGCTTTCTTTTGTAATTTGCTACTATCTTCTGGGGATTCGCTAATCTTTTCTTGAAAGTCAAAATACTTTTCAAATATACTGGCAAAGCAGTGTCTTTTCAATAAACCAATTTTTTTTACCAAACTTTCATAATCTTCTGGCAAATTTTCAAGATCTATCATAACTGTAACACTATAACCTATAAAGGCAAATGATAAGTTAAAACTAAGAAGCTCTGAATCTGCAAATATATTAGCACTAAATATTTGAGGCTTTTACCAGACTCTGGCTCAACCAGATAGCTGCCGTATTCTCTTTTAAGCAAATCATCAGCTCCATGCTCTTGCAATTGTTTATAAAATTTGAGTAGTGCACTTATCTGTAAATGAGGAAAACCTTAGTGTCGCTCTTACTTTGTCAGTAAGTTATTCCTTACTCTAATTTTTGACTTGGCCTTGCTCTGATTAGAAATGTGAAATAGCACTCCATCAAAGTCAGCTATCATAACATCTGTTGACTCCAATTTACCTCTGAAAAGTAATACTTTTTCAGAGAAAACTTGTGCATGTTAATTTACAAAACGAGACACTTGCTTGAATTTATCTTTAAACAGATAGTATCTCATACAACAACAAAATTTATCCAATAGAAAAACTTGGCGAACAATCATGAAGCATGTAATCAATTTGGTAGGAATAAGAAACAAATAGCAGGAGAGTCATTTTTGGATAAGATTAGGTTGCGCCCCAGTTATTGCAACCATTATCAGTGTGTATGTTGGATTGGTCGGCAAGAATCATTAAATACGTAAAAAGGATGTTCAACTCGTGTCTCTCTCTCTCTCTCTCTCTCTCTCTCTCTCGCTCTCTCTCTCTTACTGAGGAAATGAAAATAACGAGGGCGGAAAACAGAAAGATAGGTGTAAGAAAAAAGATGTATTTGACTCACCCTGCCAAGGCATTCTTAATTTTGTTGGTTAATGTCTCCTCGATTATTCTGTTGTTTATCTCCAGTACAATCATCGCAAAGACTATACTATCAATTATGCTGCACGAAAGTTAACAAACAAAATTCTCTCAAGCAAACTTGATCTATAGCCATTCAATTTGACCGGACGGTTACTACTGGTACATTTGTGCGCAACACGTAATACGCAATGCGTTACATAGATAGACTATATGTATGTCAGTATTGTCGGATCTTCCTTATATACGCCTTCTCGGAGTTTGCTCAAGCGCAGCACTTACCTCGTATACACACATACATGCATATGTATACTCAGGGTACGTTGTATAACTCATGGAATAATTCAGAATAATTCAAAATTAGCCAATGAGTGAGACAGTTTAATAATGTTAACCTAATAACATTTGTTTTTTTAAACGTTCTACGAGTTACAACGTATCCTGAGTGTATATATACATATATCACGAGTAAGCGGTACGAAGCTAAATTTTCATAAGTAGTCGCCGCCGTTACAATTCGCACTTGCTCACCACTACAATTTATGATCATTAAAAATATTTTTTCATTTATTTGTGGTTTTTTATCCTAAATGATGAACATTATTTACAAAAAAGCGTCTATATCTTTCTTGTATGAAATTTCAACAAACTATTAAATTTTTTTTTATTGATAAAATCTTATAAGCAAGAACATGTTCGCAATGAGACTTAACATCCGTTAAAACGTGGTGGAAGTAAAAAGACATTTTTATTTTGCTGTCAAAACAGACTGAATAAAAATTATTTTATTTCTATATTATTTTCTTATCAGAGAAGACAATTAAGGTGTGACAAATAAAATACGTTGCTGCGGTAACTTCAATATAGAATGTAAAATTCCACTTGTTGTATTCGCCACAACTGCTATTGCAAGTTAAAGCAAGTAATAGAAGTAAGCACAAATTGCAATCATTTTGTAAAACGCGCTGAGCGGCACACGCATGCGTCACAAGTCGTAAGCAATATTTTGGAACGTGGAATACTATATAGAGTGGAGAGTCAGGCAGGCAGAAGAGAAAAGAGGATGAAGAGCATAGCAGGTAGCTACATATATATATATATATATATATATATATAATATAGCTCTCGACGCGCGGCACGAGAGAGAAAGACAGAGAGAAAGAGGGAGCGATGCTAGATAAGCATAAGCGGGTGGCCAGCAGGGGGGTAGCAGCTTTGACGAGCTCCAGCTCAGATTCGCGCGAGTGCAACTGCACTAGCACATAACCACGGCATTATCTGACTGCAATTCACGGGGCTCTCACGCCAAAAGGACCAGTACACCTGACCACGGCGACATTGCATTCGCCTACGTCATTCACGCTATACTTGTGTCAAGGTAGTGCGAACAGACTGGACAAATCAGACCTGACACATACGCAACACAGTCCAGCAGACCACACCGTACGAGACAACCAGCGAAGTAAAGAGGTTAGAGGACAGTTATTAGACTACGAGGGTGGGAGTGTGCAGCAGCGTACGGGCCACGGACTACGGCTGGCGAGACAGACCCGGTCAAGAGTGTAAGGCAGAGACAGACCGAGAAAACAATGTAGACACACACAAAAAGCCCAAAAGAGCAATTGCGGGAGCACTAGCGAGTCTGCATTAATACGTATGGAGGTGCAGTAGGTGCATACTGCTTGTGAGTTGTGTGTCTTGCTGTGCGCGCGCTACTCGCGATACTCGCGGTCAATCACAAAGAAAGAGTAAAGCAAAGGGTTATCCGTGAGCCAGGACCAGGGCCTGGACTCCTCTTCGTGGCACTTTTGCGTGATCGAATCCAGCTTCGCACTCGTGAGTTGTGTGCTGATTCTTTGGACGCGAGGAGCGAGAGGTGTGCTGGTGTTACCGCGCGCGTCAACGAGAGAGAGAGGGAGAGAGAGAGAGGGAAAGCGTGCGCGAGAGGAGTGGTGCACCTCCGGTATACTGCCGAGCAGACAGACGGAGTAATCAGTGATTCTCTCTTAACCTTCTGTCCTAGTTATGACACCTGGCAGTCGTCCACCGAGCACACTTGCCTCCTGCTAGACTCACTGTAACAACGCTACGTTATTCTACTGTTGCCACTGTGGGCACTGTTGCTGCGACTGCAACTTCTCTTATCTACGTCTTCTTCCGTGGCGATGGGCCGGCCAGTGTCAGTTAGAGTGTGACGAGCACAGAATACACCCAGTCGTGCTGTTGTATAGTACTGTGGCAGCGGCGGCTCGTACAACTCGTACGTGTATATATTTAGTGTGCGTGTCTCAGCCGGGTTGCTGTTTTTTGTGCCTCGCTCTGTCAACCATCAGGCTTCAAGCTGCATCAATCACGGAGCCACTCACGGGAGACACCGTCACCAAGCGCAGTCATGGCATCATCCCAGAAGGGGATACAGATCGGCAACGCCTGGTTCCAGAAGAAAATCAACCTCAGGCCTCAGCACAGAGGTGTGCATCTGGTCACCGAGGAGATACTCAGGCAAATCCCTGAGCTCTGCCAGTTCTCAGTTGGCCTCTGTCATGTGCAGAGTACGTAAACTGTCTTGTCACCTCTGACTATTGTCTGATCATCATGGCCACAATAGTCAACTTTACACAAATCTCTTGTCATGTTATCATTGGAACTTTGATTGCAGTTTTGCACACCTCTGCAAGCTTGGCACTGAACGAGAGCTGGGATCCGGATGTGAGGGACGATATGGAAATGATGCTGAACAAAATAGTTCCTGAAGGACTACCATACAGGCACAGCTGCGAAGGGCCAGACGACATGGTGGGTAAAATACTTTGCTATTCCAATGTTATAGATGACTCTTTGTCTTTCGTCATGGAAATGAGAAGTACATGGTCACAATGACTGCACCGCACTCAGAATGAGCGATATTTTGCAGCCGGCGCACGTGAAGGCCTGCTTTCTGGGCTCCTCGCTGTCCATCCCCATAACAGACGGCAAGTTGGCTCTGGGTACGTGGCAGGGTGTCTGGCTGTGCGAGCATCGCGACCACGCAGGCAGCCGCAAGCTCGTGTTGACGTTGACCGGATGCCTGAGGGACTCGACGCGCAGCCCTCTCAGCCCCGTCAGCCCAATCGCCTCGACGAGCAGCTAGGACCACTCGCATCCGCGACGGCGCGGCAAACGCTCGCTGCGCAAGTCCACCTCCAGCAACACCAGCTAGCAGCCGCCCACGCCCGGCAGCACGCCCGCCTCCAGAGCCCCATCCGACCGCGGCTCGCAGGGCTAGCCGCGGTCACCCGGGGTGCGCTCTCTCGCCTCCTTTCGGCCTTGAGCCTCTGCCGCCGCCACCTTCGACTGACTCGACGCACCCCGCGGGCAGAGGGTCTGGCATTCTTGCCTGCAACCGTCTTCTCTGTCGCGTCCCTTGGCTAGATGTGCTTACACTCGCGTAACTTTATTCGCCAAAGTCGCAAAACTGTCCGCGCATCCTCCAGTTTCATTTGAGCACCGCGTCCTCGTCCCACTAAGTGCTCACTTCGTTTCCTATTGTTCCTTTTTTTATGCTGATCATAAGCGCGGCTTTCTTGTGTTCCGGACAACTAACGCATGAGAATCTGCGCAGGCAAGATAAAGTCTCGATCCATGAATATTAGTTCGAGTGAAGAAGTAGAGCTCGATGATAGAGAGCGAGAGAGGACTTGTACACACGTGTCTGGATAACCTTTGGTTTTCCTCGCATCGCGAAGAAATAACAAATGATGTCGAGGAAAAACTTTGGTCATCGTTTTGTCGAGAAACGAACCGTTAAAAAAGCTGCCAGAGCAGACCGTTTTGCTCGTAGTCTGCATAAATATAAATATAGATATATACGTAACATGTACATATATATATATATATATATATATTTATTTATTTATTTATTTATTTATTTATTTATTATGAGCTCCATAGAGAGACTCTTACCAGAATTAATAATAATAATAATAATAATAATAATAATAATAATAATAATAATAATAATACCAATATTAATAATAAATAAAAAGAAAAAAAATTGATAAAAACTTGCAGTTGTAGGGTTCAGCACTATTTCCAGGTATACTCTTGGCAAAAAATGAATCTAAGTTGAGCAAACTAAATCTATACATGTAGTTTTTCAAGGGGCATAACTAGTTACAATAGCGATGCAACTTCCCATTTCAAGGAACTACAAGCCAACAATAATTGTCATTTGATTGTCTTATTCGTGGTGTGCAAGAGTACGTCGAGATTATATGAAATAAACATCTTTGTGCAAATCTTGAAATTCGTCAACAATGAGAGCACAGCGCAATTTTGCTACGATATTCCGAATGCAAGACCGAGTTATTTACATTCTTGTTGGTTCTACTTATAAATAAGATGCTGATTATCTTCCCCGATCAGATCAGTACTGTAAATACATTTGATCTGAATGATATTATTGGCGATTTTCAAGATTTGATTTTGCTAAAAATATGACTATGGGGGCATGAGAACAAATTTAAAGAGCATCACAATTTATTAAATAAAGAATCACAAGTTTTCAAAGTGTTATTTCAAAGATTAATTACAACATTGCTATTTTTTTATTGCGAAGAAAAAGATAATAATAATAAGCGCAGCGTATAATCCATTGATTTGTCAAAGAGAACAAAAAATCCGCGTGATAGTGAGAATGTAAGTGATTGAAAGGGAAACTGAACAAGTACATTTGTACGAGTAGGGAAAAGACGTTGCGAAAGACTTGAATAAAGAATGGCAAGCAAAAGGAGACGGAAAGAAAAAAAATGATGAGAAATCAGGCGCGTGAGCTATTATAAATAGAAAAGGGAGAAGCGTTGTTATGAAATAATGAATAATTATTATAATTTACAATTGAATATAAAATATATAAAAACGATGTAAGAAAAATAATAGTATAAAATAATGGAGTAGCTATATCGGTCATATTGTACAATTAATCACACAATATATGTAAAGTAAATTTACTAGCGTTTGTCGAAATTTGATACTAGCCAAGATAAAGATATCGAAGAGTAAAAGGCGAATTGCATCGAGCAGGAATATTAAAATAACGTAGCACGCGCAGCAGTCACCAATATCCGAAAAATTTTTGAATTTTAGCGCGCCAAAGCACATACGGATGAGTAATTATACTTGCAGCTGCGTCAGGGAACGCTAGATATACGGCAGAAGGATTGATAAGCTTTATACAAATGTGTGGTGTGTGATTGGTTGACTTTAGTGACAATGATATACATAAGACAAGCAGACATTAAAATTGATATAAAGCTTGGTTGAGAGCAAGGGCAAGCGTGTCTGCGTATATAGTCAGATAAACGAATGCGCACGCGACGCTCTAGGTTTTGAAAATATTAGATTATTCTTCAATTTTATTTTTATAGTAGTAATTTTGCAAGATTCATTGTTGACGCATACTTTTGCCTTTTTTACAGAATCAAAGTCAAAGTAAATATGTAATGATGAGGTGGCGGGGTAATTTTATTCCTTCTACTTCTGTGACCATCATTGTAAAATAATAGCGCTTTTACTCGAACATTCAGTGACATTTGCATTTCGTAGCTGCGCACCACACGTCGCACTTCTACCATTCTATTCCGATAGAGCTTATTTTTTACATTGAGAACATTTTCAAGTATTCTCAATGAATTATATCGACTAAGTTTATATTTGTTGAATAGAAATATATATACAATATATTATTTATCAAAACATGTACATAGCGTGTAAATTATCAATTATTTTCAGTGGGGGTCCATTGAAATACACGTAACAACTAAAAACGAACGGAAAATGAACTCTGATCCTCGATACTTCATTTTCATTGTATATCATGCATTCAATACGACTTTCATTTGTCAATTTTTACTGAAACTAAAATGCGTCTATCAAATATCGCAATATTCGAGATTTGTAAATTTATGTAAAATGTCTTCAAGTTGAGTATAAAAGTGAAGTGTTTTATACAGCTGTGGATATTTGACGCTAAATTAATTATAGATTATCGGTAATTTTGCGTGTATGAATAATATGTTTAATTGATTGAAAATAATAATGAATTAAGAGAAATGTCATTGTTCGCTTTAATTTGGAAAGTTTGAATATTGTTGACATACGGAGAATTGGCGAGATAATTATTTTGTATGCGGTTTGGAATCGTAGGTGTAGGTAGGTAATATTTTGGTAGGGTAACAAGCAAGTGTTCAAGTCTAAAAAGAGGCAGTCAGCAGCGAAGCTTTAGAAGTACGTAGTCCACAATTAATCGTGGAAAAATCCATTTGATACGCCAATTTTCTACTGCTTGTATGAGTTGTTCGTTCTGTAGTTCTGATCTGCACACGAAGCGTATACGACGGTCAGCGTTGTCGAGCGAGCGGAACGGCTGCGCTCAGCTTGTTCGACCTACGCTTAATCGATCAACCTGTAAGATATCGGCTCTTGTTAGTACCTACACTGCTTGGCAGCGCGATACAAACGTGTGTGTGTGTGTGTGTGTGTGTGTGTGTGTGTGTGCGCGCGCGCGTGTGTGTAGTGTGCATCTGTCGGCGCTTCTTCGCCGATTTCATTCGCTCGAGCAGCCTGTTCAGAGCACTAGCGCGTGCAAGTGCGCGTGTACGAGTAACTAAGCGACGACGAATTAGCGCCAGTGCGCTCGTGTGCTGTGTACGATCTATAACGGAACAAACGAATAAATCAATTGAGAAAAACAAAGCTCAGCTGACGTCTGATTATGCCGACAGTCGTTTATTCTCGCTTATCTTTCTTCGTTATTTCGACACTTGTAATGTTATAAGCCCCGAATGGCCTCTGGCTGGTCTCGCTATTGCGACCAGCTGGATTAGACTCTCGGCTCTCCTCCAAACTAGCCCAGCTTTCCGAGGCCAGTTCTCAGGCGCTCAGGCGCTTATCTAGCAAGTGCTCCGCAAAAGCCAACGCGCGCTTATCTAGCAAGTTTGTGCTGCGAGTTGCGCCTACGACGCGGACGACTGCACGAGGCGTATTCGTGAACGCTTGTCCAGAGCAGCGAGCAAGCAAATTTGAGCGGCGAAGCGAGCGTTTTTATGGATACGCCAGCGCGAGAGCGGGAAAAAGAGAGGGGCGATCGGCCAGCATAAAACAGGCACCAAGACCACAGACAAAGCGCGGCCCATCGCTTTTTCTCGCTTCTCTCGATTTTGCTGTCATTTCAACTTTTTTGTAAAGATAATTGCTATAATTTACCAAATACTTGCCTCTTCGAATGACAATTCTATATACGAAAATTATACTTGACATAGTTTTCAGGGTATACGAGCTTAACGAGTCACACACAAAAGAAAATAAACACGTTAATAAATAAATCAATGACAAATAACAACTGTTATTTCGGTGATTTTTTCTATTCTCATTTGCAATTCTCATTCTGCAACGCTGCTGCAACGCGGCTGCCATTGGACGTCGCATGCGGATGACAGCGCGGACGGTTAACCGGCGCATCGAGAACCAAGATAAACGAAGTCTTAGCGCCTCTAAAACGCAGCTAGGGGGAAAGTGTCAAATGAAATAACTCGGACATGGCGAGGAAGTTGTGCGGACACAGCGCTCGTACACCATCCAACCGTATAGTTATATTGTTGAAACATGCGCGTTTGTCGAAGCATCCGATGGCGCGATCGTTACACTGCGCACTGCATCTGCATTTCTGCCGATCGCTTGAGACAGTGGTCGACTCGTATTTCAGTCTCGTCGATGTCCCACGTAAATTTCTCTCAATTTCGAGCGGCCAAGGAGCCTACTGTGTTTCGGCAGAGCTTGTTCGAACGACTGCTTTCACTGCCTGCGCGCGCAAGCTCGACAAGCAAGACATCTCGTAAGCATCTCTCGTGCCTTATAGCAGGCGTGCGCGAAGCGAAAAGCTATTTGCGAATTCGGACCGACTATCAAGATGAGTAGAGGGTTCCTTGCGAGTCCGAGTCCAGGTTCGTCGAATCCACTGAATGGAGTTGGCACCTATTGCTACCCGAAGAGAGTATAACCCCGTAGGCTGAGAGAGAGAGAGAGAGAGAGAGAGAGAGAGAGAGAGAGAGAGAGAGAGAGAGAGAGCGCAAGGATAGTGTCTTTCATCGACACTGGCGAGGAGCGTAGAGTCACACGCGCACCATACTAGTATTTTAATCCTACTAAACGTTGCTCTCTTTGTTTGTCGCCTCCAACCGCCCTATTCGCACGCACACTCGGCAGTTCGAACGGTCTGCAGTGGCTATACGTGTTGTTGACTGAATTTGTTTATTGATCAGATGAGAGCAACATTGTGAGAATAGCAAACGATACAATCGGCGAGTAGGCTTCTCGCATATCCGGCGGATGTCGAGGCACGCGCTCAGCGCCGCGAAGGGGGCAACTCGACGCCGAAGGCAGCAGGCTGGGCCTCGGGCTCGGGCGACTCGGACACGGGCTCGCTGTAGTCGGGGGGCAGCGGGTGCGGACCTGGACTGAGGTCGTTGGCCCGCTGCTGCACCTCCCGGAAAGAGGCCTTGATGTTGTCGAGGGCCGCGCCCAGGCCCTCCTTGATCTGGTTGAACTCCTGCGTGACAAGCGACAACCGGCCCAGTAGGTAGTTGAGGTTGGTGTCGACCTCGGCCATGCGCTTGGTGATCTCGCCAACCTGCGGCATCGAGGGCCAGATGAGGAGCGCGGGGCGGCGCGGGACGGCGCGGGCCGGCGCGCAACTCGGACCTACCTTGCTCTCCATGCCGTCCATGGTCTCGGTGGTGCCGTTGGCGTAGGCCTCGTTCTGCTTGTGCAGCCGGTCCAGCGCCTTGGCGCTCTGCATCATCTGCTGGTACATGACGTTGATCTGGCGCCAGACCTGGTTCATCTCCTGCTCCATCTTGAGCGTGAGGTTGGCCAGCGCGCCGTTCTGGTTGTCCATGATGTCGGCGGAGATGCCGTCGAAGCGCGCGTGCAGCGTCTCGTTGATGCCGGCGCCCTGGGCCACCACCAGCTCGCCCACCTCGCGCAGCACGCGCGTCGCGTGCTCCAAGCGCTTCTTCGTGTCGAGCACCTGGTCGGCCATCTCCATCATGACGGCCTGGCCCTTGCCCAGCTGCTGAAGCTCGGCGCCCAGACTGCGCGCGCCCTCGGCCAGGTCGGCGCGCAGCGCGCCCAGCGCCCGGCCGTCGTCGGCCAGCCGCGCGCCCACGGCCTCGGCCAGCAGCCGGCGCGTCTCCAGCGCCGCGGCCTGCGCCTGCTCGTGCATCGCGCGCAGCTCGCCGGCCCTGCAAGCATCCGCGCGTCAGCGCTGGCCGCGGCGGGCGCGCGTGCCTACCTGGGCAGCTCGCGCAGCAGCTCCAGCGCCGCCTCGGCGGCGGGCGGGCGCGCGTCGGCGGCCGCCGCGGGGCCCGTGCGCTCGTCGATGCGCCCGAGGACGCGGGCCGCCCGGCGCAGCTCGTCCAGCAGCTGCGCGCCGTCGGGCAGCCGCGCCGCCAGCGCCTCCAGCCGGGCCTCGTCGCGGCCCGCGGCCTCGGCCACCTTGGCCTGCACCTCCGTGGCCCAGCCCTCCAGGCGGCTCTGCAGCTCCTCCAGGCCGTCGGCCGTCTTCTGCAGCTGCGCGCGCTCGCGCTCGTCGCGCTGCGCCAGCAGCTGCTCCACGCCGGCCACGCGCTCCTCGAGCTTCGCCAGGTGGGACTTGAGCACGTCCGCGCCTGCCGCGCGCTTCGTCAGCAGGCCCAGCGCCTTCTTCAGCTGCTCGTCCGTCTGGCGGTCGCGCGCCTCGTGACGCTCCAGCTTCTCGGTGTTGTCGCGCATCAGGTGCACCAGGCTCAACATCGCGTCCTTGATGTCCTCGTGCCTGTGGGCGAGTGCGCGTCAGTGGCCGCCGGGGATCGCGCGCCGCCACTTACGTGATGTCCTTGCCGCGCGCCCGCGGCGGGCCGGCGGCGGCCAGCAGCGCCGCGGCCAGCAGCAGCCGCCTAGCCCTCGGGCCTCCCCACTGCATGCCGCTGCTCGGCCGCTCTGCAACACGCGCGTCCGTCGATGAGAGCGTCGCTCGCGGCGTCGGGGCGCCTATCTGCCCGCCGCTCTATCTAATCGAGCCGCTGCGTCGCGCGGCTTTTCCGAGTATCGCGCTTATCTGGCCCGCTGGCCACGAGCGCAGTAGCGGGCCTCGCGCTGCGAAGCCGCGACTCGCGCGGCTCCGGCTGACCCGGCTGACCCAGCTGACCCCGGCAGTCGCCGCCTCGATAGCGCGCCACGGCCGAACGCCAGATCTCCAGTTACTGCGGCGAGACAACAATCGGCTCGCTCGCTCGTCGTCGGCCGCGGCTCGGCCGCTGTCAAGTTCAATATTGCGCGCGGCGCCCGTACGGGCCAGAGGTCGCGCGTCGGAACGCAACGGGCAAACCCACGTCCTACGAGAGTCGGGCGACGCCTCTACATCTGCGCACTAATTAGCCAGCAGTCGGACAGAGTGGTCCTTGTGTGCCCGTCGCCGACTCGCCTCGCTCTCGGCCTTTGTTCTGCGCTCGCTCGGGCCGCGCCAAAAACCCCTCGTGGACGAACGCTACTGCTCGCGCTTCCTTTCCTGCGCTCGCGAGATAAGCTCCAAGCAGTTCCGTTCCCATTGTCTCGCAGCGCCTGGCAATAATTGCGGGGCTTGCGGCAGCGCGCTGCCATTGGCGACGGACAAAACCTGCTCGCGCTGCCTAATCGTCGTAATAATCCGGCCAAGCCATCTAAGCAATGAAACTCGAGCCAACGATCACCTGCGAAATTATACGGTGGACGCGCACCTGCGCCGGTAGCACAGTCGCGGCAAGTGCACTATTACTCGCTACAAGCTGTATCTCATGCGATTCTTACCCTGGAATGCGTCGTATATCTCAGAGCACAAGTTACGCCTGATTGTTCAGCGATACTCGCACTCGATTTTTAATAATTCTACTCGTCTCTTGGCCCTTATTCTCTCTCGATCAGCGGATGGATTCGCAGCCGATGTACTCACGAGATACGTAGCTGCTGCTGACTCGAGGGCTTCGAGCGAAAGGCAACTCGCGCGATTGACATGCGTTGCTCTCGTCGGCCGCGCCAAAGACTGAAGCGGCGCGCTGTTGCTTTAGTCAGCCAACGCTCTTCTCTTCTTTTCTCGCGCTCTCTCTCCCTCTCGCGCGCGTAGAGCGGCTCACAATAGCAACAAAAACAACTCCTTCTCCTTCCCTTTACTTGATGTAACGCAGCAGTCAACCGGACGAGGGCCTTTTGCTCTTTCGTCGACAAGTTGCGCAGCATTCGATGAACGCTCTTCACCTATTGAAAATTGCTATCCTCCGGATTAATCAATTATTTTACTTTATTTTCAATCCTCGACTGTTCTTACAAAACATGATGTTCTTCAAGAACACATTGTTATTCTCTTATCGATTTGTTTTGATCACTCTTTAGCATAGGCTTGAATGAGCTTTCGCAGAAGCTCCTTCTGCTCTGTATCCAGATAGAACCATAGCTCAATCTCGAGCTCCAACAGAGCTTCGTAATCCCCAGATTGACAAGCAAGTACTAAGGATTGCAACAGTAACAGTTCGTCTTCCGTCATGTTTGGCGCTAAAAAATGAAAGTGAATTACAATAAGAACCATTTCAATTAAACGCACTGCGTTGATTTTTTTCTTTGTTTCATTAGATCAGTCCTACCCGAAGTTGCATTATCCTCGGCCCAAGCATACTTTTCAAGCACCTGAGCGAGACTCGGAGCCAACCTTTGTGGAGTCGGCCGCAAAATCAATAACAGTAATACTCTGCTTATTTCGCAACAATGTAATATATTTCGATAATAGCCCAAGATCCGAGGACCGGCGTGGTTTTCAATCATTTCTACGAGCTCCGTGACAACTTGTAATGCCGATACGTAGTCACCTGTCAATCAAGAACCAATAGCAACAATATAACAAGTTCAAAATGCCAGTTTCATATGCTGTCTAATTTAGTCAAATGATAGCTACCCTGCTTTATATTACAAGATACTAGTTTGTTTGTTGCTTTAATTGTTGGATGCGAGTGAATTGCTTTGCAGAGATAATCCATCCCTTCTGGATTGACTCTCAGAAACATGGCAAGCTCTGTCGCCAGGTCTGCTGACATGACTCCAAAACATTCCTGATTGTCGCATCTGGCAATGGCATGATTGAATGCATTTATTGCTGCTTGCGAATCTTCTCCTCCTATGGATAAGCATCCAATCTTGTGTCTTTTCTTGTTAGCCATCATAAACTGACGACCTGCTCTAGTCAGTAGATTTATTTCATAAACAACATTTCCCACAGTGCCTTGACATCTAGCTGCTGCTAACCAACACCAGCCTGCGTACTGATGCAGCTCTATTCGCTCACAGCTAACTGCTAAATTTTCTGCCAACAATTTCAAATGATTCTTATCAACTTATTATAATTATTCCTAAGACATGCCATCCTGTTATCGATATTTTCAACTAGCCTAATTGCTTCACTATTCATTCTCAATTCAGCACTTACCAAATTGATCCGAAGCCTCTGCAACATTTGGTTTACGTAAAAAGCGTCTGAATATAAAAATTAATTAATATTGATAAAAATTTAGGGGAAAATAAGTAGACGGAATTCAACTCAACTATAACCTTACTTTTTTAGTTTACCAGAAATTAAATGATATTTTAAAAGAAAATCATTTCCATCAGCAGCTCTATTGTTTGTTTGATCTTGCGAGGACATTTTTTTTTCAATTCAACTTCAAATAAGATATCTTCCTTGATCTTAACGATTGATTCAAATTATTGCTTCTTGACTTATGTATGTTTGGCTGTCGGGAGTAGAGAGATTTTGAGAGAAGATCGTGAGATCGTGACTGTGTCGATGTCGATCGAAAAAGGTTGGACGAGAACGAGCTAGCCAGGCTCGTACTCGTGAAGTAGGAAGAAGAGTGCGGTTGGTAAGGCAGAAAGCGTTTCGTCCCGGTGTTATCGGCGGGACTCGTCAGTGAGGCTCGACGGCCGATAACACCTGCCTCATACGCTCGAAGTGCGCGAGTCGCTATGCGGACTTATATGTTCAGCGAGCGTATTTCTTGCCGCTCGTGGCTAGCCGATGCCATCTAGATGTGGATGGCCGAATCGGGAACCGCCACATATGTATATTTAAAGATTACCGGAGAAGCAACTTTCCATAACGAAGTATAATTATAATATGATTGACAAAATAAGAAACTTATTTTTTAATTGAAAGAAAAAATTACAATCCGAGCTTTAAATAAGATGATATTGCAGATCATTTCTTTTATTAACAATTAACAATCGGCGTGAGCTGAGCTTAGATCGTATAGACTATACATATAGAAATACCAAATTCTCTGCACTACAGCTTTGTATATAGCCTAGTTACAAATTCTTCTGATTCTTGTGTGATAAATTGTCTAGATTTTAAAAAGTCACGCATTAATTCAACGAAACGATCAATGAATGATGCATTATAATTTTTTAGCGAAACAAACATTCACTTATCCTTTAAAGGAGAGATAATTTGATAGCAAATTTAAAGAAAAGTTATTTTATCAATTAAATAATTTCTATCCAAAAATGTTTGCAAATAATTAATTTTTACTTTGCAATAAATAATCATTTTCTCGTATCGCTTTCACTTTCCACTATTGAAAAATTCTTTTCGATATATTCTCGATGTTCGAAAATACGATATCGATATTAATATTAATTTTGAATCAATAATTATATAATTAATTAAATCATAACAGGAGCTCGTGATGTGTTTATATACTGTATATAAACAAACAACATTTAATTTGAAATTTTTAATTGAAATGGTGATCGCGCCATTTGAAAGAAACTGTTACACACAGCAATTGTGCTTTTCTTTATCGTACGAGGTATTCGAAACATATGATATACATGCAGCAATCTATAAATCATTGAGTAAAACGTACAGAAATACCTATCAGTAAATTATTTTTATTCAGACAAGAAAACTTACAATTGAGCGGTACTCACAGATTGTACATATTAAAGTATATAATGGTTTAAAAATAATTACAATAATTTAAGATTGTGCTTATAGTTAAATTTATTCAATTCTAAAAAATATTGGATATAATGCTATTCAGCTAAGCATATCAAAATTTTCGACAGAACAATGAATGTATAGAATTCAGTTATTACTGTGAGTTATAAAAATTAGTACAAAAAGTCTGACCAGTTAAGATTGTCACTTTGCGAATTTTAAGAATCCAACAACATTTTTATTAGGAGTTGTCAAGTAAAAAATCTAATAAATAATTATTTAAATCTAGTTTTTTATATTAGCCAACTCCTTGATTTTCTTCAACAAATATTCTGTGTAAACTTTATAATTAATTGGTTGAATTGAAACCACTGTTGCTTTTAATCTGTTTTCGTCCTGTAAAATTATATTTCAAATTAAATACCTATGAACAGTATACGTTTTATTCACAGCGAAAATAAATACTTACATTGTAAGTTTCTTGCCTGAGACGCAGCTTAAAAATGTAGGATTTAAATGCTGCTTCCCCGATCTTTTCTAAGTATGCGTCATTATTTTGTTCTTTCAATTCTCCAAGTTCCTGTGCTGTAGCGCCGACCAAAATCTCTGCTTGTTCATTGAAGGCTGTTGCCCATTTATGACCAGTCCAATCTACCAAGTTGGCCTACAAAATCAACGAAGATACAAAAAAATTAACGATTAAGAAAAATACTTTTTTTTTTTTAATATTGTAACGTACAGATGCCAACAAGCGATACGTAAAATTCGGATAATCTCTTTGACATTTTTCGCACTTGTACATTCCATTGCTTTGATCGACAACTTTCTTCTTGCAACCCTCCGTTGGACAAGCTTTATAAAGAGCATTCTCTGATCTAATAAGGTTGACAGTCGCTTTTGTAATAAACTGATTTGGTTGATCCGCATGTCCAAATCTTTGTTCTTCAGCTTCTTTGAATGTTGACCAAGGTCCATTCATACTTCCCCCATCAGCTGAAACTTTGGATATTGATCGAGACTCTTCTGAAGCACCAACTGTTTTGAACCAGCCACGAAGTCTGAGTAAAGTGGTAATGTGTTTGTATTATTTTTTATTGATTTATAGTTTATATTATTTTTTATTATTTTATATTATTTTATATTGATTTATTCTCTCTAACTTAATCTTTAATATTTTTTTATTATATACTTACTTGTGCGCTTGAGGAAGGTCTGGATCAACTTGAAATAACGATGAAGCTACTATAGACAAATTTTTACCACCTTGAAATTCACCAATCTTTACTCCTTTCATAGCTACCACTGGATTATTGTCTCCATTAAACTCAATTGCTTGCTGGCCCCATAATGTAAGATTTATCTAAGAACAAAAAATTCAAAAAATCATTCGAAAAATTATAATAGAGGATAAAAAGGATAAGTTTATCTTTTTTATCCATATCTAATCCAAACATACAAGATCATTATTTTCGTCAACAATACTCAAATCTCGCTTCTTCAGTTCTCGCCCTGTAGTTCTTGCTGTCAAACTTTGAACATCAGAACAAAACTTGACGATTCCTAGCACATCTAAAGAATATTGTAGTAAAATAGTTTTTTTGAATTATCCATAAAGAAAAGTACACAATATTGTTAATTTCACGGTAAGATCACCAATGTGCATTCACCTATCAATTCATCCTTTTGTTTATGTTCAATCGAACTGATTGACACAAAGTTAAATTGAACCTCTGGAATTTCTTGGCTCTCTTCATTGCAGGCAGCTATTTCAGTATCATTCCCAATAGTCATTTCATAATCATTTTTCAGATTATTAAATTGCTTATTTGCAGGTTTTAAAACACCTCGTGTAATGAAGTAAACTTTGCCAATCTAAATAAAAATAAAATTATTAATAACACACTATTTTTTGTACATAAGATTTTCTGTTTTCGTTCGTTACCTCAATCATATCGTAGAATTTATCACATTGCTCTCGAAAAGCTGTACATCTTATCTCACCACTCTCATCTAATAAATCCATATGAAATAGTTTTCCTTCTCCTCTAGAGTTTGACCATGTACGTATATTAGATTTGTTTGTAACTCGAGCTTTGATAACCCAACTAAAATTGAAAAACAAATTTTATAAATAAAAGTTTACATGCCAACATAAAATTAGTATAATATTAAAATAAAAAACATACCGGTTATGATAAGGACTCAAAGCAGCAATAGGAGTTGTACTTATACCTCCACTACCTGATATAGATTCATTCAGATTATTGGATGTATTATCTAAAACAGTGAAAATGTAATTGTAATAATAATTAATGTCGAAAGGCTCAAATGTACAAGTAAAAAAATCATTTTTCACAAATCAAATTGAAACATTTTTCACTAACTTCTCAATAAATAAGTTAATTAATTTGGAATCTTCTGAGTTCCAAAGAGGTTTATAAAACTGACAAAAATATATAGCATATAACATCATTTATAAATTATATGGTAATAGATAAATTAGTGAATGTCTATCGAGTATAAATCTAATAAAAACAAACAAGATGTCTTACTGGCTCGAGGTGCTGTTTTTAGTGCAACTTGATTATTGATCACAGGCTTTGACTGAGGTGCAGCACTTGCTTGAAGAGCTGTATTAGAGCCAGCTTCTTCAGTCCTAGTATTGTCTACACTAATAGAACCTAAGACTTTTCCTACTTCGTTACCAGGTACCAAAACATCTATATTAAGTATCACCATAACACGCCTATAAATGAAAGAAAGAAAAATTGGTGTAAAAAGATTAATTTTATTAAAATTACAAAATATTTGCCTTTGGGTGCCTCCATTATTGACCATACTAATAGCATAACGTTTGATTTGAACTATGGAATGTTCGGACAAAACATCATTAGTAACTAATTGATTGAGTTGTGTTGCCAGCATGGTAAATGAATTAGACTTGATTCCATCAGACACAAGAAGCCTGTACCTTTCACCACTTGTTGAACTGGCAAGTCTTTTATGTCCCTGTGAAGAAAGGTACTCATAGTATTACCAAAATTATGAGCAGATGTTTAATATGTGTAAGACGCTTACCAGTACTTGAAAAATAGGTTCCTCAACTTCCTCTCCAGACATGATTCTCTAAAAAGATTGGAAAATCAGTGCAATAAAGATATATTTGACTCTGAATACTTTTAGACAAAGGACTCACGTCGAGGGCACCTTTCGTAAGTTCAGGTAACATGTCTAAATTCTTCCTTTTAGCAGTTTATCGGATACACAAAATTTTGCGACAGTCAATTGTACTATTTTTTCAAATCTCAAATAGTGATAACAGTTATTTCACTTTTTTTTGCAGTTTACCGGAAATATGCGACGAAATGTATACGCTAACTCGTGCAATTCTTTTTTTTTGTTCCTCTTGTTTATAAAAGCCTATGTGGTTCCTATGTCCGTTGTTCTCATTCTTGTTCATTTTTTTCGCTAGTGATGTATGTATGTATGTACATACATACATGTATACATATGTGGCGGTTCCCGATTCGGCCATCCACATCTAGATGGCATCGGCTAGCCATGAGCGGCAAGAAATACGCTCGCTGAACATATAAGTCCGCATAGCGACTTGCGCACTTCGAGCATATGAGGCAGGTGTTATCGGCCATCGAGCCTCACTGACGAGTCCCGCCGATAACACCGGGACGAAACGCTTTCTGCCTTACCAACCGCACTCTTCTTCCTACCTCACGAGTACGAGCCTGGCTAGCTCGTTCTCGTCCAACCTTTTTCGATCGACATCGACACAGTCACGATCTCACGATCTTCTCTCAAATCTCTCTACTCCCGACAGCCAAACATATGTAGAAGGGACCAAGGAATTCAAATATGGATAGGTAGTATAATAGGTACTACTAACTACACTGACTATAATTGCTTATATTAATTTAAACTAATAATAATGTGATTTATCAATTGATAATAAGTTGCGTGTTACACTGGGTCGTTTAGTAATAAAATTTTACTTACCACTAATTAAATTATAGGCGCTGGGTTCCTCGATCAAATTTGTTACCCTTTCTGAGGAGCGAAGTTGGCCACCCTTATCGGCCTTATTGTTCATATCATTAAAAACCTCGAATCCCCCGAACATCCTACGTTTATATATATATCTAATTAATGTTAAACAACCAGATAAGGTGTTCAATCACTTGCGCTTGCGAGCATCCCTGATAACAGCTTAAACAATAGATAAATCCTGTAGTATTCACCCTATATAAGAGAGCTTTTTTTTGGAGAGGTCATTTTCCATCCTATTTATATCAAAATAACTCTTTTCTTATTTACTCCGCTCTTATGAAATCACGATTTAGTGCCAATAAATGTATTAGTCATTTCCATATAATGAGCTCTTTTACCTAGTCAGGAATATAGTCTGCCCAGCTACGCATCTGTGTCCTCTTTGATCCTATTCTTGATATACATAATAAAATCGGAGAAAGAAATCTTCCATTCTCTGAAATGAACGTTCTGTTACCTTTTTTGCAGTCGCACTCACTCTGTTCTTTTCCTTTATACCCAGATAACTGGAGATCCAGCATCTCGCAGAGGATAATATTACAGTCACGTAGATGCAGCTTACAAGGCCCTCGCCTCATATGCGTATATGCGCGCGTACGAGGGCGTACAAACGCGTACAAATCGCTAAAAATTTTGATAGTGCCAACAACAGAAAGTTACTACTATTCCTCGCATGCCCCAATATAGTTATGATACGTTTGTTCCGGGAGTAAGTGTGTTCGTTTGGGGCATGCGAGGAATAGTAGTAACTTTCTGTTGTTGGCACTATCAAAATTTTTAGCGATTTGTGCGCGTTTGTACGCCCTCGTACGCGCGCATATGCGCATATGTATAGCGAGAGCCTCACAAACAAATTATCCATCGCGGTTCTCTCATCGACTAACGCTACGCATTTGTTCAATCACGAAACAGTGGTGGGAAGGCTTTTAATATACAGGGAATCCGGATTATGGAATTTGGCGCCAGATTCCTTATTTATACCCGATAATATGCACCGACTTGTCCCCTGTTGGCCTGTTGCTGTTGGCTTTGTGGATTAATGTCATTCAATGCCAATGGGCCGATTTTCAAATGTCATAACTTGTTCACTATTAGACCTGTTTTGTATAGAGGGCAGCAGTTCTTTCATTAACGCGGGAAATTCACATTTTTCCTAATCAGTTCAATGTATCAGAATATTCAATTCAAAGTCAGAGTTGGATGAAAAAACTAAACATCACGCTTGTATAATACATTTTTTTTCTGTAAATAAGTTACCAAAAAAATTACATATAAATTAAAGTTGACTTTCAATAAACTTTCTTAGTCTGCACCTTTGAGAGTTTAAATAGTTTTATGAATGCAAATATTACAATTAAAGAAAGCAATTGACCTTTTCAATTTGTTAAAAGTAACATGTCTCCGATCTCCCCCCCCCCCATATCCTATAGCTCTCACTCTCAAATAAAGTTATAAGCATCACCAGGCCCATCGAGACTTTTAAAAGTGGGAGTTGGATAGAAGGGGATACGACAAGTTAATGCATAGGAGCACATCTTCGTCGCGTTTCGTTCGTCACATTAGTCTTGGACGGACGTTGTCAAATTCATTTGTGCTGTCCGGATAAAAGGACATCTCAACATCGCTTAATAAATCTGTCGATCAAATCTTTGGATCACAAGCGCAAAGTGAGTTTGTTTTGATTTATTGTTAAGTTGAAGGAGCGCGTCGTAAATTGCCTTGGAAATCGACCGTTGACATGGTGTAAAAAAATATTTCTGTTTTTGCAACAGCAATTCTCGCAATAGTTGATTATAAAATAGGAATGACAGAAGATTTGGTCTATTTGTCTATTTTATCATTATTTGCGTAAAGCGAGCCTACGTTTCGTAGCAATGAAGCCGCGAAGTGAAAGAGCCTAAAATTGTATCCGTAAACTACTAGTGAGGAATGCCACAGGAATTTCATACGTTAATATTCCCGTTATGTGCGAACGTGAAGCACACTGAACGTCGTCGTCGATACAGATGCGCGGCGGTTTCTCTTTTGACGTGCCAAGACCATTCAATCGGAAACGAGGCGCGCTCCAATGGGCGATCTCAGAGATGCCAGGCTCGAGACCGCTCAAAACCAAGACCTGTTTGAATACGAATAGCAAGTGAAACGAGTGCGTTCGATAGTGCGCTCTTGGCCTCAAAGGCAAGCTGCGCGGACCGCGCGAATGGCGATGCAATCCACTGCCAGGCGGCCTTGAACTCGTCTTCCCCGAGCACGAGCACAGGTGAACGCTCGTTCCGCGCGCTGCCTCGAGTGCTACACAGACAGCCGGCGACTCGTCGCACGCGCTCGGCTCTGCTCGGCAGTCAGCGAGTCGATAAATTGCAGACAATGCCGCCGATCAACGGATGGAAAAGAGTACTGGTGACCGGTGGCGCCGGCTACATCGGCAGCCATTGCATCGTCGAGCTGCTGGAGTCAGGCTACGAAGTGATCGCCATCGACAACTTCGTCAACAGCGTCACCGAAGGTCCCGGCCAGTCGGCGGCGCTCAAGCGCGTCCAGAGCATCACCGGCAAAGCCGTGCAGTTCTACAACTGCGACTTGCTCGACAAAGACAAACTCGCTCAGGTCTTCGGCAAAGTAGGCACTACACAGCCTCGGCCTGCAAGCCCGATGCCTTCTCATCGCCACCTTCCCTCTCGGCTTTCAGCACACGGTCGACTGCGTTATCCACTTCGCAGCTATCAAAGCGGTCGGCGAGTCCATGCAGGTCCCGCTCCACTATTACAAGAACAACATCATCGGGGCAATCAATCTGTTAGAGGTAAGCCAATCGGCGCGAATGCTGCGACAGCCGTCAATCGCGTACGTCGGTCGACAGGTGATGAAGGCAGCCGGCTGCTTCCAATTGGTGTTCAGCAGCTCGTGCACCGTGTACGGGGAGCCGGCCGAGCTTCCGATCACCGAGGATCACGCCACTGGCAACATTACCAACGTTTACGGCAGAACCAAGTACTTCATCGAGGAGATGCTCAAAGATATATCCCGAGCCGAGAAGGTCAGAGGCCAACTGCTTTCGCCCTGCGTTCCATTCGTCCTTTTGACCCTTCTCTTTTTTCTCAGTTCTGGAACATCATCTCGCTCAGGTACTTTAATCCCGTCGGCGCCCACCCGAGTGGCTTGATCGGAGAAGATCCAACCAAGCACTTCACCAACTTGATGCCGTTCATCGCTCAAGTTGCTCTCGGTCAGAAGTCCCAGCTGACCATCTTCGGAGGGGACTACCCCACGAAAGACGGAACAGGTCATTGCAAAGTCAGACTAGTCATCGCGTTACACTCGCCAATTTGCCATTTCGCTTTGCAGGCATCCGCGATTACATTCACGTCATGGACTTGGCATCTGGGCACGTAGCCGCTCTGAATGCCCTACACAAGCGCCATTCTCGATTCAAAGTCTACAATCTTGGCACCGGAACTGGCGTTTCTGTTCTCGAATTGGTCAAGATATTTGAAAAAGTCACAGGAACATGTATACCTTACGTCGTTAAAGATAGAAGGGACGGCGACATTATGGCCATGTATGCAAATACAAACTTAGCTGAGAAAGAGTTAGGCTGGAAAGCTACGCACAATATTGAGCAAATGTGTAAGTTTTATCAAATTTATTATTTCCTTTTTTTCATCATTGACCAACCATGAGGCCAACCGCTACTTGCTTCATTTTCCATCTTACAGGTATAGATTTCTGGAGGTGGCAAACGATGAATCCAAATGGATACAGAGCTCCATACAAGAATGGCAATTCCATTTTGTCATGATTTTTTTTTGCAAAACTCAAATTCTCCATGTGTCAGTATAATATTAAATGATGTACAATCACCTTACAAAATATACGTTCATCTGTATTTTTAGCTATATTAATTAATATTCTTAATCTGCTATCATTCAAAAGTATTTCTACTTAATAATAAAATGAATTGCACTTACCTTTTGCTTAATTTCAATTCAACATTGCTCTCCTCCCTTTTACTCTCTGATTGGGCTAAAGAAAAAAGAGATAAGTGTTGAAATTTCAAAACTTCCAAGCCCCAACTTGTCCATTCTGGTAAAAGGTATCGGGCAAAGATTTCCATACACTTTGGATCCCTTGGCAAATATGGTTTCAAGACTTCTGCAGATCAAATTTTCAGGTTAATCCATTTGTTTTATATTTTTCAATTACAAATAGATTATTTTTCAAGTCACCAGTTAAAGGAGGTTTATGGGAATGTGCAGCACTTGGAATACTAATTAAAATTTTTTTATCAGGTATATTCTGATTTTTGTTGGACGCTGTTGAGCCAAATATTATTTGCTCATATGGCTGTTTACCATGGCTATCATTAAAATCGCAGATAGGATAACCATTTTGTGTAATCTATGTGTATCAACAAAAAAGAGCATTTATTCAAAGCAAACTCTACTCTGTTCAGATTAAGAAGAATTTATACCTTCAACCAAAACCATTTTGCTTGAAAAGTTAGACCCCAAGATGGAAATATTTCTTCTAAAATACTTTTCTCATTACTGGAAGAATTTGTACACCAAATAGCAACGATACTATTGGAATTCAATAGATTTTTAATAGGAATTTTGGCAAGTTCTTCGTTGTATAACATTTTGTAGCTGTTACTCACAGGGAAAAATCAATATGATTAAAATAATCAATAATAAACACACAAAAAATAGCTTGTTGAAAGTTACCTGCTATTTTCAAACTTTATTTTTTTTCTTCTTATTGATTTATTCCACCATGGTGGATCCATGAGTATCAAATTATAATCACCAATGACATCAACCTTTTCACTTATTTGCTTAATATCTTTGCAAAAAAATTGACAACACCTTGGAAAAACATACTTTTCATTTTTTAATTTGGCAATAACTGCTTTTTCCTTTTTATTGTAACCTTGATAATTGCAAATGAGGCCTAATGTACCAGAGTAAAAATTTTTCGATACTCTTCTAGATTCCTCATTGTTGTCTTCTAGGACTACATTTGTAAATAAATTAAAATTTCTTGCAGCTTTGATAATTTTTTCACTGGTTACTTTGACAAAATTATTCTGTGCAAAATAATAGTAATAAATAAGTAATAATAGTAAGTAAATAATAGCAATAATATTAAGTAAATAACAATAATAGTAATAATGCAAAAGAATAATAGTAAATTATAATCAATAATGAATTTAAACTGTAGAGTTACTATTTAACTCAAGTAAATATTTATAAATCATGTTCATACCTGTTCTAGCTTATTTTGAGGTAAAGTGGATATGTTTTTTCTCTTGTTTCTTTTATGTATTGAACTTATATTGATTTTTACATTATCTTTGCATCCATTTGTTTGACTGTGCTGAAAATATTGAGAATTAACCTTGAAAAATTGATCATTGAACTCTAGTTTGATGAGTTTTTGATCATCTTCAACTTGTTGGTAAATGCTATGCAAGTAATCAAGATGAGATATTATCCATCCGTTCTCAGATTCAAATACAATACTCATGATAATCCCTGGAAAGAAAAGTCAGTCATAGAATAATTTAATTTTCAGTGATCAAAAGATTAGAACTACTTTTAAAAACATAGTACAGCAATGTAATTTAATTGTTTCAAATAATAAGCAAGAAAAAGAATAATAACTAATTTTGAGTTGCACATTGATTGCAAAATATACATGTTAGTTCTCAACGTACTTATTTTTGAATGATAAATAGTATATTTAAAATTCATTCAAAAAAATAATTTTAATGGTAAAATGCAGCTATAATCGGTCATCTTTTCGTTTGAACGCAGAATAATTAGGTTAGGTTAGTTCCGGTCGTCACGTGTATAAAATGCGTGGGATGCAGTGACCAATGAGAGTCATCGGCTCGGGACCGGGGCTTTGATTGTATTAGCTTAATATAGTATGAGAATTCGGCGTTGGGTATGCAAGTGTGTGTGTATGTATATATTTCGGTGTAGTCGAATATCTGAGTAGCCCGTGTGTATCTAAGTACTTGTCTGCGTGTGCTGATTGCTAATGCTGCTGGCTCTTCAGTGCATTATTATTAAACGTCTCGTACACATGCAGTAGAGTGCGGCGCTCGTGCATTTGCGAGCAAGTAAGTATAACAAGAGAGAAAAAAAGTAGTGCAAGGAGGAATCTTATAAGTCGACAGAGAGAAAAAAACAAGCGCGAGCTGCGTGGAATCAGTCATCGTAACTCATCGAGCACACGCAGTGAGCACGCGAAGAAAAGAATCTCGTATTCTCACATAGAGATACGTGCTCGAGTACGAGGAAAAGTGAGAAAAAGAGACACGGACGACGCAAGTTTTCCAGGTTAACTACGCGACGGCCCGTTTTTCCACGTAGTCAGGGCCTCAAAATCGCACACGCCGCTGTCGCCGCCGCTTCGTGTGAATACGCACGATAGATAAACAACATGCGCTCAGTCCAATCATCAGATGACTGCTGTTGAGCGTCATTATTGGAAAACTGATTGCCGAACAACTTAGCCTCTAACGTGTGTCTTAAAACAAAGAAAGAGAAGTCATAGTACTTTTTGTTTTGCTCTGATTTTACACTGCTTAGTCGGCAAGAACGTTCTTGCTGCAGTTCAATCTATTACAATTTCTGTGAAGTTGTGGGAGTTGTTTCTCGAAAGATGTAATCGCCTTCACTGCACCCCACTTGGCTATCCTAGTTTTTGAAGTTGTCAACGATTCGGAGAATTAACTTGAATTAAAATTGGTAAGTTAAACGAAAACTGCTTTTACCATTTCATGCTCTTGAAAGAGTTGGTTAACACTGACTTCTGTGATGAAACGCCAAAGCATGTTTGTAAATTTTTACGAAACAGCACGTTGATGCACGTTTATTTATTAAATACTAACTTGCGCAAAATATATTCGAGTATTACTTTGAATAATCGCAAGCTTTTGCTATGGCCGTGATTAATTAATGTTACTGTACATTGAAGTTTACAAACATGTTTACATTTCTTGCAAAATATGTTTCAGGCATAAGATAATTCATTATCATGGAGCATCATGAGGCAGTTTACGAACAAATTATTGATGTGAGCAACCCAAATCAGGGCTCTGATTTTTTGTCTCACCACTTGGTTCAAGAGATTGTTGTTCCAAATGACAACAATCAAGAATCAAGCATGAACTGTGAAATTGCTGGCATGGATATTATATTGCCTAACGATTGCATTACTGTACAAGATCAATGCAATAGGAATGTTATGATCTATAACACAGATGGCATGGAACAAGATAAAGAAGCCGAACAAATAATTTTACACGAATCTACAAAAGTTGAACATATTTTGCATGTGAATAATATTGGTAGCAGTATCAACTACATGGAAAATCACAAAGAGGTATATTTGCTCTTACTTATCTTGAAAAATTTAAGATACTCGAGAATATAATTTTAGTTGCAAATACAATTCATATCAATATTTTCAAATTTACAGGTGAAAGTGCAAGAATATATATTACACGATCAAACTACTTATAATCAAGAAGATTATCAAGTGGCTAATTCGGTTTTAATAACCACTGGGGATACTCGTGATGCAGGAGCTGTTGCTGAAACAACAACAGATCATGTAACAGCATCAATCCCTATAAGTGAGTCTACTCATGTCCCAACAAATCATGTCTCCTCAGATACTTATGTTATTATAAGTAGTGGTCAGAGTATTGTAAATAATATTGGTGAAGAAAGTAAATGTGTAGAAGAACAAGAAGAAGATATCAAACCAAAACAAAATAATGCACATATGGAAACTAGAGAAAATCTTCTCGTGATTGAAAATGAAGTTGCAGATGGTAACTTAATTCCTATGACTATTACAGAATTACAAGTTGATTCTCAAATTGACTCCCAAATTGGTTCTGTAAATGAAGAGAATAACGAAAATTTAACAAACACACCTGTAAGCAAGGGCAGTATTAATGCAGAGCCAGAGAAGCATTTTGAAAACTCTTTGCCCATGGAAGAAAGTCAAAATGGTGAAATTGTAACAGAAGGTCAAATTCTGACAAATTCTGATGACATTGCAGTGATGGCTGAATTTAGTACTATAGAGTACAGTGCAGAAGAAGAAGTAGGAGCTGCGCAAGATGATAAAAGTGAACAAGTGGCAGAGCAGCTTCAGGAGCAAGTACATGAGGATGTTCAGGGAGAAGCAGTGAAAAAGGAGTTGAAAGAAAGTAATAACGTAGCAGTTGTGATTGAAACAAAGGGAGAAACGATCGAGAGTAAGTTAGAATTGACTGGCAATGAAGAAGTCAATTACAATCAATCAAGTCAAGAAGAAGATGAAATTGATTTACATTTATCTACGCAATCGAATGACAGCCACCGTAAGGTCATTCAAGATATCTTTGACGACTGGCAAGATGAAAACTGTGAAGAAGATAACAACCAATCAGTGGGTACTTTCAAAGATCATCAAGATTCTGTAGAAAAAGAGCTACAGAACTTATTGAATGACGATGCACAACAGGTACAAACTGTCTCAAGTACCAATGCAGCTGAGAACGCCGTAAGCTGTGACGATAATGTTGAACAAAGTGGTAATAGTTTGGTGGAAAAGAGTAGAAGCTCAAAATCGGATAAAGCAAGGCTCCAGGACAAGAAGTCCTCTGAAAGATCTACAGGCAAGACCTCCAAGTCGACACTAAGTCGATCTTCAACCAAAGGTAAATGTATATGTGACGAAATCTATACAAAAATGGAATTGTCTGAGGTCTTATCTATTAAAACTTTTGGATTTTTTTCTACTTATTATTTAAAATGTGTAGCGACCGAAAATGCTCGTAAATTTAGACAAGATTACGGGAACTATTTTTTTCAACATTATTGTAAACAGATGCTTGTACAAGTTACGAATAAAAGAAATCAGCCTTATTTTAATGATTTTTGCTGTCTTATAATATAAAAGATGCTGAAATAAATAGTTTCACTGAACTTTTTTAGTGTTTTCTTGGTATTATATATCTTAAATAAGGAGAGAAACAAAGTTTGGAAGCTTTAGTAAAGAAAAAAATGTTTTCAATTCCAAATATAATATAAATAATTTTTTTTCAATGTTTTCATAGGCACGCATGCACACACATACACGCGTACACACGCACACACGCGCGCGTGCGCGCGCTCGCGCAATACCCATCTCTCACGTTTGTCATTGAAAGCTAAGACATAACTGACTAATATTTAATCCTTTATATTTCAGATAAGTCCCATGGCCATTCATCTAAAAGTGTGAACCAGGATGATACCAAGAAAGTTCATCCTCGACCAGGCGTCAAGGTACCTGGTTCTCATTTAACAAGTCCAATCGCATCGACGGCAGAAGTGACTGAAGCTTTGAACAAGCGATTGCGCGAAAAACAGAAAGACTTGGTAGTGCCAAAAACCGCTGACATCGTTTTCGTCAAAAAAATTTCGCAACGTTTGTCCAATCAGCTCTCTCAGGTGGTAGCATCCATGCCACCCTTGACAGCGGGACAGCAAACGCCAGCAGCCAATGACCTCGATAAGGACAAGTCCATTGAAGAAGTAGTCACGGCGACGAGCAAAGCTTCATCTGTGTCCGACAACAACGAATTGCTGGCTATTTTGGAAGGCGATGCCGATCCCGAGTGGTCTAATCTGAACCCTGAAAATAACAAAACGTCCAATCCCAATTCAAATGCCAGCTCAAGTATGTCATTTAACCACGCCATAACCGGCTTATCTAAAATTATCAGTTATCGAGAACTATTTGATGAATTTTAAGGCGATTTGTATTTATTAGCTAATTTAAGTGCATAAATTTTAAGTCTCATTCTTTTTAGGTGGCAAGTTAGATCCAGCTCTGGAACGCGAATTAGCCTTGAAGCAACTGCTAGAGTTACCCAATATTACGTCAAAAAAGAGTGCAGTAAGTTCCAGCGCACCAAAGAAATCTAATAAAAAGATGCCTAGCAAAGAGAAAGAATCAACGAATAAAGTGCCTAAAGAGCAGACACGAATGAAACCCATCAAAGAGGAGCCAAGGTCAAATCCAACAGAAGACGGTGAAATCATAAGTTTAGATTTAGCTGACGAGAATTCACAAAAAAAGACGAAAAAACCTCAGAACGAAAACAGCCAAAATACGCGCAATAGTGCTGAAATCAAAGTTGAAATAGGCATTGAAGAATCAAGATCCGGAAGAAAACGTAAACTCACGGAGAAGGCCCGCGAGCATGAACTCGCTGTCAAGAGACAAAAAGTTAATAAAATTACCAAATGTAATAGTGCTTTTGATTTTTCTTTTGATTTGAATAGTGTTAATCGGATTTCAGGTATTCAAGAATAAAGCCGCGGAAAGTAAGAAGCTACCACAGGACGATGCTGATGGGGTCAAACAAAAGGTTGATGACGCAAAATCAGAACAAGTTAGAATCGATTTAGAATCTGCAACCGACGATAAATCAGCTGAAGTTATGACGAAACAAGTAAAAAGTGATCCTAAATGTAGTTCGCCGAAGACCGAAACTAAAACTATCAAGAGTAAAGTTCTTCCTCTTAAAAAATCGAAACTTGGACTTCTAAAAAAGAATACTTCGATTACTAGAAGAAAACTGGCAGTAAAGAATTTATTGAGACAGAAAGCAGTAAGCAAGAATGCAAAGCCCAAGATTCCGGTAAATTATCTTTTTCCTATTGCTTGTGAATCTCGTTTTACAAAACTTTAGCATGAGCATTCTTAACATTCTCGTTCTACTTTCCAGGCTGCATCTTCACCCAAAAAAGCTGATACCACATTGTTAAAAAGTACATCAGAAAAAACGGTGACGCCTGCGGGTTTTGCTCATAAAGGCAAAAAAGTTTCCGAAATCGACAGGCTGCTCCAAGATGAAGGCGTTGTCAATCTTTTGTACGACGTAAAACAACCAGATTCTAGAAAAAGGCTTGTGCCAATTACGAAATCGCAGAAAAAAGTAATGGACGTTGAAAAGGCCGAAAGAGAGCTAAAACTCAGGACCAAGCTCGTCAAAAATGCAGTGCTGAGATTGAGGAATTCAGCATCGACTACGGTCAAGATATCACCAAGATCCAGGCGTAGTGCTGCTGTAAGTAGTCTAGTTGTGAAATGTTACCGAGTTCTTTCGTGAATTCTGATGAAGAAAAATTCTTTTCTTAATTTAGTCCGATCAATCCATGCCACAATCTGAGAAAAAAGTAAGCGATGTAACTAAAACTAATAAACCACTGAGTTCGGCCCCGTCAGAGTCTACGGACTTTGTTATTCCGGCAAAGATTCGCAACGCAGCAGACGCTTCCAGAATCATTCGTAGACATTCCTCGAGTTCGTTTTCCAGTGCCTCGGCAAGTCCACGTGTCAGTATAGATGTGCCTCCGGAGTCAATAAAGCTTGACGAGTTTGAAGCTTTAGTTAAATCTAAGAGAAAACTTTCACACGATTCGATTGACAAACTTGATCCAAAAAAAACTAAAAAAAAGGTATGTATTGTCTTTAATTCCTTGATTATTATACAATGTGCGTGCACATTAGTGTGTACATGCGTGCACGTGTATACGAGATTGAACAATTAATCATTGCTTGTACCATTTTTCAGGCTGTTATCAGCAAAGGCGAGTCGGAGGATAAAGATGAATCGGATAAATCACCGTCCAAAAAAGCCACAAGGTCAAACGCCATTATCGCATCCAAAGTGCCCCCTAAAAGCAAGAAAGTGCCAAAAAGCAGATCGTCCTCTGAAGCTCTGTGGAACGATGTAAAGGGAGCATCGAGGGACCAGGATGAATTATCAGCTTGTTTAGCTGAAGCTGTATCAGCCCTGCAATCGAGTATCAATGGCGGCTCGTCACGTTCAGCAAGTACATCTACTAATCGTAAGAGAGGTATGCATGAAAACTACGATTATAGCATGGAAGACTATATATATAGTTATTTCAATGAGAGTGCCTATCTTCAGGTTATTAATTTGCCTATCATTTTAGAAAATTATTTTGTACATGTCTATTCAGTCTAATACTCGATTTTCTAGAGTTGCAGGCTATTTCATTCGATAAGAGACTACCTCGTAATGAAAATAGCTTGAAAATTTTTACAATAGATAATTTTTACATTATTATAAAATAAAAAATAAGATTTAATCCTACCGAAAAAAATTGATTAAGGTAAACATTCAAAAGTTACACAGAAACAAAATTTCATTGAACAATAAGTTAAATTTTCGATAGATAGAAACATTTTATTGATGATTTAATTTACAGAATTTAAAACAGAACAACTTTTAAACACTTAATTGTTTTCAACAATTTCTTTTTCTGTCTAAAATATTTGATTTGAACTTTCAATTTACAATGAAAAAGTTCTCCTCCGTTGTTTGGTTTTGAAAATATTTTCGTCTTATAATTTATTTATCAAATACGGCGCCACTCCAAAAATCAAGTATTAGATAGAATGTCTGTGAATTCTTCAACATTTATCAAAAAAAGATTTGTCGAAGCTACAGCAAATCTGTAAGCCAAAAATGCGACATACTCTTGTTAGTTAAATAGTTTTTACGCACCAACATTCGGAGCATACTTATATGAAAATTCGTGCAATAGGACATTCGAAGACACAGTTGGACGACGAAAAATTAGACAATAGGAAATTTAGCAATAAAGAAATAAATGTTAGACAGCACGGTCACCTTGCACAATTAATCCTAACTCCATCGGGGCCTGTATCTGGCATTCGAAACGCCATTACGATTCCAGTAAGTTCAGATCACTTAACTTATTAAGAATAACAGTGGATTCCCTACTTTTTAAAATTAAATGCTCTTTCGCTTGTCTGATTCTTTAGGTAATGAATGAAATCCGCGAAGCATTGTCAATTCTTCGAAACGACAACGATTGCAGAGTTGTTTTATTGACCTCTACTGGTACTAGTTTTTGCGAGGGCCTGGAACTTTCATATTTACAACAGTCGAACAGAGAGGAGCGAAAAGTTCGAGCAGAAGATATGGCCAAGGCTGTCAGGTAAGTCCGATTTCATATTTACTACACATTTATTTACTATTTAATGATTTACTGTATTGACTGATCAATACTTTTCAGAGATTTCGTCAGATCATTAGCTGCATTTAATAAGCCCATTGTGGCAGGTGTGCAAGGTGCAGCTATAGGATTAGGTGTTACAATGCTGCCTTTATTCGATCTTGTGATAGCCAGTGACAAGGCAACATTTAGTACTCCCTACGGAAAACTTGGTCAAATAGCCGAAGGAGCTGCAGTTTTAACGTTATCTCACAGTCTTGGTAGTGCTGTGGTGAGTTAGCAGTATCATTTGTCATCAAAATCATTTTATTTTATTGGACTTTTACTTTAATTTACACTATTGTGTATTCTAGACGAATGAATTATTACTTGGGGGTCGGACATTAACAGCTAGCGAGGCCTTGAGAGCCGGATTAGTTACAAGAGTTTTGTGGCCTGATAGATTCCAAGGCGAACTCTTACCTTCGTTAAAAGTCATGAGCGAGCAATCTGCACAGGTGATTTATAACATAGTAATCATTTTCTTATTCGTGATTCTATTTCAAGTTTGGATTTTGTTTCAAGTGCTCATAATGATCATTATTATATGTTTATTTTCTACTATTTCCAACAGGCAATGGAAGCGACAAAAGCTTTATTACGGCACAGCCTGCGAAAAAAATTAGATGTCGCTCTTGAATCCGAAAGTTTTCTTCTTATACAGCACTGGTGTTCTGAAGAGTGCCAGGAAGCAATCAAGGCTTATATCGAGGAGAAGGGTCAGTAAATATATACACAGACGCGAGTGATAAATCGAGCTACGAATTAACGGGGTCAAAAACTCAATTTTTCTTAATGCCTAGGCTGTAAGAATTATTTGGTAACATTGTACAGATCTATTTGTTAATTAACGAATACAGATAACAAATGTCAAGTTTGCTTTTCGTATTCAACACAATCATGTTACGCAAATAACTTGGACAATCTAACGTTCTTCAAGATGTTAGTTTATATGCGATTTATTTACTAAAATATTCTAATTAAGTTCTTTTTCAATGGCAGATTCCTTTAGGATTATAATTATTATTTCTGTCAAGCAATCATTAAGTACAACAAATACCATCATTTTCTTTTGCAACAAATTTGCTTCTACTTTACAATCTTCTGCACAATTTGGCTTAATACAGATATCGCAGGTGTGATAAGCGATATGATGAATTTGGATTTGAAATATTTTTACTGTAGTTTTTCACCATTCAACCACAATCCAGAAGAAAATTATTACAAGTGCGATGACGCCTTATTAGTGTTGACGTTGACGACACTATTTCGGATGGCGACACGATTAATTTTACATAATTAAGATTAAGATGATTTATTGTAAAACTAAGTGATTTATGCTAGAGTATTTTAATACCATACTTTTAAGTTTAAGTCCAGAGCTATATATCACGTAAATAAGCATTTTTCAATACTTTATGTTACAAATCGTTTTTTGGATTTAAACAATGAAAAGGTCCAATTAAATGATAAACTTGTTTTTTTATTGTCACCTCTATCGTCTACGTTGATGTAGGATTTTCTGTTTATATAAATATGTTTGGTTTGAAAAAATTTAAATGATTTGTATCTAAAACATGATAAATAAAAATAATTATTTTTAAGCATATTTAGGTGTTTTAGCCGCGCATAAGCTGATATTACTGTCTTACTCATAAAATTGTCAAACAATCAACCTCGATTGAAACATCGCCGTATTTGTTAAACACGACCAAAAAATTGTATTTATGAACCTGTTCAAATGAAAAAAGTCACTGAACTTTGTAAAAACATTACTTAACGGGCAGATCAAATCTTCGTAGCGATTACGAATTTATTCATTATTAATACGTATGGATTGCGTAGCAAAATTCTGTACTTTGTTTAGCTTTGTGTAAAATAAAATGTTTTGAATTTTAGAAGAAAAGTCGAGAATAGAATACGTTAAAGACAAACATTGATGAATATTTGATGCAGGTAATTAATTGGCTATTTCAAGCCAATATAGCAACGAGATTTCTGTATTCAGATAGATCAAATATAAAATATCTCAAGAGATATAATTTTTCACAGTATCGCTCGTTTCCTGTTTGAATGGAAGCATTATATTAAAATTTTTTAAAGATATAATTTGTTTGGTGTGAAATGAGAAAGTGCACAGTGGACAACGGCCAACTGCAAAGCGTTGTGATGTAATGGAAGGTAGGAATGGAACGATCAATTGTTATTGGTCGGGCGTTGTTTCTTTATTGAATAACAAATAGAATAGTTTGAAGAGCTATTAAGGCCTATTGCATCGATAATTATTGCCCGCTACTGATAGTTAATAAGATTGGATGTCGGCGAGCTCGAGATACACTTTCTGAAAAAATGTCTCGTTTTTCATTGAACTGCGGCCAACTTTTCGAGATAAACGCGCGTTAACATTCAAGGCAATTGAAGTGAATGCAATGCCGATGAAGCGAGCAAGTGTAGATTTAGGCATAGCTGTATATAGATAGCTGGCATCGGACAATTGTTGTGATACTACATTGAAACAGTTGGGTTTCCTTGTGTTTTTACGCGCTCAATGCATCTATCGAGAGCTGCTCGATGTTATCTAGAGTTCGCACGGTGAATGACAACGCCTAGACTACTTGCGCGGCTGCTGCAACTTTAGTCAACGGTTATTTGACACTATAACGTGTACTTTACCAAGTCATAAATCATATTGCAACGCGAACCAGTAAGGCTTTAATCTGAGTTGCACACATCTAGCAAAGGTAATGAGATGAGATACAAATTAACGTATATGTTTAAGTGACAACTGATTTTATAAGGGTGGAAAGGAAGGGGGAATTCGGGTATGGTAGAAGGTACAAAACAATACACAATTTTCTTCAAATATCTAGGTTTCTATTACTTATCACTTACTGTTGCGTAAGCAAACAATATCTCGACAGTGATTTCTTAATTCTTTTTTTTTTCAATGATTGTTTTTAATATCTACTGTATGTTTGTCGCTATTAGGTAATTTTATTTTATCTCATTGTCTATTCATATTATTTTTTCACTGTGAATGTGTAACATTTCGAAAAAAATGTTTTGATTTGTATTGTTCACAATTGACAGTTTGGATGTTATTAAAATCGATCTTGTGTTCATATAAACTAACGTGTTCAACAAAAGCTGACGTGTCTTCTTTTTATACACTCCGTATGATAGCACGCCGTGTCTTAAATGCGCGTCCAGCGCACGCGTTTCCGTGTCTTAAGTGGCTGATTCTGGCATGTTATATAAGCCTAACTTCCCACCGGTTCTCTACGCACACTTGACATTTGTTTTTAGTTATTATTGAAATAATTGAAATAAATAAAATATATTTATAATATGATAATAGTACATTACGATACAAGTGCGGGAAAGTAGATTCTTGTCTCGTGTGGCGTTTACACCCGAGCGAGGCGAGGGTGGAAAGGTACACGAGACGAGAAACTCTTTCCCGAACATGTGCCGTACCGTATTTTTTGATACGACGTATGGAAAGTGTGATTTTCAACGCACTTTTTCTATCGAGTGTGCGAGAAAGACGCACTTTGCGCACGGAGTATCGAAAAATTAATTTATTCATACAATGATACTCATAAAAAAATAAATTGAAACATATCTTGGACATTGAAAAAACTTCTAATGAAAACAAGTACACAAAAAACATTGATAAAACTATTTAAAATAAAAAACCATTTAAGAATATTTTTTTAACAGCATTATAGAAACTTATTAATAAACCTAATCAATAGTTCCCTCGAATAAGTGGTTTTTCCATTTTGGGCTTCATCGACCATTTTTCAGATTATATGCTCTATCTTCAGATGTAATCAAGAATAGAGCTGAAATTTGATTTCATATTTCAAATCATTGAAAGAAGGCAATAAAATCTTTCAAATTTGATTTCAAAATAACTTTTTTCTCAGCGACATAAGAAATTTTATGAAAATTCTACTTTTTGAAGATTTTTTTGCCTTCTTTCAATGATTTGAAATATGAAATCAAATTTCAGCTCTATTCGTTGATTACATCTGAAGATAGAGCATATTATCTGAAAAATGGTCGATGAGGCCCAAAATGGAAAAATCACTTATTTGATGAAACTATGTCTAATTGAAACTTAGAATTAATAATTTAAGTTCTTTCATCACTTTTCATAAATAATAGTGCAGTTTTTCATTATTATTTTATTGTTTGTTGCACCTTGTATTTTTATTCAGAAAGACTGATCGGCCGCACGATACGAAAAAAAATATCGTAATGTAGGACTTTCGATTGAAATCTTTCTAAAGTTTTAATAGTCGAGTTTGAAGCAGCACCTCAAAATTAAATGCCATAGGTTCAGACTAGTTTGAGTACAGCTTTATAATGCAGTAATTTATTTTTCGATACTCCGTGCGCAAAGTGCCTCTTTCCCGCACGATCGGCAGAAAACATGCGTTGAAAATCGCACTTTCCACACGTCGTATCAAAAACTACGGTACGGCACATGTTCGGGAAAGAGATTCTCGTCTCGTGTACCTTTCCACCCTCGCTTCGCTCGGGCGTAAACGCCACACCGAGACAACGATCTACTTTCCCTCACTTATCGTAATGTACTATTTCAATTCTTATTGTTATTTTAATTAACATATTGAACATAAATTACTTTTTTCAAAGGTGGATTTTTCAATTTTCTTACAAAACACATATCACAGCTGAAGAATGTGTATTAGTGATTAAGTACTTTTTCAAATTCATAATTTATCATATTAAAAACCGCAATAAGTTATTTTTTTATTTTTTTTTTCAATGGATTAAATTATTATTAAATTTTTATCCTACTCTTAGAACAAAGATTGCAGTATTTCAACCTTTATTTTAAGCGTATACATTTAAAAACTAGATTATCGATTAATAATCGAAAACATTAAAGACGATTTCAACCTCTTATTTTTACGAAACGATTTATTCGCTGTTAGTTTCATAAAATAAGTGTAAAAACAAGAATACTGTAGCCTATCTTAAAAATTGTGTATATCAATTATGATAAATTGGATTTTTATCACTAAAATCTCAACTCGAAACTATATCTACACGCTTATTTGCCGCTGCTTAACAGTACGTTTGTTATTACATGACTATATCTCAATCAATCAAATCACAAATAAAATGCTTCAACATGGTATCAATCACTTTTTTATAAGTAGATGCAAGTAGATAGTTTGGTATGTTGAAATAATTCTTATTTATAAAGTGTGTTTCTGATATTAACATGATGTCTATGTTTTGGTTGATTAATAATGTTCTTACTTTAAGGTGTCTCTGCATAATTCCATTTGCGTTCTATAGATAGCTATTTTTTATTTATTCATTGTGTTATTTTGTTTACTAGTATAGTTAAAAGGCATATAGTATCTATCCTTTGCATTAGCTACTCCATCATACATTCACATTTATTTATGTTTACGTCATCTCACATAACATGAAATATTGCTATAAGTTTTCGGCAAGGTTTCCTAAAAGGTTTTAAATATTTCTGCAATCTATATCCATGCAATTTGAGCCGCAGAAAAGTTGTAGAAAGGTGATAGAGAAATTTATACGTTACTTATTTAAAGAGTGTAATTTGAAATTGTTAATAATTTTATAATTGCGTTATCATGTATAAATTTAAAAATATCGTTCACAGTAATGCTCATGCACGGTACATGTATAAGTAAAAATGAATTTATCTGCTCCGCAATAATCATTAAATATTTAAAAAAATATTCGACCATATGATAATGTTCTTTCATTGGACAAATTAAATCAGCTCTAGGAAACTTTTTAAAATGCTCTAAAATTAATATTAATGATTTATAAAAAAGATAGAGGTGCTTGAAGTATCTTTATTAATAGCAATCATTGTTATTAATTTTTTATTTTTATGAGAAAACTGTAATGAGGCAAATTAATCGGTTTGCATATTTTAATTGAGCGAATTGAAATTTATTTACTACGATATTACTAGCTGCAATGTTACACAAATCATTTATGTAATGTTTCACCGATGATTCGTGAAATGTTTCTATAAACATTGTTAAAGCATTTTTATAAAATATGTTGAGCAATGTCTCTACAAGTTTTTCGCAAAGTTTCTATAATAGATTTTATTCAATTTTTTTATCAAAATATTTTCTTGAAACGGTCACGAAAAGTTTCTAAAACATTTCAGTGAAGTGTTTTCTGGAACGTTTGGAAAATATTTTATAAAAATGTTATGCAACAAATTACCAGAATTGATCTAAAACATTGAACGGCAATGTTGCATGAATCACTTCTGCAATGTTTCATCGATGATTTATGGAATGTTTCTACAAACATTGCCAAAACATTTTTATTAAATATGTTGAGCAATTATTTTGCAAGGCTGTGCAAAGTTTAATCGAAATATTTACTAAAATTTCATAAGTTTCTGAAATATTCTCTCGTTTATGTCCAAAAATTATATCAATAATATTTTAGGGAATGGAATTTGGGGAATATTGCGGCAACGTTTTTGGAATATTTTTATACAATATTACAGAAAAAGCGTTTCTAATAGTTTGCGCTAATGTTATATTTCAGTGAAACATTTTTGTTTTTGCAATACATTAGGTATATTACATGAAATATTTTAATGAAATTTTCATAATTTATTTATTCACAAACATTTCTACAATATTTTTGCCAGGTTTTTTAAAAATATTTCAGTGCAATATTTTGTACTTTTTGGGATCTGTCATTTACTTGGCTCTGTTAAGAATAAAACAGTACATTTGTGTTACATTTTATTTATTTTAGAACGCGATTCATTTATTCAAGAACGTTCCTTATGTTTACGTTGTTAAGCAAGCTTTAATTTTTTTTAACAAAACCTATAAATCTAGTCTGATTCGAACCTTGATACGCACCTGTGTTACAGTTTTTAATAAAACACAACTTATTAAAACATATTCAATGTTCTCATTATTTCTGAGTTAATCATAGTAAAAACAAAGTAAATCATTTTGTTTTAACAGGTTCTATCTCTGTATTTATTTGTTTCGATTTTAAATCTGTCTTGCTATGTTCAATTTATTTTGCCGTTACTTTGGTAAATGTTTTGTTTGATCTGATTCTGTTGGTATTTAGAATTAAGTTATGTTATTTCTGTTTTGAGTGAAAGTTTTATCTCTCAATCTAGGGAATAATTTTTATTGCAGCTGTTTGCGAACTGAACATCCTTTGTAATTTGCAGAGTAGTTTTCCCCGCGAATTGCGTACTTTATACATCTTTAATTTTTTCTTCAATGGGACGCAATATTCCCCCAAACAGTTCCCCAAAATATTGTTAAAATAATTTTTGGAAAAAATTGTGAAAATATTTCAGATACTTATTATAAAATTTTCGTTGAAATATTTTGATTGAACTTTGCATAAACCTTGCAGAAATATTGCTTCAGAGAAATTCTTTGACAATGTTTATAAAACATTTAGTTACGTGTTATTTTGCGTATTTGACATAAACTGGATTATCATGGAAATAATTTTTAGTATGCCCGAGTTCTTGACAATATTATATGACATTAGGGCGTGTCTCTTTTAATATACGGTGGTTCAAATTTAATTATAGTGTTTAATAATCTGTTTACTTTATAATTGTTTTGGCTATTGTAATCTTGTATTTCTACGGAAAATAGAGATAATGGTATTTTTGTCACACGATGCTGATTATTACGGATTCTTATTACCTTGTATTCGTGTTTCTCTATGGCAAATTTGAAATCATTTATGTCTACTGATGAGTGCACACTTCTCAATACCACTTTTAATCACTTATGTTCTTTGCGCTGATATGTATAAAATTGAGTGTTTTTTTTTCTTTTAGTGCAATGACTATGATGGGTAGATATTTTTCTGCTGTTGTCAATTGTATTTTTATTTTATTCTGCCCCACCACTTTAAGTGTATAATTGTCTTCAGCGACTGTCTTCAGTAGATTTTCTAAAAAGTGAATATTTTCTACGTTATATACAATTATTTTCAATGTGTTGATTTCCTTGTTCATTGTATTCACTTTATCGATTAATTATCACGAAGAACTTGGTAGGTAGATTAACGTAGCCAGTAATCCGATAGCTGGATATGCCGTTTCTTATTTGGTATTTAGTTGATTCGTTGAGTTAATTCGTTGTCTTTTGCTGGTTACAGTTTTCCACTCTTCGGTGTTGTTTCGAGTAGGAATAGACATTATGTCCCCCTTTTGAGTGTCCATTTTGGCCGTTACTTTGCTTCCTTTATATTGTCAAGACAAATTTATATTAACTCGGATAGTCACTTTACTCGATTGGCTAATATTTAGCTTTACGAGTAGAGCGTAAGGGAAACACGTCCACTTTCCTCAGCGATCAAACGTTGAATGAATTGCAAATTTAGCGTTAAATAGAAAATACATTGAGCTTATAAGGAATATAATGTGCTGGAGAAATGACTCTTGCAAGATGAAATTCGTACGGCAATTAAAATACTCAAATTAACTGTTAATATTCGATTAGTTAGTTGTAAGTTTTGTTTGAGTTTCCATATATATATGCGAGGCAACCGACAAAGAAACGCTCCTTTCTCAAGCGACACAGCGAGGTGTCTGGAATAAAGCAACGATATACATAAGCTTACAGTATTCCTCAGCCCATTTCTATTTATTTATCCGCTCGTTAAATCTCCATTAATTAGGCTCGCCTCCCTGCCATATAATAAGCGCATGCCATAAAGCACATTATTGCGTCATTCGGCACCACTTATGACTCGTGGCTGGCACCTTAGAAATCTGTACGACTACTTGGTCCTAAAGTAAAGTCCAAACTAAGCAATAAAAGAAGAACGCGAATTCGATTGAACGCAAACGGTAATGGATAGACCAATCTGACGGCCAATGGCATTTATCGCGTTTCATACATGCAACTCTTAGAATGGGAATCTGGAGTCAGTAGATTGACCTTATTAGTTGTTTTTGACATTTTAAAAAACCCATGTTACGAACGCAATGTTCGGTATACCGGCGGAGAAAGGAGCGTGACGAGAAAAGGCCGTGACAACCGACGCGGCCAAATGTAATAAGTACGTATGTAACGATAGATCGCGTCGATGTCGAAAGCGTCCAACGATTCATCGCTGAGAGCGTGCACCGTACACGCGCAGTTCGAACGTTTACATGGCGAAGACGCGATACGCAGCCAAGAATCGGACAAAGCGAAAATAAAATGGCAGCGTGCACGAAGCAAAAGTGAGCTAACGATTCCAAAATATATAAATAGAAAAAGTGGCCAAGCGCAGAGACGGTGAGGGCTGTTACCCATCGGATCGCACCTATACCACGCTGCTCTCAACGCCACGCTAACCGAGCTTACGCGTTCCGGCGCGGGGCGGCGGGCGCGAATCACCATTATATGCTCCGCAACTGAACGATTGGCGGCACGCCACGCATCCGCGCGTAACGCATCTCCAATTCAGCTGCAAGTAGCGTTTTTCGTCCAGACACGTACAAAGCTTCTAATTGTCATGTTATTATTAGTCCTATTGCCTCGACTCCATCGTCCAGCCGTTGGAAATGCAAACGTCGATTGCCCAAATAAGCGCGCGTACAAGAACCTTTAATATAATTATTATCGACTGGTGCATACAGCTGTGATATCACAGGCCGAGGTAATCGGTCGTCTCGGAGTAATTAGTCGCATGGGCAACCGGCCGCAAATACGAAAAAAGCGCAGAGATTGTCCTGCCCGCCCGTACAGAGGCGGCGCGCGCCTACTGCCGACATCTGCCGAGCGAGCTGCCATCTTGGCCGACTTGTACTGAGCCAGAGAGTTGTCCGCAGTGGCGATTGGCGGCGAGTGGCCTGCGAGCAGCACACGAGTGGCAGTCACGGTCCCGTGCCTCTCGCGTCCGCAAGTCGAGCTCGGCACCCAAGTAACACGAGTAGGCCATGCGCCAGCGCAGCAGAGGTGCGCACGGGAGCTGAAGGTCGCGAGCGCTGCTCCAGGTACGTACCGCGTGGCGGGTCGATCTCGGGTAGCGCCTCTGCGCCGCCGCAGGTCGCCCGTTGCCGATGGCGACGAGGAACGTCACAGCAGAGCTCGCGAGCGCGGAGGCGCGCGAGAGGAGCGGCGCGGACTCGCGGGGCGCACGTGCACGGCACGAGGGCCGGCGTCGTCTGCTAGCGGCGCTGCCGCTGCCAATGCGCTCGTCAGCGTCCACGCCTCGTTGCAGCCGAGCGCTGGTGTCGACGAGCTGCGCTGCCGGCTGCCTCGCTGCTACGCGTGCGGATGGACAGGTGGCGGAGCGGGGCCGTGCCGCCGCCGCCCGATCCGCGCGGCTGCAGTGGGTTCGTGGAGGCAGGCGGCGCACGGAGGCTCGGCGCCGTCGCGGGCACGCAGGATCCGCCGTCCTCCCCGTCCTCGTCGTCGTCCTCGTCGTCCTCGGCGGAGGACCCGTCTGCCGACAGGCTCGGACGCCAGCCCAGAGGTACTCGACCGGGCGCCCGGCCTGGCACCGCCGACTGACTTGGCTTGCACCGCAGGGGAGCCCGAGTGGACGGGCCGCCCGCCGGGCGCGGGCTGGCAGCCGCTGGCCGCGCGGCTGGCGCGCGGCAGCGACGGACCGCTGGACGGACCGCGGCGGGCGGCGGTGACGACGCGCCGGGACCAGGTGAAGGCGCGCGTGGAGGCGCGTAGGGTGGAGCAGCTGCGCGGCGACAGCAGCCTCGACGAGGGCGCCGACGGCCGCGAGCCCGGGCGCAGCGCGGCGCCGGCCAGCAAGCGCTCACGGGCCTCCAGGACCGAGAGGTACCTCAAGCGCGTGAGCAGTGGCGGCAGGGCCCCAGGCGCGCTCGCTCAGCAGGCGCCGCGGCGTTTTCCCGAGTTGGAGAGCACCGGCTCGGGCCGCCGTCCGCCCACGCCGCCGACGCCGCCGACGCCGCCGACGCCGCCCTCGGGTCCATCCGACGCGGTACGTGGGCACTTCTAATCCGCTGCCTCGCCGCCGCAGTCAGGTGCCTAACCGATCGTCCCCTCTAGGCGGAGCCAACGTGGACGCACCGGATGCGCAGCTCGCGGAATCTGGAGGAAGCGCTGTGCGAGCTCGAGGCCATCTACGACAGTCTGCAGCTGGGCGACGAGGACCTGCTCGACCGGGCCGAGCGCAGAACCGCGGAGGAGCTTCTCTACAAGGGCTTGGCCTGCGGTCCGGACGCCTGCGACAGCAGGAGCCTGACCCGCGCGGACCAGATCCCGGTAACGACTCGCTGCAGCGCGTAGTTGTCTCGGAGCAAATTGAAGAAGCTGTCGCTTGACCAGGACGAGCCCGACAGACTGAAAGACGACATGGCCTACAGGCGAATGCATCCCAAGGAGAGGCCGAGCCCCGCGGACGCCCAGTCGCTGACCGGCATTAGCTACCTGATCGCCTCGCCGATGCCCTGCCGCAGTCGCGTGCCCTGTGCTGGGCCGGCCCCGGGCGGGGCTCGCAGGAGAGAACCCGACGTCACGTTGGACGACGTCGTATTCCGCAGCATGCACCACGCCAACAGTACGCCCAAGGTCCGTCCCGTTGGCACTGTGCGCCTCTGCCGTTTGTTCACTGTCAGTTGCGCGCGCGAACAGGTGCTCGAGCCGCAACCGCCCTTCGGCATACCTCTGGGTCCCATCACCGCGGCCGCCGACTCCGACTACCTGCACACCCGCCCGAGTGACTCGGAGCGTGCGCGCTGCCCGCGCGCGACACGCCGGCAACCGGACCTCGTCACCGACGACTTGGCCTACCGCAGCCTGCGCAAGGACGCCTTGCCGAGCAGCCGCCGGTCCAGTCCGCGCCCTCCGCTCCGGCGCCGGCCCCGCCCGCCGCCGCGCGAGGCACGGGCCCACGAGCGCCGCGTCTCGTCCACGGAGCCCGCCGGCCGGCGGCGCCCCCCGGACGCGGGCTCGAGCCACAGCTGGTCGTCCGACGATTCCTCGCACGACAGCCCGCGGCCCGTCCGCCTGGGCAGCCTGCCCAGGGCGAGCTTCAGCGAGCTGCTCCGGTAAGCGCGAGTACCCCGCCGCGAGGAGGCTTGCAGGCAGGGCCGCTCACCTCTCCGCCGTGTCGCCCGCAGGGAGCTCGAGCCCGCCGAGGGCGACTCGGCTGCCGGCAGCGGCTCCTCCGGCCGCAGCGCTCCTGCGCCCCGGCCGCCACCTCGCAGCCACGAGCCGTTCAGCGAGCGCGAGCTCTCGACGGTCTACGAGCAGCTGTGCCGGGACCTCGAGGCCCTCGTCGAGCTGACGCAGAGCGGCGTCGCGCGCGCCGACCCAGCCTCCGCGGGGGTCGGCCCAGAGGACTCGGCCGCGGGTAGCCCGAGGCGGGACTCGCGGCCAGTCGACGGGGACAGCTTGCGGACGGAGGCCGCCGAGCAGCGCCCGAGCGAGGATGACTCAGGGGACGGTGGCCCGCCCGCGAGGAGCGCCGAGTGGCCGGGCAGCGAGCCGAGCAGCGCCGTGGCTGGTCGGCGCACGAGCCTCGCGAGCGACGACAGCAGGCACTGGGCAGGTGAGATTCGGCCTCGCGACAGCGTTGGTATGGTGTGCAGTGTCTCGCACGACGTGTGTCGACTAACCGCCAAGTACGTCTGTTACATGACTAATCAGCTAACGGCGCACCTTTGCCTCTTGCTTGTGCTCTTCCTTGCGCTGCTCCTGGCGCTCGTCAGCGTGCCGTAGCCGTTCACCGGTCGGCCTTGATAACGCGCTGTGTGCCTGTGTGCACATCGCGCGCCGTACCAGCTGCACTTGTGTCGGGGCTCGCGATCAACCGTGCCACCTGTCTCTCCTCTACTTTCGATTGTCCCCTCCAATGTTTTTCATCCATCGGCGAGCCGTGGGTTGAGCGCCAACTCGTACCACGAGATTCGCGAACGCCCGACTATCCGTTGACATTCCTTCGGATTTTACTTTTTAATCTTGCTCTTTGGTCATTCTCTCTGTTGCCAGCGCTCTTTCATCTTACGATACACTTGTCACGAGCAATACGAACTCACAGCACCGTGCAATCCCACAATTTACCTGATAGATATAGTCTTAGCAAATGGATGTCTTGGTAAACGCGTGCACTCATCGATCGATCGTTACGTCGCTTTCACACTTTTCAAAACAATTAGCAAGACCCATGTCATGGCTCCCCTGTCGAATCTAACGAGCGATCTTACACTTTTTGATGAATTTTCATTGACAAGAGCGCGAATGCTGTGTAAATATCGGGCAAGACCGAGCTCTTTTTCGAAACAGCCGCCCGACCGAGCTTCCAGCCTCTGTCTAGACCTGTTCTGTCTCGGTTCTCGTTCCTCTATGCTGCCCATGTCTTTGAGTTTCCGACGATGAGCCTCTGAAAAAATCATGGAAAGTAAATAAAATAAGGGAAAAATATGGGTTGTACAGAGGATTGACAGAGCTGTTGATTAGTCCGCCGGAAATGCAAAAGAAAAAAGAAAAAATGAAAACCAGTGCATAGAGCTAAAGTCGGTAAGAGACTCTACAGATGCCCGCATCGTAAGTAATCGCTGATCGCAATAAAAGTGCCTTCGATCACGTCGAGTCCGAGTCCTCGATGTTCAAGCGCTAGCGTAGCGCTAGTCAAGGAAACTCGAAATTTTCACTGAGCTTAAAGGCTTGATCTGCAAGGACGCGAACGCACGCTTTGTAAAAATGTGCTGGGCAATCGAGTGAATGTTGAAGCTGTAAATAACAATGCGTTTCCATGATGTGTCGTCGATATCGTCGAATGCTTGCACGTGTGTCGGTCCAAGAAACGAAATATGCCTTGTTGCAATATCAGAAAGTCAAGAGCAATCAATGTTTTGCGAGCCAGTCCGACGATCTGACGAGAAGTTCGAAATTGTTTATACTGCTGTCAGACCGTTGAAAATTGTGCACGATTCACGCATTGATCCTGGGCTGATTCCTACTTGAACGATATGACCAATGTCGTAGGTGCAGGCACTACACTTGCATGAACGAGAAGTATTCTGAACCAGTGCGTGTTTTACAGAACAATACTTCGTCCAAGGCGGAGTCCACTATTTTTTAACAGTTTTCCCTATGTTTGTCTATCTCTTGTAAAATCACCGTGCCTTCAAGAAACAGCAGCGCAGCATCGGCAACAACTAATTGTTATTATTGGAATAAAGTTTATTGTAAGTCAAGAGAAATCAACTCGACTTATATATTTTTTCTGTAACCCTCGTCTAATACTTTCAGTTTTTACGCCAGTACGTCTTGTGGGAAAGGCACTCTGTACTTGCGCGGTGCTTTATTGATCCTGCGTTTGTTTGTTTGTTTGCTTGTTTGTTCGTTTGTTCGTTTGTTCGTTTGTTCGTTTGTTCGTTTGTTCGTTTGTTCGTTTGTTCGTTTGTTCGTTTGTTTGTTCGATTGTTCGATTGTTGCTCTCACGACCAGCTGCTTTTCAACAGCTTGCGAGTAAGTACGATTTATCACTATTTCATCAATGATTACCACTAATTTTGACAGTCTGTGGATACACCTTATATGCGCGCTACTAGCTGCAATGAGCTTCGGACGGTATGTCAGCGTTACTTTCCTCTTACGGCTTCGTTGATATTTCACAAGCGATTCGGAATCACAATCCTAACTAACATGACGATTTTATCAACTTGCAATTAAATACGACTTTTGAGCGACCATCCACACGCACTACACCACATCAATCGATTGTTTATGTTGGACACAGGTCTGAACAAGTGCAACCACAAATACAACAGCATGCCGGCCAAGACATCGTCGCTTCTTATGTTCCGTCAGTATGGCTCCAAACGGAAATCCAACAAGCGAAAATCAATCTGCAGCCTTTCCTAATCGTCCACAGCCATGATAATGATCTCGCAGTATCCAATGTTTTGATTGTATTATGTCTTGTACTATCGCAATTAGCTTAGCTAGAACGTGTCAAAGACCGGTGGCAAGCTTGGCTCGAGTTTCAAGCACGCAGTTGCACAGTGCAGCGAACCTTCCGAATCATTGTTTACCATTAAGATTTAGAGACATGGAGATTTTCAGATTTTCAGGATAAACAAACCGTATAAACGCACACGGCACTGGTTTTGCCTTTTATTAACACATGTCGGCTGATATTTTGCAAAAATAGACAACAGTTCTACTTGAAAATGCAATATTTCCATTTGTTTGTTCGCTTGAAGCAGCCGACTGTTGCGCCGCTGCCGGCAATGTATTCAGCCTCGCGATAACTGGGCCTCCGTGCACTGGACTGCCGAGGGAACATTGCGCGCAAAACCAAGTAGTGCGACGCTGCAGGCAAGCGGCGAAAGCGCTAAGCAGCACGAACCGGCCAGCGAGTAGCTGCGAGGTTTAGCTGCCGGAGCCCGGGCTGCTGCTGCTGCTGCTGCTGCTGCTGCAGCAGGGGAATGCGCTAGATGCGCACGGGGCCCGTGGCAACTGCAACAGCCGGTCGGCCGGAGCTACTCACTCGTCTTGCTCTCCTGCTTGAGGCTCCGACGAGCTCGAGGCGAAGAGCACGTCCCGCTTGGACGCGATCAGGCGCTGGTTCGGCATGGTGATCGTGTGCACCAAGTTGCCGTTGACCATGAGCCGGATCTCCATGGCGTCGGTGCTGAAGGCGGTCGACGGCCACAGGCACGGAGGTCCAGCCAAAGTCGAACTCGGTGGGCGCCGTGGACTCGTCCGACAGCTTCTGGAAGTGGCAGGTGTCTGCACGCAGCGCTGCGCGTCCGCGGACGCTCGCTAGAGCTCCTCGTCCCCGCAGAGGTCGGTCCAGTGCAGCTCGAAGCGGTGCTCGAGCCCGCGGTCCCCGGCGACGACGAAGGCGCCCGGCCGACGCGCAGAATCTCGCCTCCTCCTTCTCGCCGTTGATCAGCTTGGCCAGCAGGAACTCGCGGAAGCGCGGCGGGCAGGGCAGGCTCGGCCCGAACAGCGGCACGCTCTCGTCGCAGCAGACGGCCAGGCGCCAGCCGTTCTCGTGCGCCCCGCCGCTCACCAGCGCGAACGCGTCTACGCAGCGCAGCGAGTCGGCGGGCGACGCGCACTCACGCGCGACCCGGCTCCCGATGCAGCTGGGCTCGAAGCTGTCGAGCAGGCCGGCGTCGTCGCTGTAGATGACGTTAACGACGTCGTTACCGATGTGGCGCTTGCGCTCCAGTTGCTGCGGGTCGTCCTTCGAGTGAGGCAGCAGCGTCGACACGTGGTACATGATTTCCTGGCCGGCGTACGCCGTGTAGACGCTCTCGCTGCCGGTCGTGTCGGTCTTCGCGTCCCGGCCGCGCAGCCCGACGCGCTGGCCCAGCGTTCGCAGGAAGGGCTCGATGCCCGGGAAGTACTTTAAGTACCACTGCGTCTGGTACTCGCGATTCTCCAGTATCCGCGCACAGTAGCGGCTCAGCTCACTGGGCGCACCTACCTCCTCTCCCGGCCGCTCGCCGGCCGAGTGGCCGTTCTCCAGGCGGAATCGGAAGGCTGCCCGTCCAGCTCGTCCTGCTCAACTTGCGCCAGCTGCATTTCAGGCTAACGACATTGATGAGGTACAATCAGCCGCTTACCTGCTCCATGCTGCCCTAGAGTTTCCGCGATAGGACGCCGCGTGGGCCGACGCTGTCCGTGCAAGACCTGCGCACGACGTCCTCGTTCTCCGAGCCTTTCTCCACCAAACTCTACCTATCTAAACATGCGCCTGAGCTGCAACGGCATCCAACGATGCAGCTACTGCTCGATCTATAGCAATCACGTAACACGCACTTCTCCTTCAACATGCTCGTTTTGTCCGGCTGTTTTTCATTTCAATTCACTTGAGCATATAGAAAAAGGCTTGCCTGGACCCTATGCCTAGTTCAACTTTGAGGACCCGCCGACACACATACACATTGACACGCTGAAAGTGGAGCAACAACTAGTCATTCAATTGCTAAAAGTTTTGCCTTGTGTGTTTATTAGTTTGTTATATCTTTCAGCGTCATCTCATAGCCCTGAAACATTCATTAGACTTTAATAGCTCTTCAATAAATGGCTCTGTGGCAATCCTAAAGCCACCTTTATAGAGATTTTGAGTGAAATCTTCGATAAAGTGGAACAACTTTACATTGCTCTTCAGCTTTAACATTTGATATCAACTTTCCACCAGCAACCTGCTTACTTGAGAACTATTGAGATTTAACGAGGGACTCCATTTCACCCGATAATAATACCCATGCTAAAACTAGCTGTGGTAGCACTATAAATTTTTACATCGGTTTGACGTAAACCGACAAAATAAAGTCTGATGAAAATCCGCTGGGGAGACTCTGATCTCGATTTATTTTCATTAAAATTATTATTAAATATGATTTTTCCGATTTCAATACAAAGAACTAATTACTCTAATGAATTGATGAAAAGCATATTAAAAATATGTAACAATTTAATGAATGATAATTAGTGTGCGTCAGAAGACTGCCATCTATGCCGTGTTCAATCTCCAAATTTTGAAACAATCCTAATCGAAATCACTGATTTTTTATTCTCTTAGGCTCCTCTTTTGTGAATGGGCATGCTTTTGCAATGATTTTCGGCCTAGGTCAGAACAAGTTGGTCGGTTGCTTACGAGAACACTATATATTTTATTCCGATGCGTCGCCAGCAATAGCTACCGATCAAATCGATTGCAGCACCGCTACTTTCATATTTACGATTAGTAATGTTCGCAGTACATTTGGAGAGATAAACAAGACAAGGTTGTAACGCAACCTCGTGAACAAGTGAAATAGTCAAAGTTACAATGAAAGAATGTCCGAGAACACGCTGGCAGCCATTCGTTTTGTTTGCTCGGCACTTATAGCGGAACTCGTGTGAGCTTGTGTGCATGTGTGTCAAGGCCCGTACAGCACTGCTTCTTAATCTCACCGAGCTCTCTCAGCCACACGAATTACTGCTCGAGAGATTCGAGCTTGGTAGCATAATATTAACGACAGCGGACCTCTCGAATTGCACTGTTGGCGACTGTCGGCGATAGCCTTCAACAACTACAGATAGCACGAGTGCACAGCAGCCTATTGGTGCACATGTACTCGAACGAGTCTTTGAGTTAAACGAGCAAAAGCGGCGTGTAGCGTGCTGTCGCATTGATATGGTGAGCCTTCTATCCTCATTCCGAACAGAACCAAGAGAGAATCAGCTGACGAGTTATTTGCCAATGCCACGAGTTAAGCAGTGCAAGTTAGCCGAGGGCAGCTACCGCGCTTTGTTGTTTGTTCACGCGCCTCGGATTGGCCCATATCGACGACCAAGCTTGGCGAGTCCAGCCGACCGCTGTACCCGAGCCCCAAAGAACACGCGCTATCGAGCATCGCGGCAACCGGTCGCAGAGCGACGGCACGTACAGCTGACGGCTGCCGCAGCTGCGGCCAGGTGAGCACCGGCATGCACGCGCTGTTGCATGCATCGCAGCTGTGCCTGGCGAGGCCGACTGCACTCGACGCCGCTCTGAAGAGCACAAAGTCCCGCGAGTCGATGCGAGTCTGTCGGCCCGAGCGTCGACCACTACTACTCGCGCGCCCGCGAGGTGCGCAAACGCGCGGATCGGCTTCGCGATCCGACTGCTTTCGAGTCAACGACTGGCTGCAGACAGTCGGGCACGAAAATCAGCCAGCCGTGAGAGCAGCGCCATACGACGGGGTGGCCGAACGCTTGTTAGTCTCTGCTCGCCATCGCGTTGGCATTTTAAGCCCGGTCGCAGTGAATTGGGCCGCGCGAGGTGCGCAAGTTTGAGACCTAGTCGCGGTGTGCTACTGGCCTACTGAACGCGACGAGTCAATTAACCCATTTACTCCGCCAACACGCGCCAGTCCGTCTACGATACGGCTCGATGCTCGAGTTTTTGCGACGCACGAGCAAATGCTCGAACCGACATTTTTTTAATCATCTTACAGTATTTGGTCTTTCGTTACTATTTTATTGCGGAGCTTGGTCTGCCTCTTACATCTTATCTTCTTTTTAACACAGTTTTTAATGCAAGTCATCGTAAGGGGACGGAAAAGTTGGCTTATTTATAAGTCCGCTCATAAAGATGTATGTGTACGTGTGTTTCCTCAGTCATCGCGATATTTTTGCTGCTCGATAGATTATTCAAGTAAAACGTTTTACCTACATGTAAACAACATGACAAATTTATAGAAAATGGCTTGAAGGTAATTATTAACAGATTAATTATTTATTTTATTTTGTTTCTGTAATGTATGATTCTTTAATTAATTCTAAATAGTTGAATAGCGTTACGCATACTTGTTTATCATGAATGTAGCGTTAGTTAGTCGCTTACTAACTCTTCTTCTGATATGTCTTGCTTTCTCATATTATACAATAAATCATTACAAGCTTGAGTATTTATTTATTGAATATATAACAGTTTCTCTATAATATAACGTGATATATCTATGTTTACGAATAAAGGAATTGTTGAACGTGATCAAGTGGTGGAATCAAACATAATATAAACAAACACAATAAGAATAACGGTTAATGACATGAGCGGTATGCTTTACTCTAAAAACAAAGATAATCACCGCGAGATCAACTAGATTTATTTTATTTATGATATTGTCTCTACTTATTGAATTCATATTTTCTATAAAAATATATGAATGCTGATGTGAATTTAACAAAGGTGTATTCGCGAATGAATAAAAGTGAAACAATTAAACTTTTGTCACTCGCACTCCATAGTTGTACGTTAAAATATTGATAAATGCTGTATTTGTCTCCACGATTAAGTACATCATTGCATTTATGAATATTTTTGAAAAGTGAAAGACATTTTTTTTTCTTTGACAATTGCACTATGACAATCCAATATGTTTTTAGCAAGTGAAATGATGGCAATGTAATGAACGACTAACTTACGGATACTAAAGTTTAAGCAAAACGCGAGAATAAATTATCGTCCGTTGGCACTTTTGGATTCTCATTAAAAATGTCTATTTTTCGCGTTGCACTCATTTCAATGATGTAAACATAGTTTCAAATTGCATGATTCACGCTCACACGTACAATTTTTATTAGCAACATGTAACGTCGTGTAAAAGAGTTATTTGAGTAATACTAATTGCAATAAGTCAGTATTATATTACTCAAATAATATAACAATATAAGTATATGCTCGCTCATCAGCCGCCAACCTCTATGTTATTTTGATTATTGCTTAATAGTTTTGAATATTACGGCTGTTGATTGAAATTATTATTTCGATAATGTTTTTTGCCCAGACCACCATTGAAATTGACATCAAGGCAGGCTCAAGAAGGGGCATGGCTGAGGAGTAAAATGCACTAAAATCCCTATATATAATGTAGGAAGATATGTGGAAATTGTTCCACTTATCGTAGTGCAATAGATTTTTGAAATTTTTAGGAAATCTGAGAGATATTCTTTCAGCGGCAACGTCGATGACGACCAACTGTTCGTTCGGAATCGACATTGTTTTTTTGGCTAATCAGAATTTTGAGCAAGTGTCGCCACTCGCCAGGCCCGTACTGTATAAATAGAGATAGTTGATAAAGTCACTTTCCCAGAGGTTTGTGAGTCGACAGCTGTAAAGCAGGGAATGTCTGTACCGGTGACCTACTCACGACACGCTATTTATTTTTCAACTATCATTTCATTTCTGATGCGACTGCATCGATCATATTTCAACGCTACTTTCTCCTTACTTTCTCCAGTCCCTTATTCGCAGCTTCCTTCGAACAAAATGAGCCTCGTTCACATTAGTTCGGCATTCGTATACTGTATTTTTCAGTAGACGCAGCAGGCAGTATGATAATGTATGAGGAATAATGCAAGTCTGCAATCCCTACAAGAATCTCTTGGACTGTTTCCAATTAAAACGCTGGACTGGTGAAGACACTCGCGATACGCGCTCGAACGGAAAAGCCTCGGCTGTACGCCAGCTGCTCCAATCTCCAATTGTCCAAATAGCTCGCGAGCCGAGACACTAAGCGATACAACCGCCAAAAGTGTGCAGGCCGTGGATTGCGCTCGAGTCGCGGTGCCAGTGGCTTTATTCTGCCTCCCTTCGTGATGCAATCTCAGCGGAGCCCCGCGATCGAGCTGACGTTGGGCGCGGCGCGTGGTCCGCGACCAGCCAGCTCCCTGGAGACTGCCGAGGCCGCTTTGTGAGTCACGAGCAGGCCTCGCGTCAGCGTCGGCGTTGCGTGGCTAGCGCGACAAACGGACCAGCGGGCGCCTCGCCTAGCTCAAGGCTGCCGCCAGGTTGCGATCGCCGACCGGTGCAGCTGCAACTTGCTTGGGCACTGAGCTGCCGGGCTGTCGGAGCAATAACCCGAAAAGGCCGAACGCTTCATTCGGATCGGGCTCGCTCGATCGGGAACACTCATCGGCGGCCCATCGCCAATTTCCCGTCGCTTGAGAGCGTACGAGTTCGATATGCTCGAGGCAGGCTGCATTATTAGCGAGCAAATTATTGGCTTGCGACGACCACTTGGTCTTTCTTCGTAAGTGCAAGACGCAGCAGTGCACTCGGCCAAGCATGTAGTTCGAACGACGCCCAGTACGCCTAAGTTACTTGCCTAGATCGGCAAAGCGCACCTTGGCAATATAGGCGTGTCGTGCTTCCGACGAGACTTGTCTTATGGTAATGCACTTTATCGCTACATCGACTGGCTTTCCTCTCGGCGATCATAGAGTCTTGCAGACTTTCATGCTGCAGACGAACAATGTTGACGCGATATGATTACACGCAGCCAAGGCTCTTTCTCCGAGCAACCAAGTGCTCAGTCAATTATTTCCTCTCTCTCTAAATAAAACAAAGCTCGTATTTGGAAACTGCAAAAGCGAAACGTTATGTACTTTTGGCGAAAGGCGTTGGATTGAAAGTCGTGATTGCTAAAAAATTGCATCTCTCTACCAGTAATGTCACGTTTGTCCAAGTTGTATATTTTGGATTGATAAACCATGTGGTGTATGTAACTGGAATCCATTGCAAACTGTAATATATATATATATATATATATATATATATATATATATATATATATATATATATATATACACACATATATATACACATATACATGTATAGAAAGATAAGTATCTCACCCGAGGACGCGCGGTCGCGCTTTGTTGCCCTCGAAGCTGATGCTGCGCAGCTCATACTTGGATCGCAGTCGGAGAGACTAGACGGGTGAACTCGAGTCCGAGCCAACGTGGACATGACTGCAGAGTTTTGGTTGAGCCACCTCCGGAGATGGCGTTACACCGAGCAGCAGCGGTGCTGGCCGCCATTGCGATACCTTCTCTGTGCTCCGGCCTCCTTATCGAGCTCATGCCTGCACCTTGCTTTGCCGCTTGCTCACCAGATGCCTCATGTGCAAAAGCCTGCTAAATTCATCTTTCCGTCTCACTGCATAATTATTTGCAAGAACTCGAGCTACCGCGTTTCCACATTTCCATAACAATCCTTACTCTTTGCACACGGACGTTCTTTATGCTACCGTTATCAATCCAACAGCCGATAAATATAGCTTTCTGCAAAGCTTCGCGTCAACGTCAAGGCGAATCGGTCTTTTGGACAAGCCTAGCGGTAGAATTGGAATGAGAGCTCCTGGAACGTGTCAATGGAGCATACAAGGCGACTAACCCTCACTACAAGATTCACGCCTGCGGCCTGGTAGTGTACTAGCTGTGTACTGTCCGACTTGTTCTGCATGCCGCAGCTCGACCATTCGCCAGATTACTTCAACATTTTAAACTTGCGTTTAGATTCACTGCAGCATCTTGGCAGCGCTTCGGCAGGCAGAGCATGCTAGACGCTGCTTTGTCGCCTAGCGTCTCTTCACTGACACTCGTCCATATTAGCTGACGCGAATATCAACCGCGCGGCTTACGGCAAGCAAAACAGTGACGACGATCAACAGCCGGTGGAAGAGTACATCCCCTCTCGAGTTGGTGGCCTCTCAGCGACGCGAAAAGCGTGTGTGTGCGCTCGCGCGTGCTGTGGAGAGGTGGAGACAGAGACAAATGGGACATAGGATACGCTGTAAGCGCAAGCAAATTTACGTGCAAGTTTCAGCTCGACTTTGACTAAGTTTTGGCAATCCCTACGATCCGAGCGCAGTGCTGCTGTTGACTGACTCGAACGCAGACACGACTTCTTTTCAAATTCATTCTACAATCATTTACATCAGTTTCTCAAAGCTCATCGAATAAATAATCGGACTTTGTTTCGAATACAGCAAATTTTTCTAATATTGAAATCTTTTACCGTCCAAGGCAAAGCCATCGGTTACGTATCCGAAATATTTTACTTTCCGCGTAGCGTTCTTTTAATTTGGTCAGTTAAAATTTAGCGTTGTCGCCTATTGTCAAAGTTATATCAATCAAAGCTTATCCTTTATCGAAAAGTACGTGTATGTATTTAGCTAAAAGTGTTGCTATCGTGAGAGTGTGTACACTGAGAGGACAGTGTTGGAAAGTATAAAAGAATTGAGAGCCTAGACAATTTCATCAAGTTAGTTGAAGCTTGACAGATCGATCATATCCTCGCTGATTCGTACTAATTACATTGATAATTCTCCACGAGTATTTGTATATTTAATATCAGAAATACTTGAATAGTTGTAGCTAGCAGTTTTTTTCGTGTTTTTATTGAATCTCACCAGACTGTCTTTTTAAAGTTCGTTCGCACAGTCAACTTACTGAATGATGAAAGCTGTAATGAGGAGAAAGGGAAGGGGAGACTAGCTTGGTAAATAGACGAAATGAGCGGGTCTTGATCGTAGCTAACTTTAGGATTGAAAAATTTGTCGTGTCAGCTGTATGGATTGTTCAGGAGGAGCTGTGTGCTTGAGAAGAAAAGACGAAAGGATGGAAGCGCTAAGACATGGCGATTCATAACGAGTAGTATGCGTGGCACGAGGCTGCTCTGCACGGGTGGATGCACGCCAGGCCGAGTGCACCGTAAGAGCGAACACGAGCGGCGCTGCTCCGAGCATCGAGCCTCTCAGCAGCCGCATTGACGCCTCGGTGTCGTTCGTCCCGTAGCATCCTAGACGTGCGCTGCTGATCGCCTAAGGCAGCCTTGAGGCCTCGAAGCCTTGAAGCCACCTTTCACTGAGCGTTCAACCATTACCGGCTGCAGCTAAGCGCATTCGGTCTAGTTATTGGTTCGGCTGTAGCTGTCGCCTAGAAAGCAGCATTTGGTTCGTGGGCTAATAAATGTCTTCACACAGCAGCAAATATTTAAAAGCATTATTCAGTTTATTTGTCAGTGTAATATATCGTCGTTCTCTATAGTTTCTATATCGAAGTTGCAATGACAAAGTTTGAAAGTCGCCGCGGAGCGCAGCACGACAATGGAATGGTTAAATTGATCGATTAGTCGCACTCCGATTCTAAATTCGATAAAGAGGCACTGAATGTGAATCGCGGTAGAGTCCGTATTTACAGATCAGTATTTAGCACCTAACAATCACACATCGATAATTGATAGACTGTCGCGCATTTTTATAAAAAATAAGATGAGACAAGCTAGGATACTGCCAAGGGATTCGGCAAGAGCGCGCCTCGGGCGCATTTAGTGCGATTAACAACGGCCTCTTAAGCAATTGGTTATTATCGCATACGTAACTGCTCGTGTTATTGGCTTGGCTGCCAAGCGTTCATTTTGCCTGCTAGACATTTAAATATTGCACAGAGCGGCCGTATTGCCGTGTATTGCCGTTGCTTCATTCTTTGCTTTACTCCTTTTCCGCCATCTATACATCCTACCAAATCGGAGGCAATGTCGCACGCACGCCACGTACGTTGCTCTTTCCACGCTAGATGCGCTCGTTAGTCGCTTGTGCTCGCTTACTCGCGTACAACTATGTAAAAGAATATATCTGTCGACTTCTTACGAGTTAGGGACAAGAGGTATACATTGTTACATTGTGATACAGAGTAAAAAAATTAATGTAGCTCGAAAAAAGCACAGACCCAGCACCGTTTCTGTTTTTTTTTTCTGTTTTTTTTCTCTTTTTACGATTAACTTGCTTTTCATTTTCGCAACTTATGTAACTATTATCACTAATGCGCTTAGAAAAGACAGAGGGTTACCAGCGTCACCCGACAACGCTTCGAGAAACGTACTCTTTTCATTAAAGCCATATTTACAAGATTCTTAGACTAGTGATCCAATTGGTTTGTCATTGATTTGTGCAGCTCGTGAGCTTGCAATAGATACGTCAGTAGAGCAGTTTCGGCAAGTGTGGCGCTTGTCGGGTATTGTCGCGGGCCGTGTCCTTTGTCCGGTTAGGAATAATAAGCCAAGTTTCGACGAGGGCAGCGTCGCTTCAAAACAAAAAGGGTTAGCTTGAAAGCCTCGTACGAAAAAGCAATGATAATGACGTTGCGAGTCGCTGGACTCTACAGTTCCACTCGTTTTAAAGCATCAAGGGATGAAAGAGTTCGTAAGTGTGATGAAAACGCCAGAGACAGAAGGCACAAGTAGCAACAGGAAAATCCAGCAAGTACGTATTGTCGTAATTCACCGTCGGTGAACGGGCAAGAAACTACAACGGAAAACGCGTTTGGCAAAGAGAGAAGGAGGGCGGGGGGGGGGGGGGAGATGGGGAGAGCCGCACCCGTTGTACAAAAATTACTTTATGACTCGACGCGTTTCAATTCCCCATTCAAGGCTGAACGTTAATCGAGAACGCGTCGCGCACACGTCCGAGATTTACGGTTGCTCGAGATCAAACAGTCGCACTGTGCAGCTCGTCACCCTGCTCGCATTCATTGTCACGAGACGTTTCCGCAGCCGTGGCAGACAAGATGGCGCGTGGTAATATGTGCAAGCAGCAGCGACTGTCGAGGACGAGGGTAGGTAGGCAGGCGACAGGCGGCAAGTGGCAGGCCAGGCACGCTCAGATGTGCATCTCGGGCTCGGAGTCGTCGTGGAACCAGCTGGAGGGCCGCTGGCCGGCGACGGCGATGGCGCCGCCGCTGCTGGCCTGCACGCGCACCTCCCTCTCGCTGTAGACGGTCGCCAGCTGGCGGCGCAGCGGCCGGGGCGTCGGCTCCGGCGAGCTGCAGGCCTCGTCGTCGAGGGCCCAGTTGGGTAGACTGCGCGCCGGCACGGCCCAGTGCTCCGTGAACTCGGAGCCCGAGCGCGCCAGACTGGGCTGGCTAAGCGAGCGCACCAGCGACTCGCCCTCGTACGAGGACAAGCTCGTCTGATCGTCCCTGTCGAGGCGCGCGAAGTCGCGCACCGTCATCTCGGACATGGAGCGCAGGTCCGCCTCGCTGCCGCCCCTCGTCGTCGAGCTGAGCCTCCTGAAACGAGCGCGAGCGTTGCGGGGCGTTGTCACGGCGCTTGTTGGTCTGCTGGTCGACTTACCTGAGGCGCGCGCCCGGCGCCACGCCGGCCGCGGCCGCGGCCGCCTGGCGCAGCTGCTCCTGGCCGAGGCTGCCGCCCTCGCTCTCGTACTCGTAGAGCGTCGGCAGCGAGGACCTGCGCGAGCGGTTGTCCCACTCGGAGCCCTTGGCGCGCTTGTAGCGCTGGCCGCTCCTGCCGGGCGCGGTGCCCGCGGCGGGCCCGCTGCCCGGCGGGCTGATGATGCGGATGATCACGTCCCACTTGGCCGCCGGGAAGAGGCCGGTGTACCTGGCGTCCTTCCTGATCAGCTCGTAGTCCTCCTTGACGATGGCCTCGGTCAGCAGAGTGCGCAGCGTGCTCTCGGTCGTGATGATCTCCCTCCACTTCAAGCGCTCGTCGTCGGTCAGCTCGCCGGCGTACTGCGGCTCGAGAACGCGCTCGAGGTGCTGCCAGCCGCTGGTCTCGCTGCCGCCTAGGCCGGCCGCCTCGAACTCGAGTTCCCGCTCGCGCTCGTCGAGCCTGGCCGAGCTGCGGGACAGCTCGGTTCTACCGTAGGTGTAAGTGGGCTGGATGTGGTCGTCGTCCAGCGGCTGTTCCGCCTCGGGCTGTCGCTGACGCGATCGTCCCTGCTGCTGCTGCTGCTGCTGCTGCTGCTGCTGCTGCTGCTGTTGCTGCTGCTGCTGATGATGATGATGCTGATGTTGCTGCTGCTGCTGCTGTTGCTGTTGCTGCTGCTGCTGCTGCTGCTGCTGTTGCTGCTGCTGCTGCTGTTGCTGCTGTGACGTCTGCAGCTGCGCCGCCGCCGGCTCGAGCGGCTGCCCGAAGGTCAGGTTCGAGGCGGAGCTCACGTCCGAGAAGTTCTCCCAGTCGGGCGGGGTTGGTGGCAGCTGCTGGCTGGGGTAGTTCCTGATGGTCACGTCCCACTTGGGGTCCGGCTGCACGGAGCACGATAAACGATCGCTTAATCGCACGTTCGTCAACACTTGACAGCTTTCGCAATTTTTCATATTATCTCGAATAGTAAACTTGAATTTTCCTTAGAAAGAACCATTTCACTTTGCAGGATAACAAGTATCAAAGTATTCGAATATGTCGTAATGGCCCGAGAAATAAAAGTTTTAAAGGTTAGAGATGGATTTTTCTTCGAACGACACGTTCAACTAACATTTGTAAACTGCGGAAATGTGACCGATCGCTTAATTGGAGCAAGCTATTGGATGACTCGACTGCGTTGGAATGAAAACTAACAAGTAGTGAGCTATTCATGAAATATATGTTTAACCGAGAATCGAGCGAATCGAGACCGAGGGAGACGAGCGAACCTTGTTTTCCGCTTGTTGTTGCTGTCTGGCACGGTACTCCGTGACTTGGCGGCGATGGCGCTCGATGTCCTCGATGGTCTTCTTCTCGGTGACGGTGCGCAGAAACACGTCGTCTACCTCGTGGGTGGTGATCTCGGGGCGTCTCGCTGCGACCACCGGCTCAACCAACGGTTCCACCTCCTCGCGCAGCTGCTCGACGGCACTGGCGCTCAGGTGGGACAGCAGGGCGGGCTGCGGCTGGGCCGGCAGCGGCGGCGGCGAGCCGCTCGGGGCCAGCATAGTTGCCACGCGGTACCTCGCATGCGTGGCCTCGCTTGCCTCCATCTCCGCGGCCTCGGCCTGCTGCTTGCGCAGGATCCGCGAGTAGACCGGCGGCGTCTGCTGGCGGCTGCTCGGCGCCGCAGCCGGCGGCTGGTGCAGCTCCGGCGCGTAGGCGAAGCTGGTCAGGCTGCGGCTGCTCTCCTCGCGCTCGAGGATCGTCGTAAGGTTGCGCTCCAGCGCCAGGCTAGCCTCCGACTCGGAGGGCGGCGGACTCGGGGCCGCCAGGGCGCGTTGCTTCAGGCGCATCTGCACCTCGAACTTGGGCGCTGCCGCCTGCAGCGTCTCGCAGAGCAGCAGCTGCTGCTGCTGGCGCACCTGGCCGACGCGGCCGCTCTCCAGTTCGTTGATCGTCTCCGAGTAGAGCGAGCTGGAGGCACGCTGCTCCACCTGCGCACGTGGCGGCGATCAGTCGGGCGGCGCTCGCGGCCGAGCGGCCTGGCTTACCTCGGAGTGGCTCTCGCTCGGGTAGTCGCTGGGCAGCGTGTCGGACGGCTCGACCACCAGCTGCGCCTCGCTGCCGTAGATCTGCTGGGTGCCGTGGACGCGCGGGATCTGGAAGTTGTCGAAGACCGAGAGCCGGCTAAGGGCCGACGAGCCCGAGATCTTGGTGATCTCCGAGCCGGCCAGGTGGGTCCGCTCGACGATGCGCACCGGGCGGCGCCGCAGGCAGACGTACGAGCAGCCCAGCCCCGTGAGCAGCAGCGCCAGGAACAGCAGCGTGCAGATCATCAGTAGGATGTGGAAGGGGCTGAGCACGGGTCCGGCCACCGGCACCCTGCGGCGAGCGAGCCTGCGATGAGCCGTGGCCGCGGGCGTCCGCGCGCGGCTGCGCGCCATACTCACGGCGGTGCGGCGGGCAGGTAGATCGGCTCGGGCTTGAGCGCTACGGCGGGTGGGTAGCGGCACACTATCGTGATCACCTCGTCGCCGTCGATCTCGAACTCGGGGTGGAAGCGCACCACCACGTTGTTGGTGAAGACTCGCAGCGGGTCCTGCTTGGTGCCGCAACCTGTCGCAGACGCACGGGTGAGCGCGCGCTCGGGCGGCCGGGCGTCGGCTGTGCCTACCTTTCAGTGGCAGCTCGATGTAGGCGGTGTTGAGTCCGCGACCCTTGGTCACGCAGGCGCTGTTGCGGTCGAAGTCGGCGTAGGCCAGCCCGTAGAACGGCTCCTTGAACTCCAGCTGCACCTGCATGCTGCCCTGCGAGCAGTTCAGGTAGGCCTTGGTGCGGTTCAAGTGTATCGCCGGCAGGATCTCGTTGAGGTTCGTCACCGAGCCGTTGAGCGTCGTGTAAATCGGCAGCCCCTTTGCGTCCGTCTCCGCCAGCTGGTTGCCCTGCTCTCGCGGCGGCGCATCCTCGCCCTTCAGGTCGTGTTCCTGCGACTCGGCCCGGCTCGGTCGCAGCGTCGCGCCCAGCAGCATCACTGCCAGCAGACCGACGGCGCCTCGCCGCCTGGCCGTCGCCATGCGCGCGGGGTGCATGTCTCCACTGCTACACCTGCACATCGGCAGCGCTGCACTCCGGACAACTCGATTCGCGATCAACAGTCTACCCGCGGAGTTCGCGTCGAGACGAACGCGCGCTCTGGCTGGCCTCGCGCCCACCTCGTCCGTGTTCCGAACTGACCCTATCCGAATGAGGAGAGACCCGGCTGAATTTACAATCGCCGTTTTGTCGGCGGCCACGCTCTCTCTCTCTCTCTCTCTCTCTCTCTCTCTCTCTCTCTCTCTCTCTCTCTCTCTCTCTCTCTCCCTCTCACGGGTAGAGCGATTTCGTCGGAAGCAGCGCTAGGAACAAACTCGTTTCGGGAATGATTGGTCGATCGCTTGCCCGAGTCCGACCTCAGCGAAGCCCGGAGATGCGCCAGTGCACGTGAAGTTCAACAACGAAACGTATGCCACTTACTTTCGCGCTGCCAGTAGCAAGTGACGTGGCTCGACGTTGTCGAGATTTCAGACGAGGTTGCTTGCGCCTATACGTAGCTCTCACATTACTAATAGATCGCCCAAGAATCAATACACAATACGCACCTGCTCAACACTGGGCATGAACGCTGCTCCTTATCGTAGCGCTCTTATCTAATGACGTTGGCTATTTAGGTTGAAGCATGCTCCTCAGCCGTCCTTGTCTCTCTCTCCCCTGCAATGTTAATAAAGCAACCCGGTGAATATTGACTCATACAGACTCAGCGTTGACGCAGCGACGCGTTGGAATTTTAAGTCGAATTATTCATTCGCGAGAAGTGGCGACAGACATTTTGTCGATCTCTCGCGCCAAGCGAGCAGAGTAACAAAGTGTAGCGTAGTCAGCCTCGGCTTACTCAAACATCCTGCAATGACGAATCGTCTAGGCTCTCTCTCTTGCTCTTTCTCGCTCTCCCTCTCTCTCTCTCTCTCTCTCGCTCTCTCTCTCTCTCGCTCTCTCTCTCTCTCTCCCTCTCTCTCTCTCACTCTCTCACTCTCAAATCGTCCTTCAGAGGTTCCGCCGCTAGCAGCCTACGCTCAGCTCTCGTGGTGACCAATAATTATTGCATGTCTGTATATTACGATTGCTTCTGGTTTTTCTTTAGCTGGCTTCATTAGCTTTCCGGTCGATCGAAGTGTTTGCCGATAACATTCTGGGATTGAAGCTATGCGCAACTTGTTCGGTCTTACAGATAATAGCGAATGCCATTTTGAGACCACGACTGATTGCAGAAATTGAAATAATGAAAGTATTATCGTGTGGGCAGTGGTGGTCGCTGCCCATTGACGATGTTCATCGCCTAAGCCCTTGAATCGAGACACAACAGTGAAAGTGCTGCAACAGGCATCGAGCGAGTGAGCGCAATTATTTCGAGTAGTATCGCCAAGAGCCGTTGACTGACCAGCCGACAAATTGTACAATCGAGGTCGCAGATTACGCTTGACAACGGATCGGCTTAACGCAATAGCGCCGCGAACCTGGACGAGACGCTGGGCAAATCCAGGATGTCCCAGCTACGCCCACTAAGTCCAACTATGCCCACGCGACTACATAAATGTCGACTGTCTACGCAGAGCATTGCGACGGCGACGGCGATGGCAAGCAACTCGACAGCAGTAATAAGCATAATTTCGCAGCGAGCGTGCTCGCCAACGAGTACTGCGACCGACTGCGAAACCGGTCGAGCGGAAAAATGCTAATGCATAGGTGTGCGTGCGTGTGCGTATCCGCGTCGGGTCGCGGGCTCCGCTGGCCACTGCAGCGATATTAGCGCGCTGTACGCCGTTGCGCCATCGCCTCCCGGCTGCGATCCGAGATCGAACTCACCTACGCGACCTTCCCTCCCCTCCACTCGTTACACTTGTTTTACTTGACGGCCGCGCGATGGCACGCTCTGCTCCGGTCGCTTTCGCGCTTGGTCGCGGCCGCGGGCTGCTTTCGTTGACGCGCGCACGCCGCGCCGACCCAATACAATGGTCAAGCCAGAGCGTCGCGCGAGTCCGGACGGCTGCAGCGGCGACGACTAGTCGCGGAGCACCACTGACGTCACCGCTGCCTAGCACCAAAATGGCCGCGACGCCGCGACGTCGCGCTCCCTCGCTGCCGCCTCTTTGTTCGGGAACAGAGGACGAATGTGGGCGCGCCCTCCGCGCTGCCGTCCGCGACGCCCTCCGCGACGTCCTCCGCGACGTCCTCCGCGACGTCCTCCGCGGTGTGGCTCGGTAGCCGCGAGCCGTTGCGCAAACGAGCGCTGCCGCGCGAGTGCGACTTATAAGGCCCGACGTCCACGCGCTCTCGAAATTTCGCTGCTTGTCGGCGTGCAGCGCCGCCGGAGCCTTGCCGAGCCCCACGCGGCCACTTTCTACTCGCGCGCCCGCTCTGCTCAAGGATGAAAGTGAATTTCTGCTCTACGGCCAGCTCGCTTTCGAAAACTCGCTTCTCGCGCGGCCGCGGCTCGGCTTCGCTCTCTGCTCGCGTCTCGAGGGGCCCGACGCCGTGGAGCGGCGGCGGCGGCGGTGGCACGTCGCCGGAGTGCCACGTCGCCTCGGCTGACCTCGCGGATCACGCTTGCGCGCCCCTCGCCTCGCCTCGCCATCGCCGATCGTTCTCGCGGAGAAAGCGGTGCGCCCACGCGTGCGACTGCCCGCGGACACTGACGCAAGAGCCGTGCCGCGCGCGCGCCTCGCGCTCGAGTCATTACTCGGCCGCGAGCGCGCGCTGCGCGGTTTCGCCGTAGCGCGCTCGCGATACGCGCCGCCTGCGCCGTCGCTCACGTGCAGCGCTCGCCGCGGGCATCGCTTGTGCCGTGTCCGCAACAATGGCAATGCGCTCACCGTGCGCGAGAGAGGCACGCAACGGACTCGGCGGCGCCAAGCGTTACGCCCGCTCGCGGTGCTCCGTTACGGCGGAGCGCGGCCGAGCTCGCGAGCAGCCGCGGCGGCAGCTCGCGCGAACGCGCCGCGGATCGCGGAATACCGTTCGTCAAGGTCTCTCACGCGCGCGCGCGCGCGCGCACTTCGGGCGCTCGCTTGCCATTGTCGTGTCCACTTCTTTCCGAACTGGCGCCCGCTGGGCCGAGCCCCTCCACACTCGTGGCCGCGCGACACCTGGCCACCGGCCGGCTGGTCGCGTCACCGCGCGGTAACCGACGGGCGCACGCCCAAGCGAACGACCAGCACTCGGTCGACGGTGGCGTCCGTCGCAGCCGCGCTCTCCGCTCTGCTCCGGACGAGGAGCTTCGACACTCGCGCGCACTCGCAGCCGAGGCGAGACCGGACGAGAGCGCGGGTGCCAGCCGCGTCGCCGCGACGCGCCTACTTGACTCCGAGAGCGACGTACCTGTGTGTTACGTGAGAGAGAGTCAGCTGCCGGGCCAGCTGTGGGCTCGAAGGCGCAATCGCGACTAGCGGAGGCGAAGGCGGCCCCGGAGTAGCGCTTCTGCAGTGCCGACCGCTCCCCCGCCAGCCAACGTCGCTTCCCCCTCTCGCGGCCTCGGCCGCGGCTAGTGCCTTTTACTATTGCTCGCCTCGCGCTCGCTTGGCGGCTGCTCGGTCGCTTCGGCCGTGCGCGGCAGCTGTGCCCGGTGGCCCGGTGGCCCTGCGGCCCTGCGGCCCTGCGGCCCTGCGGCCCGGCCAACCCTCCCGACTCGACCGTCGCCCTCGACTCGCGCCCGATGGCTGCTCGCAAGCTCGCCTCGGAAACTGGAGCTTCTGCGCGCGAGCCGAGTACAGCAGACGCACGAGTGGTGCGTCCGAGGCAGTCGGCCGGTCCACCAGCAGCGGCCAGCGGAAAGTAGAGCGAGACGAGAGCAGAGGGCGTGCCTCTCCGCCTGCTCGCCGCTCCGTGGCCGATCGGCCGACGGCCTTCTGCCTGCCGTTTACGGGCGCGCGCGACGACGGGGCCTGTCGGAGGCGGGCGGCGCCAGGGCTCGCAGTGAGCGGGACGAGCTGCGGCCGCCTCGGGGCCCTCGGGCACGACCGATCGACTGGCGCGCCAGCAGCAGGCAGAGCGCGCACTCGGCGCGGCCAGTAACCTCCCCGAGAGAGGAATGCAGCCATCCAGCTCGGCCACGACCATCGCTGCTCCTAGGCGCGGCTTCCGCTAGCGGGCGCCGGGCCGTGCACCGTCGCAGCCGAACCAACTGCCCGTCGGTCCTGCGTCGTCCCACCGCGACCTATCCTCTCTGGCCTTGCCCACGCCAACCAACGATTTGCTTTGCAAACTGCTATCTGGCTGTGCGAGCTGTCGCAACTGCACGCCTCGTTTGTCGGCCGTTTCGCAATGCAACACACGCTCGGAATAAGCCAGTCTTCCGCCCGCGGCAGCACGACAATCCCAATGGGACAGCCACTGTGCCCTTTTGTGCGTTCTATTTTCATCCACGAGAGCATATTACGCTGAAGCATTGCTGTGCACCCATCGGCTAATGATTGTTCGATCGGCGAGCGCTTTGCTTTTCTATTCTTGATTTTATACAGCAGCTACGTCATGGCTGTAGGCGCACTTGTTCACATCTTCGAATCAAATGTCATTTTCAAATATAACATTGTTTCAATTTGAATTTCATTGATTTCATTAACAGCTTCAGTGCGTTGGCGTATTTCACTTGAAACATCGTCAAATGCTCAAATGCTTACGCGTGAAATATTCTTTTTATGATTGAGCTTGAAAATGCCACTGTATCATACTGATGAATGGTTTAAACAAAATAGGACAGTTATCATTGCGAAAATACCTTCATTTTTTTCTATTTGCAGTCCACTCTATTATTCCGCCTGAATTGTTTATCCCGAATCGACCTCGGCGTACGTCATTGTCCAGTTTAAGCGAAATAAAATTTCAACTGTTAACCTAATTGCTTTTGTGATAGGCCAATCACAGTAAAATATTGTCGATTCCATATAACTGAAAAACTAATTAAAAATTTCAGCTTCATTCCACAAGAGAACCAATAGGAGATTGCATTCCTCCATTCTTAACAATGTTTTGGCATAATCACTAAGCGTTATATTCAGTGCACCAGGCACATCCACATTTTGCTGCACTGATGAAATAGCCACATTAAGTCGAAGAAGGAGATAAAAAATAAATTTTATAGCGTGGGGAAGGCAATTTACTACGCGCGATATGTATCTCTGAGCTTTTTTCGCGCGTTTCCAATATTACTGCTGTTAAATTTCGGCACTCTCGACGTCGAGTCGGACACGCCCACGGACAACGATGCGTATCTCTGCTGCACCAGCTCCGCGATGTCACACTCAGCTCCATGCAACCGCTTGTATATCTTATATATCTACACATCATACTCACTTACATAATTCTTCGCGATTACTGAAGCTTCATGAAACTAATCGTTTAGCTCCATCCGCATCGATCTACGAGATCGCCAATTTCACAGGATACCTGACTTGGTAGAATTTCAATTAGCAATTTTGTAACGCTGAGGTGGCAGCCAATGCAGCATGCCTCGAACGCGCGAATTAACTCCCACAGCCGTTCAGACATTCGGACCATAATCATTCTGTCCCAGTAGGGAATTAATAGAATTAATCTTAAAGGTAAAGTACACTTAATGAAAATGTTTACTAAGTAATAGGCTGTTAAAAATCGGCTGGTCGCCTGTAACGAGTAAAAAATATCCAGTCTGTCATTTAACGGTTTTACCTAAAGCGGTCATCTATATAATTAGTTATTCACGGATACAAGAGTGCATTCGATATACCAAGGATCGATAATGGTTACCGACCGTCGGTACGGTACTCACACTCCACAGGACAACTAGTGCAGCTAAAGGCTGCGATCTACCACACTCAAGGGGCCAACTTCCTAATAGTTGGTTAAAGTAGCGATAGGAGAGAAAGCCCTCTTAGTTGATTAACTTGTTCTCTGAATTTTCTTCTGTGCGTTAATAGGGCCTATCTATGTATCAAAGTGTTCTATACTTCACAAACAGGTAAATGAACTTACAATTAAACACTTTGTTCCTTAATGATAGGTTGCGGCACTGTCATTACAGATTTAAAAACGTAAGGATATCCGATACGCACTGAAAGACAAACGTGAATCACGCCCATATCTCCTTCTGAATTAGTCAATCTCAAGTTAAGCAGACTGCAAAGATAATTCTTGCTAATTCACCTTTTTAAGATTATAAAAAAATTACATCTTTGCTGAATAATTTTGTGCAGTAATTAAAAGCTAGGTCATTTATACAATTTCATGTCTTGAATTCCCATTTTTATCTTGGCATTTTGAATCGTCGTTTGATTAATGAATTTTGACATTATTTTATACTGTACGCGACGTGAAGATGATCAGAAGAAATGAAAAACGCCATTACGACTGAAACAGTTGGAATATGTGGAACTAGTAACCCAACTTATCGAAAAACTAACCTTACGATTAACTCCCTAAACTCAATAATTTTTTCAGAAAAGTTAGAAAAATTAATATGAAACTATATACTTTTCAATTCAATGATATCCTTGGCGATGGCTTGATACTAATTATGACCTCGCTAAATTTTTATATACAATTTACTCCCACGGAATAAAATGCCAATTAATGCTACATACTGTCACCTGTGTTAATCAAACAAACGCACCTATCATTTTTTATTCTGCTCATAGTCTCAATTTACGATTTTAACATCGACTTTTCGAATGTTCAAATAAAGAGCACTCGTCTCGCAGCACTCGTCCTCAAAAGACGTGCAACGAAACGCTCCCCAAAAATCTGAGTAGCACGTAGCAAGTGTCATAAAAGTTTCACGCGAAGTGTAAAATAAAATTATCACTATATCCGTTCAAAATTTTATATTGTCAAACCGCCAAACAATGTAGCTGCAAACAATCAAACAGTGCCGACATCGCCGATAATAAAAAGAAATACGGATGAAAAAAGAAAAGAAGATACAGAATATAGAATACTGCCGCCAGCTGGAAAAGATCACGTGATGAATCGCATGATTTCGTAGAAAAACGTGAAGTCACGTGACAAATCACATAGGAAAAATAATATTGGAAACTAAGTACGTGATATGTTACCCAAAGATAGCGATTCAGAACCCAAAGATAGCGATTTACACTAACTCTACGCTTAATGAAGGTTATCAATAAACAAAAGAGTACCGATTCTATAATTCAAATTAGGTTCTAAATTTTTGTGACATCACGTAATTTCGAATATTATTTTTTCAAGGTGATTTGTCACGAGACATTACGTGATATTTTATGCGATTTATCACGTGATTTTTTTCTGCTGGGTGTACAAAAAAAATTATACACAAATAGCCTAGAAGAAAAAAATACTACTGACTCGCAATTTCTAATTACGCAATCATTGAAGCAAGCAATAATAATTTAAAGTATTAAAAATTAAAGAATAACACAAAAAAAGCAATGGAAATACAACGCCAGCAACGCCGGTAGCCCTCAAACTATCGAAAACACCGCTGATATTTGTAAGTGACGTTTTAAATATCAATCCATTGAAGATCTCGATAAAATCGGAAAAAATGAGTATATAATAAAAGTCTAAGCAATAAGAAAATAAAAATTCAAATCGACAATCCAATACAATAGCTGAGCTAGAAAAGAAATGCATAAATTTTTATACCTTATAAAAAGAAAAATTTAAAACAGAAAAGTTAAGAATTTCCTATTAATCTATATATTTATTGGTCAATTATAACGTTTCAATCGTCTTAAAAAAAATTCTACGACCATTTTCAGGCTATAAAAACAATTACTGATATAATACATTTGACAATGCGAATTGATTGACAACAGTAAAGAAAAAAATAATAAAGAAAAAAAATACAGGCCGTTTAAAGCCGTTGCCCAACACATGCACCCCTTACTTAACGTACGTGATTTAAAACAAGATAATGCATCATGTAATCACAAAGTAATAAGTATTTCTAACATAAAACACAGAATAACGAAACAACCATTAGCAATTTTGTCGTGGAAATAAAAACTAATGAAAACAAAGAAATATACGAAATCAAAAAACTTATGAAAATAATCATTTTCAATGAACTGCGCAAGAAAGTAATATATTCCACCAATCATGCGATTTCAGGAATACGATTGCACAAGAGATCTTAAATGTGCCAATTGCGGCGGAAATCTCGTAGCCAACTATAGAAGTGTAAAGGTTGCAACTCAAGGAAATTTCACCAGCAAAAATTATTCCCAGTACTTAAACCAAAACAAAGCCAAGGCTTGAAAATATACTACTAGACCAAATATTATATACGCATACACAGCAAGGTTAGTGTTCACAAAATTGAAGAACCCAAACGGACCGAACACTAATTGTCAACACCGTCAACAGAAAACAACAGTCACTCACAATTAGAAAACATGATGATTAAGCTTATTAACAGAATAGATACAAAACTCAATATGATTGTCACGCTCATAAATAACATAAAATGAACACTGGATTAAGAATAGCAATTTGTAATGACAACGGCTTAGAACTAATAAGCCATTTCTCAAAAAAAATAACATAGATTTAAGGTTAATTTCTGAAACACACAAAAGAAAGCGTACATTTAGAGTTTATCTAGATAAATTCCATCAATACACATATTTTCACCGAGATTATTTGACCGAAACAAGGCGAATGACGCTTCTCACGATGATCTTTTTCAACCATAAGAACTGTACGATAAAAGTTAGATTTTTGATATTCTAGGTATACAACGATTTATTTTCCAGACTGATTATATTTATTGATTCGATGTTCTACGAAATTATAGAAAAGGAATTTAAGACTTATAGGAGGGCATAAAGTGATCAACTAGTCTATTCTACAACGTCCGCAAGGCTTCCAACGTGTTTTTGCATTTGTTGCCTTTTGACGAGACGCTATAAAAATAATAATGTACAGTAGGTCTTAAAATATCAGTGCGTCTAGTCTGCACGGTTTTATGTACGTTTTTACGATTTTCGGAGACTCTTTGTAGTAATTTGATTTATTAGCCCGTGTATCACTCGTGAATTATCTCCATTTGTAGTAGTCGAATGTAATATTCGGAGCAGATAATTTGAAGCCGAGATAAATTACCATTTATAACTGTTAAGAATACAAAAAGCAGATATTAGCACGGGACTTGTTCGCTACTCTTTTAAGGAATGTAAGACTGCAAAAATATTTGTTAAAACCGAAGATATACTGGCAGTTGACGGTCAAAAAACGTACTCTGACGACGAATTTAATGGTTTCATGCGGCGGCAGGTTTTCAGAAACACGTCTAGAAAAGTTGACTGCTTAAAGGGGGGGGGGCTCCTCGATCGGCAACGGAGAGAGCTCTAGCCTCTAGACTATAAGGCTGCAATTGCAAGATTGGTCACAAAAGAGTGCGCAGAAGGAGCGTTTGTGGATCGCCGACGCGCACAACCGGTCATCGGCTAATTTAATAAAACACCAGACGAGAGCTGTAAACGCGCTGGTGTTGCGCCTAAAAAATTACCTGCCTGCTTCTCGTGCTTGCCTTCTCCTTAATGATTCTTGCATCTCTGCTTGGCAGTTCTTGGCTCAGTTCGCTTTCGTCAATTACTGCGGCTGATGCTCTCCCGGCAGATAATGACTTTTGCTTAGCACGCGTCTACTCCTTAATTACCGACTTTTTGACTTTTTAATCATTCTGCTCTGTAATTTACGAGCTGTGTCTGAAAACGCCCGCCATCCCTCTACCTCTCAAATACTCCACTTACTTCTCTTCTGCTGACTTTCGTTATCCTTCGGATACAGCTTGTTTCTGATTTGCCCTCACAACGCCACCTCTTTCGTATGCCACCACTGACGGAGTGTTCGTTTAGTGCTCGTCCAAGGATACAAATGTGCATGACTATAGCTACACCACCAAGCTCTGCTCTCAGTTTCACAAGTATTTCGGCGAAAATCTCATGCTTATCTCTGAGATATCAATCAAGTTTTCAGTCAGCATTCAAGTGTCCCTATGTACTGTGATCAATGTATGAACGCACAAATCAAAACCGCATTGCCAAAAAGAAAAAAAATGAAGTCAAGAAGTTGTGACGATGATTTTTAGCAAAGTACATGAAATACTTCATGAACCGATTATTAATATTAATATTGGTCAAGAGGATCTGCTACGGTTTTAAGTCGTCGGTTGGCGTATGACTTGTCTGTCGCGTCGTCCAAGAAAAAAATTAGAGAGAGAGAGAGAGAGAGTAAAGTAGACTACCATCTTTTTCGCTTCAAGAGTTTTTCTTTCAATTTCACAACTCGTTCAGTCACTTGCTCTTTCTATCATCTTGCTTCTGTCAGGCATTATGTATCGCTACAAATTCGTGCTGCGATGACTATAGCACATCTCGCGGCCTCCTTCCGTCTTCTGTGTTGTCATTTGACGTCTTATCGTTACCTAATGCTCAATTGCAGTTGTGGATCCAACTGCTCGAATAATGACGTACGCCTCGGGAGCTGGATGGATAATAGAGAGATCATTTCGTCCGGTAGAATATAAAGTAAAGTTGATTTATTCATTTTAAAAATAAACATTCGTAATAAACTCGATATATATTATTCCTTAAAATACACGCTTGCAGTGCATTGTTAATTATACGCTAGTTTCAACTACGAAATGACCGATAAAACAGTTTATAATTTGAAAATTATACAAATGTGTGTGCGCGTGTGTGTGTGTGTGTGTGTGTGTGTATGTACTGTTAGCAATTATTACTAGATAACTTTGTATCATTTGATAGGGGATGATAGAAATAAGGCGAAATTCGAAGGCAGTACAATGACTAACGAATACAATTACGTTGAATACGAAGCCGAGTCAAGTTACGCGTAAAGACAACGAGCTACAAGGCACAGGTGTCAATGTCGTTATCGAATTAAGGCGCTTTCTACAACATTCGACAATACATCTGCTCGGTCGATTCTTCAAGTTGCTTGCTAATGTTTACTCTTTGCGTTACCTCGGCAGCTGCGAGCTTGACAGATGCACAGCGTACTTGTATTACTAATGTACGCCGTCATTACACGCGCTTGGCTTACAATTCATCGATATGATTCTGTCGCGTAACTTGATTCTTCGACATTGTCCTCGTCGACTGATGGGCTCTAGCGGTACGTCCGCGACGGAATCCGCTAGATTGTAGTTGGGCCGCGAATCGCCGACATAGACTCGATCGAGGCCTCTCGTGTATCAGTAGTTGCGCGGACGACGCCCTCACTGACACGTGCACGTCGATCATTTGCATTTGGCTTGCTGGGTATTTTTCAATTTGACGCGACAGAAAACTGACCGTGAATTAGATATTTTCATTAGAATGCCGCAGCCCTTTTACGTAAGCTTTCATTCCCGCGTTTTACATAACTGCGCGCTGCATAACGCTGCAATCTTTCAAAAGAAACACAACTAGGCAACTGCTTAATTCGATTACAGCTCCACGCTCGTCAGCGCACTCGCACTATGGCATCCCCTATGTGTATATTCGTTCGTTGTACGCGTTATAATCTAGCTTGCGACGCGCTCCACTAGTTGTCATTACAATGAGACCACAGCCACGCGTATACACATACATTTGAGAGCCGCTCGCGTCCCCGTTCGACGCTCACTACTGGGCGCAGAGCACCTTCTCCATCTTCGCGCAGCCTTCAGCTAAGTAACCGTCCACCTTGCCTCATCAAACTCGACTATTCCAAACTTTTTCCTCGTATATTCCCCTACGCCGTTCGCTACTTGACCATTTCATCGTTAACATGATCATTAATACTACATTATTGTTAATATATAATTACGGCTATCGTTATAATTTTTATGATTATGTTATTAATTATTAATGTCGTTATTATTGCTTTAATTATTATCATTATTACTATTGGCTCAGACTGCTTTTGGCCCCATTAACGCGAAGCCCGCGATTCAGCAGCAGCGCCGCGGGCGTGCACACTCGAAGAGCGGCTTGTGTACAATATTTGGTTCGAGCGACCACGACATGCGGATCGAAAACCGCAAAATGAAGAGACACCAGTCAGTCAGCTGACGATTTGTCTCGACTCTCGTTCGGCAGAGACTATAGCGTCGGTATAGCTGCGTCTGCGATGGCCGAGTTGAGGAACCAAGGAAAATGCGGACCGTCGAAGAAGCAACCGAACAGCAAACAGTAACAGTAGAACGAGATCGAGGCGAGCAGAGCTGGCGCTAGCCCGGCTCAGACAGCCACGAGGAGGCCGACGAGGAGACCGACCCGACGAGGAGGCCGAACGCGTAGGTCGCAGCACAAACGGCTAATCCGCTCGGCTAGCTGCCATGGCGGCCGGAGGGTCTCAGGCCTCCTGCAGCTCGCCCTTGACGCCCGGCACGCTATGGTGGTGCCTGGAGGCCAGCCGATTGGCGAACTCGTGCATGACGTCCCGATAGATGACGGTGTCGAGGTTCTCGCCCAGCATGTAGAGCAGGAACCAGTCGCCGACCTTGCTGCGCCGGACTATCGTCTCGACGGCCTCGCGGCGCACCAGCCGGAAGCGCAGCCGCAGCAGGTAGACCCGCGTCCGCGGCGAGAAGATGATGACGATCTGCAAGGGCGCAAGAGGCCGGTCAGTGGAGAACGGGGGCGCGCTGCGGCTCGCCCGCCAGGCTTTACCCGGTAGATGACGGTCAGCAGGCTGAGCACGCCCAGGAACAGGAACCAAAACCAGAGGAACACGTAGATCTTCTCGTTGACCACGTTCAGCGGCAGAATGCAGACGGCGTCGTGGCGCTCCACCTCGCCGCTCACGCCGTACTTGTAGAAGGTGCACTTGGTCATTCGGGGGAACACGTAGATCATCGGGTCGATGCGGTCCTCCTGGTCGCTCTCGAGGAAGCGCAGCACGTCGATGCCGAAGGTGAGGAAGGCGCCGTCGAAGAACCGGTTCATCAGGAACATCTGGCCTGCGGGTGGCGAGAGCGCCCAGAGCGTTAGCCCACTGGGGCGCCGGCAGCTGCGCGCGACTTACCGATGACGTTCAGCAGGGCCAGCACCTCGCACAGGTAGTACCTGTAGGCCCACCAGTTGTGGTAGCGCAGGTTCTCCCACAGGTAGTCCAGCAGCATCTTCTTCTTCTGCTTCTTCTCCACCTCGCTGCACAGCCCGATGTCAAGGTCCATCATCAGCGCGTGGATCTTGCCGCCCTCCCAGCCCTTCCACAGCCAGCGCGGCGTGTAGAACAGGATCGCCTGCAATCAGTGCGTTGCGTTTCGACCAGCGCGTACGCGTACGCCCGGGAACCTGCGCTCGCGTGTACAGATCATGGCCACAGGTGTTCGAGCTCGCTCGCGCGCGCGCCACAGGTAGCTTCGCCCGCGCCCTTCGCGTCCACGTACAGCCGCTTCTGACAACTCGTACAGCACGAGTTTTGAGTTCCGCAGTTTCGTTAATCGACTCGCTTTCGGAGCAACATGATTCTCTGCAAGAGGCAGCTAGCAGAACCGGCCGAGGCGCGCTTGACGCTTTACTTCCACCGCGCCTCGTCGATTTCACTTAAAGCGCCTGCAAAAACGCTTCCAACTTATTGTTTCTAACTTACTTGCTTATTTTTGCCAAATTCTTTCATTTTCTTTTGACAATTGTCAAGGACCGACGGTTTCATTCGATGGAATTCATTTTTTATCAACTACTATCGAATACCTACGCGTATGTATATCAAGTGTGCAAATGTAACGTCACCCATAAGAAATTCATTGTCACTGAATTTAAACGTTTACAAGTCTTTCAAATTACTGACAATGTATTTCTTATGGCTGACGTCATATTAAACGTTTAAATTTAAACACATGGGTTTACCATGTTTATTGCTTATAATGAGCAATAACTAACCAGATTTTGAGTCGATTCGATTAAATGTACTCAAGTAAAATTGTTGAATAATTTCATGATGTGAAAGCAAATCGAATGAGTCAAGTGGCGGCCGTAGAATTGAAGAACATATATATACGCGATATACACCGAAAAAGGTTGTAAAAATGGTATGTTATAAATGTTAATACCTACAAACATATTTTTACATAATGATTAGAAGAAAGCTTGTTATTAATATTTTGCCAAAGCTTTCTCTAAAAGGAAGCAGAAGCGATATATCTACAAGCTTTACGGTCGACGATAAGCGATCGCAAATGATCAAGGGTGAAACTGGATAAATCCTAGTAAGTTTCAGTTTGTCTTCTTCATTCTTATATCTGCAAGTGCCTCAATATCTAGTTGCGTTATGCTAGTCTGTTGTTGGCCGTGCAAAATAATTTATCTACTACAGGTACAAGTGCATGGTTCGTATAATACCTGTTGAAACATCAAGAAGCATTGAAAATGCCCCAGATTCGCAATTAATCAACACGCGCATTTCGCAGTTTGTCCAAATGATCATAAGGAGGCAAATTCAGGTTAGAGTAGCGTCATGCTTGTTGCGTGCCTGCTGGCTCAATCGAGAGCCATGTCGAGCACGGCAATGGCTAAAATATTGGGCCGTCCGATCAAAGTAATGGGTGACATATCCTGAGGCTGCCTTGAATTCTACAATGTGTCCAATATACTACTATTTGGGGCTGTGTGCTTGTGCAGCGCGAGTGAAAAGCAAATGACCCAGCGACTTCATCTGCGAACTAACTTCGATCGGGGCAGCGTCAGTTCACGGTGACGGAGTGTCGTCCAACGTCCAACTCGCTGAGATTGTTTATTCATTTTCAGAGCAGCTTTCCGCAGTATACAAGGCTGTTCGACTTTAACTAATTCGGTAAAGATAAGCTTCAAAAGCTACGACAACTGATTCGATAAAGCTTCAAAAGCTAAAACATTGCCTTGAAGCGCGACAAAGAGACACCCAAGACTTGGCGTCTTCCTAATCCCCCCCCCCCCCCCGCTCCACGCCGCCGTCGGCTCCCATTCCGTTTCTTGTGCTTCCTGCCGCTTTGCAGATTCCGCGAGAAATCTAGCCTCTAAACTCTCCAGGCCAAAATAATAGATGCGAGAACAATGGACAATGGGCTACGTGTGCGTGCATACAAAGGGTTGAGCGTGCATCTCGACAAAAAGACGAGAGAACAAGGTAAACGCTGCCGATTATGCTAATGGCCAGGTCACAAGGCGAGAAAGACTGACCCGAGAGCGGAGACAATAAGTCATATTTCGAGATTTAGCAATGGTCGCGGGCGCCTACGTTGCGCTTACGTGCGCCGTGGGCCAGCCGATCCCGGCAGCAATACCCCGAGGAGAAGCGTCGCGCGTTCTAGCAGCAGCGCAGGGGACAGGCGCACGGGAGCGCTCGACGACTACGCAGAGACGAAGGCACCGGGGGTGGCGAGGTCGAGCTTACTTGGAGGAGCAGCGCGAAGATGACCCACTGGTAATACTTGTGCTGCTTGACGAGCGGGTGGGGCCCGTGGCCGTGCACCTCGGTCTTGGACACGCCGCTGTTAGACACGCCGGGGTAGGGTATCGAGCGGCCGAGGCTCATGTTGAAGGCGTGCACCATGCTGTAGGTGGTGTGCAGCCAGCAGAAAGTCTCGAGCACGACCTTGTCCACGGCGCCGGAGGCCTCGCAGTGAATCGGTGAGCCGCTGATGCTCTTGCAGGCGAGGGTCAGGCAGCCGGCCAGCAGCAGGGCCACGGTGGCCCGGTAGTGCAGACGGAAGATCAGCGTGTCCTCGGCCACGCGCTGCACCTTGAACAGCGAGCGGATCGAGCCGAAAATGTCGATCATCTTCAGCATGATGGGCATCTTCCGGGGCCGCCGGGGCCGCGCGCGCTCGCCGGCCTACTCGCTGCTCCGCGCACGGGCGCCGCCGCTGTGCCAGCTCGGCCGGGCCGCGCGCATCTCGCGCTGCTCGGGCCTGCGAGTGCTCGACCGCATCGGCAGCTCGGCGCCGCGGCTCGGGATCGGCCAGTCGGTCGCGGCTCTGGTGTCGCGCGCTGCAGGCGCGTCGCCCAACTGCGCGGCGGCCGCGGCGCTCGAGGGTCAAGTTAGAGGCTCGCCACCGCCGCCGCCGCCGCCGCCGCTGCTTGGCCTTTGAGCCGCCTGAGACTTGAGGGGCATCCCCTTGGCCTCGGCACGGCCGCGCGGCTTGCATATTATCCGCGCCGAGTCGCCCGCGGCCTTGACGCTTCCGTCTGGCGCGCGCCGCCGCTGTTACCCTGGAGCTCGCCGATGCACGGCGCAAGAGGAACAAAGGAAGCAATCTGGCAGTCGCTCGCCGTCCGCTGCCGGGGATTGGCGCTCCCCGCCGCAGCCTGGCCCGGGGCTCTGGCGAGCAAAGCGTGCAATCAGCGGACGTCCCCCGGTCGCGTCCAATTCCGTGGCGCTCGGGTCGCCAAGCGGACGCCCCGATTATTTGGCCGGTGCTCCGGTGCCCCAGCGGCGACTGCGCCAGCTTCTCGCACGCCCGTGCGACGTCGGCTCGGTTCGACGGCCACTGATCGCGATAAGTAGCGCATTCGGGTCATTGTCAGCTGCAGCTGTACGTAGCTGAGCGTGCGCCGATGAGGGGCTCGCGTTGCGAGCTTCTTCTCCTCCGCCACCTCCCGCCCTTGCCGTTCGCTTTCTCAGCTCGTCCGACGATCAAACTCGCCCATCGCGCTCGGCGGGCAGCGGCCTATAGCCGAGCCGAGTCGAGCCGAGGCCGACGGGAATGTCGACGGCGAATGCAAACTCGCGGCCGCGGTGGCTCGCACAGCTATCGATAGCGCCGATCGACTCGAAGCCAGCTCCGGCACGGCGGCTCTCCATCCGCGCTCTCGATCACCTTGCTGATTCGTCGATCGCCAGTAACCTCGACCTTTCGTCGACGCTCGGTGCGTCGGTTCGATTCGTCGTCAGGTTGCGCCATTTTCAGCGAGCAAATCAGCATCGCCGCTAAGCGGTCGGCTGCACACGCTGCGTTGCCTCTTGGAAGCATTCTAGCAATGTGTTTTGTCGTCGTCGTCGTCGTCGTCGTCGTCGTCGTCGTCGTCGTCGTCGTCATCGTCGGCCAACTTGACGTCTTGTCGGAGCTGTGAAACGGGCTGTGCGCTCACACGATAGCCTCTCTGATCTTGGGTTTTTTCGTGGCTCGTTTCTTTCATCACTGCCTCTCAGCTCGCCTCGCTCTCTTTCCCTCTGCTTGTCTCTCTTCTCCTGCTCTCTGCAGGAATGAAGATTGGCCGCAGGCTCGAATATAAAATTGCCGGGCTTCAAGTGCTCGTTCTCTCCTTCGCACTCGGCGGTTAACGACTGGCCGCGCTCTGCGCTACAGCAACTGCGAGTTGGAAAATAACGCGTACAGCACACGCACGCGCGCGCATACCTGCCCTTCAACCGAGCTGTTTATCTCCTTTTCTTTGGCTTTCTCGTTCGTACGTCTCGGCATTTACTTGGGCAATTAGTAGCGTGTGATCATAAAAACAGCAAAATTATTGCGGCGCGTGTGTTGCGGCATTTTCTTCGGTCGAGTCAACGTGCTTCGGCAAAATGCGCACGGGTCAATCGGCATTATTACTGCACCTTATTGGCCCGAAACTTGACGAGATCACCGGGCCCACTGTTGCAATCGTTGAAGCGGACCGTTTCTCATTGCCGAACTTTCTATGGCTGCGCACACCTTCCGGCTCGCGTTTTGCTCGTGTGCTCGTGCAGTCGAACGAGCGCTTGCGCGACACTCAAGCACTCAATCATACGGGGGAGCTGTCATACCGAAAGCGTGTGACATGCTCGCAGCGCGACGAACGACAGGGCTAATGCGCGCCTTAGGAGAATCAAGGGTCGAGCTTTGCCAGTGATCTGTGCACGCAACTTCCGAGCGCTGGCAAGTTCGCCGGCTGATTATATGATCCCGTGTGCATAATTAATCTGCTGAAACAATGTTTTGGTTTCATCCACTTAATTCAATCGTACCGCTTCACCCTACGACGCCGATTGCCTAGGTTTTATTTCAAACCTAATTGTTAAAGCAATTATGTGCAAACAATGCCTTTTTTGACTTTTTTTCAATGGGTTTCAATGATTTTTTTAGATCATTTGCAACATTTTAAGAAGAAAAGTTCTCTATTGATATTGTTTCATAAGACGTACATTTAACAAGTTATATAAGTTTCTATATTTGAAAAATTAAGACTTGAGACTTTGAGGCTTTCTCTATATTAGCTACCTATTAGTCAAATGCAATAATGGATTAAGCACAAAGGCCGTTCCGTTGTCGCAGCTTTTTTGCGCGCGTTAGTGCCTATTGCCTGGCGCTCACGAGTCCGCTCGTCGAGCGTGCACTTATCCCTGCTTTTGGCAGCCAATCAATCAGTTTTTACGAAAAGGTACGTTTAACCTATTGATTTACATGCTCTGTTACTATGGACGTCAAGTTGAACAGTCACGTCGATATTAATAAATGCGCAATGTGTATTAGCTGATAATTCAATTTAATTTGTTATTATATATTTTATAATATGCAAGAGCATACTGAACTTTTTAAATATTTTCGCGGGGATCTGCATTTGAATTGCATTGACAAGAATGTACTTGTTTACGTTTTTCTTCAACTCCGTGGCTGTTGCCTATCTGCGAGCACGCTGTCTTACGGCTTGCAACGTCGAACTTGACCAGTCATCACTATACCATGACGGAGTTTCACTGTAGTATATTAATTAAGTGTCTAGTTGTAATATGGAAAAAGTTCTGCGGAATTGCGCGATAGAAAAATGCGTGGACTAGGTAAATGCGTAATAAGCCATAAGCCGTGTAATAATTGTTATCCGAGGAAAGGGCTCGCGAGTGTCAGGCAAACACAAACGCAGTGACGCGCGCCGCATAAGGCGCTGCTCGTAAATGACAGTAACAGTCGTGTCCGACAGGTTAATCCGTTATTCCATTTGTTTAACAGGTGGATTATTTAATTGATAACAATCGGATTTTCAAAGAAACGTGAATGTTGGAACGGTCAGCATTAATCACTCGTTAAATATGCATTTTATCAAGAAATTACAAGAGGCCTTGTAAAAACATTTGGCTCCGTTTTTATTGGGTGGTGCGCCTGCTGTAGGAAAGACTCAAAGGCTCGTCCAGGCGATGCGCCGAGCGTAGCTAATTGCGGCCGTTGGCGAACTCTGTGACACGACACGACCATATGTACAAGTCTGGTCAACCGAGCCGAGCGTTCCGATCCGGACGCGCTTGACACGACAGGCTCCGATGCCCGCACTAATGCACCGGCTTAGGCCCGCACTGTCCATTCGAGCGAGCGCCTCGTTTTCGCGGCAATGAGTCGGTGAAGAGGCGCTCGTTGCGCCGCTGCGCCGCTGCGCCGCTGCAGAGAGATTTTGACAAGTTACCTGCAGGAAGAGCATGAAGCAGACCCACTGGTAATAGCGATACTCCTTGCGCTCGGTGTCGGGGTAGGACTTGGAGTTGTCAACGCCGGGGAAGGGCACGTCGATGCCCTCCTTCTTCCTGTAGGCGGCGGTGATGGTGTAGGTGCTGTGTATCCAGCAGTACGTGTTGAGCACGTCCTCGGGCAGGTCCTTGCTGTGTATGCAGTCGATGGGGTTGCCGACGTACTGCCTGGTGGTGACGATCAGCGAGAAGGCGATCAGCAGGATGACCGTCAGGCTGTAGTGCAGCCGGAAGACCGCGGTGTCGATGTGTATGTGCGATACTTTGATGAGGCTCTTGAGGCCGCGGAATATGTCCAACATCTTGCAGGCTTGGATCAGCGGCGGCGGCGGTGCGTCGTCCTCCGGCCGAGCTGCCGGCGGCCCGATCTCTCGTCACCCGACGACCGGGACCAGGAGCGCGCGGCATGCTTGCCGCTCGGCGTCATCTGGCGGACCGGCCGCGCCCGGCCGACCGACCAGTCATGCTGCCCTCGTCCGCTCATCCCTCCGTCGCCAGCCTCCTCGGCGGCATCTTCCGGCCCAGTGTCTCGCTCAGACGCGCTGCCTGCCCGCGCCCTTGCTGCGCATTTTGCCTGCACTGGCCGCGCCCTCCTTCCTTTTCTCTTCCGACTGACTGCAGTTTGCCGAGTCCGAGCTCAATCTAGAAGCGAACAAAGTTTTGGCGGCCGATTGCCGCGATCCCCCGCCCCGGCCGCCCCCGGCTACCCGCGGACGAAAGTTTGTGCGTACAGAGCCCTAATTTTCTGCGAACAGAGCCGGAGCTCGCCCGGCCGCCCTTATCTCGCGCGCGTAAACAAGCGAGCCGCTTTTTGGCCCGTGACGCCGGATCCGCCCGGAAATCTTTATCGCCGTGGATGCAGTGCTCGGAATAGCCGGCAGCAATCGCGAACGCTAACGAGGCGGCTGATTGTCGCGCTGCCAGCTTGCGCCAACTGTCCTGGGCGCCTGAAATTTTCATTGCGGTGCGGCAACAATACACTTCTCGACGTTCGCCGTCGATGCGGAGGCTTCGCTCGCGCCGGGCTTGCTGAAAAATTCACGGGCCGAGCCTGCGCGCGGCGGCAGGCACTCGCCGCCGCCGCGGCCCGAGGACCGCGCGAGACGCGGAGCGCGTCGCCGAAAAACTGAGCGCCAGAGGAGAGGGCCGCTGCGGCGACGAGCGGACGCGACCGATAGGTGGGAAGGAGAGCCCGCGCAAGCTCCAGCAGGTGCGCTGGCGCTGGCGCGGCGGAGGCGGGGGCGAGCCCTCGCCGACGGCTTGGCTGGCCGCTGTCGACAGAGCGTTGGCGGTGCGAGTGTGCGACTCGCCGCCAGACTGGCTGTCGCTCGGGCTAAGCGAGCCACTTGTACGCAAATGGGCCGCAGTCAAGGATAACGGCTGAATATTCAGAGGCGCGCGTCTCGACTCTCCATCTGCGCGTGCCTGCGCTGAAACCAACTCGCGGCTGTGGTGGCTTTGGCGGATTCGGCGGTGTCGGCGCTGCACCGAGGCCGGCTCCGTTATTTCGTTTGATGTGCGTTGCGCTGCTGACGTTCTATTTTAGCTGCGCCGTGCGCAAAGCTCGCTCGCTTCCAGTCGACCTCCAGCTTCCACTCGTCAGCTACTTCGAGCGCTTCCACGTTCTATGCCGTCGTTCGCGACTGACCGACACTTGCCGACACCAAAGCGCGTGCGACCACGGCGACGCCTCGCTGGCCCGCGATGCGCTCGGCGCCTTGTCCTCTCACTCGAATCCTCGAACTCGTTGCGCCAGCTGCCACTCGGATTTGCGAGCTGTACGTGCGGCGCCGCGAGACGAACGAGAGGCCGAGCGGGACGCCAGCCTGTTGCTTGGCCAATTTCCATACCGCAAGTCTACGGGTGCAGCTGATACGAGCGCCGACCACTGCGTCCAGGACACCGGTAAATGCAAGCAGGGGAGGGCAAGAGCAGAGAGCAGGTTGCCTAAAATCGAGGGACGGCCGAGGTATGAGCTACGCAATCGGGCTCCAGCCGTTGCCAGAGTCCATCGGCGATCGGTGTGTTTTCTTTGTTAATCGATATTGACTTAACGAGCGCAAATCAAGCGCCAAGCCAGAAACGCTTTAGGATCAAGTGAACGTTTTACAACTGGCTGTCAGCTGCGGTAGCGCATTTTTCAGTGATCCAGCTGTCGACGGTCGCGGAGCGCACCTCGTCGCAGCCCTGTATTAAAATTAAGGTATTGTCAGCAAGTACCGCTCGTTACCGTCCTCTGCGCTACGCTACACATACCTATATGCGAAAACGAATTGACAAGTCTCGCGTAATTCCGTCCTGCTCCCGCGCGCAGCGCAGCGCCGCACCTTCCGCCCGCTTTCGTCTTCCCCTCCCTATTCTTCGAGCGCCGTGTTTGGCTGTAAGCCAACTTCGGAACTAGAAAAAGCTCGAGAGCCGATTAAAAATATCGCGTACGCGGGCGCGCTCCAGAGATCCTGAATTTATTGTCATTCAGAGTTTGTTGTTTCTACGCGGCTCTGCCAGATAATCGTACCGGAGCATCGACCAATCGCTACTTCGAATCAACTTTACCGACAACTCGCTTCTCCAAAGATTGGCCGCGAGCGCGCCAATATTTCACCAATGGGCCTGCATCTGATCATCTAATTGCCATTTTTTGAGACGTACAATGACCGAGCATCGTCGTGCTTTCATGATATTTGTCAACCTCGTGCGCCATCTGGACAGGCCTTCTTCCATATGATTTGCCGCGCGTACCAACGCATTTTTTCGAAAGTCAATGATTGCGATCCTAGTATACGGTCGCCTTCACGAATTCATCCGGACCTCCCGATGCCGACGCCATGGCACATCGTGCATTAAACGAGTCGCTGCCCGTTATGCGAAAGCCAAATCTCAAGCCGTCAAGTTTGGACGGTCAGAAAAACGATACGGTCGAGTAAACAAGCGACGGCTAATCATAATCTACGACAGAATATTTAAAAAACCAATGACCTATCATATTGCAGCGCTCTACTTTCTAATAATAATCAGCCTATTGACCGTGATCGATTTTTTCGTACTGATCGAAAGAAAGCGGTTGTCGAGCGCGGCAGTTTGACTAGCAGAGGGCTACCACTGAAGAAAAAGAAAAAAGCCGAACGAGGAAGGAATTAAGCGGGTCTATTTTGGTACGGCGCTCGATGAAGCTCAACAGTTCTCGCGCGTACGCGATCATTTGAAATTGACGAGACTAGGCAGGCAGCCGTCTCGAACGGTTTACACATCGTACAGCAATGCTAATCGATGGCGGAGCGTCGGGGAGACGCGCGACCCTCGATCATCAGCCCATGCTCGCGAGGCTGATCGCTCGAAAGAGCTTTCGGGTGGCCGTGGGCAGCGCCCAGCTGGCAGCGAGCGTCCGTCGATCGGCCCAGCTGATCGCCATCGCCGCGCGACGCCTCGTCCGGCGCAGTGGCGCCGAGTCGCAGCCGCCACGGCGACCGGTGGTCGATGAGCGCGCCGCGGACCGATCGCCGACCGAGGGCTTCGACGGGCCGCGAGGACGAGCGCGACTGCCTGTGAAAGCTGGCTGTCGACGCGGGCGGACGCGGGCGGCCCCGGACACACGCAACAGCACTGTTTACAAAGCTCTCCAGGCGTCCAAATGTAATCGGCTAAAAATACCAAACTGGAGCTCGACTGCTTCGCCCAGCGGACGAGCGGCTCGAGGGCAGCGGCCGCGCGACGCCCGGCGGCCGGCCCGGACCTTGGGGCGTGCGGCCGGCGCAGCTTCGCTGTCCGCGGCGCGCCGATCTGCACGCACAAACACACGCCGTACACGTGGGCGAGCGCACCGGGCACGCGCAGCAACGAGTCCGCGGCTTATACGCACTTGCTGGAGACGGGCGTCGTCGGTCGCACGATGCACCACAGCGGACTCGTCGAGTTCGACGGAGCGTCGGCGGCCAACTAGCGCTCCGCGCTGCTCGCGCTGCTCGCGCTGCTCGACACTCAGGGTGCTGCTCCAGGAATAGAAACGACCATCGGAGTGAGCGAGCCAGCGAGCGAGCGAGCGAGCGAGAAAGAGACGGATAGCGTATAACGCAATGCGTCGAGCTTGCGGGCGAAACGTGACGGCCTGGTCGAACGAGAGTGTAGCCTTTATATTAGGCAACTGCCGCCGCAGCTCCGAAACAGAGACGACGGCTGCTTTGACAGTGCGCTAACGTGTGCCGGGGGCCTTCGCTCCAGAGCGCTGCTGTTTTTAGTAACTCGCCAGGCAACCAGGCAAAGGAGCTTGCCGCCAGTTAGCTCCGCTCCAAGTTGCCGTGTGCCAGCCGCAGTTCGACAGGCGAGCACTAGCTTGCTCGTTTGCTTGCTCCCTTGCTTTCTTCCTTCCTTCCTGCGGGCGCTTTCGCCTGATTCCCACAGCACTCACTCGTCGCACTGCTCGCGATTGGCCGTCCGCGTGTAAGCTCCCGTTCGGCCGGAGATACCGGAGCTCGAGCGGCTCGCCGCGGAACACTGAGCTGCTCTCTCGGCGCTCAGTTAGAACTGCGCCTTCACGTGTTGCTCTGCTGCGGCTTCGCTAATCTTTATCCTCGCGGCTGATCCGCTTACCAACTACAGGCGTGTACTTTCGATGCTCGATTCAGTTCGGACGCTGCCTCGCTGATTGATCCAATTTGGCTTTGCGCCCAATTGGTTGGCAGCACGAGCAACGATCACCGCTGCCCACTGCAAGCTGGGCCCGGCTTTCAAATGCTCGAGATACCCCCGCACGACTGCCAGTTCCGCGAGTACCGCGGGCAAGCAGAGCTTTCGCGCCAGCTGCCAGTCTACCGAACCGGGACGGCCTGGAACTGTCGGGGAAGGCGTACGCCGTACAGTGACAGCCGCCCACAGCTCCAAGGACATTGGCCTGCGGCCTCTGTGAGCATAAGCGCCGGCTGTCAGCCTGCCGAAAATGAGCACGGCTTTGTCCTGCGTGTGCTTCAGCCTCCCTTCTCGTCGGCCCTCTCGGCGCTCGACGCTCGCGAGCCAACGACAGCTTTTCGTTGGAACGAGCCGCGACACAAGTAGGCACATCTAGTCGACAGTTGGAGCCGTTCTGACGGATATTTCGCTGGCGGCGATGATTGCTTCTTTGTTGACGTAGGCTTCATTCCTAAATTGGCCGCGTTAAAAATAATTTAAAGAGGGAGCGAGTCGGCCGAGCGTCTCAATCTCGAGCGAGCTTTTTATTGTTTTCCTGAATTAGAGTCGGGCCGTAGCACACGGCGACGCGACGGCGGCCGCCTCTACGACAGAGCGAGCGCCGTTTTAGCGCCGACTTAGCGCCGTCTTAGCGCCGTCTTATCGCCGTCTTCGAGTCAATCCCTAGGCCGAGCTTCAGGGCCGCTGCAGCGTTCTAGCCGTCTTGTTACTCGCCACGAGACTGCGGCTTCTTTTTCAACCTGTCTTCGATTTTTCTCCGTGGTTCCGTCTGCTTTCCATCGCGAGTCGGCTCCTGTCGCGGTTTATCGCGCGCCGAGCCTGTGTGCGAGTATATGCCGAGGTAAATACAAGTGGCCGATGTGCCAGAGCACTCAAGCTCGGCAGCCATCACCAGTCGCATGGCCGTTTCTTTATTTCTCTGGCTGTGCTTTGTTCGGACGTTCCGACAGCTAGGCCTGTCGACGGCTTTCAACCGCAATCATCGCCTTTTTTTCGTTAGCTTTCGCTCTTGCGGACATCGCATCCATCCCGAACCGCCTATCGACTGACGACGCTCCTCGGCCGAGGGAGGGGGAGGGGGCAACTAAAATGTTTGTTCCCTTGTCCATTTTGCCCATCCCTTTGCGTCCAAGCAGAACTGAGCTTGCGACACTTTTGAAAGCTTTCCAGGCGGTAGCAGCTGTCATTGTCAGATTTAACAAAGTCCATTCTTTTCTTTCCATTATCTCTCTTACGGCATTTTAGCCCGAGCTCTCGACGTTCGTTCAGTGGCTACGCACGCTTATTCAAACTTGCGAACCGTTGAAACTCAAGCCAATTCTGGCTCCGACAGTCGTAAGCTGTCTATTCGGTTCCTGATTCCGGCGGCTAGTTTGTCGTGATTATTTGACGCCGACGAGACAAAATCGGACGCACGAATACCAAATGTAGGCCAACTTGGTCTGGAATTTTTTTGATGAATTTGATGACATTGCCAAAATTATTATTGCCATCTATTATTCATTAGTATTTCATCGGTGTTTTGATTATTCTCTCATGTCGGATTATCGCGTGCAATAGTAGTGACGAGTATAGAAATAAATTTCGAATTTTAGGAAAAAGCATAAAAACGATTTCGCTTAGCCGAACGCTTCGCAGCTGAGCGTGGACATTCCGAGATGTACGTATGTACGGCACACGCATGATATGGTTGAACATCCAGTCAGCGCGTAGTCGAGACATCGATCGTCAGAGAGCGCCGGCGACTTGGGCACCACGCAATACTGCGCCCACGAGGGAGTATTTGTATTAAAATTATTGAAATTAAAAATCTCATATGATCAGAGGGTGCCTTTGATTTGCCGATAGTCGCTAGCCAATTTAGATGTCTTTTCAATCGTGAAAATATAATATGTAAAAGATGCCGACTGCGGCCTTTCATCGCTGAGTCACGCAAGTGCACGTGACTGTTTAATTTGCACTGTGACTAGCTTGTAATCTAAACAACAACGAGTTTCACAACGCATCACCAACTGGAAACGAAATGATTGGATTAAATTTTGTGAAATTTTGGTGTCAAGAGGTTTGAATCTCGCCTTCGCTTGCTGCGACAATATTCAAAATCCGACATGCTCGAACGGCAAGTACGCAATAAATGCAGTCCTGGCACCAAGCGGATCACAATCCAGGCGAACTGCGATGGGCGATACTACCGTAGCTGTATGTGCAGGTACCCTTGAGGTGAGACGAGGCTAACCTGGCATCTAAGAACGAACGACACCCATTGGTGGTAGTACATGATTTGCCTGACAGCGAGATCGGTGCTAGGCCGGGACCGCCTGGTTGGCTATTGCTGCCACGAGAAAGTGACTCGCTGTCGGATGCGCTGATGGAGCTGCGCCGAGGCCACATCGGGAAAGGTAACGTCGACGTCCAGCATTGCACCCGTCACCTAATGCACGCTGTGAATCCAGCAGTAGGCGTTGAACGTCTCCAGCGGCACGGCTTTGCAATGCCGACGGAGCCGATGACGAGCGCGCTATTACGTCAGCGATACGTCAGCGGGCGCTCGTCTCGCAACATGACGTAGCCGTACAGCTCTCTATACGCCACGTGCGTCCCGGCAGACTACTCGACGACGGGCCGCGCAGTGAAACTACAGGCGAGTGCGCACGAGCTGCGCTACATTCACAGTGCGAATAAGACGAGCCAGATGCGCGCGCCCGCGCACGACGAGTAGCATCGAACCTGGAGCGCGCACAGTCGATGGGGTTACCGACGGCCCGCTTCGTCGTGAACATCGCGGAGAAGCTCGGCAGCAGGACGGTATTGAGCACGTGTAGCCCAGCGACGGAGCCGTTGTTTCGCACTCCGCTGACCTGGATTAGCCGCAGGAGCCCGCTGTGAGATCCGAGTCTCTGGCCAACAGCCTCGCTCGATGCTCGATCGGCCCGCCAACGTGTCGAGCTTGCGCTCGAAGGCTCGATGCCGGGACGCGGGTGCTCGCTGTTGTTCCGGCTCGTGACGCCGCGACTCCGTTCCGTTTTTGAAACTGAGCTCGGGCTGCTTGCACTGATAGCGGCTGCGTGGTTCGTAGATCGCGCCGCGCCGCTCGTTCCCCGCCGAAGCGCGCTCACTTCGTAGTAGTGCCGCGCCAATCGCGTTTTCGAGTTGCACGCGCAGACGTGCGCGGCACCGCACTGATCAGCAGCGGGCGCTGACTCGCCGCGCAACGGGATGAAGCCGGAAAGGGGGAGGCAGAGGCTGGACGCCACGCGTTCCTCGGCGCTGCAAGGCGAGCACAAGCTCTGGACGAGAGACGAATGCAAAGAGACGACAAGCCAAGCAGCAGCCTTGAACTTGCGCATCGTGTACTCGAAGGCGCGTATGCGGCTGCGACGCTGTAACGTCGGATCGATAACTCGCGCGGCTGGCGGAGAGATGGACGGGGCGAGGAGTGTCGCGTGCGTGGCAAGCTCGCGTCGGGCGGGCGGTACAGTGCCCCGATGGCATCCACGATGCAGGTCTCGCCGGGACCCCCGGCGACGCGCGGCCACTTCCTATTCTGGGACTCTTGGCACACCGGGCGCTGCTCGCGCCAGCAGCCTGTCGCCCCTACTCCGCGACTCGCTTGGCGCGGCAGGCGGTTGTCCTACCGCGGTCCTCGTCGGTCCGACGACCGAACACTCGCGGACCGACGGATCGGCCGAGCAAAGAACTGGCGCCGGGAGCTGTCGAGAAGGGCTCGCAGACTCAGCGATCGCGAATCAACCTGTGGTGCCCGTGGTCGCCCAACTGGTGCCTCAGTGGTTGTACCGCGTGCCGTTGTCGACGAGAGACTCATTTTCACGACGGCGCAAGTCGTGTTTGGAGCGGCGTTTGACAACAAGCTCTCTCGTCGTACCGATCGAGCGAGATGGACGCGCGTCCCCGCATCTGCGCGTCTTCGCAACGCCCTGCCTGAGTTCGAGAACTTCTGGCGAGCTGCGCTCGCGGGCGCGGGCGGATCTAAGCCCGACGGATGGCTCGTTCTCGACAGAGCTCCGTATACCGGCAGCGACGACTTCCTACACCGATGACTCGACTCACAGTTCCAAGTCTCATCGACGAGGCTTGCTCGCAATCTACTGGCCGACCGAACTTGCAGCTTGGCCTTAGCGGACTTTGCTGCTGACGGGAATGCTGCTTGAGCGTCCAGGTGCTTTTCGTGCTTTCGGTATCAATAAATTGCTGCTCGACTTGGCGGCTTTTGGAAAATATATGCTTTAGAACCAGCTAATTCTGCAAATGATCCAAATGGTCCATATGCATCTAATTATTGTTCGTGGTGTGATAAGTCGAGTTTAACGTCCGAGTGAAAAAACTCAAAGATTAGCACTGATACCTTTATAAATGAAACTTGAACGATCTGAATAATATGTTTAATGACGTTGAAATAAAGCTTAACCACTCTGCGAGAAAATTGCTACCTACGAGCATGCTTATTCATTTTAGATGTTTGCTACAAATGCTCGTTTGTCTGTAACGCAGTGGAAAGCTTGTTCCAATGTGGGTATGGTACCAAACGGCTTTCCATTTGAAATACTCAAAGTCCTAACACACATAATTACTGTAAGCTCAAAGATCTCGATGCAACTGTGCCATGGCTTATGACTTGCAGCTCACGTTGGCGAGCCATAGAGTGGATATTCTATTGTTGAAAAATAAACCGCGAACAGGAAGCATTTTCATTTTCGTCCCAAGAAAAATGATAAATCGATTGTTAAAAGTAGTTTTACAACAAAGCAAAGCTTCGACGCAAAACAATTGCTTTTACGACAGGTTAATAGCTTACGTATGAGTTGTTGGTTGACAGAAAAAGAAAAATGATTGTGTTGCCCGATTCTCAACTCTCAAGTCTATAATTGATAATGTAAAATTTCTTGGAACAAAATAGTCATTAACAAATATTTGTTGAAGCTGATATTGAAGAAAAGTAGGAACTTGTGTCAACCATAGATCGGCTACGTATTAGTCTAGTAGTTTATTAAACGGTAGTTTTGCTGCTCTTCATGAACATCGCTACAGAACCGAGATTCACTCTCACCAGCACTTTCATGCATAGCATTATCGAGCATCGTAGCTTTTCGTTGATTTCTTGGCAATAAATGAAAATTTACATAAGCCCAAAAAGTTTCTACTAACTAACGAAGTTATAGGAACCAGGAACTAAAAAGTGCTCGTTGAAATTAGAAACTTTGACGAGAAATGAACAACTAATTGCGAATACGCTGATTAGAATGAGATGCAGCATCAAGTATTACTAAGTGTTCGGCTGCCATTCAGTAATGAGTTTCATCGGTGCTTGTAACAAGTCTTCAAGGGCCGAGCGTAAATAATATTCGCGCTACTGCAGCGACTCGGAATCAGTTACGAAAATTTTATCACCTTAAAAATCATCGTTTCTCTGACAAAAATTGATCCAAATTCATTCCGGAAAATTTACGAGAAAGGTTATCGTTATTTCTCAAGCAGCACGACTGAAGTAGCCTTATTTTTAATCAAAATCAACCAATAGAGCACTCGAGATTTTTCATGAAACCAAGCACTCCCACTCTGAAAACCAACAAGTATTGCTAGTTTTGTATTATATTTCGTTCAATAAGAATTATGACTACTTCCCTATTATTTTACTCGAGGAATAAGCCTTTTTTCCTTGCTATTTGTGTCGTTATTCAAAATAATTATTACCGAATTTGATCCCTGGGGTAAAGTCAGAAAAAAACAAACGTACCACTCAAAAGTCATCTTTAATTCTCCAAACTAAGGTACCAATACATATAAGCTTAATCAAATGAAGAAAAAAATCATTGTATTCCTTACGAACCAATAAATACAAATTCGCAAAACTAACGTAAAAATTTAAGGTTGGAGCATCGATTCCAATTTTATTAAACATAAATGGTTCAATGTAATCCATCGCAAATGGAACTTATTTTAAGATGTTCAAAAATAGCCTCTCATCCTCTTTCCTATGTCTATGTGCACGCAAAATACTGTGCAAAGAAAAAAAAAGACAAATGCACGCACGTACGAATGCAAACTGAACATGACAGTGTATTACTTTTGTGATCATGAAACACTTGTTGAACAATTCAATAGTATCTTATTTTTATTATCATAAGGAGGCAGTAGCAAATTTACCAAAAAATATCACTATGTACAAAAATTCCAGCTCACAATTGCTATATGTATATCTTATTTTGACACGTTCGAATGTATCTGGCGAAATTGCCAAAATTGAATATTTCGTCTGGTGAATGAATTCATATCTTGGAAAAGGACAGTTCAAAATGCTTGTTGCTTTCATACATGTACGTCCAAGCCGTCGAAGATATTGTCAAGTTATATCTTAGACCTTATCAAATCGAATGTCACATAATAGAGCTGTCTTTTATCACATTGCTATCTGCACTCAATTTTTTTACTATACATCCGTCAATAGACAACCTCTCATGAAATACTTATAATAATACATTACTATTACATTATTCTCAATTTTTAGCTGTAAACAATGTTATTTTTCATACTATTTATCATTTCACTGAGATTACTGCAGTCATGCGTAAGAGAAAGCTCAAATTGAACTTCTAAAAAACAAGAAATGAAACGAAAACAACCTGATCTCATAAAATCCTATCTCGCCCAGACAAAAAAAAAGGGAAAAAGTAGCACAATTAATAATGTGCTTCGATGCTTGTTCTGCATTAATCTTAACAGCAACAATATTAGTACTCAAGTTTTCTCTTTTGAGATTGAGAGTTACATTCGTGTCAGTCTTCGCGACAATCTGCTGTTTTTCTCTAAATTGAAGAATTCGTAACATCGAACTAGAATCACAAAGGAGCAGCAACCGTAGATTTTACATAAATATGTTATAATAATATAGTACAAAATTCTACGACAATAGTAGGGTCGCTTAAAACGTTAATGGAAATACCACCAGTGGTATATATATTTTCATACGTATATATGTATATTTCAGACTTCTCATAACACAAAGAGAAGAAATTATTTTCCCTCAAATACGCTTCAAGATAATCGCTTTTGATATTCGAACTTATTTTAATTATTTGCTAGAATTCGAAAAAATATATAAACAAAGTATTTGTGTGTGTGTGTGTGTGTGTGTGTGTGTGTGTGTGTGTGTGTGTGTGTGTGTGTTTTACAATTGTATACATTATATAAAAATACATGTTGCCTATATTCACCTCGAAAATAGGACCGTAAATAAGGCCTAACATACTATCGTGATTCTATATTTTTTTCTTTTGAAAAATTCGCGAATACAAACTGGGTATCTCGAATTGCTTTTTTATTGGTATATCAAATTGTCATTGTTAATATTCTGGAAAACTTAGCAAGATTTTTAGAAAAAATCAGCCTTGTACAAGCTCATTCCTTTAAATGTGTCATACTGCTTTGTTCACGTTCAGTAAAAAAACTGAAGGTATTCTGAAACGAAGTGAAGCTTGAGTGCGATTAGAACGAACCACGTAAGTTATTGATTTGTTACGTCTCTGGCAATTATTTGTGAAAATTGTGAACTTATTAACAAAGAAATTCTAGTTTTCAACTAACGCATAACTCAAATTAGGTAACGTCGTGATAAAAATTTGTTTTTCCACTAAGCTCGGCACGCAATTTTTCTATGCACTCTATTATCGCAGTCCTAGCGAGGCCAGGCTCATCGCTATAGATCAGTCCATTTGGCGCGGGATCTTGCTAGCTTGTTTCCTGGCCTATCGTGGGCCAAGTAGGGCCTTCCCTATGAGCTTACCGGTGACATATGCTCACTCATCTTCTTCGTAAGCTCCTGCAGCAGCTCTCTGTATATCAGCGAGTCCATATTCGATGACAAAACGTAGAGGACCCACCAGTCTCCTGTGAGGTAATAAGACAATAGGTGGAAATTATGAAGTAATAGGAATGAAAGGTTGAGTGGCATTAATGCATAAAGTAAGGCCGTTACCCAAATCAATCTTCTTGGTAATACTCTGGCAGGTCTCCAGCTCCAGCAGCCTGGAGGACATCTGCAGGATCTTCGGTCGGAGCGCAGGCGCGAAGATGATTGCCGCGCGGTAGAGCATCAGTCCGACAAGAAGAGTGGTCAGTATGAGATACCAAAACCAAATGAAGATGTAGGTTTTCTCGTTGACAATGTTGAGTGGAAGGAGGCAGAGGGAGTCGTGTTTCTGAATGGAGCCAGACGAGCCGTACTTGTGGAAGATGCACTTGGTGACCCGCGGAAAAATGTAGACCATAGGGTCGACGCGCTCCTCTTGCGGAGTGTCCGGCAAGTTGATGACGCGTAGCCCGTAGGTGAGGAACTCGCCATCGAAGAATTTATTCATGGCGTACAGCTGCACCAGGATGTTGAGCAGACAGATGGCCTCGCAGGCGAAGTAACGGTAGGCATACATGTTGTGCGTCTGCGAAAGTCAACGGAGCGTAGAGTCAAAAGCTTGTCTCGAGCAGTCGGTGCACCGCGCAGGCCTCTATTAGCGTTGCCGTCATTGGCGACAATTGCATCCAACGAGCACAAATTGACGCGCTCTCGGCCGAATGACGTTGGCGCGAGCGCGCGACACACCGACGCAAGCTACGTCTAGAATTACTCGAGCCACTGTCGATTTCGCTGGTTCTTGCGCCTCTTGTCTTTCAATTTTGCAACGCGGCTTTGCGATCGTCTTTCGCTTGCTCCGCGAGCTGTTGACAATTGGCGACGTCCGGAAATTGCCAGGACGGCAGGCGCAAAACCGGGCATCGTTGGTTCGCCCGTCAACCGACCTATTGCCCACTAGTAGTGGAATTGCATACCGACTGAACGCGCACCCGCCAATTAGTTTACACAGGCACGTTTCCGTCACACGCGTGCCGAGCCCCCAAGAGCCCCATTTGCAACTGAACAGCTTACAAGCTAAGTGTGACCAAGGTAGATTGCTCGTCGGAGGGCCGAAGCATCGTTCAATCCGGCCAGGCGCTTGGCTCGCCAGGCCGGATTCAAAATCGATTGCGCAAGCACCGGCCGCTGGCTCGATGTCGGGCATTAAGCTCACCGCGCGCCAATGTGCCTTCGCGTCGGTCCGAATTCCGTGACGCTGACGACTACTCGATGCCAGCTGTGTTCAGACTAAGTCCCACGCGTGGCTAGATCGGGAATGGTTAAAGCAACAACGTATTTGGGCCTCGACCGACAAGAAAAATCGAACGAATCTGAGCTTACCCGAATGTGAGATATGAGATAATCCATAATGACGTTCTTCTTTTTGGTGACAGATTCCTCGGTGTCGAGCGAGTTGTTAAGGCCCATCACCAGAGTTTTGATGAGACCACCCTCCCAGATACCCCACAGCCAGTGCGGCAGGTAGCATGCCATCGCCTGAAATAACAGTTAAGCACACAACATTAGCCGCATTGCCCGTGGTCAGTCGCCCCGTGCGCAAGCGAGCAGTAGTTGGCAATTCGAGACTCCTCGACGCGCTAATAATGTTGCTGCAGGCGCTCGCGCAATGCAACCGCGCTCCACTCCGCCTGTTTGATTATCGATTGCAGTGCACTCTTTCTCCCAGATAAAACTATTTATAGACGCGCTAATCAGCGACACTGACAACTCGAGCCTTCAACAATTGCGCTCGCGATTGTCGGATTACGTTACGAGTGTTTGGTCTTGTCACTGGAGAACTCCAATAGTATCTCGACGAACGAACGCGCTGCGAGAGGTTATAGGCACAAGTTTGCGTCGTCGAGCAAGGAATTTCGAGTAGCGGGCGGGTTCCTCGCTCGTTTAGCTCGCATTAGTATCGGACTTGTGCAGACTGCAGATCATGCTGGGGTCGTGTGTCCAAGAGAACGACGCAACGGAAGACGAACGAAGAGAAGCTCTCACGCTCGAAAGAGGAATATAAAAGCCCGACCAAAGACAGTCCGAGTGGAGAGACAGAGCGCACCGAGAGCTGAGCAATAGCCAGATTGCGTCTGCGTTGTGAGGCCATGCATACTCACCTGGAAGAAGAGCACGAAGCACACCCATTGGTAGTAGGTGTAGTATTTCCTTGCCTCGACGTCGCCAAAGTCGTTGGCTACGCCGGGATGAGCCACTTCCACGCCGATCTGCAAGAACAACAGATGTCCAATCAGCAAAACGAGCGCCCAACTAACCGTATCCTCCCCCCTCCCCCCTTCATTCTACGAACACGGCCGGCTTTGAACTTGGTTCCATTTCAGCAGCCCCGAATTTTGGCTTCCGTGTGGCTGTGCTTAACCTTTAGAGGGCCGGGATTTCAAGGGTCGTATTGCCCTCAGAAAACTAATATAAAAGATATCTTATATCATTGATTGATCATAGGGAAAGTGTCAATCATAGGTAGCATCAATATATTGATTCTCCAGCCCTCTAAAGGTTAATCGCGCCCTGTCCCCTATTCGACAGCTCCAACACGAGAATCCAACACATCATGTCGTGCTGTCGCTATTATTATCGTCCCCTTAAATCAGTGGGCTCAAATCAGTCGTACGGCGTCCGGCAATTGAAGCCTCTTGCAGAGATCAAATGGCAATGGTAGGAGCAAGTTTCAACGGCGAGTAAGTAACGAGCAATGAAGAAACTGGCCAATTGGCACTCTGTTGCGTAGTAGCGCCGATAATGAGATTGACGAGTTGAAGCGAGTGGTATGTCGTTAAGGCGACCTACAACCGCTTGACAAGAAAATGGAGTACAAAGCATAAGCCACGCTTGCTTCAGCTTGTACCGCTGCGAGACTGCTCTTGCACGACTTGACGAACGCCTGCGGCACGCGCATCGTCGCGCTCCTATGGTAGCTGCCACAGTCGTCCGCAAAACAACGCCCAATGCAATGGCATTCGAATGCTGCGCCAATGGCGAAGATGACCTTACCTTGGCTACAATCGGCTCAAACCCGACGAGTTGAGCGTTGCTCGCACTTGAACGATCAAAACGTAAACAGTGGCCGCTTCGACGCAGTAGGCCGTGCGCACGTACCTGGCGATTGAAAGCATCCGGCATGGTAAAAGTGGAGGTGATCCAGCAGTAGGTGTTGATCGGTTGAATGGGCAGAGCCGAAGGTACGATACAGGAAATGGGGTTGCCGACGAACTGATTGGCAGTGATGATTAGCGAGCAGGTCGCGAGCAATGCCGTGGTGAAATGGTTGTGCATGCGGAACACCATCGAATCCGTGCTTATGTCCTGGTGCTTCACGAAGCCCTTCAGTTCCTTGAGCAATTTGAACATCTTGGCTGCTGAATCTGCGCGCAACTAGATTATTATGCTCTCTTTGCTCTTTTCTAATACTACTGCTACTGCCTCATCAGTCAGCCGCGGTCAGGACTCGATCTTTTTTTCCTTCTCGATCCGACGATGCCTCTCTCCCTCCCTTTCTCTCTCGACGTTGTATTCTTTCGACCGACACTAGCGCCTACGTGCCTGCCCTGTTCTTACTTTTATCGTCTGTGCGCTCTCTCGATCACTCCAGCCCAAGCTTGCAGCTGAAAACAGATTGTTGTTCAGATTACTTTTTCAACTTGTCCAACATTCGCATTTCGGAATAGCAACAGGTTATAACAGGTTAACATCGATTTTCCCGTCGACATCGATCGTAACTCGTTTTTGTCAAGCTGCCGGCCAGGCGTCTTTGTAAAAATATTAAATCCTTGAATTTTGATACGTGCGCAAGCTTCCGTTCGTTAGACCACTCGTAGCAATGCGCGGGAATGCATTCGAAATGGAGATACCTTGCACATGAGATAAGAAAAACAAGCTATTGTCATTAACTGAATAAGCAAGTGGTAAATAGCACTGGACCGTCGGCGGCACTCGCAGTCCTTGCCCCCCCCCCCCCCCCCCCCCCCCGCCAAACAGAAGCGAGACTCAAATAGCTACTCCTGTACCGTCCTACGACTAATATCAAATGATGGCGCTTTAGTTGTCTAGCCAACAAAACATCTACGTTGAGTTGCTTGCAACAGGTGTCGGTGATTGTTCTATATTCGTAAAACTGGCCAAACGTTGACACTTTGAACAGTGATGACGCAAGCTTGCACTCGGACCTATGACAAAAGGCATAATGCACGCACATCGTAGTCGCGTTTGCGCGACTACCCTTCTTGTATACTTACGCGAGCGCCTACTGCATAGATGCTTACTTCGAAGACTAACAGAAGTTTATACGTACACGCACAACGAAGTTGAGCGAACAGGCGTCTGGCAAACGCTCTCTCTCAATCGTCTCGACCCTTTTTCCGCGCGCGCCCCCTCCAACGGCACAACAAGCCGCTAACCTCAAAATATACATAGACAAGAGCAGCGATATGGTACTCTGCATTTGATCCTCGATTGTAGTGAGCCGGAAGTGCACATGTAGATCGATTTTCGAGACGAGTTGCCATAGTTAGAGCATCTCGCGTTGGCTGACTTACCACTCAGTGCGCCGGCTGCCCCGCTTTAATTCTTTCTCTATATCTGTCTTAGCTCAGTGATTCGTGAAAGACAGCATGCGGCAGAGACTAGCACATGGGCCAACCAATAACGAGCACTGGTAGTAAACGGAACGAACGCCTGCAAAGCGATCGTTGGCGTATTAAAGAACGAGTGTAACGTAACACTGTCTCTCGCGAGCGCTGACTGCTGACAAGGAACGAGGAGGTACGGCACGTACGTTGAACGCGAAGCAGCAGCGCCAGCTCCGTCGGTGTGTCCTGGCAGTGTGTTGTGGGGGGTCTGGTCCGAGAGAGCGAGAGAGAGAAAGAGAGAAAGCGACGAGAAGGAGCGTGGTACTGTGGGGGGAAGCGCACCGAGGAAAAAGGGAAGACTGGAGGGGGACAGCGAGCCGAAGCGCGTACGCGCGGGCAAACGCTCATGTAGGCCGCAGCGATTCGAACCCCCTCCTCTTCGCCCCTGGTAGTCGCAGATGCTTCTCTCTGGCCAGGCCTGGCGCGGGCTGCTGCCGCTGCTGATGGCCTTCTCGCGAATCCTACAATACAGCACTATGAAGCTCTCCTTTTCCGTTACTTGTGCTTACTCCTGCGCAAAGTTGTCATCTGCTTTGCTCCTTTGTTTCTCTATTGTCGCAAGCATGGTTCTTTTGCTTCTCTTTTCAATAATATTATACAACGTACATGAATCGTGGAAGGCTGATCCCATCTCTTGGAGTAGCTTAATTGTAGAAATTATCAGCTCTTCGTGCTACGGCTTACCGTTCATTCGATGTTAAAGGTCGCGTGTCAGGTTTAGCCTCCAAATCTCCAACGTGATTCGCCTACTTTGAACTTTACTCGTAATGCAATCGCTACAATTTGCAGCTTCACCAACCCTACGACGTAACTATGCTGTTTTCGTCAACCTGAACAATAGATATTCAGGATTGTATCTTATTTCATCGCAAGTCAGATTGGCACAGATCCTTGCAGCAACGGAAATTGCCACGCCATATAATTCAAGACCAAAAGCTTATTTTGCTATACGAATTTATGTTCATACGAAACGACAAGATCAACTTCAGTGCGAGACCGCGAAAGAGGGCATTGAAATCACCAAAAACGAGGCTCGTATGAAGCGCGACTTTCTCTTTTTTGTAAGAGCCTCTCACTCACCCGTGCCCCCCCCCCCCCCCCCCGCCGCCACCACTCACGTACGCGCGCGCACGCTTATTTTACACTCCAAGTCCGCATTCCGTAAGACAGAGAGAGAGAGAGAGAGAGAGAGAGAGAGAGAGAGAGAGAGAGAGAGAGAGAGCTGAGCTGAACTGATCTGATCGATTTCCAATGTGCGAGCATGTTTTGGCTTCCTTTCTTCATCTTGCGACGTGAGTTACACTCGTAATTTTGTAATTCGTGTACTTTGTGTAAGAAAGAAAGGATGCTTACGACAAATGGTTACGCATCAATGCTTCGAATTGCACAGATATAGAAAAGCAGAAACAATGCGAACATTAATCGATCGAGGCCAAGCACTGAATGCGCCAGTCAGAAGAGTAAGAGTTCAAGAAATAACGCACTTGGGAACGAAGTCGAAAGGTCTATAATAGCAATCAATGCGCATCACAGGTCCGCGCAAATCGTTGCGACACTTGGCAAGAAAAAAGTCGGCGCATCTACTCGCACTCGTACAATGACTCATACGGCTGACAATGTGTTCAAGTGAAGCGCTATCGTACGAGCAAGATTCGTACGATTTCAACTAAATAATTACCTTGCTGCATGATATATACACTGGCCTCGTCTCACTCCAGAAAGGTGTTTTCTCGCAAACACCTTTAAAGCTAAATCAATGTAAATGAATAGATAGTGAAAGAGACAGTCATTCAATGATTGTACCTATCGATTCTGTATTATCATATGGTGAGACAATACATTTACGCGAACAAGGATTACTTTGTCGCTTCCAGGCAACAAAATCAACTGCGTGCAGGAGAGTCGGGCCGTAAAGCAACGCTGGTCCTCTAGATTATTGCATTAATGAGATGAAAAATTGCGCAGGAGCGAACGCTCCACTCGCACATGCCAAGGTTAAACGCGCGCTTTCGCAATTGAATAACAGCTCTGTGCGAGAGAGCGTTCACGCCTAAACGCTCGTCTTGCTCGCTACCATGTGGCTTCGTTCTTTATTGACTTAAACAGCGGCCGATCCGGCTTTCAACAAATCCGAAGCGCGCTTCTATACGTTCCTATATATGCATTCGAATGAGCCGGCTTTTTGCCAATCGGCGTGTTTTTCAAAGACACATCGTTTCTCAACAACAACAACAACAACAACAACAACAACAACAACAACAACATTAACAGATCCGGCTATAACTGCTGCAACTGTTGTCTACAATGCCATTTGTTGAGCTCAACGCCCTTGTCGTTCGCGTCGGCAACAAATCCATAAACGTTACATCAGCTGAAATGGCATCTCTAGCTCCGTGGCAGTGGCTGTAAGGTCAATGCAGCCAATGCACAATCCCGAAATCCCGGGACAGTGTGATCGGACCTCCCACAGGGGATTGTCTAATTCAAGATTGATTTCTCTTCTATTGATCTATTTTGTATAGCGTCGCGAGACAACAGTTCGTATGCAGATTCTGCCGACTAACCTTCTCTCTGTCAATAACGTTCACGTCCGATCAACCTTGCATCCGACGATTGTATGTAGAAAATTACGGTTGACTACACTTTATTCATTATTTAATACAATCGTAACAATGCCAAAACTCCTGGTACACAGAGAGATTTAGATGCATATGAAAAGAAATGCCTCGATTCCAAAAGCTTTCGACATGCTTATGCCCTTGTTCGTACAATATTTTATATCCTTGTATACTTACGCGGCCTTCTGTCGTTCATAAAAGTGCCAGACTGTTGGGCTCACAGTAACATAAAAGTGCCAGCTACTTAGTGAAAAGAAAACTTGATTTTTCATGGGTTCTTGGTAATTCGACAAAAAAAATAGCCTTGATAAATATGGTTTTTAATCTTGTTATCTTTTCAAACAATTAGAAAACCTATTTCAAATTCTTTTCTGCTAAAAATTTTGTTTGATGCAGAATTCCCTAAAGTGTAGCAATCTTCAAAGTTATAAATAGCACAGGAAAGGCATTTAGATGAGATTTAAAGAATGTGCTTTGAAAGATTGAAATCGTGTATACTTATACCCGTTGAAATGAAATTTGAATCCAGCATAACGTTATTTTTTTTTTAGTTTCCGCATGTAATAGCAAAGAAGCGAAGCCACGAAAAGCCATAAAAAACAGTGTCTCCGTTTTTATTGATGTCAGCATTGCCGCAAACAACAGATAACGTGTCACAAACGTATAAGCTGATGGACCTAATGATTTTCAAATGGATTAAATTTTATAGAATCATGAAATATAGTAATCGAAAATTAAATGGAATTGTGAAGTGAAGTCCGATTGTATAATTGTCCTAGTTCTTTGTCTAGTTTGACCATTTGGTGACACCTAATAAAGTCGAATATATCGATATACGCGCATTCTAAAGCTAATTGTACATGATGTTCTTAAAAGTTGTCAATCAAGAGCGTTAACACTGTCGTTTAATTTCTCTGAGTTGTTTAGTTCTCGACTCGGAATAAATGTCTGGCGACTGTTGCATTATCGCGCGATTCGCGAGCTTCATTTTGAATTTGGAATAATGTCTTTTGCTCGAGTTTCCAGTAATAGTATACTCCTCCTGATCGTTTACTTGTTCGAAGCCTTAAAAGGCACATTGGCCAACTTTCATGCATCATCATAAATAGCACAGAATACACATCCAGCGAACGTGCTATTGCTAAGAGCTGATAAAAAGAGCAACGATGGCCGAGAGGCAATCCATCAGTTGTCTAAGGAAAGTAAGAAAATTGTAATTGACTGACGATTCTTGATCTCATTGTAACGATGCAGTCACAAGACGCAGGCACGTGCTTCAGCATCTAATAATCGCGTACACGGATAGCGGATAGTTCGGACATTGAAAACATGCTAAGATATCGATGTTTATATGATTATATAGAATAAGGCACGCAGTATCGTAGCCCAGTACGAACATGACACCGCGCTAATATCAAGTAATATCGGACTTTCGTCCGACCTCTGATACGTTACACATAATTCTACGCGGAACGGCTCTGACGCGAGAAAGATGAGATTCCGCGGGCGGGAAAGGAGATGAGCTTTATGTAACGCGTGCTCTGCAAACAAACCTACAAGTTTGTCAATAAAGCCTCGAGCTCAGGCCGATCGCGCAGATCGCAGCCAACTGGAGCTAGTGTGCGTCTTGCGTGTGCGCTACATCGATAAAGAGCCGCAGAACTACTCGCTTGGTTCGGGATTCCCAACAGACAGTCTTTCGTTCGTACGCGAGCGGAATGCCAGATAAGAGACAGACTCAATTACAGACTCTAATTGCCAAGGCAGAGCTTGTCTCTGTTCCTCGTGTTCCCCGACCATCGACTGGAGCTTCGACTGCAGCTTCGCGCGTGTCAGATGTATTTCGGTGGTCAGCTGGATGGCCGACGAACGCTCGTTCGACTTCAGATTGGAAAGAGACGAACTCGACAGACTCGGATTGCGCGCTCCGTAGCGCATCCAATTTGACGAACGAGTTTGGCTTTGAGAGCCGCTGAACTCGCGCTTGCCTCAATCGCTTCAATTGAGCGACGCATGTGACGAATGCGCGTCGAGTCGTGGCCGACTGCTTTATCTCGCATGCAGCAGCAGCCGCGCTCGCAGCGGCGTCGGCTCCAGATGCAGCACGGTGCAATCGCTGAATCTGCAACAAAGAGGCAGCGAGTCGACTGCTTTCCCATGGAAACATAAAAAAAAAAACGAGTACGAGGTCGTAATTAAAGCCGAGTGACACCCGTGGCGCGGCCTGCACAGCACTCCTCCACTGAACTCAGCACCCGCGCTCACGTAGGCGCCGGTGCTCCACATGACTCGCCTGGCCTCGACATCCTTTCTGCTTTCTCGCCATCATCGACGATTGCTCGAGCTCATACCTGAAGCTCTCCGCCTATCGACAGCTCATTGGATTACAGCGCTCATCGAGTTAACCAAACACACGAAAGCACTTTAAAACCATTTATTTGTTTCAGTTCCATTCGCTGCTCACATATGCACGCGCACTCGCAGTTACGAAGCGGTATAGCGCGCAATATCTTAATCTGCGACGAAGCTGACCTGCGAGCTCGCAGAGACAGTACAATCGATCGTCGCTCGTTCGACCAATACAAACGAAATTACAATGTTCGAACGAGAAGGAACGAGAAGGAACGAGAAGGAACGAGAAGGAACGAGAAGGACCGAGGAGGAACGAGGAGGAACGGGGAGGAACGAGGAGGAACGAGGAGGAACGAGGAGGAACGAGGAGAAACGGGAGGCAGAAGGATCGTTGATCCACCTTGTAGACGATCGCGCGACGCGAAACAACGTCTGAGAGCATGAACGAGCAGAGAGCTTGACCGGCGAGTTCCACTGATCCACCGGCGTTGAGGGCGAGGCAGCCAGCGTGGTGTACACTGCTTCCGCCAGCGATGTGCTTAGTCAGCATCCACGATGGTTACGATCTCGCGACGCCAGTCGTGCCGACGTTGCTCCAGGTGCCTCGCTCCCCGCTCAGGACATTAACAGCATTTTGGAGTTGTCGCTTTGCGCCTCGGCATCTTTTGCGCTAGACGCCAAGAAAATTCACTGGTTTAATCTGCTTGTTAATCGTGGGTCGAATAAGCAACGGCGCTGCGTGTGCAAGAGGCTTGACGCGACGTCGTAGTGCAGTCCGTGCCGACGGAGGTACAATAAAAAGCAGCAGCGAAGGCGCAGGCGGCTATCGCTCGTTAGACGGCGATTTGTCAGCGAGCGCAATCGACAAAGGACGCGATAATTTGAGCGCGCGGAATCCCGTCAAATCGTCGAGTTCCGCTGCGCTAGCGCGGCGACACTCTCCGTCGCGCGCGCACGCACGCGGATCTTATCGCGTGCAAGCGAGCGACGCTTTTCCAACGAGCCATCGTCGACAGTCGGAAAAAGTCGGGAAAGGGAGGCTCGCGACGGTCGCGTGCCCGTGTCGTGACGCGCGCGATCAACGTTAAGCGCGCTAACCGTTCATTCGTCGCAGCCTCTATCGCCTTCAGTCCGATTTTAAGCTTTTCATTGGTAACAAGCGAGCGTTGAAATCTGGTGGTGCGCGCGCGCGCGCAGTCGGTTCTTGGGAACAAGGACGACGGTGCGCAAGGCACCATTTTTGCGTACCGTCGCACGGTTTATTTGTCACAGCGGTACGAGCAACAAAGCGCTCTGGGCCAGTTGGCGCGCGGCCGTTGTCGTCGGTCGATCGGGCAATCGTTCACCTGTACTCGGTGCCCTTCAGAGGATCCTCTTGGGCCAAGCTGCGATACATGACTCGTCTCCTTTCCTCGAGGTCGAGGGCCAGTCCCTGCAGCAACTCCTTGAACACGTAATTCTCCACGTTCTTGGCTATGTAGTACAGGAACAGCCAGTCGCCGAAGTAGTATTCGTTGGTGACCTTGAGCACGTCCCAAGGGTTGTACCTCCCGGGGCAGGCCATTGCGAATACCCACTTATTGAAGAAGGTGCTCCTGCAACAGTTGCACCGCGACAGCTGTTTTCTCTCGCAGCCGAGCGATCGTAAACGCCTCTGACTGCCGAGAAAACGAAAACCTGCACGCACCTCGAGTGCAGAATCATGGTGAGGACCCTCCAGACAAGGCCCGCGAGGCTTAGCGAGGCAAGAATGACGAACCAAAACCAGAGAAACGTGTAGATCTTCTCGTTGATTATGTTGAGAGCCATGACGCAGAGGGCGTCGTGCTTTTGGATGTTTCCCGATGGCCCGTACTTGTGGAAGGTGCACTTGGTTACCTACGCTGTCGAGTCACCAACCACTGAGCTGAGAAATTAGTGTGTACGCGCAAACGATTATTTCAGCTACGTGCAGCGAGACTGACTTTCGGAAAGACCTCGTCGAAGGGGTTCTTCAGCTGGTCGTAGCTGGCCTCGATGGCGTCGTGCCCGAGGTCGAGAAATGCGCCGCCCAGGAACTTGTTGGTGATGTACATCTGGCCAATGACGTTGACCAAGTTCATCAGCTCGCACAGGCCCAAGTAGTAGGCCCAGGGCCGGTTCAGGTGCAGGCGGTTCATGAAAGCCGTGCGGATCTCCTGGATCTTGGCCTCCTTATCCTTCCTCGAGGGCACTACCGCGTTGTCCGTCACCAGCTTCTCGTCACGGAGCGCGATGGCCGCCATCTGCAGGCCCGAGGTCAGTGTGGCCAGTCGACCGCCTGCCAGAGTGCCAATTCGCGGCGGAGCGTCAACTTGGCCGGCAGATCAGAGCTGCAGTCTGTAGGCTGTATAGGTGCAAGCACGAACCTTCGACCGAGCGCCAGAAGTAGTGGGGAAGGTAGAAGAGCAGCGCCTGCAGGAACAGCACGAACGGCACCCACTGGTAGTAGGCGTGCCTGGTCACCTCGTCATTCTTGCCCTTGGGCCCAACTCCGAAGTGCGGGATCTCGCCCTCCTCCACCGCCGTCACGTTCATGTGCTTCACCTGCCAAAGCCCAGACTATGATTTGTCGCCGACGGCGTCAGCGCGCGGCGCACTTACCACCGTGAAGGTCGACATGAAGAAGCAGAAGGACTCCATGACGCCGCCCGGCACACCATCGTCCGAGACACACCTGCAAAGCGATCGATCGTTAAGCCCTGTGTGTCCTGGCCTGCCCGCCGGCGGCGCGGACGCGCACTCGCGCTTTCACCTGATGTGCTCGCCGATGTACTGTCTGGAGGAGACGAGCACCACGCACGAGAGCAGGATGAGGAAGGTCGCCCGGTAGTGCAGCTTGAAGACTGTTTTCGAAAAAGAGCTCTCGTTAGGCTACTTACGGCGCGTTCTCACTTGACAGCTGCTGTGGAGACGGCCACGCGCAACACCCATTATCCATACCCCACACTTACTGATGTTGTCGATGGAGGGCGAGTCGCGGTAGACTTTGAAGTTGAAGTGCTTCTTGAGCACGTAGAAGCTGCCAAACATGTTGCTGCTGGTGCTGGTGCTGCTCTCCCGGCAAAGTTGGCCGTGGCAGGCTGTGCGAAGCGACGAGCGCGCCGGTCGAGACAATTCTGGAGACGGTCTTATCGCGCAGCGCCGTCGTCGCGGTTATCACGCGCCTAGCAGGCAAGCGTGAGAGCTTCTGCGCCTCTGCTCTCTGCTCTCTAGTCCCGTCTTGGCTCGCCTCGCCTTGCCGATAAGCCGCGCGCGGCTCGCTGCGATAAGCCCACTGAAAGGCCAGCCTCGATGGCGGCGCGTCCACGGGATCGGAACCGTCCGCGCGACGAAGCATCACCATCCACCTGCTTCTTCTGTCCGCATGCTAATAAATATTTTTAGTTGTTTACGCTTCCTGCAGGGACCATGGGCTTGTTGACCGAGCCAACCGATTGCCGCAGCGCTCTGCAGATGCTTTATCTTTATATAGTTTTAATTTATATAACTGCCGTTTTTTCGGCGTATATCTCTTTTACGATGGTACAGACTTATCGAGAACTAGATCGTCGCTTTTTATTACACTTGATCAGCAAAGCACCAAGCGCTATCGCTCTGTGCGTGGCCTACGTAGCGGCATATTGCGTACGACCGAGTACAATCTTGGTAGCTGAGTTCAACTTGATTCCAGCTCGGCGAGTTCGCATTTGGTTGATCGATTTTTAACGATCTGTCGACAAGCCAGGGGCGGTTATCGACAGATCACTCTGGCTCGAGTCACTAATTGGCGTCAATCATCATTGTCCGGGCACGCGCGAATGACCTAACAATCGAGTCGAGAAAAGGTTGGGCGTTGAAACTGTCGAGATGAGGCCCAATCGATTGTACAATCGATGCTGGGCCCCGGCCCCGTAAGTTCTCCGGAAGTTCAAGTCGGTCGGCCGACGTGACAACTGGCAATGCTCATTTCACCCATTTCACCGGTACACGCTTGCAGCCCGATTGGAACGTTTGGGACGAGGCAGCTGGAACTCGTCGCAGGAGAGAATCGACAGCAGATCTCGGTGCTGCTCGTCGACCGAGCGAGCGTTGCGAAGACCCGTAATTGGAACGACACGATAAAAGGCATATTATCAGCGAGGAGCGACGTGACAAGCCGCGTGGCAGAGTCATTAATTCCCCGACTAACAAAGCAGCTTTTACAACGCCAAACGTTCCGTAGTAGGCCGATAAAGCAGTGCTTGTCAGGTGTTGCCTCTCATCTCGCGCCGTGCGCCATTCGTCAAATACGACTCGATAAGAGCTTCGCGCAGCGATAAGCCGCAGCAGGAGCGCTTGGCAGCCTCGTAAAAAACTGTCGAAACATCGCCGTAATGCCGAGCAAACAGAGCGCCTGCACCGACCGTCTCAACACGAAATCAACGTGCACTTCACAGATCTACCCTGCGCTCCTTAGCCGTGGCATTCCCACTTGAAGCGAGACGAGCCACGACGCTGTGCCCGCGCGTGCATAGAGCGGCGGTGAGCAGAGAAAGGAAAAGCCAAAACCTGGAATCGAAAGGCTACCGCTGCGGTGGCTATAGGACTTTGACCGGCCGTTGCCCCCGTCCGCGTACATACATATCGGCGCCGCTCGGCTCTCCGCGACCCGCAGCGGCCCATTCGCAGCCGCGCCTGCGGCTGTTCCAGTCGGTTCTGGGCCATCGTACATCCAGCAGCCGAGCTAGACCAAAGCAACGGCACGCGACTCGAATCGCTGCGGGCTGGTGGAGCGAAGTCGCCCGATCGGCGCGGCGGGCTCGCCTATCGCTCGTCGCTCGCCGCTCGCGTCGCACGATAAAACTGCTACCTCTTGGATTTTCTAAAGGCCGAGCCAACGGAGTCGATCGGCCGCCACATTGGCACGCCGGCCCGCCCGAGGCCGTTCGCCTTGACGTTCGGGGCCCACCGGCCCACGCCTCGGCTTTCGGGGGCGCCGGCTTACGCCGCCGCATTCCAGCGACTGCGCGCGCGCTCGCCCAGTGGCTTTCACGCCGCGGCGCCTCGACGCCGATCCATTCGATCGGCTTCTTCTCCTCGAGAAGGCTTGCGTTAGGCGCGGCAACGTCGGCCAGTGGCCCTGACTCGACCTTCGGTGCACGACCTGGCGCGTGTCTCCTCCGGCCGAGTGCGACGTGATCTCGATCCCGGCAGCGCAACGGTCACGCGCTGGCGAACCAAATCGAATCTAGCGCGCGTGCCGCCAGCAGGCCGCGGAGGGGCCTTCGAGTGACGATCACTGCCAGGCGGCACTTGGCATTTGGCACTTCCACGCGGGAGTTTCTCGCCAGCAGTCTGAGCTCTCTACGCGCGCCTCCCAATGTACCCACGCAGCCTCGAACAACAAGACGACCAGCACGAAAGCGAAGCGACACCGTTGCTACTCTTTTTCAGACATCGGCAAATTAGCGCTTTAAGATTTTTTTTAGGTCGTTCGGCTTTCCCTACTGCACTTCCGCCAGATCGGCATGCGTCGCCTCTTATCTCACATCTGTTGAGCAGCATCGATCACGAGTCAGCTGAAAGTTATGCTTTTATTCAAGCTTTTATTCCGTAATAAAGCGCGTAGCTCGAGTACGCGCGATCGTTTGCAAGCGATTAGTCAGTTTTTGGAATGAAGCCGATGTACGAACTTTTAGTTGCTCATCAGTACCAAGTACGAGAATTCGAATGCCTTTTTTTCTCAAAGCCAGACATCTCATTCGTATGATCGAAAGATAAAAAAGATGCTTTTATTTGGAGTACAACTGTCCACTCGTTGAAACACCTATTAATACGTCCCCCTTGCCTCTCTCTCGCCGTACGTGTCTTGCAGCTTTACTCCAGCAGCTTGTCCACAACAACAATCGAGCAATAGCCCCATGCAGTGCTTGCACATTTTATTTGGAAAAAGATTAAATGCTCGTCTTCCACGGTCCTTTCGCCTGTGTAAATATCTGAAAAATCTCTGAAAATATGGCGATCTCGAACAATTAACTAATCATCAAGCTGTCACGAATCTATGGACAGTTGAAGGATCCTTGCACGCTCCGTACGCTGCCGTCGATGCGAAAGAAATAGCTCGGAAAAGCGCTCTTGATTCAACTCGAGTACAGCCTAAACGCCCGTGTATTATCGAAAACCAAAAGTTACGCTCGCCATTACATAATTTACCACGGTGACGTAGGCAGATACCGCGACGTTCTTTTCTTTAGGATCAGGACAATAAATCATAAGTGACAAAATCATTGATAAAATCATAATTTTTATTGAAAAGAAAGGAAAAGAAAAACAAATAAACTTGACAAACCAAAAAGAGGCTAAACTGGTTAGATTTTAAATATGATGTTTATACGAGCGTGTGCTACGTGTACTTTTGAAGCCAAAAGCCCTTAACTTTGAGCACTTCATTTAATTACGAAAGATAGTAACGAGTGGCAGATGCGACATGACCACTGCGTTATTTCTTATGTAGTCGCCAATTTTCATATGAAATTCCGCTCACACATACCAATATACGCATTTTTTTTGCTACTGCTTTTATGCTTTACTTTTAAATATTAATTATTGTCAGAGCTTACTAACTGTGCCATCAGAAACATTACCAATTTCCACTCGATTTTTGACGAAATTAGATAACTTTCTCTCCCGGATTTAAAAAAATCATAAAAGATATAATACGTACGATTAAGCTCGAGTGACATGGCAATTACAGTGCGATAACAGTTAAATGATAGCTACAAATTTGATTCTCTTTAGTCGTAAAATCTAATGTTACTGTATAGCGAAAGGCAAAAAAAGAAGCGCTTCATTGGCGTTTCGTATTCCTTGGCTTCTTACAACAGACTAAGCGAAGATAAAAAAAAATCTAAACGCTTACGTAGCAATATTCGCATTTATTGCATTACACCTACGCTCGGCAGTATTATAGTTAGATATATGAATGAAGCCATTACTTTCCTCAAGTCGAAAGACCTTAGAAAACTAGGTAATTGCACAAAATATTCCTTCATTCATTCGTTTTCATTTTTTATTAATTTTTTTTATGAAAATAACGCTAAAATCTCTTGTTTGATACGAATGCAAAAAGTGCACGCAGTCTCTCTGAAATTTTGTGCTCTATCGATAACCTACCATTAGAATCGAAGAAAAAAAAAAAAAGAGAAACGCTCCGTTATTTGGCAGTCCTGGATAATCGATTGGTCCCTCTGTTGCTTTTTACAACAACTGGTATCGTCAATTTAACAATGTACGCTGTCATTACAAGAAAAAACTTATCATTTTAATGCGCGAGGAACAGACAAAAAATTACATGTATCTACACGCTTCCGGCATATGTGTATGTATGTATATATGTATGTATGTATGTATATGTGTTAATCATGTTATACACATAATTATTTATATATATAATATTCTTTTCTACGAGCTAAAGAGTAATGCTTCTGTCCATAGAATACAATTACTATGTAATGACATGACGTAGAATGAAAAATAAAGTTAATGAAGTTATCAAGATTAATAAACTGATGGGACAGCTAAAATTTACCCTATAATGGAAGGACGGCGCCTTGCTCTCACCAAGATGTTGCCTTGTTTCCTTTCCCTCCTCTTTTTCTCACTGCCGACGGTTGACTGGTTTTCGTGCAACTTTCTATTGGATCAGGAAAGACAATCGGTGATATACGTGCGTGTGCCTGAGTGTAATGATAGTGTAATATGAGAGATTAAAAGGATTAAAGAGTCACTTGTGCATCAAATGACACGAACGTTAAGACACTGCTTTTGAAAGGTCATTGCCCGCCAACAGACATGATTAATAATCAAAAGCTTTCTTTTTAATTAAAATTATCCGTTCGTTGCTTGAAGCTATACATACACCTGACCCGTAGCGTTGAAGCTTAGCAATAATTTACGGCGAGCAAACTTTTTTCAACTAGGAATTAAATCTTTATCATTTACAACGCCGGGCGATTTCTTTAACTATCAATTTTTTTGTCCCGTAAAGTTTATTCAATATTGAAACATTTTTCGCTCGTAAATGTAGGTATGTAAATGTACCATCAGCTAACACATAAACATCATCAAATAATAATAATTTCGTGGTATACAAGTGTCGATTTTTGATTTGACAAATGAAAACAGTATTGGAATTTGGAAAGCGTTCCTTCGTGCGCAGAATAGTCAAAACCGAAGGATATTTTTAAAGAATTGAGACAAAAAATGATCATTCTTTTCTCCGCTTCAGTTCAAAATGGAATCGAACATTTGCGCAGAGATCTTTTATCAATCTGCCGTCGTAACAATTGAAATATCGGAAAGCAGTACAAACGAAAGGCTCGATTGTACCTTGATTTATCGCAAAAACGGAGGGAAAGTTGGTTGCGCGTAATCGCATTCCGAATAAAATTAACTGGAAGGCTGGGGCAAGGGAGACGGGGAGGATGCCGTCCTCCGTTTATCACATAATTAGAGTTTACGCGGCCGTGCGCTTGTATCACGTAAAGTATATATCTTAGAGGCTCGTGAACTGGCGTTCAATGATTCGGATGGTGTCGAGAACGAAAAAAGCAGGTAAACGAAATTGGGCGACAGTGAGAAAGCGAAGGGGGAGGGAGCGAGGAGAGGGCTAAGGAGGAAGAGAGACTGAGAAAGGTCTCTCTGGAAGAAGGAAGACAGCGGAGGTTCTCAAAGAATGAGAAAATCACGTTAAAAAGGTTTCTCTCCCTTTTAGAGCAGCCGCCGTCTATCGGAAAACGCGCGAAGCACACGAGTACCAGACAATGGTTGCATTCTTTGGCCGCGCTGCCGCGGCCACGAAGCGACGAGTTGTCTGACGTGCCTCGTCTCGATCTTTCTCTCGCTGCTGGAACTAATCTATCACAATTTATATATTTTACTACGTACAAATGAGCTCCTTCTCGAGCGCGCTCGCGCGTTTGGCACTCTTTCGTGTCTGTAATGCTGGATCCTGGCGCGCACGAGCGCGCAAGAGAGTTGAAAGGAAAAATTGGAAAGTAAGTGTTCCCGCTGCCTTCTTAGACGTTCTCTTTGCCCTCGAACTTTTTGGCGAGGTCGGCGATTAGTTGCTTGTAGATAAGCGGATCGATATTCTTGCCAAGCTGGTAAAGGATGAACCAGTCACCGATCTGGCATCTGTTGGAAATTGTCTCGATCTGATCTTGGGTGGACAAGCGCGATCTCGCTCGCAACAGAATTAGGCGCAACTTGGGCCCGGCCACGACGGCGGTGCGGTACGCTAGGCTTAGACCACTGAGCACCGACAGTATGATGAACCAGAACCACAGGAACACGTAGATCTTCTCGTTGACGATGTTCAGCGGCAGTACGCACAGACCGTCGAACTTTTGCACCGTCCCGGACGCACCGTACTTGTGGAAGGTGCATTTGGTTACCTTCGGGAACACCCTCGACATCGGATCCATGCGCTCCTCCGGTTCCATTTCTGTGAACTTGACCACGTCCGAGCCGTAGGTAGTGAACTCGCCATCCAGGAAAAAGTCCATAAAGTAGATCTGGCCGACGACGTTCGCGAAATTTAAAAGCTCGCACAAGAAAAATCGGAAGGCGTAGAAGTTTTGCGAGTGCAAGTTTGTGGCGAAATAGTCGACCAGTAGCTTCCTGCGATCAGTTTTGCAATCTTCACTGACCACCGGACAGTTCAGGTCCATGACGAGCATCTTGATTCTACCACCTTCCCATGTCTTCCAGAGGTAGCGAGGTACATAGAACAGAATGGCTTGGAAAAACAGGCAGAAGCACACCCACTGATAGTACTTGTGGTACTTGACTTCCTCTCCTTCCACGTGAGAGCTTACTCCTGGCTGAACAATGTCTCGGCCCACTATGCCACTGCGATTTGGAATGGTAAAGGTCGAGTAAATCCAGCAGTATGTATCCATAACGGGTAGTGGAATCTCATCTACAATGCAATCTATGGGGTCTCCAATGTATTGCCTGGACGTGACCAACAATGAAAAGGCCACTAGAATGATGAAGGTTGCCTTGTAATGTAATCTAAATACATTATTGTCTATGCAAACTGCATCTAGCTTCAATAAGCCCTTGACAGAGCCAAAGACGTCAAACATTTTGATTTTTCTTTTTTGACTCTTCACCAATTAACAGCCCTGTGAAGGAACATCAGCAAAGTATTAGTACAGGAACTCTTAGACTGGTACCCACTGAAGATAACAAAAAACTTTTAGTAAGCGATAGCTGTGCAATTGGTAAGAGGCGATTCATCCGAAATCGTTAATGATAAAAGTATTATTAGCTATTTTTCATCGGCAATGACGATAAATCGTTTAATAGAGCTAGCTTCTTTTTACATTAAACGCTGCATGTTTGAGTGTACTTGTTACGGGGAGCAGTAGAATAAGGAATAACAGTAAACGCGTGGAAGTTGAAACAACGCATCCTAAAAAGCGTGGATAAGGGGTACAGTCGACACGTCGACAGTGACATAGTATCCTATATGTATGGGGGTCAATAAATGAACCAACTGAGAAATTTGTGCACTCGCAGTCAATGCTAACAATGGTTGCTACAGCATCGTGCGAGCTACATACCTTTTTATCAGCGGGCGGGTTTCGACTAAAGAGTGCGTGAATCCTGCGCGGAGCGTTCCGTTTTTGTTCTTGCTAGCAGCAGCGTGGAAGAGACAGTGGCATATTCACAGTTAGCTTTGGTGTATTTTCTTGTTCACAGGAGAATATTCGCAGCACTGAAAGAGCACTTTCGACGAGGCGATGTAACAGCACTTGCGCTTGACTTTCTTTTACTGCACACTCGATGGCGATCCAATACTACAGGATTATAGCGTCGTTGGACTCGTCTCGCTCTCGCAATGATCGAGCACGCGAGCTAGGCGTCGGGGACTGAGCTCGTGCTCGCGGCGGGACCCTTCCTTTCTCCCCTCCCTCCCCCTTCTCCAGTTACGGAGCCGCCGGATGAGGCTCTCTCTCTCGCACGACACACGCTCTCCCCCACGCAGGTCGTGCTTTATCTCGCGCCCCACTCTCCTTCCTGTCCACACAGTGATCGCTTTGGCTGACTGGTTGGTCTGCCTGTCTGCCTGTTTAGCAGCGTGCATGTGTGTGCGTGCAAAGAGTCGGCCCCACCATCAGCTATTACACCGTCGACACTGCACACAACTATGCTTTCGTGCACAGTCGCTCCTTTATCTTCTGGCAGGGCGCAGCACACGAGCATGAGCACGCTGCATGACGCTCAACGCTCAACGTACTCGGGGTACTGCGCCTGCGTCTCGCACAGGTTAAACCTGTTGAAACCTAAACCCAGGTCTATGTCTACCCGATAAGAATCAGTATTCGGCGCTCGCCAAAGCCTCTGTCTTTTGTCTTGTAATGTTTTTTCGTAAACGTATACGTTGCTATTCTAGCTTTTCGTGACATGCGGTTCCACATGTCAGACAGGATTTTCGGTTGCGTACGTGACTAACGAGACGCCGATCGATCGTGAAGCTGCACGTTGCCTGATGGAAGGAAGCGAGCACGGTGTCCCTGAAATATTACGTTTCACCGTGACAAAGCGTGTTTATCATAGTTAGTTTTGGTTGGGGCCTTATTATATATATAACAGCATCGGGAGCGCGGCACCGGCGTGAGTAGAACAGAGGGAAGAGGGAACCAACTCCTCCGTCCACGACGTCGGTGCCCAGCTGACGGTATGTGCGGCGTGCGCATGATCCAACGTTGCTATGGTGGCCAATACGCAGCGCAAGAACGCCAGGAAGAAGGGTCCCCTCGCAAGAATACCAGCATTGCCAGCCTTCTCGCAGTGGCTTGCACACATGGCCGTTGCGCATGGTATGTAGTGGGGAAGTGGCTAATGTATACGTACGGCGCTACCTATAGCAGTGAAAGCAGACTGTCCTTTCGAGGTGCCTGATCGCTAGTACGTCTCCCCTTCTTCTCTTTTCTCTCTTGAAGAAATTCTTGGAACGATTGCACCTTCTGCGCTGTGAATGCTTTGTCAATGACGTAACAGGCTGGCTAGTCGGCGTCATTGTAATGTGAATTGGATTGAAAAGCACGTAAAGACGTGCTTCCCGTGGCATTTATGTTCACAATTGATTGCTACGCTGTGATCGAAAGCGAAACATCGTGGCAATAAGAAACGCAAGCAGGTCTTCCATTTGACTAATTGTTTGCTTGCAAAAAAGCACACGATTGCACGATGAATGTTCGCAAAGGATACCAACAAGCTGGAATTATATTTGCTGGCAACACTTGTCAAATTTTAATAGACTAAAAGGGCGGTTCATCGAGACGTAATTGGTGCTATTATTTTCTCGGATCGAATCTTGCCGCCGTAGCAAGAGAGAATAGCAGTACAGCTACATGGTGCCGCGCATTTACCTAAAGTTTGATGTGGTTCGATTGTACGTTGGTGCTACATCGTTTATCCATATATAGCTTTATAGCCTGCGGCTCTATCTGATACGAGACTTTCGTTTGCTGCCCTTTCGTGCGCAAGCAAGCACACACATGAGTGGTTTACCATCGAGATTGCGCGACTCGTCATTATGGTGCTTATCGATCGAAAATCAGCGAAATATGCATGTATAAATGGGGAATAAAGCTATGAAAACATAATTGACACCAACGTTCGATTAGAGGCGCACAGTTCTTTATTGTGCGCATTTTTTGCTTGATCTTGCTTGTGTCGAATCTGTAAGACAATTCGCGCAGGACATTTTATACTCTTCCGTTTGTTCCAACTAATTACGCTTCTACAGATCCTACACTCAAACGGAATCCAATGGAGTTATCAACAATGCTCCAGAAACCTTAATCGTGCTACGTGTTGGCCGAGTCACCAATTGCTCGTATTGACGAGGACAAGGTTCGCGAGAAATGTCATAGGGACAGGCCGACTTTCGATTTGAATTTTTTCTCAAGCATACTGCGATCAACTGCTCTCGAAATAATTTAATTAAATAAATTACCTGTCGAATAATTTAATCCAGTCGGCGGCTATTTACTTTCAAAGCGATCTCATTTATTCGCAGTCAAGATTGCGACTAAAGTCAATGCAGACATAGCAGCCAATTTCGAATTGACTTAGCGCAACAAGTGAAGTACAAGATGCTATCCACATCCATCAAGAAAATTATAATTTTACAAAAGAGGAACCGAAACCCCATCACCTTTGAATGATTGCTTTAATTACTTCAAATCTAAATCGAGAATTCACGCTCGAAAAACGTATATACTGTGACTATAGAGTTGCACTGTTCATCGCGCCAGCTGTATCAGAGATAAGCAGTGCAGACGAGTGAGCTGAGGTTGGCGTCCGGTTTTTCTGGTTTGCGAGAATATGAGCCAAGAGCGCAGATATTCTAGAGCTGTGATTTATTCGTCGAGGTTCTCAACTGACTGGAATGCTGATTGATTCGTTTGTATATTTAAATACAAGCTAACGTTGAACTAATTACAGTTGAAGACTCGCGGTATAGCACGTAGGCACGGAGTAATCACGAAACAGAAGCAGCGCGCATCATAAGTTGCGGTAACGAGTAAGCATGATAAAGTAAAATTACGATTATAACCTCTGATGAATCAATATTGTTACTTTCTACAGGTCAAATGAAAATCTTAATTTGATATTTTTTTATTTATTTATTAACCAGAGTAAATATGGGTACATTACATAACAGCAATACACACACACGCGCGTGCACGCACATGTACTCACACACACACGCGCGCGCATACACATATACATTACAAAATTTGTAATCCAGCAGAGCCAATAGTTCCTATTTCCTGGTCTAGACTACAAATTAAAACTAAAACTCGCTTCGCTCAGGCGTAAATACTACACGAGACAAGAATCTACTTTCCCGCACTTATATCGTAATGTACGATTGTAAGAACTCATTCGATATTTTTAAGAGGGGAAAATGTGGAAAAATCCATCATAAAAATGCTATTCCGTCAGACACACCTTAATAGGGCACGTCAGTACCGGTTATTCTCCTCGGTCGCCTTAAGATGTTGAAGACCAAAATTTGCCCCTTTTGAAGAGGCGAGAATGGTGCGACAAAATCTAGAAGCCTATTAGTATCCACCCGCTACCGAGTCATTTCAAGACGAACAGTTGGGTAATTCTAGGCTATTTCGATTGACTTGTAACCCTTAGATTACGGATTTTTTTTTAATTTGGCACAATTGTTGTACACATAAAACTGAGATTTTTCCCAAATTTTGGAGACGATACATTAATTATATCAAAAGTTATTAACAATTAAAGAAAAATGATAAAAAATTTTCAAACAGCTATATTTTAAAAACTAATAAAGATATCGAAGTCGGATTTTTTTCAAAATACTTATAATGCCTTAAAATTTCGAAATAATTACAACAATAAACAATAAAAATTTTTTTTCGAAAGTTATTAACTTTTTGTTTAAACAATTGCTAATATCTCAAAAAGTATATTTTTTTTTTGAAAAATTCTTGCTCCTACGTATTCCTGAGGATTTTTGCTATCGAAATCAATCATAAAATTCAAGGGCCCGACATATCGGAAAGCGTAGCCCTAATCAAAAGAAGACGCCTCGGCGTAAGGCTGCGGTAGCGCTCCAGCGGACTCACGGTCGAAAGGTACTTTAGCTTTAATCTAAAAAACTAATAAAGATACCGAATCGGAGTTTTCCCAAATTACTTATAATACCTTGAACTTTCGAAATAATTACAACAATAAACAATAAAAATTTTTTTTCGAAAGTTATTAACTTTTTGTTTAAACAATTGCTAATATCTCAAAAAGTATATTTTTTTTTTGAAAAATTCTTGCTCCTACGTATTCCTGAGGATTTTTGCTATCGAAATCAATCATAAAATTCAAGGGCCCGACATATCGGAAAGCGTAGCCCTAATCAAAAGAAGATGCCTCAGTGTACGTCGCAACGACAGCAGGACGTCTTCGTGGTCTTACGCTGAGGCGTCTTCTTTTGATTAGGGCTACGCTTTCCGATATGTCGGGCCCTTGAATTTTATGATTGATTTCGATAGCAAAAATCCTCAGGAATACGTAGGAGCAAGAATTTTTCAAAAAAAAAATATACTTTTTGAGATATTAGCAATTGTTTAAACAAAAAGTTAATAACTTTCGAAAAAAAATTTTTATTGTTTATTGTTGTAATTATTTCGAAATTTTAAGGCATTATAAGTATTTTGAAAAAAATCCGACTTCGATATCTTTATTAGTTTTTAAAATATAGCTGTTTGAAAATTTTTTATCATTTTTCTTTAATTGTTAATAACTTTTGATATAATTAATGTATCGTCTCCAAAATTTGGAAAAAATCTCAGTTTTATGTGTACAACAATTGTGCCAAATTAAAAAAAAATCCGTAACCTAAGGGTTACAAGTCAATCGAAATAGCCTAGAACTACCCAGTTGCGAGAGCAAGTCGGATTTTCTCTTGTACTAATGAAATATATTTATTATATACATTCGTTACATGGATATATCAAATTCTATAATAAATAAAGTTATGTCGATAGCAAAGATTTTCAACAATTAACACTCAGTGAACAAAATAAACCAAATTGATATAATGCAACCAGCTGATCGTAATTCGCGTCTTCGCCCCCCCCCCCTCCTGGCCGGTCATTACAACGTTAAGTGTTCATTGAAATTTTTATTACATATTGTTACTACGAAGCGCCAAGTTTCTGTCGAGGTCGTAGATACAAATAATTAAAAATTGACGCTTCAAAGTAATAAGGTACATTTGCTTAATATGCACCGATATTTCGAATTTAAGTACGCTATTGCTACGCCACCTCGTGGCAATTATTTAGTACTGATAAACTGATACTGAGGGTCTGTCTCCATAGGGCCTGCCTGAGTCCGTCCGAGCCGGCCGAGATTTTTTATGGGCACGCCATCTCTATAATTTCGTGTTCATGCGTTTCTCGTATTGGCTGCGTCCGATCGGGCTCGTTTATGTAAACGCAGCCATTCACTATGAAACTCGCCATTGGATACGAAATTATAGAGATGGCGTGCCCATAAAAAATCTCGGCCGGCTCGGACGGACTCAGGCAGGCCCTATGGAGACAGACCCTGATGTCAGTGATGTCATTGGTGAATATGTATGTCAAAATTTTGAAGGCTACGAAATGTTGATTCCAATTTTCGAGTATCTTTTGTGCTCTGGCTAAAAAAATTTTTTCAATATGTTCTAGATGAGTATGTAGAAATTAAGCTATCTTATTATTCCCAAAACGAAATTTCTTATGTACCATTCGATTCGCTGTTTTTTACCCCTTCTAAAACTCTTTTCAACATTTTTGCAATGTATTATTTAGTCAAATGTCATCTCGATTACTATTTTTACTTAATGTTGTCAATATGGCTGCTTGCAAAAAAAAAACATAAACAATTTATAAAAACTAGTAATCACTAAACACTTGTTAATTTGTACAAGTACATAAATAGTTCCAATTCTTGCGCCAAATCATTACGTCATATCAGTAAGCCATCAATTACATGCCATAACTTCGATCTTCAATACCAGTCTTAATCAATATAGGCTCCACTACTTTTCGTTCTTTGTTTTAGTAAGGAAAATTACAACTTACAGTTTATATATTGGTTTAGTTATGAATTTATGAATGCAAGTAAAGCAAAATAGACACAGGAAAACTTGACATGCGTAATAAAGACTGTAGAATTAGGGATTGTATTTGCTCTGACTAGCGTGTATAGATAACAAAGATTATATATTATTTATAAAATAAATTTTGAATGTTGTTACATATTATATTTTAAAATATTTATTCAAAGACATTTCTCAATTAGAAACTACATTCTGTTTCAGTTGTTATGACTTTCGCCTGCTTTTAATTTGAATAAAACTATTTTTTATCATTTTTATTTGAAAATCTGTGTTAATAAGAATCTAAATTTTAATATTTTATTTAAATCAAAGTGTAGTTTTCTAAATTAGCATTTACTAAAAAGTATGGAAAATAACTGTAACGTTAATTCCAATAAATTTTTACATTAAAACTTATTTTCAAGAGTTTTACATAATTTTTACCTTCCAAAATTCATTTTCCAAAAGGGGCGCGCTATATTGAACATACTGATTGGCGCATTTAAAAAAAGTAATTTGCTACAAAGGCTGTCGTTCAAGCTACGTATCATCAAATTGATGGTTCAATGATTTATTTTAAAGGACTAAGTCTAATACACATATGTGCACATGCATACTGCCACATGACGGTAACCTACCTGACTCAGTTAATCAGAGAACGTATAAATGATTTCATTTGGTAGGCTATTACTTTTTTATATAAGATTATATAGGAAATAGGAAGAAAGAAAAAGCAAAACGAACATATTTATTTTAAAATTATTTCATTTCTTTTCGTCAAGAATTATTTAGTAAGAGCCACGTGACCATCATTCAGTCAATCAGAAAACGAATAAACTATTTCCACTACCAGACCTATATATTTTTTATGAGCATCAGAAATCTCTTTTTTATAAAAAGATAGGAGAGTATAGCTTTCAAATGAATTCTACGTCCAAAAATTCACTTCTGATCAAAAGTTACGGCTGATCGCGCATAAGTAGGGCGTATTAGACAAATGTACAAATTTTTAATTAGCAAAGAAAATTAGTTTTTATGCACTTGTATGCTGGTAGAACAAACGATAATTTTGAAATTATCTCTAGTAGGTTATATATTCTATTTGTATGAGACTTTACCGTTCAAAACAAGTATGTTGCAAGGTTTACAATACTTTGGTGTAATCGGAAACTTTGCTCAAATGACGTAGTATGTAGTTATGCAATCGCTGTAGTCGAATGTTTCAGTTTACACAAGCTGCGACAATCGAAAAATATGTATATGGTCAAATCTTTGCGTGCTATCTTAGTGCCGACAAAAAAAATGAAGTTTTATAATAACGTAAAGTAACTATAAGACCTCTGGGAGAGCTGAACACATAAAGCGAATGCGTTTTCAGTTGTATCAGATGTGGTGGAACTGTGCCGTTACGTTAGAGATCGTTCAGCTTGTCCATTCATCTCTCCCTCTCCCTCTCTCTTTCTAACATTTCAAAGAAGCTAACGAACAAATAATAAAAGAATACATTGTGTACTATACTTTAGTAAAGCTTTGCAGTGGGAAGATGAGTAAGGAGGTAATTGATCAAGGTGTTGAAGCGAGTGGAACAGCAGCAAGCGGCATGTATACCGAATGCAGTCCATCCATTGATTTATTTAAACGCCTCGATTCACAGCAACTAGAGAAGCTCTACTTGCCTAGCAATTGGAGCAAAAGGCACGGACCGACGGAATTATTAGTACGTTACTTCGAGTTTTGTCAAGATGGTGAGTACACGAATTCGACTGAATAAAGTTATTATTTAACAAATTGACAATTGTTATGCTGACCCTCAGCAACACTCCGAGCCCGCTGTACCTTCCAACACGAGCTTGATATTCCTTACGGGCCCGGCGAGAAAACCAAATACGACATTTATGGGACGAATCTCCCAAAAGGTATGCATGTTTCTATCAAAGCAATACAAAACTACAGCATTGCTCATCTTTTACGCAGAAGCACCAATTCTCCTATTCATTCACGGTGGTTATTGGCAAGAGTTTAGCAAAGATTTATCGGGATTTGCAGTGCTAAATTTTGTTACTCACGGTATCAAAGTTATCATCGGGGGTTACGATTTATGTCCTGCAGGTAGTTATTGTTACATACACCTATAGAAATATACAGCCGTCTATATCGTCAAGAGAGATATTGTTGTACGTATATTTCAGTAACATTGACGGATATCGTCCAAGAAACCAAGCAACTAGCGCAAACAATTTTAACGTTAGCCCGATCGTCAGGATCAAAGTAGATATGCAAACAAAAATGTCGCTCATTTCATGACGCTAAATCATTCACACTATTCTCCCTACTTACGCAGATGCGTGTGGATAGTTGGTCACAGCGCTGGTGCACATCTTGCCGCGAGCCTCTTGCATGATCGCGACTGGTTAAGATCCATGGATAAGCTTGGCTGCAGACATTTTCTCAAAGGTCTCGTTCTTATCAGCGGTATTTACGCTCTTGAACCTCTTTTACGTGTGAGCGTCAATAACCTTTTACAGCTCACGTCGTAAGTTAACATTTCAATTTCAACTTTAAAAAATATATCAACTTTATTTACAAAACAATCTTTCAGAGACGAAATAAAGTTATTTACATTTGCGCCTTTGTACGGTACGGAAAATAACGCGGCGGCGGCGGCGGCACCGGCGGAACCCTTGCAGAATCTCAAAGTCTTGGTAACGGTCGGTGAATGTGACTCGCCAATTTTCGTTGAGGAGTCGCGTCGCTACGCGAGGGTAACTACTGCAATTACCATTAATTTACTATGCGATGGAAGGTGTAAAAGCTAATAAAAATAACGATTAATGTTTAATTTCAGCACATCACAATGTTTGTTGATAACGTCGAGTTTCTACTAATAAGAGACAATACCGATCACTTTGATATCGTACAAAATCTTATAAAAACTGACTTTAGCCTGTCGGAAATCATAATAAATTACATAAAGTCTTAACTTATAACTTGTCAACCATACTGTCAATAAACTCTTCAAGTCTTCAACTTGCGATAAGTCATTTCGATACTAAAGTAAGAAAGTATGATTTAATCCTCGTGTGGACATTTGAAGAGGTTACACGAGGATGAAATCATTTTCTCGCGCATGTGAATCGAATTTTATTTTTCAACTCGACCGATACGAGATGAGATTTCAAGCACACAAGCTTTCCCAAGCATGCAAAAATCGAGTCCTCGCGCGCGAAGTGTTTAAAAATATACATCACTTCGTGTAAGGCCTCTTATTCACGTCACCCTTTTCCTTCGAAAGCCATGCTGATTTCACACCATTTTCATTGGCTTTGTTAGCTATTTGGTCGCCACCGCCGTCGCCGCCACGTGCACTAGTGATATTCTGACGTATTCTACTTACTACCTGGACATCTTTTGAACTTTTCATGCTATCTACACGAAACGGAACGTTATAGTTGTTTATGACATTCTTTACAATTACTACCCGTTTTGCTGGTGGCAGTGCATATTTGATATTAGCTAACGGATTGATAGAACGCGTACTAGGACTACGTAAATGTTTCTCTCTCTCTTTCGTCAAATTGATATATTCAAGCTTTGACAATTCTTGTAGTCTTTGTTGAACAGGTCCTTTCGATTTTGCCTTTAATTTCTCTGGTGATGAATCCCCCCATGCAGGTGGTGGCTTTGCAAAAGCACGTACTTTAATAAATGATGCCTTAGCTACATCCACTACTTTTTTACTCGAGATATTAGTTGGGGAATCTGCAACAAATGATTTTAAACAAATATTCAATTGATTTTTTATTTTGCGCGATTTATGCACATACTTTCGTTGATGCGAGTAGAACTTGCTATTTGAGACTGAACTGATTGAGAATCTTCAATGTTTATTTGTAATACTTCAGTCGGCTTGGTAAGTATTTTACTTTCAGCAACAGACATATCAGATGAATCTTTCGCTACCATGGTGTTATCTAAAAAACCACAGTAATAAACGTGTATGCTCTAATGACTCTTACGCTACATAATTCAAATTCATTATTGACTCACCTGAGTCATCGTTGATAATTAATATATCATCGTCTTTCTCTGCGATCATCCTATTTTCCGAGGTACTGGACTTGCATAAAGTGGCTTTTGTAGTAAGTAATTTTTTACTATTACCTTTAACATCATATTTCTTAATGTTACTTTTGTCTTTACTTTCATTTGTGATACTGTTTTTTTTATTATTTATGTACAGTGTACTTGTATGTGCTTTACACTCATCTTCAACCAATGGAATCTTTTCAACTGAACCTGATTTTGAGTTTTTATTACTGATATCATTACAATTCTCTTCATTTACAGAAGACGATAGATTGTAGAAGTCTTCATTTTCAGTATCATCTGTTTCACTGTCAGTTTCAGAATTGATATCATCAGATTGTTTTTCTATCTCTTCTTCGTGAAAACCTTCTTGTTTATCAACGTATTTTTTAAAAATTTCCTCAAGCTTTTTATCTCCTTCCTTTTTGTTTTTTTGTAATTTTTGATCTAAATCAATATCATTTATTGCAGGATCTTCACTTCCATCATGATGATCTAACAAGGACTGCATGTAAATTTTTGTTTCAGTCTGTCGTCTGTTTTTCAAAAAAATTACAACAGTCTGAAACGCTTTTTTAGCTGAAAATAAAATTTTCATTTCAAGTGTCTGTATGTAAAATTGTATCTAAATAATTTACATACCTAATCTATTCATTTTCTCTTTACTCAGATCAAGATTGCTGTTTTTATTACACTTTTCAATGCACTTCAGTATATCTAAATATTCAGGCATTTTTATATGATCAGCAATACGCTTACTTTCCAAATATTTTAACCGATTGATTTTTGCTATGTCAGAATTTACAAAATTTAAAATTGCTTCGTCAACTGACGAAATTCCTGTCATTTCATCTGCTATATCTGACCTTTTTATTTTTTTTTTTAATATTTGTTTTCTAATGATTTTATCTCCGGTTATTTTGCTTAGCATATTACATAATTGAATTAGTCTTTTTTTGTATTTATCCTCTTGAATATATGCAGAGTCATTATCTTCCTCAAAATTAACTTCTTTTTTTTCCAATTCTTTGATTTTCTTTAGACACTCAGTAATTGACTCTTCTAATAGTTTAATTTTTTTCATGTCCCCTTTCGACATTTCAATTTCTTCAAAATTATTCTCTGCGTTACTAGGCGTTGCTTGCTTGGCCAATTGAAGATGATTTTTTATTTCTGTACGAACATCCAAAATTGGTGTGTAAATGTCATGTGATAGGCCTTCGGTAATCCTCTCATGACAACTATTAATGAACAATCTTAACTCGTTATTGCTTTTATGAAATGGACTTAAGTTATTGTATAATTTTTCCAACTTTTGTAAAATTATCTTTGTATTTTCATCGTCTCTCTTCTTCAGACATGTTTTCGTAAACTCTTGAAAAACATCTTCACTTGCATCTGGGATTGGTATTTTTGTTTTGACTACTAGTTGTGGTTTTATAAATCTCCCTTTATTTTTTACTTCGTTAAAATTTGTGGAGCATCCCGGTTGAGGTGAACTACACTTTATGTTTTCAAATTTTTGTTTTTTTGGACTGGCATTGGAGCTGCTGGAATCAACATGTAACAACGTCCTCTTTTGGCAATTTGTTTCTTCATTAACTCTGTTTTTTGCACTCTGTAAAAAAAGTTAATCATGTATGTAACTAAATATCAATAGATAACAAATTAATAGCAATGTTTTCAGATGTGTTAATTTTACACCTTGAAGGGAGGTGTATTTTCATTTTCATCCGATGATAGATATATAACCTCATCACTCATATTTATTTAAAATTAACAGTTTCAGATAAAAATATAGGCTTTTTTCATGTGTATAAATCGTAGCCACTTCAGTGTCCTCGTCCTGATGTAGCCACGCGAATTTACTCTGAAAAATGCACTGCCACTATTGCCTGGCCTGCTAGCTACTTTCATGGAAACTGTGCCACTTTTCTTTTAAGGAGTATCCACATGGGATCCCTCTTCCTTCCAGACTCTGGGGCCGACCCCGTCCGAGATTTTGTATGCACACGCCATCGCTATAACTTCGAGCTCAGTGGTAAATTTCATAATGAATACGAGATACGCATCTTAATCTATGAACTCGAAATTATAGAGAAAGTGTGCGCATACAAAGACTCGGAGGGGAAGGTCTTAAAAGTTAGCACCCAACAATTGAAATATTGAACAAATCTATAAACTAATTGCACCATTCGATTGGGCGGCTTTTAATTAATCACATATCGTTTGTGCGTCGATTATGCTCATTTTCTTTATGTGAAAAACAGATAAAATTAATTATGGGTGCTGGCGCTAGCACCCAAATTTGATTCTCCAAATATAGTGGTTTATATCGTGAAAATAATTTTTTACAATATACCAATCGCTAGTGCGTCCCACGCATTATTGGCGGCATCCAACATAAAATTATTATAAAGTGAATCATTTAATTAATTAAAATAAAAGAATACTCTTGCGTGTTTAAAAAGGTTATCATGACATTGTTTCGCGCATGCGCCTCGAGTCGAAGACTCAATGCCATCTAGTAAACCGAAGTAAACTAAATTCAACTGAAGCATTGTTATTCAGTTCACGAGTTCAGTCGGAGTGCGCCTTTCGTCCAGAGTCCATCAGCTTCGGACTTTTTTTCAATTGAGTAAATAAAAAATATATTACTCCATTGGAACTCAATTTGAACATTTAATTACTAGTCTGATAGTAACTTTTTCATGTTCAAGTAAATAAATATATCTGTACACTGTGCGATTGGTTTTGTTTTCAAGTTTAGTTGAATTATTGTATCTGAGTATGGCTGAATTAAATCAATATGCTTCAGTTGAATTTAGTTTACTTCGGTTTACTAGATGGCATTGAGTCTCCGACTGAGCAACAATGTTATATTCGAGGCGCATGCGCGAAACAATGTCATAATAACCTTTTTAAATACGCAAGAGTATTATTTTATTTTAATTAATTAAATGATTCACTTTTTAATAATTTTATGTTGGATGCCAATAATGCGTGGTATTGGTACTAGCGATTGGTATATTGTAAACAATTATTTTCACGATATAAACCACTATAGTTGGAGAATCAAATTTGGGTGCTAGGGCCAGCACCCATAATTAATTTTATCTGTTTTTCACATAAAGAAAATGAGCATAATCGATGCACAAACGATATGTGATTAATTAAAAGCCGCCCAATCGAATGGTGCAATTAGTTTATAGATTTGTTCAATATTTCAATTGTTGGATGCTAACTTTTAAGACCTGGACGGGGACGGCTTCGAGGCCGGTAAGGAAGAGATCCCGCGTGGACGCTCCCTTAGCTCGGCCCAGCGCTATTTGTGAGCGTACGAATAACATACTTGTCCATTGCCTTGGCCACAGCTGTCGTGTTGGACAAAAATTAGTCAAACTCAATGATTCGAATAATTTTCAGGCTGGATCTACAACATCGTACAAAACATCATGTTGACGTGTGGTTACGGACACATAACCGACTTTCAATTTTTCATGAAAGTGTTGCCTTAAAGAATGAGAAAAGAATTTTTTTTAACCTAAACTTTTGCCTTAAAATATTTACTGTACGGAGGATGCAGGTATTTGTTTGTATGATTGTATATTTTTCAAAATGTTATTAGTACTTATTTTGAAAAATAAACAATCGTAAACAAACACCTGTGTTCTCCGTACAGTAAATATTTTAACTTTTAACTTGCACATCTCATTTCGGCCACGTAACTGCGCTCGGTGGGATAAATCTACCCCAGCCCGAAAAACATCGAATAAATCAGAGAATTTTAGATATTTTGCTATGAAAATTTTTTCTAATATATTTCAAGCCTTTGACTACAAAAAAAATATTCAGGTTAACAATTTTTAATGTTACACACAGTGAAAACAATTGTTGAAAAAAAAAAAAAAATAAATTTTATTTATTGTAAAAAATTGTCTGGGGTAAATCTATCCCACATAGCAGTTAAGGGTTAAGGCAACAGTTTAGGTTAAAAAAAAATTCATTTCTCATTCTTTAAGGCAACACTTGTATGAAAAATGGAAAGAAGGTTCTGTGACCATCACAACATGTTAACGTGATGTTTTGCACGATATTGTAGATCCAGGGTCATGAGAATTATTTGCTGTGTGGACTGGGGGCCTATTCTGAAAAAAAATTTTGTGGTAAATCAGTTTGTCACTTCAGTTTACCACAGAATTAATCACTTTAGATGTGATAAATGCTTATGACATGTGCTAAAATTTTTTTTCAGAATAGGCCCCCTGTGGACGTAGGATAAAAGCCTTATTGTACCCATCTTATCCCATCAGAAAACTTAATTCATAATAAAAACAAAAAATACAAGTCAAAATATCTCTAACCGCACTATCCAAAATTGTTTCTAATTTGAATTGCATCGTCCTAGTTTTTCCAGAAAATATTTCCAACTTTTAAGGATTTTTCGAACGGCCAAATCTTCGTAAATATTCGATATTTGTATAATTTAATTAGACAAAAAAACTGCACCGTGACTAATCTCTACTGTACCCTCTTTACTTCTGCGAAATTATTAACATAAATATTAGATAATTAATAAAAACTATTCTTCTATTAGTCATGCAACAGTACTGGTTAGAGCAGGACTGTGAAGGTAGCCCCCTTGATTGTAAGGAAAATTGTTGAAATAATATTGACAACGGTATTAATTGCTCTAATTCTCTAATTTAATAATTGAAATTATTAATAATTAAAATTATTAATAATTTTAATTTGAAAATTGTGCAACGAATAGAAAATTTGATTCGAGGGGCTGTTGAGGGAAATTAAAACCGTAATTTTGAGCTATCAAATACAAAAATTCAGCGATAACTATTAGAGTAAACGAGCCTGTTCATGTACCGAAGAAAATCGTGATTTTCATGCATTTTCTGTTGACGAATCGAAAATGGGAAATTATCACGGATATCAAGGACAATTAGGGCAATTAATACCGTTGTTAAAATTATTTCAACAATTTCCGCTACAATCGAGGGGGCTACCTTCACAGTGCTCTCGCACCGCTAGCGGCTGGCGCGTCTTCAATGTCTGTATTAGGGTGTGTCTACATAGCCTCTTTTGTTACTTGTGTTTCAGGTTTCCTGCTTTACCTGATTTTTAATTTTAATTTTTGTTATTAACCTTTTTTAACAGTTATATCTACAGATTTTTCTAATTTAACTGTGATTATATAGATTGATCATCTTAGTTATGTATTTGTAGTTATGAATTTGTTCAACACTGCCAGGAACAATGCGTAAGGAGCAGCTTATATAGATGCACCCTTATGCGACCATCGGACATCGGCAATTACAAAAATCTTTGAGCACGTGTTTTTCAAACCTGATCACCATGGCTGAAATTGGTAGTTATATTATCTTTTTTTTTCTACAATCAATAAAGAAGTGTTAACACTAACATGTTATAGTTTTAAAAATTATATTTCACAAAGTATTTCCTGTTATAATAGCTCGGATTTATTGACAATGTAAACACGTGGTTACTGAAATTAACTTCCAACCGTAATATTTAGCTGAAGTATAATAAGACATGGAAAAATATAACGTATTACGCGTAAATCATTTATTTATTATTTATATTAACACAAGACAAATCCTCAAACTATCGTTGGCTGCTCCATTGTATTAGGTTAAGTAAAAAAATGTAAGGTTATTAGAGTATACTTTGATTATCTCAACTTTACAGAGAAGGACAAGAAGAAAAATAAGACTAAATCTCTAGGTGAGATCCAAGCCAAGATGAAATGTCAGTTAGAACCTTCTGATGTTGCTAAAACTATGAAGCTGGAATGCAAGGATTGGCCATTGTTGTTTAAGGTTTTCAATCATTATAAAAGACATTTGTTTGTTTCGTTTAGATAAGCAGAAATAATGCAAACAAGTATTTTCTTTCAGAATTTTGATAAAATGTTAACAAGAACCAAACATTTCACACCGCTCACATGTGGATCTACACCTTTGCATCGATCATTATCAGAGTATGTCCAATCTGGATGTATCAACTTAGATAAGCCATCAAATCCATCTTCCCATGAAGTTGTTGCTTGGATCAAAAGAATCTTAAAGGTTCAGAAAACTGGTCATTCTGGAACTTTAGATCCAAAAGTATCAGGATGCTTAATTGTTTGCATAGATAGAGCAACACGTCTTGCCAAATCTCAACAATCCGCAGGCAAGGAATATGTTGCTGTTTTTAAACTTCATTCCGCAGTTGATAACGTTAAAAAGGTAAACGTAGATATCTATTAATTAATTCCCTTATTGCAATGTTGTTACCACTAATAACTTAAAATTAACTTGAATAATTTTTATTTTAGATACATCAAGCTCTAGAAAAATTAAGAGGTGCTCTATTTCAAAGACCACCTCTGATATCAGCAGTCAAGCGTCAATTAAGAGTAAGAACTGTTTATGACAGTTGGTTTTTAGATTATGACGAAGACAGGAATATGGGAGTTCTCAAAGTTAGTTGTGAAGCAGGCTCATATATTAGAACCATTTGTGTGCACCTTGGCCTGTTTCTTGGCACTGGATGTCAAATGCAGGAATTAAGGAGAAATCGTTCTGGCATCATGTCCGAGAAAGATGGTTTGGTAACTATGCATGACATTCTTGATGCGCAATGGCTATACGAAAATCATGGAGATGAATCATACCTCAGAAGAGTTATCAGGCCATTAGAATCTCTTCTTGTCAATCACAAAAGAATTATAGTTAAGGATAGCGCTGTAAGTATACTTTGCCATCGATATGTCTTAATTTTTCAAAAACATTAGTTGAACATTTTGTCGCAAATAAAATTGTCAGCTAATAGTTTTTAAATAACTTGCAATGCTCCAAAATATTTATAATAGTAAATACCTGTACCTAGGTAAATGCTATATGTTATGGAGCTAAAATAATGCTTCCTGGTGTTTTGATGTACGACGAAGGTATTGAATTAAATCAAGAAATAGTAATAGTTACTACGAAAGGAGAAGCCGTGGCGCTTGGTAAATACAATTTATTTCAATTATCAACTATTCAACTATCCTGAGATTTGAAAAATGGAGAAACAAAAAAACATTTTTACAAGATATTTTTCTTTTCAGCTATTGCTCTCATGACGACGCCAACAATGTCTGCTTGTGATCACGGAGTAGTCGCCAAAATCAAACGTGTAATTATGGAACGAGATGCTTATCCAAGAAAGTGGGGCCTCGGTCCTAAGGCCTCGAAGAAAAAACGTCTCATTATCGAGGGAAAACTTGACAAACACGGAAAGCCAAATGAAAACACACCTGCTGATTGGCTGTCTGGTTATACGGATTACAGCATCAGTCCAGCGACGGTGTATATTTGATTATTTCTCTTTACTCTTTAAATTTTCAAACAATAAGAATGATTTTTTCCGTTGCAGACTGAAGAAAATGGCGTAAAAGATAATACAAATAATGGTGGAGTTATCGCTAAAAAACGCAAGCGCGAAGAAGCTATGCCTATTTTAGTAGCAGAAGTTGCTGCAGCTGATGAGTCTGTGGATATTGAATTGGCATCTCCTAAAGAAAAAAAAAAGGACAAAAAAGATAAAAAAAAAAAAAAAGATAGAAAGAAAGACCAGATATCTGATACCGAAGCCGAAACGTCATTGACTGTAAAAGCTGAAATAGAAGCTGATGAGGTATAACAACACATGTTCAAATGTTATCTATGATTGTTGTTTTAATATATAATTTTCTATTTTTTGTACAACAGGAACGGCAACCAATCAAAGAGAAGAAAAAAAAGAAAAAAAAGAGCAAAGAAGAACAGAAAACAGACGGCGATTGAAAATGTTGATAATTTTAGATTGGATTAAACAATTTTAATATCAGATGGTTGTAATAAGAAAAACTGTATTTGTGATGTTTGGCTTTTCTATGAATATTGCCAAAGTATGAAATTCCACATTATTAACACATTCACAAGTGTTTGAGTATATCAACGGCTGTACATAAATAGCAATTTTTTCTTAGAATGTGTTTCACACTTGACAAAACAAAAAATTTTTAAGTAACTTTTTTTTATCATTTATTTTCGTACGTTTCGTAATCTACGAAGTAGTTTGAATTTGTTTTTTATTCATTACTAATTTTTTTCTTCTTTGTGAACACGCGCATTGGATTCGATAAAGGTAATCTACAGGTTATTGACATAAAACAATACCTGACTATATAACTTTTGTAAAGACAATGAACTATTTTCAATAAAAATCTGAAAATTTATTTGATAAGTTTTTTCTTTCATTACAAGATTAGAGAAATGGCTTGCGGTGTATGAGTACAAAACATTAACTTGCTGAAAAAAACGTTTATAATGTACTTTCGAATTTTGTTTTCAAGATTATCAAATGCTTATTTAAAGACAACAGTATCCAGCATAGCTCCTAAGCACTGAACGATATTTTTTACCATGAGATTATCTACCTTTTCTTCTAAATGTCGTTTTGGATCTTGTTTACCAACATTTTTAATTGCCAACTGCTCTGGGGTCATTTTTTCTTCATCTTCAAGGGCCTGTACATAGACGAATTAATAATCAATTTACGAAACATAAGAAAACTGCAAAAATTACAAAAGAAAAGCTTACTTTGTTATAATTCTTAGCCAATTCAAGCATTTCCTGAACTATGTTCTCATTGAATTTACTGTGTTCTGAATATTCTGCAAGAGTCAAACCATCCATCCATGTCTTTTTATGCAAATTCAGTAACATCTTTTGTTCAAGCTCATTCTTTCTATAATTTATGCTAATACTATAGTAATGCCGATTAAGACCATGAATTAAAGCTTGTACCGATGGTTTTTGAAGATGACCTAAATTGGATGTTGTCTGTCTAGGTTCTTGACCCAGTACCTAAACGATTAAAATTTAAGAAATTATACATTGAAATTTGAAAATTACGAGTTTACTCACCATCATATTTGGATTAATTAGTCTAAATGCATCAATAACTACTTTTCCTTTCACTGATTGAATAGGATCAATAACCACTGCAACTGCTCTTTCACTGAGTGCTTCAAAAGACTGTTGCGTATTTATGTCAACACCAGAAAGCCAACATCCGAATCCAGGATGCGAATGGTACCAGCCAACTACCATCTCTGGTCGACCTGTTTGTTTGAGCATATCTAACATTTTAGCTTGGAAAACTGGATCAACTGCTTCGACACTGACACCCTGACAACATTCGCGATAATAAAAAAAACCCATTCCACATAAAATCATAACACACACACAGGTTGTAGTAAGAAACATACAGTTCCAGTTTGAGGCATGGCAAATACATCGATCACCCTGACTGTATAGTCATCAACAAATTCACCAAGCATAAGACCCATAACTTCCATTGGTACTCCAGCTCTGCCATGCTTTAACATTTTTAAAAGAGCTAAGGAGGATATGTAGACCTAAAAAAAAAAAAATCGTGAAATTGAAGCGATACTTTGGTTGAAAAATTTATTACCTGTTCAGCAGTATCCACAACTGGAGCATCAGAGGGTGGAGGACCTTGATTGAGCCCTGGCATTCCACCTCCTAGTCGTAATAATCTATCCATGACTTTAGATTACACTGCAATATGTACATGTACGTACCTTTACATTTATAGAACTCTACTAATATGTCAACAACACCATTAGAAATGAGAAAGCACAAAATGAATTTAACATTTGAGGTTACAATTAGTTTCGAAATATAGCGTTTCAAATTTTTTTATTTCGAGTAAAGAACGATCGATCTTTCCAACTCACCTGTAAGATGCCTTAAAATATTATCTAAATATATTTACGCTCAAATTCTATAAATTACCGACTTTAGCAAAAGCGACGAGAAAAGATTAAAAAGAGCATCGAACACCGAAACCGTGGACACAACAATCTGAATTCTGCAAACTCATATAATCTCATGCACGTTAGTTGCCGCGTCTATAACCGCTACGTTTGCTTTATAGTTATAATACACGCGGATGCGACTGTAATAGGGAGCACGGACGGTCACGGGACAGAATCTAAACTAACGAAATGACAACTCGTGTGTTGGCTACGGTACAATACTAATGTATCCTTCGGGAATTATTAGTCGTCTGCAGTAAATACTGTTTATGTTCTCGATATATGTACCTGATGAATTAGATTGAAATTATTCATAAAAACAATGTCAAATGAACATATTAGAAAAGAAAAAGATGTTCAATACAGTGTATTAAACCCAAAAAAATTTGGTGGTGGCCCTCATGGATTAGGTACACAATAAGATTCTTATTATATTAGATTATAATAACGCAGATTAGGTTACGCGTTGACAAAAAAAATCACTCGATACATCTTTAATTTACAGGTGATCCTGATGATCGTTCACTTAGGAAAGTCGAGCAAGATATCTTGGTGGCAAAAAAGGTTAGAGATAGAGCCAGAGAAGAAAAATGTATACCGGAAGTTGCAGGTAATCGTTAATTTTTTTTACACTTTTAAACCGCAGAATAATAATAAGCAATTACATTTTTCAGCTTTCAACGCATGTTGTAAAGATAGCAGTTTTATGATGGTATTCACTTGTCAAAAACAGAATACCGCAATGAAGGAATGCTTAGTGCGTTGGTACCAAGATCAAGCATTTTGGGAAGAATGCAAGGATCAATATTTACAAGAGAGATCAGAATTCAGGCGTACCGGAGAACCTAAAAAAATACGAGACTTCAAAGCAAAACATCGCCATATTTAACTGGATAGTTATTATTACTATGTACAAAAAATTTACAAATGAAAAATATTTATCAAAAGCTTTTACGACGAGTAATTATCGTCATCGCTATACTCATTAAATGTATTAACATTTAATTTCCATCTTCTCCAAAGTACTTCTTTAATTGTAAATTGAGAGAGAACTTCTGGAGATGTTGGCAAAGTATCAATCGGTACAGAAGGTGGCCACAGTACTTGTGCAAACAATACTTCCTACGAACATTGTTCATTGTTGTCGTTAATATAATTGATAAAATATTATCACATTTGTTTACCTTTCTAACAGTTTCAGCCAATCTTTGTAATCCAATAAAACTATTCCACGTCGGATTTCTCAATGATTTACTTTCTATTCTTTTTAAAGCAACTGCATCTAAAACATCTATTATAACAATATAAGAGGAATGATAAAAAGATGGTCCTTCTTTATACAGCACTAAAATAAAATAGTATATTGTCAATAGTGTGAATATTAATTTTGAAATTATTTTTATATAATAATATCTTTACAATAATCTCCACCGTAATTCAAACCAGACTTCACTATCCATCCTTTACTACGAAAATAGTGATATGCGATATATTTCTGCAAAAAACATTTTTGTTCTTTGCAAAAATAATTCCAGATTTGTCCAATACTCAAATACTTTCCATCAAAATCTACAACTCTTAAACATCCAAGGCCATACATTAAAAAAAAGGTTTCTTCAGCAGTCAAGTGCAATGTTTCTCTGACAGGAAAATTTTCGTGTTTTATTTGTGGCTTTATGTTTATTAAATAATTGTCTGTTTCCGAGTCGCTATCCGATAAAACTAATACTTTTCCTTGTAAATCAGAATCACCTCTGTTATATTTATTAGAGATATTTACTAGGTCATAATTATCACTGGGAAAACAATCTTTATGGACGTAACTCGATTCATGGTTATCAACCACTGACGTTTCACTAGCATCCTCCTCTTCTGTCGAGTCAAGCTGAACAATTTGATCAACTGCTGTATTAGTTTTGTTATTTTGGCCATTAGTTGGAACTTTCGAACCATAATCTAAAATTTCAATTTCATTTGCTCCTTTATTATGGTTTTCTAAAAATACATCAGTAGCTTGAACATGGGAATTTACAAAAATATTTATACAAAATTCTATAATATTATTTGATTTTGAAAATGCAATTGTATTTCTTTATATTTCTTAAGTTAGGTTCTTTGAAAATTCAAGTACAGATAGATATATATATATATATATATATATATATATATATATATATATATATATATATATATATATATATGTATATACCTTTTTTTACTTTTACACTTGGCTGACTGAAAGACGTTTGACAATCTAAATTGTGCTTATCATTTTCGCAAAATGTTGTTGCACTGAGTTTTTGAACATCAGTAATCCACTCTTGACGGCGTTGCCATTGTCTTTTACGTGTTACTGGTGGTGCTCCATGTTGTATTCTATCGAAGGATGGATGACTTTTAGAAAAAGATCCTTTACCAAAATAACCCTAAATATTTTTGGATAAAAATCATGAAATGTATGCAATCAGTTTAGGTTGACAAGACCATTGATTTGTTGAAATCAAGTTTTTACCATGTTGTATATCATTTGAATTTCAACGGGATCATCTATGCATGATCCTAAAGCTGTTAAATTGGCATGAAACATTGTTAGTTCACCTTTATTGCCAAATACTAAGGGTAAAGATGATTTAGGCTCTAATCTGAATTTCGATGTTTTACTTCTTGGCTCGTTTAATTCCATAATTGAAAGAGCGATGGAAGTAATTGTTAGTATATTGTTAATATCTCTCAACACACGTCACCTCCACTTAGCACTTGGCAGCCGAGGTTACGTTGTTTGTTTTGTTTTCGAAAAGCGAAAAGGGTTCGACGACATCTAGTGTTGAGCTTTAGCATCATTAAAGTGCTCGTTCGATTTTTCGATTTTCTACCTTGAGAAATTTATCAAAAGTTCACACTTTATCAATAAGTGTAACTTTGAAATAAAAGAGTTGTAAAAATATTTGTTATTTATTTCTTGCGTTTCTAAAAGATATGTAAGTTATTTATACTCCCATACGCATATTGGAAATATGCGTATAAGAGAGAGAGAGAGAGAGAGAGAGAGAGAGAGAGAGAGAGAGAGAGACAGAGAGACAGAGAGACAGAGAGACAGAAAGACAGAGAGACAGAGAGACAGAGAGACAGAGAGACAGACAGAGAGAGAGAGAGAGAGAGAGAGAGAGACAGACAGACAGAGAGACAGACAGACAGACAGACAGAGAGAGAGAGAGAGAGAGAGAGAGAGAGAGCGCGAGAGAGAGAGAGAGAGAAAGATATCATCATACGGTAAAATGTGAATGGCCTGAACCAGTATTCAAAACCAGTCCCAGTAGTGGAAGAAATCCCAGTTCACGAAGTGTTTCGTTTTCTTGCGGAAAGATTTGCTTACTCTTAGGATGATGTGCATTGACGCGATGGTGAATATGCAGATTTTTATGTAAATTATTTTTATTTTTTATTTGAAACATTATTTTTATGTAGTAATATAATACAAAATCATCAATTCTTCAGCTTTTACATCGTTGCTGTGCTACCGAATGTATTATCTTCAAATATCAACAAGTTGGAAGACAACACATCAAATTGGTCACGTTACAGCAGACAACTAAAAAAGGCAATCACATACAAAATACGGTATAAATAATAAGGTAACGGTAATTTTTGTTTTAGGTTCAACAAAACATGATTGTAAGAGAGAGATTAAGCAGAGGAATGTTTCATTTAAGGAGAGAGCACGAAGAAAATTCGAATAACGAAGAGCCACAACAAAGTGATGTTGTAGAAGCTATTAAATATGGCTTACGTTCAATGAAGCATTTATACGAGGAAAAGGAACCAGAACTTTACGCGATGGGTGAGTTGGGCACATTTTTGCCATAATGTATTTCACGTTGACCCATATAATTGGTATATGTTACAGGCTTGTTTTTGGCAAACGATGATCCTGCACACTTCGTTGCTGTCTTTAACGAGCAAAACGCAGAGTACAAGCAATTGTCAAGAGCGGCTTACGCAATGCTTGAAGCCACTAAGCAATTTCGCAAAAAATTCCCGTCATTATCGACGAGACAGGCTTTGAAAAATAGTATACCAATGAGATGCCCGCGAAGATCAAGTCCATCGTGCCCTGCAGCAAGTCGAAAATACCGTACTTCGGACGGTAGTTGCAATAATCTGAGAGAACTCTGGTGGGGATCTGCAATGTCAACTATGCAAAGACTTTTACCAGCAGTTTACAACGACGGCATCGAAAGCATACGAAAATCGGTAACGGGAGCCGCGCTACCCAGCGCCCGCCAAGTGAGCGATGTCATTCATCGAGAGCGAGACGCTCCAATGGTTTCGATCACTCACATGCTTATGCAGTGGGGGCAGTTTGTCGATCACGATGTGACCGCCACTGGCCAAAGCAGAGCTTTCAACGGCAGTGTGCCCCAGTGCTGCTCGAGGAACGGCAAGGGATTTCAAGCGCCTCGCTTGACGGTGAGCCTTATTGCGATCTCGATCGAGCGCGAACGATGCGTGTCGTGAACGAGAGATTATTTGATGCAGCACCCGGACTGCCTACCGATCGCAGTGCATTCGGAGGACAGCCAGCTAGGCGGCGAGAAAGGGTTGCGATGCTTGGAGTTCGTGAGGAGCGGTCCGGCCCCCGCGCCGAACGACGACTGTGCATTCGGCCCGCGAGAGCAGCTCTCCCAAGTGACCAGTTTTCTGGACGCCTCCACGATCTACAGCAGTAGCGCCCAGCAGAGCGACGGTCTTCGTCTCTTTCGAAACGGTACTCGAATGCGCGAGCCTCTCCCTTCTTATCCTTCATCCGCGTAATTATCGATTCGTTCGCATCCGCGCACAGGTCTGATGCAGTATGGCAAGTCGCGTCAAGCCGGCCTCGCCGACATCTGTTTGCAAGGCTCTCTGTCGACGGGCTGCTTCAGAGCGGGCGACGGTCGACTGAGCGAGCAGCCGGCTCTCGTATCGCTACACGCTGTCTTTCTGCGGCTGCACAACCACCTTGCCAGCGATCTGTCTACGATCAATCCGCACTGGAGCGATGAGAGGACTTTTCAAGAGAGTCGTAAGATTGTCGGGGCTCTCATGCAGCACGTCACTTATCACGAGTTCCTGCCGATCGTGTTGGGTGATTATTATACCACTAAGTGGCAATTTTCGGATGATACTTCGGCTGCAATGGTTGTGCCAACGGGTGAATGTTGCAGGGCAAAACGTCGTAAAAAATTTCGATCTAGAACTCGTTCGGACGGGCTATTACAACGGCTACGATCCGTCTGCCAATCCGAACATTGCGAACGCCTTCTCGAGTGCAGCCTACCGATTTGGCCATTCTTTGGTGCAACGTAGCTTCATTCGATACGACAAGACGCATTGTCCCTTGTCTGGCAGTAAGTGTCGCTCTCGTTTGATTCCCGATCGATGACTAATCGATGATATTCGTGACATTTGCTAGACGTCAGTATACACGAGGAATTTGCGAATCCAATAAATCTGGAGACTGCAGGCTCGCTCGAGCGCATATTACTGGGGCTAATTAATCAACCGGCGCAGAAGCGAGATGAATTTATCGCGGAAGAACTTACCAACCATCTGTTTCAAACTCCTGGATTCGCTTTTGGCATGGATCTGGCCTCTCTGAACATACAACGTGGACGAGATCACGGGATCGCGCCGTTTGTCGAATGGAGGCGAGCTTGCGCGCTCAACCTCATCAGAGACTGGGCGGACTTGAAGCGCGTTATGTCCGCGGAGACTGCGGACAAGTTTGCGAGTATCTATGCCGTCGTGGAAGACATTGATTTATTTTCGGCTGGACTTGCGGAGAAGCCTCTGCGGGATGGATTGGTCGGGCCCACGTTCGCCTGTATCATCGCTCAGCAGTTTCGCCAGTTGCGCAGAGGTGATAGATTTTGGTACGAGAACCCATTTCCAGAGAGCGCTTTCAGTCTCGCTCAGCTTGCGGAGCTCAGAAAGAGCACTCTGGCGCAGATTCTATGCACCACATTGGCGGATGGCATTGATGACATTCAACCGTTCGTCATGCTGAGTGTCGATAAGTTGAAAAACCAAAGGCTACACTGCCGAGATCATCCATCAATGAGATTCATGAACCTTGAGCCGTGGTTGGAAAGGCGAGCAGCTGTCTCTACGCAAGTTCTATCGCGACGCGCTCAAAGCCCTCAGCGCCGAAGACCAGACGGAAAATTACCAAACAAGACTCGGATCAACCAGCAAAATCGAGTCATCGTGAACCGGCGTCCTCCACTAGGCACGACTCCTCGCGAGAACCTAACCATTGTCATCAACAACAACGCCGTTTATTCGCCAGTTTACGTTCAAGACTCCGTATACAACTCCCATCAAACTCTCGTCGATCGTTTCGTCAGCTCTAGCTATACGCGCCAGCCACCTGTGTCCGTTAACTCTTCATCCGCACTTGACGCAGACACGATGACGGACTACTATTCTACAGTTCTAAGTGACAAGGACGAACCTGCCGAGCCCTACTATCCACATAATTTTAAAGATCAATATAATCCTGACTCTCCAAGATACACGTCACTGCCTGCTACAGCCTTAGCGTCGGCATGGTTAAGCCAACTTTCGGCAGATCTCAATAGTTCAGCGGATGCAACGCAGCAACGAGGGGATAAACCAGATAAACAAAAGAGTAGTAGCGAGGCTCGAGTGCACCAACGCGAAATTCACACTGCCGACAATCACGATTGGGATTTGGATATTCCAAAGCCAATTGATGAAACGACTAGTAATCGATAATACCTCTTGCTTAACATATTTTAATAAACAGATTTGCTGAACGATACCGCTTTTTTCCATGAATGCTTTCATTTTTTTTTCCTACAGATTCTTTGAGTCGAGAGAATTAACAACGTACTCGATTTTGAAGGAAGTTGTACGATAATGCTTCGAGAAAAATTATTAGAAAGTGCCATATACTGGATCCGTTAATCGAGAAGGTTGCAAGGCTGGAGAGTACCGCAAGGTTCTAGTAGGTTATTAGGCACTAGATTTAAGGGGGCCCACAACATACTTTGGCTGTATTACTGGATCGTTCAAACAAAGGGCGTAACTCGTGCTCGTCGCGGCCATCTCCTGTGCTGTAGCCGCTTACCCATTACTAGTCATGGGAAATCGCGTTTACCATATCATTACCGCTAAACTCCTTCTATTACAGTTCAATTCAAAAATTAATAAGTAATATATGGCACATATTTTTGCATGCATTCAAAATGCAGTTGATAAAAGACTGACTTACTTTCTTAATTATATGTTAATGTAGTTTTATATTTATATTTTATATCCGTATCCTCCCCAAAATTGATGAATCCACCTGTTAAAAAAGTAACTTATTTTAAATATGTTAATTAATATAACAATAAGAAAAGAAAAAGAAGAGAAAAGCGCGCAAATTGTATCTGGTCCTACAGGGTGAGTCATTTTAATTTCCCCAGTCTAATAACTTTTGAAACAAGCAAATTACGCAAAAATGTTTCAGACCAAAGTTGTAGGGGTTCAAGGGGGACATCTAGGGGTGACTTTGAAATTGACCTTGAGCTTGACCTTGACGGCTTTCTCAAGGTCAAGTCTATTTTTTTATTGGGAACCCCTATTTCTGACCTCGGAATCGGAAAGAGCGGGAAATTTTACATCCAGATAACATCTTTTAACATGGGTCAAAATAAACCCTTAAGGTCATGCTAAGGTCAAAACTATCCTGGAACAAGAATCGAACAATGTAAGCAAAATACGAAAAAATGACTCAGAAAAAAGTTGTAGGAGTTCAAGGGGGACGTCTAGGGGTGACTTTGAAATTGACCTTGAGCTTGACCTTGACGGCTTTCTCAAGATCAATTCTATTTTTTTATTGGGAATCCTTATTTCTGACCTTGGAATCGGAAAGAGCAGGAAATTTTACAGGATTAAAATTTTTTAAATTTAAAAATGTTTTAAATTTAATTTTTTTAAATTTTACGGGACTATTCTTGTTTCCGTTCCCTATCCTTTTTTATTTTTCACCGGACTGTATGATTATTATTAATAAATTTCAAATATTGGAAGTTGTTGCTAATAATTTGCTATTACAAGTCTATTAAATTAATGAAACTATTTCAGTATCAATCTGATGTTCTGCAAAGAAATAAGAGTAAAAGTTAAATACATAAGGATAAATTTCATGTTCAATGAAGAATCTATTACATTTGGAAGTCGTTTAGAAAGTAATCGCAATACGTTCAGTCGTGATTTCAATTTTGAAAAAGCTTTAAATATTACTTTTGTTTTAACCATGCTTGTGTTCATTGTATCACTATCATTATTTCTTCATATTTGAATAAGAGACCTTTCTTATTGCCATCGATCATATGAAATCTAATTTGGACAATATTGCCTCTGTTTTCAGTAATATTTAATTTGTATCATCTTTCTATGATCTTTGCCTTTGTTGATTTGTATTGAGGTTTTTTGAAAAAATCTTTTAAATATGGCTGATTTTACCCCAACAGAGATAGTTGATATGATTTGGATTTTAGAAGAATGTAGAGGTAATTACCGTGAAGCGTCAAGGTTGTATCGAATTCGATACCCACAAAGGCGCCATCCTGATCACCGTACCATTCATCGTCTTGAAGAAAGAGCTCGACAAGGGCATCTACGAAGAAGTCGACCAAGACATGAGTATGATGATAGAGATGCTAGGGTTTTGGTTGTCTTAGGATTGGTTCACCTAAATCCTCATATCAGCAGCCGACAAATAGAGAGAGAAACAGGAATACCTCAGAGAACCGTTATTAGAATTTTAAGAAGTAATAGATATCATCCGTATCATATTACCTTAACGCAAGCATTAAACGCTAATGATATGAGAAACAGAGTAAATTTCTGTCGGTGGGCTCTACAGATGATTTTGCAGGATCCGAATTTTTTTAATTATGTCCTTTTTTCTGATGAAGCTACGTTTCATAGTACTGGCCAATTGAATCGTCACAACAGTCATTATTGGTCTGATCAGAATCCTCACTGGTACAGACCAGTCGATAATCAACATCGTTGGAGTGTAAATGTATGGTGTGGAATAGTTAATGGTCATCTCATCGGGCCATTCTTTTTTGAAGAAAACGTCAACGGCAATGCTATTTTAGAACTTTTAAGGGATCATCTCCCACTTTTACTTGAAGACGTAGATCTTGAGACTAGACGTCGAATGTAGATACAACTGGATGGTGCAGGACCGCATTTCGCTTTAATTGTACGAGAGTTTTTAAATAGAAATTTCCAACAAAGGTGGATTGGAAGAGGTGGTCCAGTTGCTTGGCCTGCACGATCACCGGACTTAACTTCCCCAGATTTCTTCCTTTGGGGATACTTGTTCGCCGAAGCGCCCACAACAAGAGAGAATATGATAGAAAGGATTAGAGTTGCATGTAGACAAATCTCTAGAGATATCTTACTGCGCACTATTGAAAGCTTCGAACAGAGGCTCAGGCAATGCATCGACGTAAATGGTAATAATTTCGAGCAAAACCGATAGGAAATAAGTTTATTCTAGTTTCATCACGAATTGTGAAAGGCAAGGGGACTCACATTAATAAAGCACCCCAAATCGTGAGAGGCAAGGGGATTCACGTTAATAAAGCACCCCGAATCGTGAGAGGCAAGGGGACTCACGTTAATAAAGCACCCCAGAGGGAACATAATCCTATTACGTCCACGTCGTTGTTCCTGGGTAGTGCTAAAGATAGGAAGTTTATGATCTTAAACATCAGCATCGTTAGTACATGGCCAGTCCCTTATTCTTTGGAAGTTTATTTAACAACGGTCATATGCGATAAAAGCTTCGCCTCGAAATGTAACAAAAATAAGAGAATTTTCAAGAATTTGACCTTTGCTTCACATTGAGAATAGAAGTACGACAAAGGTCTTCGATGCTCGTTAAACCTTTTGATGTTTGAAAGCGGCTTCAATTTCTTAAGTAAAAACTGAAATATTGTTTATGTTCTTATGAAAAAAAACTAAATAGATACTTGAACGTAAAATTTCCCGCTCTTTCTGATCCTGAGATCAGAAATAGGGGTTTCCATTAAAAAAATAGAAATGACCTTGAGAAAACCGTCAAGGTCAAGCTCAAGGTCAATTTCAAAGTCACCCCTAGATGTCCCCCTTGAACCCCTACAACTTTGGTCTGAAACATTTTTGCGTAATTTGCTTGTTTCAAAAGTTATTAGACTGGGGAAATTAAAATGACTCACCCTGTATATGTATCATTAGTTTCTTATACGAAAAAGTGACGCTGAGCGAAGTAATTTTATTCGTGATCTGATTGACTGAATGTAGCAATCGGTAATAATAATATAAATTGAGGTGTTTTACATCTATTAATATAAATAAGTATGATAATTTGTAGTCATTGAAAAGTTGACTCTTTAAGCCCCAGGCAAAGACTGGGCTAAATAGTGTCAAACAATGCCATTCATAGCGTAATCAAAAATAAAAATATCAGTGTTTTTTCTTTTGTCGTTTTGAATTGTTTATTATAAAACAATATTTAAATAAATTATCATCAAGGTTGCTATTTTGAAAAACAAATTTCACCAATCTATGCTTAGGTCTACTTCTATCGCGCACAGGACGTATGTGGAATCGACTAATTTTCATCCGATGGTGCCCGAGATACGGAAAAACAGTTATTTTATCACATTTTGATCACGGTATATGGCCCCTAGATGCTGAGAAGAGTGAAAAAACAATCTCAAACGCTTCTATCAGTGTTTACGCCTTTATTTCGTACGAAACTTGGCATTAACATCTCATTCAAACATGCATATTATTATCATGCATATTATATTATTACCTTATATTCCATTACGTTTATTCGGGGTTGAAGGGCAGTCGCCGGCTTGTCTACCATATCACTGACACGGGATCCATTTTATTTGTAAAATAATAAATGATGTATATATAATATACTCACTCGATTACTACTAGTGCTCCTTCAAGCAATCTTCAGCTAGTGTTGAGGTGTTCCAAACAGCAAGACTATTTTAGAACATGTTCACAGTGGGTAGGGACCACAAGCTCAGTGCCATTAGCCACAACTGAGAAGAAAGACTCTAGTTGACTATACTGTTTGACAGCGATCTAGACGACGTGTGATATGGCAATATATCAAATATAGTAAAGCAAGTTTTTTTTTATTTCAAAATCTGTAGAAATAGCGATAGTAAAAAATTTAGGACTTAGAATATCATATGTGCGATTCTGGAAAAGGTCTATTTGTGACGTGTTTTCAGTATGTCTTGGATAATTCTAATTCGCTTAGTACCTTCAAGAGTTTCAGATAATTCAGACTATTTTCTAATAATTTTGAGTCAATCAAGAAGCCAATAACCCAATCGGTACATATACCTCAAAGTCTTTTTTATTGCTATGACCTCGGACATCCAATGTATGACCTGGACGTTAAGTCTCTGACCATCAAGAGGGTAGTAGTAGTAGTAATTATGTCTATTGTAGAATTTTCCGAATGAATCGCTGGCAATTTATTGAATGATTTTTATTTATTTCGTTTCAGGCCGTCTAGTCAAATCAGTTATAAAAAAATTAATTTGCGCGCTTACTACGAGTATTTCCGCCACCGATATTTCAACGGGACGTTGAAATGAAAGAGTGGCGGATCTATCGTGGATTTGCGGGCAAAGAAAATTTTGGTTTAACTGATTACACGCTCAGACAAATCACCGTGAACGTGAAGAAGTGTGCTT